ATCTAGACTTTTTGCCGACAAACCCAAAGTTGCCAACAAATCCAAAGTTGCCGACAAGCCCAAACAACAACGTGCCATGTCAAATTCATTTACAATTGCTAAAAGTAATGTCGGACGGACAAAAAATATGAAAATCTTGTCTAAAAGTTATTTTTAAAAACACTAATGTTATGGTTAGGTTTTGATAACTTATAAAAAGATAAACAAATTTAGAGCGTCTTTTTCATCTACAATGATGTTTCGTATAATCATGACAGTGGATTTTTTTATCTCCATAAATGCATAAATTTTTAAAGACATAAATTGATAAAGAAACCTGAAGCTCAGAGTTGCTGTTAATAAAGGAATTTTACAAGAATCAGTACAGCTAGAGTTGAAATTACATTTCTGAAGCCGGTAATCTTTATTAGTCAGGTAGTTAGAAATATTCTAAAAAGCAGAACTACAGTATCATACTCAAAACCGTTTACATATTGCAAGGTTTTCAGAAGAGTAGACAACATTTTGTGACGAAATGTTGAGATGAACAATTTATAGAATAAGAAACGCAATGGTCGAACTCGATTTTAGATAATAAAAGCCATCGCTAAGTGACTGTTTGATTTAAGAGCCAATATCCTCTGCCTGATATGGCACATTATAAATATATTGTCTTCAGTTAGAATGTCGTATTAACGCCACTGTTAAGAGATTCATTTTAGCAGAGTTGAATAACTGTTTAACTGGGCCTTTTTTCCTAGCAACAAGTTGAAAGTGGAGGCTCTAGCCATGCAGAAATTGCACAACCACATGACATTGCAAGCATGATGAAACAGTTCTTACGAGAACTGCCTGACTCGGTACTCACTTCCTTACTACACAATACGTTTCTCAAATGTTTACAGCTCAACACACCAAACGAGCAAGTAACCTCGCTACTAATGCTGTGTCTTTTGCTGCCAGACACTAATCTCCGGCTGCTTCAATACTTGTGCCAATTTGTTTCGAAAGTGGCCGCTCATTCGAAAGAGTCAAAAATGACCCTAAGTAATTTAGCTATTGTGCTTTCACCAAATTTGATGTTTTCGAACAAGGACAAAGACAGTGATAAATATATAAAGGAACAAACGGAAGTGGTTGATATTTTGTTCAGGAATGCTAACTCAATTGGCCTTGTTTCTGATGAAATTATCGAAAAGGTAAATTCGATTGAAGGAGAGCCACAGTCCATGAGCACATCTTCAGCTGATGAGCTAGATTTGGCTGCGCACACAAAACAGAGAGGGCATCGAAGAAGAAGCCGCTCTATATCAGGTATAACTAACACCTTTTCACCAATCATCTATATTTCCTTTCCTATCCTAACCTCCAAAGGCACATACGCACATATCTACGTAGATATACAATTCTTTTTAATCTGGTGAAGACAACGTCGATTTCATGCCTTTCTCGTTAACCGTAATTAATAGAAAATACTTTCAAAACTCAGGGGCTATACAGTAGTGTTAGGTGTTTACTAATCAAGGAGACACGAGAAAACAGAAGAAAACGTTTCGCATCGCCATTTTTATCAATTTTTTCGCTTTTGGCATGCCGACTATTAAAGATTATCACGTCGACAAAGCGCAGAAAAACCATCAATGTATCCGGGCCGTTGAAAGTACCGAATGCCGGCCAGACCAGAAAGGTTGGGTGTATGTTTTTACCTAGCCTTCTGAGGGAAAATCTTTGTTCTAATCGTATTGCTATTGTGTAGCTACTTGAGGACAGAAGTGAAGTTTAAGAATAGTCGATCCCCATCAAAACTTTGTAATTTGTAACTATCAACCAAAGCAGTTTTTCTTTGTGAAATATAAATGCTTTTCTTACCTTGTTGAAGTAAACTTTTCTCTCGCTTATGATGAAATCCCAATCTGAAAAAAGTTTAATAGCTTTTCAGAATGCGAAAAATTTTGGCTTAAAATTCCAATCATCCACCATCTCTGCCTGCATATTCTTAATCTTCTCCAGGTGCAAAGAATCAGAAAGCGATTATTACCAGATAATTGGATAAGATGCCCTGTTGCATTTATAAGACAAATGGAGACTCACACGAAAATTGGATGTTCTCAACATCTGTTAGGCTTTTCAGTTTTCATTTGCATTTTAGTCTGATATACCTTCATTCAAAAAACAACGTTTTTACAGGGTTTGTTAATGGCATTGGTCGCAAAATAAAAGGAGCTAACACTGGAGCTGGCTGTGCCCCCGGAAATGAAGATGATATAATGGCAACACGACGCGCAAGACACCGACGCACAAAAAGTGACAAGACTATTGAAGTCGAGGACTTGCTGCGCAAAAGAGGACGCAGTGAGCTGGATGTTCGGTCAAGTGGCAAGTCGAGTTACTTCGTCTCATTCAGTTACTCTATCATTTTTATTAAGTAATGCCGAACTTTGAATTGCTTTGTAAGGAAATATTTGATAAGTTTTGAACTTTTCTGCTTCTTAAGTTGCTGGTCTATTTTTATTTGGAGTTGTTCTGACTAAACTCAGGCGAATTATTTCTAAGTTTTCATTAGCTGCAATTCATGTTGCTAACTAATTGTGTACATTAAATCTAAAAATGTTTTAAACTTAATGGCCTAAAAGACCTTCTAAGCATTGCTCTTGCCCTGCTGTAATTGAATTATTATTCTGTTGACAGAATTTTGCATCAATAGTCCGTATCCTAAGCCTGGAATGAGGTCGCTAAAAAGACGTATTGGTGTCCAAAGGACATTTGGACATACTCCCAGCCGTAGGAGGTAAAATCATTAGTTTCGTATCTATCTTTATCTTGTCGGACCAATAACTGCTGACAAAAGAGCGGTATTAGATTGATGGAAGTCACTCGATGACTTCAAAGGCAAGCCAAAACAAAATATGAAAAAAGGTCACACAAGGAAAAACTCACGACCGGTCCCCATTGGTTGTCTGTTTTTAGCCTGCCCAGACTCCTGGCACTTTTACATCTGCCGTGTGTCTTTAAGCATTCCGTAAGAAATTTGATTGCCTCGTATGACAAGTTGGAATTGGAAATGCGTCATGTGGATGTCTGCGTTATTATGCAGTACTTATCTGTTCTGCTTTCTCTATAAAAGCCAAAAAGATAGACTCCATTTTGTTTCACTTTTAGATTAAATTTGCTTTATCATAGATATGAAAAAACTAGAACAGCAACAGTGCCTGATACCTCGACAGTCTAACTTCTACATGCAGAAAATTTTAGCTTACAATCCCTGCCAATATTCTTGGAACACCTATGTCCGTTTTCAAAGGCAAATTCAGCCATCTTCCTCCCCTAGGAACAATGTTTATTGTCTATAGAGAAAAGAAAGATGTTATGGAGTACGCTTTTTCTTGTGGCGTGTACGTTTTTTTCTAAACTATCGAAATTGTTCTTGGGAAGAGTAATAGAATGTTGGGAAAGCAATAAAAAATAGAGAAGCCAAATGCAAATTGTTGGGTGCTCCAAGGCATGGTAGCTGCTTTCAGAGTTGTTTGAAGTTGTTTGAAAACGTTTGAATTACTGACGTCCTCATCGAAAACATTGTTTACTGGTGTATGTGGAAACTGTTAGATTGAACTCGTTTGTTCTCATATGTCTCTTTTCGTTGTAGTCCGAAGCTTTCAAGACGAGCGGAATCATGTCAAACAATTTCCAGTCCCATTCTAATATCGATGCCAAATCAATTTATGCTGTCAAATAAATCATCTTTTATCCCGATAATGAGATCCCAAGAGGACGGTATGTAATACAACCCTTAGATCATCTTTTTATGTTCTTCATTTTTCTGATCGATGATACATTTTAAAGGTATCAAACCTATCTAGTATCATTGTTGAAACTGTTTTTATTGTTAGCTTTTTCAAAATAAAATTCATGGACACGGTTTTCAACATTTTAATGCCTGTCAAAATATTTTTGAGTTTGAAGTCTTCAAAACAATCAATCTTTCCATATCTTTAAAAGACTACTTTCGAGAGAAAATAACAGAAAATCTTAATCAAAGATCATTCATTTTCTTAAAGTTCAGATTTCGCTATACATTGTAACACAATAGGAAGGCATACTATTGCTATGGTCTCTGCAAAATGCCTCTTCAATAAACAAAGAGAAACAAAATGCCCATCTGCATGCAAATTGCTGCAGTACATGCAATATGCCCAAGTCGACCGTTTTGTACAATGCTCTCTGATCATTCTAGCACTTTCAAAACCAGCATTAAGTATGCTACAAAGCTATTCATTGCTACAAGACGTGACATTACAGCCCTGCAAATTATTCCACGTTGATTAAATACATTTGAACAGTTAAAAAAGATTCACCAAGTGGACTGTCAGGCTGGATATATGTTGAAAAACCCCTTTTAATTATTAGTTTACAAATTTTTTTTTAAAAAAGCTAAATTCTTAATTGAGAAAGAAATTCTCGTTTGTCCAAGAATCCAAAAATGTAACGATTACTTCATATTTTTTACTGTGTAATGAATTTAACTGCTTACAGTATTTCTTAATGCTGATGAACAGTATAAGCAGATTTGTGGACGCGTTTTCCGATTATCATTTTAACTGTAAAACTCAGAGTTGCAAATTAAAACTCTCCTATCCAATGCGTTTTATACCATGTGTACAATAAAAACCTGCAAAAAAGAAGATTTAGACAACATCACTGTATGAAAAAATCTTCACTGTATGAAAAAATCTTTTTAAATGGATGAGATCCATTTCAGCCTTTCTCCAATAATCGCGTGATGATCTCATCCTGTTCTTAGCATGTGTATCTTTCTGTGTATCTTAGCATGTCTGTGACTAAGCATGTCTTAAATGGCAAGAAATGGCAATCTTATTTCCGTTTGAAGCCATCTAATAAAAATGATTTTAACAAAACCATTTGTATTTCCCTACGTACAGTATATAGCTGACATTGCCAAAACTGTAACTTGTACTTACTGAAACATGCAAGGTATGTTACTATAACATATAAGAAAATCTTTGTGATCTTTTCAGTGAGGCATTCAGAAGATGTGAAAGTCCGCGGAAATAGCCAGGCCGATGAGCCCTCCAGTCCTACTTTGATGTCTAGCAGATTCAGTGTCAATTTTGATGATTTCAATGATGAGGCTTTCGAAAAAGAAAATTGCAGTCTTCCGGGAAAATATTCAGTAATGAAGGAGAAGCACTTGCAAAAGTTCATCAAGTGAGATTGTTTGGTTTCTTTATAATTTGTATTTGTTACCGTTGACATCAATCAGGTGGAGATTTAGCTATAAGGACCAAATCATGAAATATTTTAAGATGAGTGTACAATTATAAAGTCGTGAGAAAAGCTAGAGGATTCCGATCTACATTTAAAAACCAGAATTTTAATTAATCTTTTGATATGGCACCTGTGGTTTATTGGTACCAAGAGGTAAATAGATTTAGTTCAGTTTGGAAAAGACTCTAAGTTACCTTAAAAGCCCATTTTTCTCACATATTTAAACAACCCCACATGTTTAAAACATTTTTAGAGTGTTTTTGGTTTAAAAAACTTTTTGATCATTAGGCAGATGTGGAGTTCTTCATTACACATTAAACTTCAAATAGGTGCTTCAGATAGTCTGCAGTATTTCGTTGTCGAAAATTATCTTTATTTCTTTGTGAATATTTAGCAAAACCCTCTATTAAACGCAATAGTTTCTCGTTTCTTCCTTCCTTCCCTTCATTCCTCTGTCCTTCCTTCCTTTCTTCATTCTATCCTTTCTTTCTTCCTTCCTTCTTTCCTTTCCTTCTTTCTTTTCAAGTGGAGAGAGAAATGATGAATTCTCTGACATATGCGTTGAAATTTTACATCCCAAAGGTTTAGTTCTTAAAGCTAATACTCAGATTGCACTCAGTTGAAATATTCTAATATAACTGATCGTTCACGAAGTATGCTTTACCTATCGCCTTCAATCTTTCATTATAAATATGAATATAAAATCTATGTTATAATACACCATCTAGTCAATGAGGATAATCAAGAGCTTCTGGCAGCAAATGTGACTCACTAAATCACACCTAGTCGATAATTAAATGCTTTTTTTATATTATTCTATGGTTTCCTCCATGCTGTCAGCAGGGCGTTATTTTCCCCGTGACCGTGTGACCATTGGTCACAGGAAATCAGTTAGAACATTTTTCTCACAGGAAATTTCTCAACCATGGATGAATAATAGAAAAGTTTTATACACTTTACAAGAAGTTAAGCAGGTTGGAAGGAATCTAAATGCTCAGAATAAATCAACTCATTACACTGAAAAAGATCAAAACTATGTTTCGAAAAGTAATACTGTGCTGAGAGAGCTCAAAGGGATCAGCTTTCGTTGCAAAAAGTAACAAATTATGTCACTACTGATATGTCATCACGACCCATACCGTTATTAGTGTTTGAGATATTTTTAAATGCAGGCTATAAAGAAAGAACCAACATCTCGTATCACAGGTGTATTTTTGCAAGAATTTGCGGCTTGTAACTCACTCACAACACTACAGATAATTCTCCTTTGTACAAAGATATAGTTTTTGGTATGAGTCTTTCATAAAATCGCTTTATTTATCAAGACGCGGGAGTTGCCATTTTAATGTTCGCTCATTGATGCAAGAATGGCAATGTTCCACATTTCTTTGCCAACCCTTTGAAAGAGTTTTGACAATAGCATCCACTATAAGTGGGGCTGCTGAAAGGGGGGATGAGGGGCAAAATGCCCCAGGGGGCCTCAGGGCTGATTGCACGATGTTAGGAATGGAATTAATCAATTGTAGCAAAAGTATGCTCAAGAACGTAAGATGTTAAAAAATTTGCAAGAAATGACTGCAAGAAATATTCTGAAATCCATTTTAAGCTAATCTTAAGGGCTTGGTGACAAATATTTTCTGTTCCCTCCGCTCACTGGGGGCCTTGACCTTCGGCTTTGTCCTCGGAACTTCGAAACCTCTTTGCAGTTCTGATTATAAATATGGCAAAACATTTCTGATAAAATCTGTACTTTCATATTTTACTCATGTGTCTCCTTTTGTCTTCAACAACATAATTTTATCGCATTATTGAGGTTTTTGAATCATAAAATCCAAACTAATTTCACAGAAAATTTTTTCAAAAAGTTTACGGTCACAAGAAATCTTGAAGAAAATAACACTATGGCTGTCAGACGTGCTCAGTTTTATCAGAGATTTTATCTTTTGCAACTTATTCCCTGGCAAGAAAGAATCAGGGTTTTGAATGTCATGAATTTTTTAAGAACGAGTGCCTGATTTTAATATTTTGTGAGCTTAGTAAATTTGGCCAATCAAAGTACTGAAAACCATTTTTCCGGGAGGTTGAGAAGTTGAACCCAATTCTCTTTAAAATGTGATATGGTCCATCATACCAGAGTATTCTTAATGTATTCGCGTTTACTTTCAATTCTCAATATATTCCTAATGTGTTCTTGTTTTGTGCCACATCTGAGAGAAACCAAAGCTTAAAAATTAGCACTTGTTTTGAAAGAGTAACATTCTGCACAGACTCTATCACAATCTAAGATTATGTACAGAGCATGATTACACTTACGTTGTCGAAGATTAATGTAAAGCAAAAGCGCCGCAGTAGTCATGGCAGTTCAGAATTGACTGTGTGATAATCCTTTCTTATTTCACACCAGTTTTAATTATTTTTATATTTGAATCTAATTCGCTTTTGCAGAATTTGTGATTCTTTTTACTAAACTCGCTCAACTTTTTTCAAACACCTTGCTTCTCGTGATCTTCTTTAATTTATTCTTTATCCACTTTTACATTTTACGCAGTAACAAATTAAATGTTTACTTTTCATCATTAAAGGCTATTTAGTTTTTTGTTCTTCCTAACTTTCTCGTTTATATTACAGGCAAGCTTCGATGGAAAACGACTGCTCTCCAATGGGTCAACCACGTTTAAAAACAAAACTTTTCAATGTGAGTTTGCGCCTTATTTCTTCATTTACGATCCCATAATGTTCTTATATTCTCCATGTAGGATGTTGAATGATTGACAAAGATTAAATCTTGCGCAATTCTCCGTTTTTTACTTAATGTTCTATCGGATTACCTACATAGCATTTACAAGCTTTTATTATTGATATGAAATTTTAACACTCGTTCATTTAAAACAGGCTTGTTTCGTGAAAGAGTCGATCTTTCATCTCTTAGATAATAAAAAATCGAGTTTGTTAGGCATGCTGGTTGACTGTGTGCATCCAGCCTAATTCTATTCACCAATCAAAACTGGTTGCATGATGGTTTCGAGTTAAAGCTTGTGTCAATATTTTAATGAGGAGACAAAGCTCTTTTAGGCTTAAAATAAATGATTCACAGAATTAGGCTGGAATTTTGTAAGATTTTGATGTCTTTCATCACTACTATGACAGTATCATATTCAAACAATCTTTTGGTGGTACAAAACTTGAAAATGGCTTTTTTCAAAGCCATTTTCAAATATCATATTCCTTCCAAAACCAAACCGTCGCCTTCAAATCGATGTAGAAATCAGCCAGTCAAATGCTGGGGAATTTTTTCGTTGCAGGCGGAAGCTCACGATATCCCTATGAGATCTCCATGTACTTCCTCTAGACTTAAAAACAGAAGAGCAAAGATACTTTCAGATGGCTGATAAAATTGGGTTCACTTGAAGGCAAAGACATTGTTCTTTTATAATTTTAATTATGAGTTGACCTAATTCTTTTAAATGTAGCTTAAAGATTTAGCCATAAATAGTTGAATTACATCATCACTGAACATCCCCTAACCAAATTATATATCATCTCTAAACAGATAAGGGTCTATATATGCAAAAGTAGTTGTGAGCTAGCAGAAGGTTGTTTGGTTAACTGTTGGTTTTTTAGAAGCATCGATTGTCGAACTGTTCTAGATACTTACGTGAAAAGCAGTTGTTGTGCTGTCCAAGCAATTTCGGTCCTTTGGGGTACGTTTTATTATTTCACCACTGTGAACCAATAGAGTTTAGACAAGTATTATTCTTGGTTAATAAATTATCGATGTCTAGCCAAAATTAAAAGGCAGATCGATTTTCCTGTTACTTTGATGGCATCTAATTCGCCTAACAGTGTAAGCTCGCAAAACCATCTGGAGTTTCAAAGTATTAATAAATTTCAATACAGCTCAATGTCACAAGCTCCCGGTATATTTTTATCAGAGGTTTAATTTCTTAGAATAGACAGCCAAATAAACGTTGGGAAAGTCTAAACTGTAGTTTCTAAATGCAGGGAATTTTTTTATTGAATTAGAACCAGATCGATTCTTTTTTACTACGAAGACCTATCTCATTACTGGTCTTACCTATGAAGGACAGCAGTTCGTACTACTGATTGAAATGAAGGGGTTATAAAGTATTCAGTGTGATGAAAACAAAGAAAACGTTTGTGTCTATGTTCAGTGTATAAGTCTGTGTACTTATGGGGAATGCTTGGGGAGCGGTAACATCCTGCCATCCACCGCAGTCTGCCAACCATCGACAGCATACTTTGTATTCATCACCTAAGATAATGCTAATGAAAACACTCCTAACGGAGTTGAAACCTTAACCATAATATAATGCCTCACTGGAGAACATTTTATTCAAGAATTTCATTCATAGAAATCAAGAATATCCATCATTAGGCCATGACTTCACCGGAATATATGTTGACGACTTTACTGAAGTACTTATTTGTTGCAGTTGTTGGGCTAACTCCTCTTTTAATCAAATTTCAAAGCTGAACACACTCTCATCAGACCACAACAATCAAATGATACATTTTCAGGGATTTTAAAAGCCTATGTTTCTTATTCTACCTTTTTAGAATTTATTGTCAATATCTTTGCTTGACCTATTGTATTTTTAAAGTTCGATTCTGTTTAATCGTAATTTTAATATCAAAGTAAGATGTGAATTTTTTAACTCACCAAGTGCAGTATATTCAATAAAAGTACAATGACATTGCTGTTTTTCTTTGAGACTTGCAAATCTGTAAACAATTAATTAAAATGATGAAGTCTGCTTGACAAAGCCCGTTTCAAAAAGGTCGTAAGTTCGTATTATTAAGAGAATCCAGTTGGCCACAAAATTAATAAACATTCACAGAGAATTCAATGTTTTCGCATTCTCTCTTTACCCTTGGCTCCCACAAGCTGTCAAAGAAATCCCGCTTTAACTTAGACTGAATGGTAATCTCAACGGATTAAGAAAAAGGAGAATTTTTCAAAGCAATTCATGGCTCTTCCAAGAAAATCAATCTTGTTTCTTTAATATTCTAATTTAAACTACACTCGAAAAAAGCTTTATTCGTTTAGCAACGTTCTGTTATTATATTGGTTCTCAAATGTTCATAAACAAATAATAATATGAAGTACTTTAATTTCAATTCCACACGGTTCATATTTTGCTTGCTGAAAGTGTTTTGTTTTTCTGAGTGAAGAAATGCATGATTTTTCGAGTGAAGCTAAGAATTTCTGAAAAGAACCTATACTAAAATGGCGGTGCTCAAACGTAAGAAAATCTGTTTTAAAGAGAAATAGTACTTAAAAAACAGTGGGTAGATAGATAGATAGATAGATAGATAGATAGATAGATAGATAGATAGATAGATAGATAGATAGATAGATAGATAGATAGATAGATAGATAGATAGATAGATAGATAGATAGATAGATAGATAGATAGATAGATAGATAGATAGATAGATAGATAGATAGATAGATAGATAGATAGATGTGTAACGACCGTTTCACTTTGTTGACGAGTATGTTGTTTTTGTTCATTTTTGCAAAATACATAATCCATTGTTCAATGCATAATTAATTCGTGTCTTTGCCTCTGTCTCTGTGTTCTGCTGATAGGGTTAAAGTCTTGATATAGAACTAGGTTGTGGACGCCACTTTATATTAAAATCTACGCTAAGCAGGTGATCTGGTCTCTATAGTACTGTTGCTGAGCTAGTCTACCATTTGCAACCTAATTTACATTGTTTTGAGACAATTTCCCCAAAAACATGGATAGCAAGGATAGCAAAAGTAGAGGGCCAAGGTTTCTTCCACTTTTACTAAAGCTCTAAAACTACTTGCTTCGCAAAAAACTGGGGAGGGGGCATGGCCCTTCCGGCCTTTCCCGGTGGCGTGGGCCTTGTATGACATAAATTATGTTTTTCTCATTCTCTTTGTTACTCTCTGCGTCTACAAAATTTTGTAAGTATGCTTTTGATATTATGGCAGCTTGCATTTATCCTTTTGTGATGCTGAAGCAACGATTAAAAAAAAACTGTCCCAAAATTCGTTATGAATGCATAAAAGGAATTTCTAAAACGATGAATACCTGGATTCCAACACTTGATAAACTGCTACCCAGAACGCGAATCCATAATTTGAGGAAGCAGTCACGTTTGCTTTGGCCTCTACTACTTATGTTGGAGAAGCTTCCATCAATTTTAACGCATAATCTGTTGATTTTATTTCCATTCACAATCGATGAGAAAATCTCTTGGGCAATCACATAGTACCTCACAGCTGCCTTGCTGTTGCACAGCGCTTGTTAGGTGCCGCGTATTCCCAGGTGCCCTAATTTCTATCATAAGAACTGCACGTATGTCTTTGAAATTCCTCGGAATATTTGTTTCAACTATAACACATGCTCTTCTGTCTTGGAGGCTAGAAAAAACATGTTGTACATGGGCTTCGACACAGGTTTAAGAGTGGGGAGGGGGGGGGGGCAAGGGAAAATTCAATACCCAAAGCAAAATATTTTGAAAAAAGCTCTATTGTTTTGCAAGTGGGGGCTATGCCTTCCTTTGTCGGAGGCCCTGTTGTGGAGAAGGGAAATGTATGTCTTATGCAGAATAATGCTAAAGCTACCAAGGGTTTTAAATTGGTTTTTTTACCGTTTTATGGTATTGTGAATTTGTTTCTGTGTCAGTCAAATAGTCAGGACTCAATTTTAAAACTATTTTACTTTTGATCTCGGCTGTTTATTGTCTTTGTCAAGTTCGTTTAAGGTAAAACTTTCTGCATCTGTATACACCCCTGGCCCCTTACAACCAACGCTGACTTTTGCTTTCTCTGCTTGTTTTTGCCTTCTCTTTCGATTTCAGTCCTTCAGTGGACGAGAGTCCAACTTTTCGATTACTGGCATATTAAAATACACAAAATGTTTTGTGTGGCAAAAGCGTTCTTGCAATTTTACTTTTTACTGCATCTGTATCACCAGCTATTGCTACAAATTAATGAGGAACACGTCGTTAGCATCATCGTGAACTGTGATTGCTTTTAGTTAGTCTTGATGTGTGTGCAGTTTCATTTCCAATCCTTCTACCCGTCAACCCAAAAAGATTTTTAGATAGAAGGCATTGGTTCTTCACGGCATTGGTTCTCGTTTCGACATCAAGGAAAGAAAAGTGTCGCTTTGAATTAAATCTGATATCTCTTGAAGACAGAAAGCACATCTGATAGGCAAGCCCTTAAGCGAAGGTTGTTTTTCTCTGTCAAGGACTTAAGAAAGTCATTACAGTTTTTGCTTTGAATGAGTTTTGAAATAGACGGCTGTTCAGTTCCAAGAGGTCAAATGCAAACCAACATGCTCAAAAAGATACTCTGTGAAGTGCACTCAGAAAGAATTGTCGGTATCTCTTGACTGCTGGTCTTTTTATCTTCCGCAATTTTTCTTTGCTCCCATGTTCGTACACCTGGTGTGTCGAAATTAGCATTGAGTAAAACATACCGCCCTCTTTAGCTCTTGTATATTTACGGTCTTCCATACCTTTTTTGATCCACGGCACATTTTCATAAAAAAAATGTTAGAAAATGAGACTTTGTAGCCTTAATTCACAATTTTAATTCGTCCTCATCGAAATGTCTTGAATAAAATTATTTCAGCATAAAACAAAACACTCTTATTCATTCAGGACCTGTTTATTAGACCAATTAGGTGAATTGGAGATTTTCCACGGCATAACAGATAATATCTGACGGCAGACTAGTTTGCCGCCGCACAGTGGTTGAAAAACACTGTCCTTAGTCAAAATAAAGACTTATTTGTAGAAACCAGTGGTTGTAAACCAGTTTGTTATAAACCAGTGGTTCTCATACCCCGTTGTTGCGGTTGCTTTTGTCATTATACAACTTTACAGAAAAATTCCCAGCACTTGAATTTGTAGTGTTGTAAATTTTCCTTAGAATAACCCTTGAAAACTACTTATTATTCAGGAAGTAAACAATTTGAAGTATTTCTTTATGTTTCTCTACGTTTTCATTTTGCCCACCGTCCACCTTTAAGAAAGCTAACAACTTGCAATTATGTAATCTAGAAAGGGTGGCTTCGGTTAAGGATGAGTAGTAATTCTAAAACTTTGCAAAACCAGTGACGAGAACAGAGACTTGGGTCCAGTGATTGCCTCAGTTTTCAAAGGTTTTGAAATGCTTTATCATCAGGGTGGTGATGGCCACCTAGTCTACAAGATAGAGGCAGATTGAAAATCAAAACAGCGATAATCTTTGATCTATCTATAAAATCTTCTTTTCAAATTAAACCGTACTCAACTTCGACGTGTAAAAGTATGTTTATGATCTTAAAAGCTATTTATAAAATCTACAACGCGGAATGAAACAACTATTCAAATCTATATCCCCACCCATTACAATCTTTACCCCATAAAAACAAAACCGCAATTGTCAAGTGAACATCAGTAGAATGTTTGTCAGTAAACAAACAAGGCCTAATAAACGGGCTGTCGATATTTAGGTCTATTGCTCTAAAGAAAGATAAAAAAGTAGATGTCTTTAAAACTAATTGGCCTATCTGCTATTGAGAGACCTTAAATCGCGTTGGAAGATCGTTTAAATCGAAGGTTCCTTTTAGCATTATCTGCATACATTTACATAGCAATATCTAACTGCAAACAAGCGAGAAATAAATACTTACGAGCTTAAAAAAATTGAAAGGAAGCATACTATCTTGTGTAATATGCTGGTGGCCTTTAGAGAAGGAAATGGCTGCACAAAATAGCGATTTGCTCCAATTTAAGGCGTTGTTGCATCAAATTAAAAAGAAGGAAGCATCGAATCTTCATTCCTCCTCAGAAAACGATTTTTATTTTTACTGAAGAGCAGCTTCTTATTGATCATTCAATTCTCTTTATACTTTGGACTCTACTACAAAAATTATCTATTAAACACCAAACTGCAATTTCTAGGAAACACAGAAACCCTCTTACGAATTTAGCATCGTTTATAACTAAGTTGGTCTTATCTAAACAATCTAAATTGACAAAAGGCAAATCAAATTATAATGTACTGTCACAATCTTACGGGACGTACAATGATATCAGACTCATTTTCATTATCGTTGATCTAATTTTAATTTGTATGCTGATTCAGGGGAGTATAAAAGGTCAAGCGATATGAGTCTCATACGATTTCGCAACACGTTTGGTGGATTGTCTTAAGGTTTGTATAGGTATAAAATTTGGTAAGGGTAGGAGCTCTGGAGGGTTGTGTTGCTGACGTCTCGAAATGGCTGAAGAGAAGAAGATCAGGACTTGAGTTGAAAAATAATAAACATAGGGTGAATTCGAGTGATATTCAAGAAAGAAACAAGGCTGAATCAGGTAGCAAAAAAGAAACTTCTCAATAAAAATGAGTGTTAAAAGTAAAAACAAAATTTCTCACTTAAAGGCATTATTTCAGAAAAGCGCCATTAAGCCAAAATCTTAGGCAAAAATATAAATAGGTTGATTTGCGACTCAATCGGAGGCAGGATACGCTCATTCTTTTTCACTTGCGTAACGATCCAGTGGACAGCGCCTTGTAAATTCTTGGCCTCTTTCGTGAATCCATTTATTGGCAACTATAAGACAGACATGTTATGAGAAATTGCATCATCTGTTTCGTGAAGGGACGGGAGAAGACATTGCAGATAATTGGTAATAACAACAGGGCATAAAAAGGAGCTGAGCATGCATCCTCAACAAACTGGTAATTAGAAACTTACATTTAGAAAGCGGTTTATGGGGACAGGATATTTATACATAAAAGGTGTAACATTAGATTGGCACCATGGAATAAAAAAGTATCCTAAAACAAATGAAACAAGGGTATGTGTCAGTCTCACCCCATTTTTCTCCAAGAAGTACGGGACATGCTGCATGTCTTGTATTGTAATTTCCCATCCCATCTTCATGAAGGTTATACCAGAACACCGCGTCTCCCTGCAGAGAAATGTAGAATAATAAGGTATAGATATTGTCAGTTTGAAGGAAATAACTTACTACAGTCAGTTGAAGGGTGCACTGAGAAGGGGTGTTGGGTCCAGCAGTAACAAAAGGGCTCATGTTTGGGGTTCCTTTTCATAAGTGGTGTAATGCTTTCAAAATAAGAAGGGGAGCTCTTACACAAAATGTTGCTAAAAACATTAGCAAAAGTAGAAAGTTACTTATTTTCGGTATTGTCAAGGGAACTCAGCCCCCCCCCCCCTTAGGCTACACCACTGTCTCTAATGAAACAGGCTTATGGAAGTGGCTAGCGTTGCAGCTGATTTCTCCCTGATTTGAACTTGCATTGCCACCTCCATAAAATAAAGTCGAAATTGAAATGCAACAGTGTGTAGTGCTACATGATGACAAAAAATTGAAACCAGAAAAATTAACTTTCGTACGGCATATCCAAATTGCAACAAAGAGCGAAAAAATTCTTCAGTAGTGTGCGGCAAAATGTTTCTTGAAATAGTGACATGAATGTAAATAAACGAAATTCATATTAAATGTAGAATTATCGGTTTTCGCTTTGTGACAATTAACATACCTTGCTTGGTCTTATTTCAATGTGAAGATTTGTAAAAACCGTTCCACCACCCATGGAAACATCAGAGAGCTAGAATTACAAATAAAGATATTAGATATTAACAAAATCAAAGTACTTTTGATTATATTGCTGATAAATTACAAATTATAAAATGATTAGCAAGTAACTTGATCCTGCTTGGCCTAACATTAAATGCTGTCACCACCCATTAAATATTTTTATCAAAACATTTAGACCAGGCGCATATATTGCCGACCTTTTTAGCTACCCTTACCCTCTGGTAATGAGAAAAATTTTGGTAAACGGCAGAAACCTGCTGTGTTTACCAAATATGGGCATTTTCCCCAACCAGAGGTTACGGCCAGTTCTGAATCACGTGCGCTGCAGCCTTTGCTGTACCGACCCTTATTCTACTTCCGAAATAACATGACTCTATTATAGTTAAAAAGCTTTTCAATACAGTAGCAAATTGTATAATACATATATACAGAATCGAAATATGAGATAAAACTAGATATCTGATGATCGCATTAAGCGTGAAACTCGGAGTAGCAACTTAAAACCGTCATGCTCTATACACCGAATAGCGTAAAACTAGATACAAAATAGCTAAATAATTCTATAAAATTTTGGAGACACTTCAACCAAGAGGACCCCTGTTTCACTAAAATCTTTGGAAAGCATAGCATGTGCTCGCACTTAACCCGTCGATAATAGAATGATGCTCTTTGTCTAAGCATGCAATGTGATTCAAATGTTACTTTTAATAAACTCACATAAATGAGACTGACGTGTTTCAGAAGCAAAATATTAAAAAGGGTGAGGTATCTGTTTCATATGTCAATTGTTTTCACTCAGTTCTCAATCAACTCAATTAACCCTTCGAAAATAGGATGATGCTCTTTGTCTAAGCATGCAATGTGATTCAAATGTTACTTTTAATAAACTCAAATAAATGAGACTGACGTGTTTCAGAAGCAAAATATCGAAAAGGGTGAGGTATCTGTTTCATATGTCAATTGTTTTCACTCAGTTCTCAATCAACTCAATTAACCCGTCGATAATAGAATGATGCTCTTTGTCTAAGCATGCAATGTGATTCAAATGTTACTTTTAATAAACTCACATAAATGAGACTGACGTGTTTCAGAAGCAAAATATTAAAAAAGGTGAGGTATCTGTTTCATATGTCAATTGTTTTCACTCAGTTCTCAATCAACTCAATTAACCCTTCGATAATAGGATGATGCTCTTTGTCTAAGCATGCAATGTGATTCAAATGTTACTTTTAATAAACTCACATAAATGAGACTGACGTGTTTCAGAAGCAAAATATCGAAAAGGGTGAGGTATCTGTTTCATATGTCAATTGTTTTCACTCAGTTCTCAATCAACTCAATTAACCCTTCGAAAATAGGATGATGCTCTTTGTCTAAGCATGCAATGTGATTCAAATGTTACTTTTAATAAACTCAAATAAATGAGACTGACGTGTTTCAGAAGCAAAATATCGAAGAGGGTGAGGTATCTGTTTCATATGTCAATTGTTTTCACTCAGTTCTCAATCAACTCAATTAACCCGTCGATAATAGAATGATGCTCTTTGTCTAAGCATGCAATGTGATTCAAATGTTACTTTTAATAAACTCACATAAATGAGACTGACGTGTTTCAGAAGCAAAATATTAAAAAAGGTGAGGTATCTGTTTCATATGTCAATTGTTTTCACTCAGTTCTCAATCAACTCAATTAACCCGTCGATAATAGAATGATGCTCTTTGTCTAAGCATGCAATGTGATTCAAATGTTACTTTTAATAAACTCACATAAATGAGACTGACGTGTTTCAGAAGCAAAATATCGAAAAGGGTGAGGTATCTGTTTCATATGTCAATTGTTTTCACTCAGTTCTCAATCAACTCAATTAACCCTTCGAAAATAGGATGATGCTCTTTGTCTAAGCATGCAATGTGATTCAAATGTTACTTTTAATAAACTCACATAAATGAGACTGACGTGTTTCAGTAGAAAAATTTAAAAAGGTGAGGTATCTGTTTCATATGTCAATTGTTTTCACTCAGTTCTCAATCAACTCAATTAACCCTTCGATAATAGGATGATGCTCTTTGTCTAAGCATACAATGTGATTCAAATGTTACTTTTAATAAACTCACATAAATGAGACTGACGTGTTTCAGAAGAAAAATTTAAAAAGGTGAGGTATCTGTTTCATATGTCAATTGTTTTCACTCAGTTCTCAATCAACTCAATTAACCCTTCGATAATAGGATGATGCTCTTTGTCTAAGCATGCAATGTGATTCAAATGTTACTTTTAATAAACTCACATAAATGAGACTGACGTGTTTCAGAAGAAAAATTTAAAAAGGTGAGGTATCTGTTTCATATGTCAATTATTTTCACTCAGTTCTCAATCAACTCAATTAACCCTTCAGAAATAGGATGATGCTCTTTGTCTAAGCATGCAATGTGATTCAAATGTTACTTTTAATAAACTCACATAAATAAGAAATGTTGCTATTCTGTTTCCATTTATTCCTACAAGTCGAGAAGCTTTTGGATCCTGCGAAAAATGAATTAAGGAAACAAGTTTCAATTTTGAACAAAATGCCGATAAAACGAGAAAGTCATGCAACAACAGAGTCGATAAAGGCAATACATTCATGAACACTGAAAAACCCAAGGAATATCAGAGATGTATGACATTGTCCCTCTTTTCCGTGCTATTTTCAAATTTTTCGGTACCAATGGCTTATTTGAACATTGTAACTTTGTCATAACATGAAACTTTGCATCCTTTGCACCTTCTTCATATCATGCAACTGAAATGATAGATTCAACTAGACATGCATCGTTTAAGTTTAAAGCATGGCTTCTATTAAATATCCTCTACCATCTAAAATAATTTTGATTTTAACATAGGATAACCTCATTTGATTTTATAAGTGTATATGACAAACTGTAAATTTCATTACCATCCCTCCACGCAATGTAACCTCTTCTTTTTCTCGACGCCATGGTGGAGAGCGTATAGGGGTTAGCTGTATGAAGATCAATTTCATAAATAAGACAAAAGTGAGTAATGGTGGAAGATACAATTACAAAAATGGCGTCGATAAATCTATTGTGAACCTTCAACTGAAGCTGATAACCTTCATAAACTAATAAAGCTTTGTAATGCTAAGGAATTCAGTATTACCATTGTATTTGGCTCTATCTTAGATTGGTGTTAGGTAATATGAGGAGCACTGTGCTAGAAGAACCGCCTACCACGTCAATGTAACACTTTTTCGCTAATAAAGCGGTTGTTTGTTAAGAAAATCGACAGTTTTAAGTACAAAAAACCTTCGCCCCTCTTCATTTTTCGAAAAGAGTACGGCCACTGCTTTAGGGTTTATCAAATTATGGTGTCATAAAAAGACTATTTAGAATTTTTTAATTTGCATCAAATAGCCTTAGTTAACATTATGAAATACCTCAAAATATGCAAAATCAGTTTTATGGGTTAGAGGATCGGTTATAATATGGCCACATGAGCACAGGTTCTGTCCACATTCTGTGACAATAACTAGTCACTGTTCTAAACTCAATGAGCCAAGCCAGCAAAAAAGTGATCCGTTCGCATACTTCAAATCTTTCATTGGTCATATCTAACTCAATCGTTAACTTATCCAACTGATTTTGCATCTGAAGACGTATTTTATGGTGCCCAGATTATGTAGTCTAAAGTCAAAAAATTTAAAAAAGGATTTTTTCATGATACAATGTCGTAAATCCTCGAATAAGCCTCTCCCCCCGGGAATTATTTGCAAGAATGAATTCTTGGGTGGGGGCTTATTCGAGGGGGAGGCTTATTCGAGGGGGGGGGGCTTATTTCACTTTTTTCCTCAAAGGTCGACATAAAAACGACAAAATTCTTCTAACAAATCTAACAAAAAACTAAAAAATACTATAATTTTTTGTCATCACAAAAGTCACCTTTTTGCTTTTTGGTCTCCAATCAAAGGAAGTAATACTGTAAAGCTAATGTCCTGTGGGGGCTTTCTTGAAGTAAGATATTATTCGGCAATCGTGCTTTCCTCGAATAAGCCCCTATGGGAGCTAATTCGAGGGGGGCTTATTTACCAAAGTGATTTTTTCAGGTGGGGGCTTATTCGAGGGGGGACTTATTCGAGCGTGGAGGCTTATTCGAGGATTAACGGTACTTAAGAACTCGGAGAATCCCACGGCGGACGGTCTATTTAATCGTTATTTCCCTCTGGCAAATCAAGATGGTTTTAAAATTAGGTGTGAACTCAGAACAAAAAACCTTGTGGTTTCCTTACTCTGGCTAATATCCTGCGTCTTATAGGATCAAAAAGCAATATTAATAACATTATGTAATGCATGTCGTAGCATTATCGTAATCATCTGCAGTTTTAGGCTCTGCAATGCTCATTACATAATTCCAGCCAGGGGCGTAGCTATTGGGAGTGCAGAGAAAGTGGGGGGGGGGGGATTCAAATCTGCTTGCTGTCGTAATACCTATTATAACCCAAAAACAGTCATTTTTATTCCATAACTCATAACTCATAACTCAGAACAGCAGTTGTTCGAAGATGCTTGCAGTCTGGGGGGCTAGGCCAAGCTCCTTTGAACAATATTGCAACTTTTGACGCAGCCTGTTGTAAAGCAGTCATCTCGACTGATGGGGCTACCTTGTATAAGTAATGAGAAACTATTGCTACACTTGTTTTTTGATTAAGTGCAAGTAATAAAACAGTACATAGATTACCGAATAAATAAGCCCAGGGAAGATTTAAGGGCCATATTTCAGAAAAGAAAAACCTAAATAAAGCTGTGTTAAGCATGTTGTAACTTGTGTTGGTAACACTGGTTCCAAATGTCACTGACGTCAATGAACATGCCAGTTGAGCTCAAAATGATTTCATAAGGAAAGAGCCAATATGATTCACATAAAAGAAGCAAAACGTGAAGGTGCCAAAAAATATGAAACCATCGTCATAGAGAATAAACCATTATCATTTCTATCTAGATTGACAAGAACGGTTTTTCAAAAGAGAGAAGTACACTGTTTGACGTTAATCGTGTTTAAATTTAAAAAAACACCTTTGCCACAAGAGCGGCGGCTTGAACCCGAAAGGCACGTTGCTACCGGTACATAACAGAATTTTATTGCTGTTTTTGTCTAGTTATCCTTCCTTCGAGACATAATTCATCACCAAGCAAACATGTACTCATCATTTTGAGGCAGAACATAGACGTAGAAAGCATTTCAAAAGTGGGGGGGGGGCAAATGTATGCAAAAAGAAGCACCAAGTGAGCTGCAAGTAGGTACGCAGCATATGCTTCTGAAAAGTGATGAGGGCATTGGCCTCATGTGTCCTCTGGTTCTTCGTCTATAGGGGAGGGGGCAGAATCAGCTTTCAAGCAAACGGGCGCCCATTATTTTTTATCATGATCAGAGCTGTGAAAAATATTTTCCTGGGAAACAGGAGAACAAATTTCCTGTGAGGTGGATTGTGTTTAATAGGTCTACAAGTAGCACACACAAACTTCCCATAAGGGTAAGGTGAGGAAAATGTTTCTAATAAAATATCGTAATTTTGTTGTTTCTTGCATCTTTGTCATTGCAAAAAAAGTAACAGTGATTTGTGAACCAAATGGCAATATGTTTCTTGACTGGAAGAAACTTCAACATAGATGGTGCTCTGCAATTAACTGGTGTTTAGTAAAGATAGTTAGCTTTAGAGAAGATGAATCTGGCTACCTGTTTATACTTATCAGCCAGTTTTTTTGCCTTTAATTTCATATGATGAGTACACATGTCAACATGATCTTTACATTAATGAATAGTGACATCTCAATATTCAAAGGGCAAATGTGATGTGAATGAACACAAGGACGGACTTCAATACCAATCTAAAACTTTGCCAAGTCTGTCAAGATCTCAATCAAGACTCAAGACTTTGCCAAGTCTGCCAAGACCTCAATAAAGACTCAAGTCAAAAACTGTATAAAAACTTTTGTTAGTGCAAAAAAACAGCTGTCTTCTATCAAGTTTTGTTGGAAATTTTCTGCCAAGCCACAACATTTCCTGGGAATCTAGTTCCCGAGTTGCAATACTTTCTGCAGCTGTCATTATGATGAGAAAAGAGAGAAGGAAAACGCTTGCCTATTTAGTTTCTTGTAGCTTTAATAAAAGTTAATGATAATTACCCTTGTACTAACTATCAATTAATATTGTCTAGGCAGAGAAACCTGCTAAGATCTCATTTTTAAAATTCATAGACGCGGAATCTGTCTTTAGAAGTTTCCCTCTTTTTCCGTGGATTATCGCGATTTAAAGGGGTTAGAAAATGTTTCAAATTATAATCTTACCCTTGAGAAATCGAAGTGTGTGTCATAATGGCCACCAATTCCATAATTTGCGATCTAAGGAAAATGAGATGCTGAAACTTATTCAGATATCAACAATTATTCACTGACCTTCAAATATCACAAGTTTGATGCTGATAAACTACACATCTTATTCTTATTAAAAAGGAGACATCAGTATAAAATTACTTAACAGTACCAAAATTACTTAACAATAATTGAAAGGCCTGAAATGACAAGATGAATGACAAACAGACCGAATACGAATGGTTGTGTAATAGCCCATCAAGAATATTTGGTTGTGTTCAGCTGTTATCGTACTTTCTATCCGTGGGAGAGTAAATAGAACATAGATGAATTGAAAGATTAAACATCAGTATTTAACAGTGGCTTTCTTTTCGGTCGGCAAATTTGCTACCATGTCAGGTGTAGGCAAATATTTGAGTGGGAGCACTTTAAAACATGAACTTTGGTGGACATCAGTTAAAAATTCTGGTAACAGAGCTTGGAACTCTCTGGCCAAAAATACGAGCTGCTCAAATCAACAATGGATTATATAGTAAAGGAAAAAACGAATTAATGTTGTTGTTATACTATTCTTTGTTTATTGTCTAGACATTATGTTGAAAAACGATGATTTCCAATGGCTACTTTTGAAAAGACGTATTGACTGCAAGCTAGTTAACTACCAACAATCAACGGCAAAAGTTTCTGTCAAGCAACACCGGGGCATTGCAAAGTAACAGCAACGAAATTTGTAAGGGTAAACAATTCTATTAACATGATAATAATATAAGAGTCAAACTGACGCAAAAAAACAAACAGGACAATTGTTGAAGAGTAACTGTGGGCCATGCAACTAGGGACACAATGCAAATTCCATAAACAAGATTAGTTAGTTTAAGTAAGAGAACACCAAGCAGAAACAGTTGGGTTTTGAAAGGAAATCATAAGATCACCTGTAGGCTTTCGGCTGTTTCCATGGTCAGATTTGTCATTGCTTCGATCTTTGTATCGATTTTCTTTATGAGCGGGTCGAGACTGTCTTCCAGCCATGCACTGAAAAGGGTTTCAAGTTTAAGAAGTTTGCCCGCATTGCGTACTGAAGAGGCATCTGTGAGTTAAAAACCCTATCTAGCTCCCCTCAATATGCCCCAGGGGCTTGATAGGGTTCTTATAATAAATCTACTTTTGCGCCCAACGTTTTATATTCAATCGAAAGAACTATTAAACAGAAAGGTTTTTACAACGCAATTGCTTGGTGCAAAGCGACAGTCTAGAAAAACTACGCCAGTTTAACCATACAAATCTACATGATCTCGTAACATAACTTATTAAAAGGCACTAATTCATGAAATTAGATCTCTTTGACACCAAGAGAGAAATGATGCCACAAGTAATCATTTAAGTGTATCAAGTAAGGCCGATAAGAATCTGGCAGGATGACCTCAAAGACTGAACTTGACTAGATCGTGCAATGTTAAGGTTACGGTAAACGTTTTGAACACGAAAATTGGTTTTTTCTTCCTAAAGGCCAAACGGCTCAAGGAATCTGGATAAACTATATACCATTCGATGCACAAGATTATGGCGTATCTAGCCAGATAAAAAGTATTGGCAAATAATGTTAAATGTTATTTTCCATGCGAATTTACTGGTCAAAAAGTGTACCACCTTCAAAAGCTATTATGTACCCTTGCGTTTGAGGTAACAAAATCTGACTTAGACCAGCAGGAAGTGCAGGTCCTAAGCTACCAAAGTGTGTCTCAGATTTTTTAAATTCCTCCTCTTCTTGAAACTATACCCTGTCAAAAATTGGCAAATAATTGTTCCACCCTCCCGCAGCTGTATTTGGGTATAAAAGACGGACCAGAGAAAATAAAAAAATTTTGAGACACACTTTGTTTGCCCAACGTCTGCCCTGGCCGTGTGCAAATTCTCGAGCCATTCGATTGGTTCCTTGGGTACATAATAGCTTTTTCGTACCTGCATGTAAAGGAATTTCGATTCCGGAGAAAACGGGATTTTACTGATCGCACTTGCAAGATACATTCGTAAACCACAGTGTAATCCGGGTCAAGTCACTTGAAGATTTAAGATCAATAAGCCTGTTTAAATAAACACGGCCGTACATTGGGTATATGGATGTGCCATGCGATATTGTAAATGAGACATGCGACTACAACCGCAAAGAAACGATAATCGGCTTAAAAGGTCAAGAGATTTTCAGGCCTCAACTAAAAGTTTTGATAAAGAAATTATGGAAACCTTCGTTTACATGGGATTTTTTCCACTTTCAAAATTTCTGTTTGTTTCAAATTTGGTGTCATTGTGTGCCTTGAAAGTTCGGCTACTTGAATGTGAAAAAATCGAAAAAATGATGTTTTCATCCAGCAAACGTTTACCGTAACCTTAAGCGACAGATGTCGATTACCTGTCCGAGACTGGGTGCAACAACGTTCTCACAATTTGGAGACGATTAAGACGAAAATTGTCATATAAGAGATGACGAAGAATGATGATGATTACAAATCATTGATTATAAATTGTTTATAAATTGATTATAAATTGATTATCAATTGATTTATAATCATATAATCATTGTTTGAGGATTATGATTGATGATGATTCAGAATAGTGATCGAAATAATGATGACAAATCATAATTGTTGATGATCCAGACTTGTGATAACGATCAATGATTGATTATTTTGATGATTGACGTACATGATGATGACAATATACATCGTTAATGAGCGAACAAAGTGGCTCTGAACTAACTTACAATAGCAAAAGAAAGTTTAAAGGAATCATCCATCCAGTCTTGACGATAGGTACAAGACAACTTTGATAAGTAAAAAAGACTTGACAAACCATTAAAGGTCAACAGTCAACAACGTGGTGTTAAGGATCTTTGTTATAAAAAGTGTTCGGTTTTATAACTAGATTTTCAATTATATTCATGAACGCCGAAATTATTGGACTGGAAACAGGAGTTGTCGAAACTTTTGCATGCTGGTTTATGTCAAGAGACAAATGAGTGTGAAGAATTGAACGACGTCTCAGTAGCGACGTAAAGGAGTGGCTTTAGATGTTAGCCATTAGTCATTCTATACCCTCTGTCGATTGACAGTCTATATTACAAGTAGCAAAATGAGCCCTGCTGTAAAATCACACATGGGGGAGGGGGTTATAAGCTGCATTATTTAAGGGAATGGATCGACAGAAACAATTTCAAATGTTGATTGAAAATTGATTGCACAAATCGAGAATCTCTTATATTGATCACGATCAATATTACTTTGAACAACGAACTCAAGAGCTCGATTAATTCCTTATGTTTGATTATGCCTCAAGGTTGAAAAACGCCCACGCGATGTAAACAAGGCATGTGCAAATTTTGTTATTTATTACTATTCTTTCATATAGGTTGCTTTATGTAAGTTTAATTATATTACTAATAGAATATCTTGAAAGGTTGATCAGAAATATAAGACTCAGGCTGATTTTATCTATGGAATTTGGTGTGGTGCAGAGATGGGCCAGCTCATACTTTCTGTAGCATGGTTCGCTTAGTCCCATCTCCTGGAAAAGCTGTAGCGTCTTGGTAGCTATTGTAGTCCTAAAGTAATCCAGTATTATTAGTATTTGTAATATTATATTTGTAATACTTTGATATCGTACCTTGATATTTTATAGTTAAGAAATGTATTTTTGACATTGGTTTACAAAGAAATGATATTATACAAACAATATTCCTGGTAATAGTGCTAAAAATGGACAGCGAGTCCTCATTTGCTAACAAGTCCAAATACACAGTTGTATTTTCGTCAACAAGGGAATGACTTTTTGGTACTTATGTCTAGTTTAAAATATAAATGGCACCAAGGACATGCAATTAACAATTACAATAAATACTTAAAAGTATCAAGCAATTCAGTAAACAATGAACGGAGCGAAACATGGTCCTTATCTTATCTGTGACTGGAGCATGGGGTTTTGATAACAAGTTAAAACTAGTTGCAATGCTGATAAGAAAAATCTCTGTCCAGACAGTCTATACACTGGTCCTAATAATAACCTTTTTTAAACGATAATCAAAACAACTAACCATTCCTTCGCGCAAATCCCTTCAAACTTTTAAAAAATGTTGCTAAATATTAGGAAGTTTTGTTCAAGAGTAGACAATGTTGAAAGATGGATGAGAGGCAGGTTCAAAAGCATGGATGGTTGAAAAAGCATGGAGAGGCAGGTTGAAAATTCTAGAAGACTGTTTCAGCCTGACACGATCTTGAGGTTGAAAACGATAAAGGTGAATGCAGCCCAGTTCTCTTTGCTGAAAATCATTGCGATGCATGTTTTATTTTGTTCAGTGTAACTATTCTATTGTTAAATTATAAGGTTTCGTATCTATTCTAGCAATGTTCTAAATAAATTCAAAAGGAAATGGATGGGTTCGTTGGCTATTTACACGCGGTCAACCTTTGCAACACTATAATTGTGTCACTGTCAAAAAACTTTTCTTTCAATCACAGTTGTTTCCGAAAAAAACACTATAGCGGAAAAAGGGACAGGGGTGAACATAATTTAATACTCGTACTACAAACATTTTAATTTTTTGTGTATGCGACAACACTAGACCTATTAAAGAGCTTTCCAAGAGAATGCTAGTAATAAACTTGCTAAGGAATTTTGTTTTATATGACCGGTTTATGTAAAGAAATCATCATCAAGAATTCTCTACTGTTGCAAATGTTTTATAGGAACAATAGATTATGAGGAAGCCAAACGACTTTAAACTTGCATTTGGACAAACCACAACGTTGGCAAAGAGCAGATAAGAATGAAATTGTTCTATTGAAACTTTCGATTATAACGTACCTCCTTAAAAGAGTATTTGGTACAAAAATGAAAAATGCTCAAACATTTAATTTGGCGAGATTCATTAAAGAATAACAGATTGCACCATTGCATGGTTTTAATGTAAGACTGACATTCACGCCAGCTCTATCATGATGTAAAATGGCCTCTGAATTAAAGTTGAACTTTTCTATAGAAAGCACACGATCAATATGGGAAGTACGGCAACGTATTAAGCTACATGTTGCTCGATCATGCAGCAATAGTTCCAAAGTTACATGGCATTTCAATAGTTTGGTCGAATGTACAAATCTTTGTATCCTCCGATGAGTAGAGAGAGTTATAGGGGCTAACATTGTCAGCGCAAGTTGAAGTGTCAAACTTGATTACAGGATAATTGCCAATTCGGACAGGAACACTCCTACCCTACCCGCAGGAAAATTGAGTTTTAAACAGTTCTCGTTTATAGATTGTTCATAATTGAAGGGCAATTGGTCTTCAAGTAGCTGAATATAAAGCTTTTCGCTAATCTCACCTTTTGCTTATTCTATAATTTGCGAATTCAATTCTGCCTGTTGAAGGGTTGTGTACTGTGGCACGGTTAAGCTATAGAAAAGAAAATACAATAAAAAGAGTAAGATGGCTAGAAAATGAGACAGGAAAGATAAAACAACAAATGCAACAAAGATAAGAAGAAACTGGCTAAACTTTAAGAATTCAGAAATTTGGTTAAATGTGATCCAGTTACAAGGCCATTAAGAGACTTATTTATTATCGATCAATTCCACTTTCAGTCTCACTCCTACATCCTATTATATATGTGCACCACAAAATATTTTACTCTGAAAATCGATTGGCTTATCTTCATAATATTATTATAGCTGAAAACACTGATTGGAATCGATTCAATTTGACGTAGCGAGGTGGACTGAAGAACCCACAAGTAATTAAACTGACCACGAATACAAATGTGTTGTGCAAGCAGCTTTTTAAAAAGCAACTTTAGATCAGTTTGCGCGTTGAAATTTACGTCAAATCGGAAAGGGGGCTTGGTTTGGGGTGGTTTCCACAATGGCCTCTCGACAATTTGCCTGCAATAGGAGCTTAAGTATTCAATAAAAACTATATGATATGATACATATTTAGCAAAATACAAAGTTACATTGTATAAACTGCTAAGCAGCTTTAAAGAGAAATACCCTTGTCCCTCAGTTCTAAACCTTTGTTTTGTGGAGAAGGTAAGGTACCCCATATGATTCAGGGAATGAAGGCAGGGGACTGGGCAACTGACGTCTTTTCATACAGAAGGTAGGTTTCATAATTAAACAGAAACATTTCAAGACAGCAGTCGTCTGCTAAAGTCCACAGATAACGCATAAAGGTTGGAACCGTGTGTTCTTCGGCCTCTTAAATCAGGCTAATTATTCTGATCAGCAACCACAAACCACTTCCTTTGAATGCTTATATTCATTGCGAAAATAATATATCACCTTACTTATACAATTCTGTACCCCTGGTCAGTTATCTAGTACCTCTTTTACTCTATGCTTTCAAACAGCGAAAGAAAAGCTACCACAAGGTTAAAATAAGAAGACCTTTTACTTGAAAGTTTTCATCAAAATCGAACATTCGACAAAAAAACTACAGTATGTTTGTAACAGATTTCAGCTAGAGATGTATGGACAATGGTGGAGGAAAAAATATAGTTTAATAGCAGTAATTCTTTTTACAAGCTGTACAGTATCCTTCTATCGTTGGCAGTAATATGAAATCAATTTAAACCATTACTGTTTATTCCATTGTTCTCGATAACGGGTCAGTGACATTTGAAACTCCCCACCGTATAATCCGTTGTTAGTTTTTGTACCGGTTCTTTATCTACTATGAGTGAACGAATTATTGTTAATCTTTACTTGACTGATATCCACTTGTACCTACCATGGGTAAAGCCAGTTCTTTGATCCTTTGTACTTCGTTGTCACTTAATACAGCTCTAAAGAGCAAGACATCAGGATTCACATACACCCTCTCCACTTTTGCTGGTTTTAACTTCAGCCGAGGGTGCCATGAATCGCACCAACAAACAAGTTTTCGTTTATGTCGTTTGGGCTGAAATGCAGCAGAGAAAACTTGTTTGATTCCGCGTGAATAGAAAAGGTTTATACTACATCCTAGCGATGTAATTTTCATCCTATCGACGTTATACAAAAATATATCACATGATATACAGAACTAGATTCAATGATCATCAAGACTCGATAAAGGCTTTAGGTGCTAATAAAACGTAACTGTATAGTTACGTTAAAAGGACGGAAAATGCCAAGACTTAGCATACATAAGATAGCATACTGAAGGAAATAACATACTGAAGGGAAGGCAAGGTCGTTTTTTTAATTGTTTTGGAATCTGTTCACATCGATACAAAGGATCTCGACTTATGTAGAAAGAAAGAGTTCCTTTTCTCTCTTGGGCTTTTGAACTAGGTGAGAGGTTAACGGTCGCTGATTGGCCAAAAAGAACCAATCAAACGCAACTTTCTACCCTGCACATTGTTTTCGATCCAAATTTGGATATAGTTTTTCTGCTTACTTTCGTTCATTATCCGATGTTTAAACACTTAAGTTTGTCGGGCGAAAAATGCTTCAGTATGCAATGTTTCTGCTAATTCGTGCCATCTTCAAATTTTGCCGTACCAAAAACTTACTGTTGTTTAAAGTACCTAACGTTTTCCAAATCTACAATTTGAGAATACTTGCATTGCAAGGACTGCAAATTGTAGGAAGTTTTGGATCATTAATTCATTAACTTAAGAAAAGTGAGTTGCATCGAAGTCACAGCCTGGTTTTAATAATGCGTTTACTGGGAACTTTGACCAAGTTCTGCTACTTGAATACTCGATATTTCCATAATAGAAAAACGCTTCAATCAATGAGACATTATGCTTTATGAATAAAAAAAGGATACTTTGTCTATGCTTGTCTATAAAAATTTTCTATCGTTTCTAAAAGCAGAATCATTTACTGATGGAAAGAAAAGCTTTTTACCTTAACACTAACCTCAGACTAACCCTGACAAAACTCCTACCTTTTTTATTAGATAATAAACTTTCTGAAAAAGAATATGTGTGGCAGGGCTGATAACCTACAAAAGGTCATCAATAAGATGTAAAAACAACCATTATCTGGGCTGACATCTCAGTAGAAAATACCCTGCAGATACCATGTCTCGGTCTCTACAGTGACTAAGTACATACGTAAACGCACCTAATTTCGTATCAGAAAATGTATGGGAGGTTCTTAACCATAATGGCGGGAGATCAAATATTCTTTAAGCCTGTCAGCAAGCCAGAATATACGGCTCAGAGAAGACCATAGCGGACAACATTCCATTCTGTCCTGAACAGTTTATGGCTTGTGCTATCCGCGATGAAGATGCGTTTGTCTCAATTAAAGACGTGATTAAAACGTGATTATATCCGTGTTCGTATTAGATTAACCTCGAAGTTACAATTTAATATGCATATAAAAAACATTGATGCTAAACTTCTCATATTCTTTCTACACAATAGCTTGCTTTTCTTGCTGTCAAAGTGTTAAAAATTTTGATTTTTAAGGGTATCGCGTCAAATGTATAGAAGCCTACATCTAGTTCTATTTTCTTATCATATTATGTCCTACATTTTTCCTGTCTATATTTAAATGAGGACATACAAACAAAATAGATCTCAGCACATGAGCCATACTGAAATTTATAAAGGTCTTGGCAGGGACGTATTTAGATTCTATGGTACATGTTTGCCCATGATAAGCATAATCTACTTTTGACGTTTCAAAATGCGATGAGATATGTCTGCAACATAGAAGAGGTAGCACTTAATAGAACCCTATTCATAGAACCCAATAACCCTATTCATTTAACACATTCTGGAAGATGACACATCGTGCCCCTTGCCCCACTAGTCAATGACAACGCTATCAGACGGAAGAACCTTTATCATGAAGCATTTCAAGGTTTAGTAGCAACATTAAAACATCATTTATGGTCATACTTACGATTGGCTTCGTCTCCCCTCTGCATAATCTTTTGGCCACCACTTTTTCCAACAAATACCGTTGATAATGGTCTTCGTCATTCGTATAATAGAATTTCGGAAACTTGCGTTTTGTCGCTGCTTTCAGTCTGCTTTCTGAATCTGTCTTTTTATTAAAACTACTCTTTATTCGCTCCTCTGTTCTTTTGTTTCTTAAAGTTTCTTGAAAAATAACCAAGTTTGCTTTTATTCTTTGATTGCTCGGGTCTAATGTAAAGAAGGTAATATAATTTCAGAGTTTTATAGAATGGTCAAGTTTACATTGACACCCTCAAAAAACTTTAAACTGCTTCCTTTAACATACCACTGGAAGGTACATAGAAATCGAATATAAACCATCTTTGCATAATCCATCAGTCCATCTTAGAAACCATTGGTTAGGCAATGCTACCCCCTTCCTATCACATGGAAAGGGATATCGTCCTGTAGCTCTCTACATCCTCCCACCCTAAAAACAGGAGGGGACCAGGATCTAACAAAATAGCTAGAAATTTTTCCTTTACGACGAAGACAAGCGAGAGCTGAACTTTTCTTGTGAAACTTCAACAAGCAAATAAGGAGGTATGTACCAGTTATTAAGGTGGCAACTTAACGTTCATTTATCGTATGCTATGCTGGCAATGAATTCATGCCAATATCTGGTGGCAGGGCCCACTGAAACATGTCGAAAAGAAATCGAAATGTAGTTCCGAAAATCCAGTCTTCAGATTTAAACATAATTTGTCTAAATCAGTCAGACAACAGTAAGCAGTAAAGTAGCAATAATGAATGGCAAAGAGGAAATAATGCAAGCCATATTTTCCCCAGTCTGCTATGTAACAACTAAAGAATGTCTACAGAAATCATACTGCAGTCAGTTCATACTTTAACTGCACGCTGGGCTCAATCTCTCCTACTGTGAATACTGTGATACTGTGATACTGTGATACGGTCGTGGAATACTGTGAAACAATCACTGATGCCTGCACATAAGAAAACTGGTTAACCTACTAAGAGTAGAGGCGTCTCATTAGGGTGTAAAAATGGTTTTATTGCTATTTACTAATGTATTGATGAGGGAGAAGGTTTAGTCCGCAGGTCAAGTTCGAATCAAAGTTGAAAAGGTGTTGGAACAAAATAATACGGAGTTTAATTTCGATTGAAATGCAAACGATGACTAAAAATTTTAATCTTCGAAGAGGTCAGCATTTCTGTTCCTGCTCCAAAAGAAAGCATGTTGTGCGGAGTCTTCATTTGTAAAACGAGAGGAAAACCGAATCCGATTACATTTGAATGCTTCGTTGTTTGCACTTCCACATCGTTACCTCAACCAGAAGGGTTGCTGTGCTATGTCAATAATGATCGTTACAGCTGTTAAAAGCATTTGTACGTTAAAGTTATGTCGTCTCCATAGTCATAATGAGCAGACGAAACTACTATCAGTGGATCTTTAGAGAAACCACGACCGAAAGCCACAGATAGGAATTTGAACGAAGCCTATTAATGTATCGATGGAGAAGATAGTCCTATCATGGACAGGCGCTTAGCAACGAAATGTGTCCTTTTGATTGGCCTACAAGTTACACTTAATACATAAAGACTATCTAATAGGCTTTCAGAGCATAGGAAATAGCGTTAACAACGTACGACCTAATCACATGAAGGGCAGATAACAATCTGATGAGGCTACCCTCTTTGTAATGCAAAGATTGAACAAACGAACAAATACAACTTGATCCTTACTAACCCGAACACAAGTAGATAGAGGGTAAGGTGAATCCTTAAATCGCGGACCTCCCCGGTCAGCAGACAAATAAGTGCTGTTAAAAAATCATTTTCTTCTGAATTCAAAGCCGGTAACCACTAAGCAAATAACAGTTACGTAATACGGACGGTTCCACATGTGTCCGCTATGGACGTTCCATTGTACAGAAAAAAGGGAAAACTAAAAGCGAGGCCCTATACCCTAAAATCAAGTCAGCTTGGACAATAGATTGAATATCCTGAAATGGTCTTAAGTACAGAATGCATTCTTTAGTAAGAAAAATGTCAGGAAAACGCTTAGAAGTTAATCGAGGCCTTAGAGTCAGGAAAACATCACGGCACCACGGCCACTGGCCGGAGGAAGGTTGTAGAAACATAGAGGAATTGAGAAAGGTGACCAAACATTGGAAACTTGAGAAAGTTGAAAAAATCTCACTGCCTTTCTAATTTTGAAATACAGTCAGACAAAAAATCGAAAAAAATATGTTTATAAAACTCTTCTTTCTAATATGAATGTGTTTGCAGAAGTACTTTGAACTGTAAAACTTAGGCATTAATTGTTCATAATTATTATATTTAAATTATTATAGGTTTTTGAACTTATTTTATAGAAGCCTATGACTTTGCACGTCTCAAAAATTTCTGCAATTGAAAACAAACTACAAATTTCTAAAAATGTTTTGCAAAAACAGAATTGCAAGGAGAGGGAATCAAGACCAGTGGAGTACCCCAGTCTTAGGCTTAACTGCAACAGATCCACAATAGCACACACTCTCGCCAATCATTAATACTGATAGGATAATCACGATTACCAATCATAAACAGTAATAGGAAAATCACACTCACCAATCATTAACATTTCTTTACTGTGATTCGCGGCTGATTCGATTTTGCCAATCTACCATATAAACAAAAAAAACGCTCATTAGGAGCACGGGCTAGAGAGTTGCAGCATAAGATGCTGCTAAAAAGATAAAATGTTCTTATAAACAGGAACGTAATACAGAAAGATGAGAATAACCTCAATAAAATCCTCAGTCGGAAAAAAGCACTATCTTTGGTTACTTGATTCAATTAAACTGAAGGAACACATTCTCACTTTACGGCTGTGGTGTGCTCTAAAAAGTGTCGCCATATAAGCTCAAATAACTTTAGTTTTATTCTCTCAGAAAAGGCTGAAATCTAGAAAACTTGGAAAAACTCGTTAAAACTAACACATGGGCAACGTTATCGGTATTCTATCTTTCTGGAGCAGATTGACCAAAAAAGATACTTTGCAAAGCGACATATGAGACAGATACTTGAGGCGTATCCCCTGCAAAGAGCGTCTTCTCTCAAAAGTGCCTATCTGTTATACCTAATGACGAATTCGGACGAAATTAAGCTATTCTACCTCCTGCTCGGCAAAAGCTAAGTAATCGAGAACTTCAAAGCGAGACGGAGCCTTGCCCTGCGTCCTTCCAATTCCCAACAATCGCAGCGTCTCCCTCATCCACAACTCACACTCAACGTAATCCTCCTTCATGTATGCTTCTTTTCCAATCGCAAATGTATCATCAGCACTCATTCTTGTAGATGAAGGGACATCTGGGGCGATCCCATCTGAAATGGTTGCAGGGGGGAGATCGTAGGTCTGCTGTAGTCGCATCAGCGCCATTTGGGCACCTTTGAAGTCGTCTTCATTTGGGAAAAGGTTTCTGTGGTGTTGAAGGCTCTGAACTAACGCTGCCAACGAAAAGTAGAGATTATTACAGCTCTTGTTAAAAAAGCAGAAGTATTCTAATAAAAATCAACAAAAGAAGAATTCACTGTTACCACCAGTGGAGTACCTTGACCGGTCATTGCTTTCTAGCCTATAACAAGACTAGGGGTTTGAGGGTAACGAAAAGTCAATCCTGACGACCTTCTTGCTCTACCTGCCGTCAAGCAAATTAAGCAATAAACTAACGATTTTGCCGACCAAATCAACCAACCAATGAAAAACTGGAGGGATCACAAACCTTTAATCCCAGTCAGAAAAGGTTTTTATCTTTATATTATCCCGATGGGAAGATGTATTCTTATTCATTTTATTTCATTTTATCATATTTATACACAGAAACCCTATCAGCTACTAAGTTAAAAAAGAAAAAGTAAAAATTAATTTATATATAATGCTAGTCTTCCTAGGGATCGGTCTTTGGGAAAGGATGCTAATTTTGTAGGAATTCCTTTAATTTCTTTTTGAACGTGGTTATCGTGGAGCATAGTCATAGTTTTATCTATGACCATGGCAACAAACCAAACTCAGGTTTTGAAATAGTTGGAGGGTCATGATAGCCAACCTTCTGATAGAAGATGGTACCTGATGATGACGATGAATCGTGGAGCTCATTCTTATCTGTAATGGAATCTCGTTCCACGTCTGTGCACCACAATAGAAAAAACTCCTTTTGGAGAATTCTAGGTTTTGCCTTGGGATGTCTAGGTGAAGGCAATTTCTTGTTGAATAGTTAGATATTTGGGATCTTGTTACAAGTCTTACTTTCGAATTTTCAGGGCAGAGACCATTTATTATTTTGTAGATCATTACTGCCCTGTCAAATTTGATACCGAAAGCCGATTGCAGCTCCACCCGTCCTTTAATCTTGAGCCTTCTATTAGCGTGCGCACTCTGTTTTGTAAACGCTCGATGATCGAGCTTTGTATTTGACAATTTGCCCCATAAATCATCACTGTATCTCAAATGGCTCTCGAGCAGCGCCTTATAGACCTGATCCAGTTTCGATTGCGGGAGTATGTTCTTTAGTTTCCACAGGGACGAGAGTGTATTTTTTATTTTACCTTCAAGGTTTTTATATTGCTCATTCCATGTCAAGTTTCGTCGACCGTAATTCCTAGGTATTTTACCTTTTGAGCTCGTTTGATTGGCTCTCCATTTACATTTACTTCTAGTGGGCCAAGGATACGGTTGGTTTGTCGTTTATGACCAATAACCATATATTCTGTTTTTTCAGTATTCAAACTAAGCTTATTCTGACGTAACCATTCTGCAATATTGTCTATCTCAGCTTTTAGATCATTACAGAAATCGTAGATATTTTCGGCAGAACAGGTGACACTGGTATCGTCCGCATACATGTTTGAGGTGCATTTTTTGAGGCACTGCTCAAAATCATTGACATACAGGATAAGAGGAGTGGCCCCAAGCACGATCCCTGGGGGATACCGCAGTGAACAGTTTTTAAGCTTGATCTATGGCCATTTATTTGACAGTATTGTCTTCTGCCGGTGAAATACGATGTGAACCACCGAAGAGATGCCCCTTCCACTCCGTATTTGGTTAGTTTCAAAAGAATAATCCCGTGGTATCAAACGCTTTTTTAAGGTCGAGAAATACGCTTATTTTAATTCTATGCTTGTCAACATTAGAAAACCATGAATCTGTTATGTTCAATAGCGAGGTCAGGGTTCTATGCGTCTTTAAGAATGCATGTTGACTTTCAGCAAATTTCTTTTGCTCTTTCATGCAAGTCGAGACTTGATAGCACTGATATAGACTTATAATTGCCCATATCACTTTTAGAACCAGATTTGAAAATAGAGGTTACCCTTGCTATTCTCCTTGTGTCTGGAAAAATACCCATTTTGAATAAAGAGTTGAATATAGCAGCAAGTCGCTTGCATAAAATTTCTGCTGCGTCCTTCACAAACTGAACTGAAAATCTTATCATAACCCGCTCTCCGCTTTCCTCTCTCCCAGTCTCTATTGTCGAGACTCAAGAATCAACAGTTAACCATTGTACTTCATTGCAAACAATTTAAAACCCATTTTTTCTTGGTGTCTAGTTTGTTTGATTATGAAAGCATGGAAGAAAATCGGACTAAAAATTATAAACGAGACTCGGCATCACTCTAAGCAATTGCACACACTTTAATTTATAATAGTTTATAAAAATATTGAGGCTCAAAATTGCTAAAATTCAAAAATATATTTAAAAAACGAAAGGCTCAAATTTCGCTAGAATTGAATTTTTTTATTAACTCTAGCTTTTTTGCAGGTTTTCAAGCTAATTAATTGTTTTTAAACAACTAATTGCAAAGAAGTCTGATTTTCGTGAGATCTGGAAGAAAATTCAAATTCATGCAAAGCAAAGAAAAACAATATCGAAAATTTTCAAGAATATCGAGACCCAGAAAAAATTAAGGCATCAAAAAGTGAAATTTTGGCATTTGAACCGCTCTGAACCAGAATGCTGTGAGCAAGAATGGCCCAGAGCTGGGTTTCTTATATCAAGAACTCGAGGTCAAATTTTTGTAATCCGGAAAGACACTGTACCGGACCCTGGAAATTATGGAATTCACAACTCAACTGCCACACCTGCAAAGAATAGTCTGTACAAATGACGAGTATTATGAATCATACCAGAGTAGCGAGTCAACCCTCACCTTACTGTCATCAAATAGGGTTTGTACACTTGCAACTTTGGGCGACGAAATTGTCACTACAAACGAACAATCCTATAACTAAGTTTCCTTACATTTCGGAAAGTATTGTAGATCTTAATCAAGAAAAAGAAACGAGTCTAAAATAAAACATAAAAAGACACCTAATAGGCCGATCCTTTTGAAGGATTACAAAAATAACTTTTCAGAAAATGAACCTTTATTTAACTATATACATTGACAAATTTTTTTTAATCCTTGCTTCAATGCAAATAAATGAGATTGGTACTAAGAAACTGCCTATGGATCTTAGTGGATTATTGTCAACAGAGAAAATACGTAAGCGACAAATGACATTTGATCCTGATTCATGGCAACTCCTAGTGCTAAAGGTACAAAGTTCATAGACAAAACATTCCAAAATCAGGTGTGAATCTTAGCAGAAAAATGAGCCAAAAGAGCTAAGACAGGGCCAGGGCTTTGGTCAACCAACCGATGCAAATATAAGCACCCTGCAATGACTTTTTAAGAGGAAATGGCTAACATAGCACCTTGGTGACCATGGGCGTAATGTGTTGAAGAAATTGTATATACTATTTCTATGAATAGTATATGTGGAAGAGCAATACATGCGGAAATTCCTAGTTTGCACTAAATATCAAAGGCGATAAAATCCTCCAGGACGAGATCATTCGTCATGCATTTTTTTAATATCCTGTACTTTATCAATATCATGAGTAGCTACTATATAAACATAAGGCCGTTGAACATCGGCTATTTTTTTATGAAATGATTGACAAAAGTTCGATAAAACAGAAAAATGATACAAAACTTCTTTTGCTACTATCTACTCAGCTGCCTAAGATTAAAAGTCATACTTTTATATAAAGGTTCAATGTGACAGTAAAACCCGAGTGCCCTGTATATGAGCAAAACATCTGGGGTACCAGACAACATTTCTGCAAAACTGAGAAAAAACAGTCAATAGAATGTGCTATTGCTACGCGAAAGGGATCTAGTGCCAGTCCAACGTGTCTCTTGCTTTATTTAAAAAAATTAAAGGGCCATCCTTGTTTACCACAAAGGCATCCGCCCAATTTCACCTTCCTCTTCTCCACAACACTAATAATTTTCGAACTACAGAAACTTTGAAATGGCATTGAATAATACTATACGAATATCAGATCCTCCATTCTAACAGCTCAATTTCAAGGGTGAAATTGATGCATTGAAATTTAATGCAATTAGCCTTAATGCTGCATCTGTGGGTTGTAGATAAGGATAGCAACAACAAAAATTCCCTTCTATAAAATGCAATTGAAAGAGTTTGGGATTTCAAAATACATGTCATGATCTCGAGTGCAAATATCGCTTCCTTAGATGTGTTACAAGTATAATCGCTAACTAGAGTGCAAACAACTGCGTTCCTCTGACAACCAATTAGTGGTTAACAACAATGAATAGATGGAAATACGAATTAAGCACTTCGTGAAGGCGGCTTAAATACTAGCATAAAGGGCTGTCTGGAAGATGAAAAGGTCGGGAGGGAAAGACTTAGCTTTAGGGGCCTAACTGTTTATCGTGTGAATTATCTGGAGTAATAGCTTGGAAGATTTGAAAGTCTTCAACAAAAGAAAATGGCTGCATTTCATAAAAACAAATTAGTTCATTTTGAATTTTAGCATTTTTGCCTTGTTTGCCGTCCAGCGAAAAATCGTCAAGATAATATGGAATATTGGGCACATCGATAAGACGACAAATTAATCAATCCCAACTTATGTTTTTTCATAAAGCACTTCTGATTATATCAGCGTCAGGTGGTGCGTTACACTATCATTATAATTGCCAGTGTCCTAATATATGACACATGGGCCTCTAGGAAACAAGTCCAAGGGGTTGAAGAAAAAAGGGTGGTCAAATTGATAATTGCCACCAGATGGATTAATCAAGAGGGCTTTGAGTTTAAATCTTCCTTTTTAAACGCTCATGACATGAGCAGGAGATCGATGACATAATTGATTATCAAATTTTTAGAATTTATCAAAAGATTTTTTGTAGAAATACAACGCAAATATAGAATTATCTTCGGCAAGGGAGGGCTTTTAATCCTAGACATTGAGTTACAGTCAAAAATAAAATTTAAGTTGGAAACATTTTACTTTCCAGATGAATTGCTTGTTGAAACAAGTACCCGAGTAGAAAAGGCACTATGTTATGGTGTTCAGCTTACAAACAACAGAAAAAGACTCAAAATACACCAGAACACTGGAGCACATTTTAGAGAGTGGGGGGGGGGGGCTCTAGAAAAATTGGCAAACTTTTGTTGTAGTTTTCCCTATTATCTCTGATGTCACTCCCTGAATTTCATAGTTTAGCAAAAAAGTGAAGGGGGCTATAGCAAAAAAAGTAAGGGGGCTATAGCAAAAAAGGTGATGGGGCTTAAATGTGCTTGATAGAGCAAGCTGGGGGTGATGGGACATACTCTAGTAATAGTTATCCCAAACCAGACCCTTTGAAACTTTCACATGAAAATCCTTTGATAATCTTTAACATATTTTCATGGTCTGTACAAAGAATTTCCAGTATAATGTGCAAACAAATACAGCAGAAAGACAAAAACAACAAGGCTGTGATGAAAAATTACTATGGAGTATGGAACTTTATCTCCACACCTCAAAAACTTTGTTTATAAAACAAAGAAACAAGCAAGGCTTCCATTGCTAGTTAACAGATTTTGACAGTTTTCTGAGACAAAGTGACAGGGCCAAGGATGTAGAAACCAAGGGGCATCAGGAAACTTCTAAAAAGGGCATACAAAATTTGACAATTGACATTTGGTGGAGAAAAGTTGCAAAACTGAATAACTTTCATTCCAAAATGGGTGTGGTCACTGTCTCTTTCACTTTTCAGTTGTTTGCACACCTTTGATTTTTGAGATTTTAGCTTATTTGCAAATTGCAGGCCTCAAATGTAAGCCAACAGCAAGTCTGTAGATTTTTAGATCCCAAAGATAGGAATGCATTTGTATTCTTTGGTTTACCAAAATAGAGACACACTTATCTTGGTGGTTCCAGAACTTGAATGGTTAAAATTGCTTTCTTCTACAGCTCACCTATGAGCCAAGTGGAGTAGATGGAAAGTCCTTTTTACCCCTAAATTGATCTTGCAATGTTGTAGAAAAAATTTTTGTTGTAGAAAAAACATTGATAGGCAGAAGAAAGGGTGTGCCATTTTGAAATATGAAAACATATATACCTCAACATTTATAAATTTTCCAAAAACCCTACCCCAAAACTAAGATACCATATGAAATGCATACCCTTGAATTTAATTCAAATTTTAGATTAATTATTAGCGCCCAAAATTGAAGCAAAAATTCAATAACACAACCAAGTAAATGAAAAAATATATCAACCTTGCCTTTAAAAATGATACCCAAAAAAATCAAAGTCATGCTGAAAATCAATACCAATATTTATGACCAAAATTGATTTAACAAAAATTGATACCCCAAAATGTATTTTCTCCTTAGAAAAAGGTTCCCCAAAAATGACCCACAAGGAATAAAATTGTCTTGCCATAACATGAACTTCTCAGAATTTCAGAAAAGTCTAAATAAACCTGATTTAAAGAAATGAATAATATTGAGTTAATTTTCAAAATAAAACGGCCTTATCATGTTCGTCGCAATATCGATGTCCTTGCCCTTGATAATAATGTCCAGTCGACCTATAATTAACAATGTCAAACACAGCTAAATTCTTTTTAAATTAATTTGGCGCATGACACATCCTATCAATTCTGTCGAACACGAAATCGCACTCTACCCTTGACAATAAGAAACTAAATTTCCTCCGATAGTCTTAACTGTATCTTCAATCATTGTAATTCACTTTTCGTCTTAACATAAGAAAGTTCGATAGACAAAACATTGCATTCTCGAATCCGCAAACAAGATTATGCTTAATCGCTCTAATCATGTAAAAAATTAAATGTTTTGCCCTCTTGCGATAAAATATGATACACTATCTTTCCCTGAGTGCTATTACAACATTGATTAAAATTAAACCTAAAACATTAGCTGAATGCCTGGGGGCGACATCAGATAGCTCTGGAAACTTCGAGAAACTTTCGGTAACAAAAATTTATTGATCATCCTAATCGTCTCAAACAAAACAACGGGATTTGAAAAATTAGAGAAAGTCGTTTCAAGTTTCAAACTTTGGCAAAGCAGCTATTTTATTCAAACAGGGGATAATATAAGCAAATAATCAATAAACACAATTGCAAAGTTTCAACAGAAACGTTACCTTTTGAAAAGTCGATTTCAATTAACTGCTCTATAGATTCGAACTCCAGAAGCCTCCTTAGCATGCGATAACTTTCGATTGGATTCCCAACATATTTCTCCACTTCAATTTTGTTTGTAAAATTCAACCCTAGCAAATGTGACGATGCATTGTAAACACTCAAAATCCTGTCCAACCTTTCCTGTTCGTTTGCTATAAATTTATCCAAATATTCGGTCAGCTTTCTTTCAACGTCTACCAAAGTTTTCAAGTGGCTTATAGCAGTGAAAACTTCACCAGAGGTCCATGGTTGCAATAAAAACGACAAAGTCACCAGGAAAATTATGTTGGTAGTAGTAGCAGCCGCCATGCTCAATAATCGCTGGCTTCTGAATCGTGTGGATAAATCACACTTCTTCTATAATCTCTTTTTACATCAGTGAACAATCGCACTGGAGTATTATCGAGTCAGCAATCCATGGCTAATAGACAAAGCCATCTAAAAGGCCTTGATTTCCGTATTAAATTCACGACGCTAGGCTTCCTTTTTGAAAGCAACGGACAGAGAAAAGTCTGCGTTGGTTAGCAAGGCTTTTCTTTTCTTGACACCTCCTTTCCCAGTTAATTTATTGACCTCAATTGTGACATTTGGACTGCGGTCGTGTTTCTTTTACCCATGCTCCATTCAACGCACGTTGAAACAACAGGGTTTCCCGGAGAGTAACAACTGGAATTACAATGGATGTGTAAATTACAGTTTAGGCAAACAATCGGTTTTGTTTACATTCACACTGAAAGCTGCCACAGATGATCGGTAGAAAGATCGGTTTGTAAAACAGCCGAGATCAAACCACCGAAAGCCTCCCTATCATATATTGTTTTTTTCGACCGGGTAGCTTTGGTCTGATGCAAGACTGGCCTATGCTTCTAATCTGACAAATTCCAGGTAAAGAACAGGCTAAAAACAGTTCTCCACTGTGGAATAACAACGGAGGCGTCCAGCTCACTCACTTTTTAGAGACATTTTACTCTTCATTAGAGTCTCCTCATTCTTCAGAATGTTGATCTTCAGAATGTTGATCTTCATTGCAGGCCAAGTTTGGTCGAGCCTACCTACATAACCATCATCTTGCTCTAATCGGAGATGCTGCTTTCAAACAACACTTCTTATCACAGAACAATCTTTTTTCTTCTTCTTTCTTTTCTTGTATCCGTTCTTTTTCTAGCCTCACTGAAAAACAATCTATCCAAATTTTTGAAGCCATGGTGAGTGGAGTTGGAGTGGAGAAGCCATTCATCAAGACAAATACGAGGCTTGAGGTAGTACGCCATCGCAGTGACTGTTAGAGTGTATTATGATATTTCCCAAAAAGAACACGATGCTTCTACAATATACAATCCTTTATATAGGAATAAAGTCTATAAGAATATAAAGGCTGACAATAGCTGAGAATAATTTAAGAATAATGTAAGGCTCAAGTTTCATCAAGAATTAATTTTATTTGTTAATTCAAGTTTTTTTAGAAAGGAAACCAAATGCGTAATTTGTTTTGCAATACACGTATCTTACCTAATCGATAAAGTAGAATCCATCATGAATAAAATGTATAACACCGGCACAATACCAAACAGCCTGTCTAGATCAATATTTATTACATTGCCGAAAAAAGCAGGCACCACAAAATATGAGCTACATTATTAGTCTAATGAGCCACATTACGAAATTAATGCTGAAGATCCTAATGAAAAGAATGGAAAGACCGATAGGGCAAGAAATTGCAGATGTACAATGTGGATTCACTGAAGGAAAAGGAACTTCTAACGCGCAATTATTCAACATGCGCAATTTGATTGAACGAAGTATTGAGGCCGAAAAGGATATATTTTTGTGTTTTATTGATTACTCAAAGGCGTTTGAGAAAGTTCGACATGAAAAACTGTTTGCAATACTTGATAAACTTGATATCGATGGGAATACTTTGCTATGGATAAGAAATCTATAAATGGGAACAGATTGCTGCAGTTGAAAATCAATTGAGTGATTGGATTGAGACCAAGTGAGGTGTTCGGCAAGGCTGTGTTTTGTCGCCGGACTTGCTTTCGTTGTATAGTGAAATAATCTTGAGGGAAGTCGAAGATCTGCATGGAATGATTATAAATGGACGCAATGTGGACAACATCAGATATGCATATGCAGATGGTACTGTTTTGATTGCTGAGACAGGAAAAGATCTCCAACATATTCTAGATAAAAGAGAGTGAGTCCTTGGGGTTGGTATTGAATGCGAAGAAAACATACTCGATGACAGTATTAAAGAAGCAAAGTCCACCGACATGTACACTTAAAGCAAGTGGAATCGATACAAAACACGTCGAAAAATTCAACTACTTAGGAAGCTTTTTAACATTTAATGGCAAATCTGATTGTGGGATATAGCAAAGAACTCTATTAAGTCAAGAGGCATTCAACAAAAAGAGATCTATTTTAACAAGTTCAAACATTACCATGTCAACGAGACAGAATCCTAAATTGTTATATCTTGTCCGTCCTTATATATGGATGTGAGACATGGAGTATCTCATCTGTTATGCAAGGCGTTTGGAGACAACAGAAATGTGGTTTTTAAGACAAATGCTAAAGATTTTATGGACTGATAAGATATCAAATGAGCGAGTACTCACATTTGCTAACGTGCAGCGAAAATTGTTACAGACCATCAAAAACAGGAAAAAGACATTTTTGAGATATGTTATGGGGAGAAAAGGCATAGAAACCTATCGCTAACCGGAAAAGTAGAAGGTAAAAGAGCAAAAGGCAGACAGAGAATGACGTATTGAGCAACATCAAAGAGTGGACAAACAGGACAAATGGAAATGAACTCATTCAAGCATGTCAAGATAGAAAAGATTGGAGGAGCATGATCGTCAACGCCTTAGCGCATGATACATAAAGAAGAAGAGAGAAGAAGTATCTACCCCAGCCATTAACACTATAATGTATCTCAGTCGCAAACATTTCACCCAACATTTCAGCCAATACGCTCTTTTCGCATGTTGGCTCAAATGTTGGGTCGTTTGGCCACCATGTTGGGTCACCCAACATTGTTGGAAAAGATGTTGGCTGAATTGTTGGACCGATTTGAAACTGGTCAAAATGTTGGCGGCTGTTGGAAGGTAATTAAAATAATCCCAATTGTTCAAGGTGTTGTTTGGCGTTGTTGGCTCGTTTGGCCGGGCTGCCCAACATTTGTTGGCTTCACGCAAGCGCTGTAAACAATTTACAAATGTGAATAGCGCTGCGCGCCAAGTTTGAGTTTGTGAAGCAGAGATCAAAATTGTAAGAAAAAGGGCGTAGAATTGATTTGGACGACTGAAGAAAATTTGATAATGGAAGAGTACTAAAAAAGAGATTTAGTGAGTAAAGATTAGTACGACGAGGCCGTAATGGAAATGAATACAGTTTTGGGGAAAAGAAAAGCGTTGCTTTCAAGATCAGGGATTGCAGGCTTAGGTCGTCTTGGACTCAATCCTAGTATCCCAAAAACGGTTGTGCCAAATGTTGGGTGAATTGTTGGATCGTTTGGCCAGCCTTCCTAACAACTCCCAACATTGTTGGGGAAGATGTCGGGTTAAATGTTGGGCGAAATGTTGGCTCGTTTGGCCAGGGCCTAAGAATAATCTTAGGCTCAAAATCTTAAGAATTTCAGAATATTGAGGCTAAGCAAATTAAGTATTCTTATAATAAATGTGTGTGCTGTAGGTCCCAAATCTTTAATTGGCTAAGATTTCTGATTACGTTCGAATTCTCCACCGGTTATGGCCTATTTTTCACGCATCGCAGCTAGATTATAGCCTATTTTTCACGTTTTTGCCAACCCCAGAAAAAGTATACTTGTAACCGAAAAGGCTAAGGGACTAACTTTTAGGAAACCTTAATGAAGATTTTCTTATAGTTTTCACAAAATTATTCAACAAAATATTTGACTCAGCAAAATTTTCAGAGGAATGGGCAGTAGGCGTGATAGCTCTTTTATCAAAAGGTGGTGAAAAATCTGATCTTGATAATTATAGGGTGCCATGAGGTTGAGAAAAAGTAATAAGACGTAGTTTAACTTAAACTAGGCCCTAATCATCGCATAATCAATAGTAAATCAAAAACAACTACGCTTTAAGTTTGAACTAAATAGCAGTGTGTTCTTTGTTGAATGTCAACACAACCTGTTCAGTTATTTCTAAGGAAGATGTCAAGTTGACATTCAAGTTTTTAGTAATTTTGGCAAACTTTTCCTTTGTGTCCTTCTTGAAAGAGTTATGGGATATAGGACGGTTACAAACTTTTAAGCAAAAATTGCTTACCGAAAAGGGCATCGAACTTCTGATCATCTTTTTACATTAAACTCCATTGTAGAAGAAATTTTAGAGAGAAAAAATTCGACACTTGACGTATGCTTTGTAGCTTTCAAAAAGGCATATGACTCTGCTAATCACACCTTATTGGTTGAAAAGTTACTCGATATTTGTATCTCAGGTAAATTTCATAAAATGATTACAACATTTAAGGCCGATTTCCATTTGACATTTTTTGTGCGCGCGGGCGTAGCGCCCAAATCTGAGCATGCACAGTTAAAATCAAGTGTTCTCGATTTTGCGTCCGCTGTGAGAGCCAGAAAGTTGAGACCCTATGTTGTTTAAAAACAAGCGGAGCTTTCTTCTAAGACTAGATTATAATTTACATTTCTTGTGAGGCCTTGGAACCAATGGTAGATGTTGTGATGATCAGTGGTGTAGTGCTGTCAAAATAACAAGGGCGCTCTAACACAAAATGTTGCGAAAAACAATAGCAAAAGTAAGAATTTACCAATTTTTGGCATCAACAAGCCCCCCTGAGCCCCCTAGCTTTACACACCTGGTTATGAAGCTGATTATATTGATAATAATAACAATCATGATAAAATTGGTAGACATTTATGTTGATGGTACAACTCCATCTAGCCCCAGTGTGCAATGTGTAGAATGACATCGTTTTTAAAAGGACGTCCTTTTTGGATAACGTGTAGTTAAAATGGATGATCTGGCACATTGGTTGAGTAGACTGAAGGTGCTAAACAGATTAGAACTGATACTCGAGAAATCGATTTTCTTAAGATGTTAAGTCTGTTAACCTTGGTAAAAGCAAGGCCACATCCAATTTAGTCTTGTCTTGTGATAAAGGGCTGCTGTTGGATTTCATTTTTAAGTCTAGTAACGTCTCAATTTAAGACTGCTATGGTACTGATAACAGGGTGACAATAATGTCTTCTTTTAAAAAGGCTTTAAAATGTTTACTGACAAATTTACAAGTTGCGCCTTGGCTGTCCTTCGCAGTGGAAAGCAGTGGCGTGGTGGCTCCAAATTTGCTAAGGGGGCACCAATCCATTTGAGCGAACAAGCAACCGGTTGCTGGGTCAGGCAATTAACCCCATTTCTGAATGCAATAATAAAAAACCAACTGTCTATACAAAATTGCAACTTAACATACCAATAAAGCCTGGTTCCCACTTGGTCGTTTGGGTCGTTTGGGTCGTTGGAAAATACCCAAACGACTGAAAAGACACAGTGGGAACGGACCTGTCAACGACCCAAAATACCCGAAAGACTCAAACGACAGATGTCGCAGAGATAGAAAAAATCTCCGCGACCCAAAATACCCACGCATGAATGATTTTTGCAAGTGGAAACCGACAAACGACTCAAACGACTCAAACGACCCACGCTTTAGTAACTTTTTCTTCAAGAATAGGAGATTTTATTGTAACCGCGTGTTTGACTAGAACAAGAACAAGATAGCTGAATATTTCACAGAAAGCTTTATGGAAGAAGTTTATGCAAGCTATTGCACTGAAATTTAGTGATCTAACATCGTCGTCTGTACAAAGTCACCAGAGGTGGAAATAGTTGACTTTGCAACATCAGTTGTTGTTTATCAAATGCTACCATCGTTCCTTCCACGCATGCCGCCAAAATTAAATGAGCGATGCATGGTGCAAGCCATGAAAAGCATCAACAACAAACGACTCGAAAGACTCAAACGACCAAGTGGAAACCAATGTGTTCTTTGGGTCGTTCGTGTCTTTCAGGAACGACTCTGACGACTCAAACGACCCAAACGACCCAAACGACCAAGTGGGAACCAGGCTTAAGAAATCATTCAAAGATTTTCTATCTATATATGTCAAACTTTGTGTACATTTTCATGTATATAAAGCTTGCAATGCATTTAAATCTGTCAGTTTTATTCTCTCTTCTTCTTCCGGTTTAGCTGTTAATGGCTGACCTCTGGTGAGCAACTGTTCTTAACAGCTTTCTTTGTGTTATATGGTTCTTGGCTGTATCCCAGCTCAAACAATGAGGGAGAGGGGCGGTTTCGCCCCTGAGCCCCCACCATAACATCCCTGGTTATACCATATTTAGAAATAATTCGTGGTGTTTTATTGTCGCAACTCGCCAATTCTAAATGCCTCGGACGTTTCTAGAGATTTATTAAAGCTCTTGTGTTCAAGGCAATGTCAGGAACATTTCCTTGAGTAAGATAGAAGCGAAAATAACGGATGAAGGTCATCAATCAATATAACTCTAATAAAAGGGAAATCGGAAAGAATTTTAAGCAAATAAAAGGACATTTTTGCAAAAAGTGGAAGCACCTGGGAAAGAAGTCTTCATACTCGTTCATATTGAAGTATGCACCTCTTTGGAGCGCAGCTATTTCGAGTTGCCTTTTACCAGCACTTTAGTTTTCAACGGGCCATTGGGGCCCCTTTTCTCTGGTCGCTGGAGGGGCACGCCAGTGGTGGAAAGGAAAGTCTGTACGGCACAGGCCGGAATTGTGAAAGGTACACTGATATCATCTGTCCATGTAAACGTGTTAGTGCTTAGTGTCTTCACCTTTTACGGACTCGAAGTTTATATACCAAAGGCTAAAAACCGCGTGTTAGAAACAAAGTGTACATAGGTATTTAAGTAACATAACAAAATTGTAACATAAGGGTAACATAAGATACAGGGGCGGATTCAGACGGTGGCACCGGTGGCACGTGCCACGGTCAGATTTCCAAATTTAAATTTTTGGAAAATAATGGACTGTTCTAAGTATCCCGATATGGTCCTTGCTGTCTAACACTTCCTCTTCGCTCCAGCGTCTATTTACCACGCCCCCTCTCCGCTGTTAATTAAGTAGTACGCCATGTTGGATTTGCTTATTGTTTGCCTTTTGTTAACCAAAAAATAATTGGCTCTACCAAATAACAATCGTGCCACACTAGATATAAATAGAAGTATGCGCGCACATTTTTAAACAATATGTTTTGAGACCAAATGGCTGTGCTTTTGTTCTTGTGCCACGGTCGAGGCTCTGTATGCTTCTGTTGAGACCCGAGAAGTGGCACCGTGGCACAAATATTTAAAAAATGTGCTGTCGAGTATGAACTTGCTTAGGTGATTCCGGTGATTGCTGGGTAAACAAACAAAACGTGTTCGGTCTGCAGGAAACTGGCGATTCAGCACGCAAGAATTTTATTGAGTTCGAATTTGAGTTTATTGCAAAGATTACCTTGGCTTTGGCAATGGATATTCAAAGAATAGTTGAAAAATCTATTAAATCGCGAGTCCATGCAGCTTTGAAGGAACTTTTCGTGGACGAGCTGTCGAAGCTTCGCAAAAGTATGCCTAGTTTAATTTGTCAATAATTTGATCTGGCTAAAGATAAAGATAATTTTATCTGTGAGTTGTAAGAACTAGCCATTATTTATAAATTTTTAAATGTATATTATTTAAGTGCGTCCAGTGACTGGCTTACATCAGTTTGCATCGTTATTTGTTTGCAAGTTGAAAACATAGAGCCAGTATTGTTTAATGATAAAACGACAGGAGCGGTGACAGCTTTGCGCTAAATGTAACTATGTTTTCGCTATAAAAGCTATACCCATCTCTGTATGCTCAGACTGGGCGTTTCCGAAAGACCAGAGGGCGTGGTCACCTAACACTATTCTTGTGCCACGGTCATGATTTTTTCTGCGTCCGCCCCTGCAGATAAAACACCCAATAATCTTTGTCAATTGAACAGGAAAAAGGTGCCTGATCGTCGAAGAAAGAACCATTTCTATCTCATTTTTAAACTAAGGATTTTCGAGGAGTCTCTCAAGATTTATGACGATCAGTCCGATGGTTTTCTATTATTGGGGGGCTTGCCAAGGTTTCTGTTGGCAGTTTTCTATCAAAATTGAGTGTAAAGTAACAATCACAATTCTATTATTTGACTATTCTTCATGGCCTTGAATTTCTGAGCGATGGAGGATTAAAAACATAAAATTAGGAATTAAGGTCAGATTGATGGAATCATTTAAATATTTCAAAAGCTACACGTTATTTTTTCAAGTTCCACCAATGTTGACTTGATGGATTTTGATGAAACCCACTCCCATTTAGCCGTATTTAATGCACAAAATGTAGCCGACGATTCTATGTTTTTCACCCATCAAGGTTTTTTGAGAGACGGGTGTTTTTGCAAGGAAGGGGATGCCTTTTCAAGATTGGGCGCTTTTAATGGGAAATACGGTATGCACACCTCTTTGCATTTGTAACTTTCTATAACAGGGCTGCTCTGTTGTAGGCAGTGATAATGATGTTGAGACATTTTAGAGGGAAGTGTCTCTGCTGGGATGTTTTTTCCCATTTCACCTGTAGGGGGATCCTTTTGTTTGAGTTAAGGCCATTAGTATCTGAGTACCTCTTCTGTACACGCTTTTTTGTAAGGAACCACCCTATCGCCAATAAAAGAAAGGCATAACAAACATTAATGTCTAAAAGGACAGACACCTGGGTTTTGTAGATGTCCTCTATGTTTCTGATGCACACCTTGACTATGAGGCTGAGGTAGTTCAGAAATTATCTTGAAACTCCATCTAGTGGTGTACCACCAAAAAAGAATTTAAGCTGCCTAAATGGTTTAGTTTTCGTTGCACTACCTTTCTCTTCACGCGATGCTCGTAGTATCCATCTCAATAGCAACATAATGGGTGACATTAAATGGTTTTTCCGTCGACAGAGATTTGATCCGGGCCTCCTAGTGTTATTTTAACGAGTCTATAAGCCGTGTTTGCTAAAGAATTGTGAACTTAGTTTGACCTCAATCGAAATTCCACGCATCATTTGGATCATAACAGATTAGATACTCTGGCAAAAGGTTTCGAGATATAAAACAGCAAGTGAACCTTGTTTGTACGACGAGGATTGTCCATTAGCTTCTGGTTCCATTCCTAGACAATTCACATCAAATTTCATTCGAAAAGCCTATCCAATTTTCCTTTCCATTATTGACTGAAGTTAATTCGACCACAGGCCACGGACACAAGATATAAAGAAATTGTCAGTTTCGATACTTTAATAGACTTCATTCTTTCACAATTTACCTCAATAAAAGAAATAAAATCGTCTAAATAATTGATCTCTAAATCACTCTTAATATAGTACATGCAATGCGTAAGAAATGATTTACTATATTTTGCATGATAGATTCGTTAGATTAAAATTGAAAAATATTTCGTCGTTACTCAGATTTTCATGCTTGTGCATTCATCAGACAGATTATCTAGAACTCTGTAAGTCTGTGTAACGTATTTCAGATTTGGTTTGATCTATGTATAATATGATTTTCATTACATGTTTAAACGATTGTCTTCTTGCAGTAGATTTCTACGTTCTCACGCGAACCTCCCCTCCTAGACTTGGAACCTATCCATGTATAACGTCACAACCATTGTTCAGACAAGGGCATCTAAACATTTTGAACTATAAGTCGAACATGAAAGCTTCCATTAAAGAACTTTATCAGTTATGATCTAAATAAACAAAAACGCTTGCAAGAACGAACCCAGGGATAGATTGGTTGCCGGAGAAAAACCTGTTTGAAAACTAAGGGGATTGAAACAGAGGCCCCGTTCACATTGCTCCGGATTCCAATGAAAATGGATAAAAAAGTATCCGTTTTCACCTTGCGTTCATGCTGCTCCGCTGTGAAAACGGAGATATTTGAAAATGCACTTTGAAAATGGAGACCTTCGAAAACGGATACCTTTGAAAACGCTAACAACAACAACAACAACACAGCAAGATGCTTAGACCGCGCCAATTTGAACAACTTCTCTTAACATGACTGATTCACTCGAAGTTAGTACACTACTTGGAGGAATATTAGTGGCAGTGAGTTGTTTGAAAAGTTTATCAGCAGTCGCAAGGTCTGTAAACCAGCTGGTGGCGTTTTATTTTTTATCCAGAGCGGAGCATTGTAAATGCTTCATCGTTTTCACGCCGTTATCCAATGTATCCGAAGCAGTGTGAACAGGTAAAACGGATCGATATGAAAACGGATAAAAACGAATACGGAGCAATGTGAACATAGCCAGAGACGCTGTCAATATTCGAAAATGGAATTAGAAATAAGTTAGCTAGTAAAAATGTCACTTGTTTTCAGTGTTTAACAAAAAGCCCATAAATAAACATAGAAACTCAATAAAGATTAAAGATATAAGAAAATATATAAGATCAGAACAAAATCAACATCCTATTTAAGTTGTAAAGGCTTAACTTCAAAGTTTTAAATTTCACCAATACATTAAAAACTAAACTTGAAAATGAATACATCTTTATCATGTGCAACAACAGGCACATAATTTTTTCTTCTTTGCTGCTTCTTCACGCTGATATTTGGCAAAATTGATGAAAACCTAAAGAGAGCACAAATTATGTCAACATTGAAAGATCTTTCTGTTATATGTTAATATTGGTTTGATATGTAGGCCAAAAGATATGCTTAACAGAAAACATCAAGAAATCGAAGAATGACTTCAAAACACTCGTCTGCTCATTATGCTTACAGAATTTCTTTAACGAAGCAACAAACTTCAAAGACAGCACTGAGGGAATCAAGATATCCACGACAAGTGTTGGTTAGTTAGAATTAAGGAAAATTAACAAAAGTTTTACAATAAATTTGCTTGGCTAGTATATAACAGATATGCTTGGTCGTACCAAATCACAACATGCGATATAAGCAATGAAAAAATAACGGTTTGAATCGCCATCAATTTTTGAAAAGTCACGGAATTATAGATTGTAATAGTTTTTTAAAACTTTACATTCGAGCATATAAAAACATTTGAAGCTTACTTGCTCAAGTGTGGTCTGACTCAGACTGTAGTCGATTATTCCCAGATCTGCAGCATTGTCTTCAAGTATTCCAAACATATACGACAATGAAATGTCTGGGTTCATGATCTGGTACTCCAGCATTCCCTGAAAAGATAATCATCTGACTCCAGCATTTCCCGTACCTACTAACTTTTGCATCATATGCATCGTTCTGAATTCAAGCAAATAACCCAAAACACGGACCGAGACAAGCGTAATTTGTAATGATTACCGTAAAAATACAATGATAATGTAATGATAATGGAAAAGTTTCTTTTCCCATCACTATTTTACACAATGTCTTGTAGGTTTGCAGGTAAAAAATTTCGCGAGCATTATTTGACAATAATTATTCTAAGCACTGAACTAATTGCTCTAAAAAGACAGAAGCGGATCAGCACTATTTTTTAATTAAGCTTAAACAAAGCAAAGAGGAAATAAAGTGGGCCCTGAAGGGGCAAACAGGATTATGGGCCTTGCTAATTTCGGCACTGACTCGCACAACTTCTATAAATTGCATGTTCCATAACATATCATGATATTCTCAGCTCACAAAAGGTCAGAAGTCGCATTAACGATATGCAACTGGAGACCACAGGCACGAAAATCTTTCATACAGCATACACGCTTTTGGTCGTAAAGAAACCAAGTCCAATGCAGACCAGAATATTTAGAAAAAATAGCATTGATCACCCTCGACCTTAAAAATTGCTCGAAAATGGAATAAAAATTACTCTTTTTTGAAGATTAGGCATGTTCGATTGTCACTGATAATAGAAAGAGGGATTCTCTGTGACTGATTAGGTGCTCTATTTCATGCCAATCTTATGTTGCGTTTAAGAAAGCCCTAGCATCAATAAACAATTTAAAAAGGGTACAAATCCTTCGCTTAACTAACTTAGAGTAAAAATGCATCCATGCCTAATTAGCTTTAGGCATTGTGTGAAGTAGACAGCATGACTGGAAAGTCGAAAAACCTTAAATTTGAAAAATAACTTTAAGGGTGTGTGCTGAGCGGGAACTTAAAACTTACCACAAGCTAACCGATGCATCGGAATTGAACTATTAATGGTCACGGAATTGAATTAAACATAAGAAGTTATACAGTATTAGCCAGAAGAGGTCCTAACGAGCAATCCAAGCAAATTTTTATCTACATTTGAGCTTGGAAGATAAATAAAAATAAATATTTGAAAAAAAGTCTCCTCCGCATAAATATTTACTATTTTCCCCTAGATTCCGGACCCTCCAATCAAATGCACAATGATTCTTGATTACAGTCAAAGCAATTAATATTGTAATTGAAAGCCTCACCTTGGTACCAGAGAAAACACAGTCAAATGCAGAAATAGAAGAGAGGAGAGGAGAAGATAGGCGGAGAAGGTGGAGACACAACTGACCACAGGGGCGGATCCAGGCCTCCACAAGCGCCTTACGTAATTTTTCAAAAAGATGCTAGAAAATCAGTGGCGGCTCGTGGGGTAAATTTTTGGTTTAGCTGATGACGTAATATTTGAAATCTAAAGCCATAGACACGGAACGCCAAGAATGATAAATAGCCTTTCCATTCTTTACTACCTCTAATTAACAAGGCTGTCATAATTTTGAAAGTTATGATTGAAAAAAACAAGTGCCACTTTTTATTATGTATAATTTGTAATAAGCGAAGTAATAAACTGTGAAATGTTAGTATGCTCAACTCTATTTATTAAACTGCGCTGGACCGTTTCTCTCTTCACAAAAAAGGGAGTTCATGGGGGATGTGCATAAAAAGACTACGGGGAATTGACCCCTTACAAAAAGACTACGGGGAATTTGTACCCCCTGAATAACGTTCATATCACGCAAGAGTTGGTTAAAACGAGGTCTAGCCTCCCCATGGAGTTCCTCATCCCAGGGTAATTTGTCTTCGCATAACTGCTGGAAAAGAATCTTCAAATTAATGGAATACACACTGAGACAACCAAGGGGGTCAAAGATTTTGTGATTGCGGAAACTGAAGTGGTGTTATCTTGCTCAGATTCAGTTCGCTTGTTTGCGTTGAAAATTCTGAAACAGATAGTTTGGTGATGTTGTCCCCCGCATTTTTGACATCTTTTACTGCAATCTGTTGCCCGATGGCCTTTATACAAACAGCAAAAACAAACTCCCTCCCTTAAAATGATCGCCTTTCTCTCTCTTACGTCCGTTATTGTTGAACAGTTTAGTGACAAATGTTCCCCTTTGCAAAATGTGCATACCCGTGGAGAATTCTTCAAACTTCGATTTTCAGTCTTCGTGATGAATGATTGTGTTGTTCCTACTGCCTTGGATCGGGAAACAGTTGTATATTCTTGAGGCCTTCTGTTTGAAATCGCTGCCTTTTCGCTAATTTCTCTTGCAGCGATTTCGTTACCAATAATCTCCAAAATTTCGTCAATCAGCCAGATTTCTTGAGTAATTTTCCGTGCGATTTGGGTAGTAATTTCTTTTGGCATCCTGTCCATGATTATTGGAATTAGAAGTAACAAAGCGTTCAGCGGGCATCCCTAGCGATTCAAGTCCGCGCACGTGAACTGTTATTTTGTCAAAAATGTAACGCAATTGTGGTGTTTTTTCATTTGAGTGTCCCTGTAACCGAAGCAGCGCCGCCATATGCTCGTTTATTATTTGCTGCTTATTCCCGAAGCGTATCTTTAAAATTTCAATGGCGTGTTCGTAGTTTCCTTCCGTCAATTCTAACCCCTCTAGCACCCGCCTTGCGTTTCCATCCAATAACAACAGCAAATAACTAAATTTCTGGAAGGCAGGCACTTAAGCATTTCGATGGACTGTGCATTCAAAGCTCTGCCAGAATGTAGGGAAGCTCGTTTTCGGCAGTTTCAACCCTAGGTTTCCCATTGATGAATGCGACTGAAAACTTCCGTTAAAGCTCTGGTTTGTAATTATTTCTGCTGCAGAAATGCCAGCCCTTACTGGCGTCGAAAATGCAGGAACAGCTTCAGCTTCTTCATCATTTCCAACATGTGTTGAAATGGAAGTGTATCTGCCCTGCTTAAAATGCACAATTTTTTCCAATGTTTCCAAAATACGTGTCTCCCATTCTGAGCAATCTTCGATTTCCTTATCTATTTCCTCGATGCTGCAAAGTCCCAAAATTTCGTCGCTAACTCGTCTCAGATAGTCTTGCTTTGCCTTAAGCAAGTCCGAAATTGACTGAAGTCGTGAGAGAACATCAGGCTCTGTATATGAATTTGACCGAGTTCGAATGATTTGTGTAACTTCTCCTTGTAGTTTAGTTACTACCGAACGATTTCCTCTCCGATAGGCTCGAATCCTTGTGAGCTGCCAATCGATTTGCAGCTCTCCCGTGGTATTTTCTTCGGTATTTTCAACCGAATCTGATGTTACCGACTGTGTAGCCATGGTGGTACACCCTTTTACGCTCCTTGCCCCACGTTGGGCGCCATGTTGAGTAGTTTGCATTGTGGGTCAGAAGTGCAAAAGGAAAACGTCTGTTTTGCAGCTTTAGCATATATATTTAAGCATAATTATTTTCTACTGGATTACATGTTGGCTACCGCTGAGTCACAACTACACTCTGATTCTGTCAACATAGCGTGCTAATACATGACGAATACAATATCACGTGACTACCCCCAGAATGTGACGTAATCTCTTCAACACAGTTTTTTTAAAAACAGGGTGCTATGTAGCCAATACAAAGTTCTTTGAATTAGGTCTTTCCTCAGAAGTCTGCCTTCTCAAAAATCAGCTATCCAGAACATCTTTTAGATATTTCTGATGCAGTTCTGCAATGCAATTTAGCAATTGCAAGCTGAGCATTTTTTAAATTTGCAGTCGACGCAATGAAACCAACACATATAATACGCAGTTCTAGATGTCTGATACGGGAAGCTGTGAAAAAGCCTTTCTGAAATTCAGAAACATGTCTCTAATGCCATTAAATTAAAGTCTTGATGCTGCATCTAAGTATCAAAGCTCCTTTCAAGGTTTCCAAACCTTCTTATTAAGTCCATTTTCATCACAACTAAGCAGCATACAGTTTGCTAAAAAGATAGCAATTCACTCTGCTGCAGATATGATTAAATGAAGAAGAAAATCATGAAAGAGTGTCAATTTTGTCTTTCAAAGCTATCTCATGAAACGTTTAACGTTTATAGCCGTTGATTTGATCATTGTTAATATTTTTGCCTTTGGTGTTTGGCTTCCCAGAAACCAATGTGGTCATCAAATTAATTCATGTGCAAAACTGTTTGTTACAATAGCAAATTTCTGAGTATTTTCTTTAGAAATAGGCGATCGGTAGAAAAATCCCTTCTTATCAACAACATAATTGCAATGACAAAGTTCATTTCTTCAAGCACAGACATCAAATGTAGTATGATGGGGAACTGTGTGGTTTGAAAGTGGCCAGGTCTTATGGCTAATCGAGATTTTTGAGCTAGTTATACTAGTAATATATACTGGTAATATTCAACCAACATTAGCAATTAACCTAGCTATTAACTTACCATTGACTCCTATCAAGCCAAAACATTGCCCATAAGGAATTCCCACTGAAACAGAATCAACAGCTCTGACGTTGTTACTTTTATAAATCTGCGACAAAAGAGAATTAGTCTGTTATAACTTATACCAAATGTCAGATGTCAGATGAACTTTGCTCAGATCATAAGTTGAATATTTACGCCGTTTTATAGCTAGTAATGGTCGAAATTATGATCAAATTTCGTTCTCCTTACAAAACTAATGTTCTTATGTGTCAAACAAATTTACAACGGATTAGACATCAAACATTTGGTTTCTTAGATAACAAGTAAAACATAGCCTGATAAAACACGACTCCGATATCTAAAACTCTTTTGGACCATGAACAATACTGTGCAAAATTAGTTACCAAGAAACAATCATTTTGCTTTGAATAACATAATTTAGTTGAATAAAAGTGCATGAAATGGAGGGGGGTGGGGGGGGCTCTTTTAATTTATTAATTGAAGGAAAATTAGATGATAGCGTTTACAGCTGGCGATATTTTCGATCGCCAAACCCAACGAGGGGATGATGAATTCTGATCGATTGTGAGGTAAAACCGAGGCGTAGCTATAGAGTAGAATTTTTTGATTTTGACCATATATCCTCAAAGGAATAATTGTCAGCAAAATCAGCTGACTGAGTTACAAATTGGCTGAGAAATAAGAATGGGATTTTTTCCCATCAAACCTTTGTAATTTGGTCTTGGAGCCAAAACTTCATGAACCAGGCAAGAATAACTGTACACGTTTTTTTACGAGAAAGTTTTTTTCAGCCTAGCCCGCAGACTTTCTTAGCTATTTTTTAATTTCAGCACTAAAACTTTCTTAACACTTTCTTAACGTAAAATTGGAACGTTTTACTTTACCAAGCATGCGCTGTGATGGAGAAGATGAAATGCTATAAATATGCCATATTTCTCAAAAACCCTCAACGTCATACTTATTTGTTGTTTCCTGTTCACACATATTCAGCACAGTATTGTTGAAATATCTTACTATTACACCGCAACTTCCTTTGAAACTTTTAATATCTAAATTTTTCAACATTCTAAGGTTTCAAAGATCCAACCCTGAACTTTCTTAACTTTTTGAAGAACCGAGCACAACTTTCTTATGAAATACACTCTTATAAAAAAACGCGTTATCCGTTAACAAGCTTGAAATTTTCACTGGCCATATCTCGTCCAATTTTAAACATATCCAACTTTTTCCAATTCTAAACAGATGTATTTTATGCCGTTATATTCAGAAATTCTAAAAATATATTTTTGATGACGTCATACTTCGGTACTATTTTGAAAATGCTTGAATGTTAGAAAGAATAATTGGAGAAATCACAAAGAGCCAGTAAAAGCATCAGTTAAGAACTAGAATTGAATGGAGAACTCAAATTTCTTGGATGAGGAGGGCGAAGGAAAAGAATGTGAAGATGAGCTGGAAATTGTATTTGTTGATTACGAAGGAGAAAAACTGAATCTGAATATTGATATGTTTTGATGTATAAAAATTCCCAAACAATATCAAGATCCATCGGCGTAAAAGGTATTTTTCTAACGTTGGAAAAAATTGTTGGTACTTAATGTACGTTCTATAAAAATGAAGAAACCTCGAACTGCATGAAACATTTTAATAATTACATTGGATTAAAATTTCGGATTCTTCAAACTGTAGATCCCGCTGGTGTTGGCTTGGGTAAATTTGCAACAAACGGATTAATTTGTTTCTGAGAATATCTTTTTATGCGAGTATTCATCTTCTCGACTCGGCTTGACAGCAAAAATATATCTGAACATATCGGCTATCTTTGAGAAAGAATGTTCGGTTTTACTCATAATTGTATCATATTTTGGCATATTTCACGGTTTAATGACACTTTCGTATGTCATACTCACATGGTCTGTTGAGAGTATCTTTTTTTCCATGCAAGACCTATCAAAATGCCAAGTGCATTTGTAGATGTATTTCTACGTAACTATGCCAAGATATAACAAACATGGCTGCTCAGTTGTGTTACTAGAATTATCAAAATCGATCCCGGCGAAAAGACTTTTATTGGAACAATGACGTAATTTGTCAAGGGCAAAAACAGCCAAAGTCCCGTTCTCTCCCTTGGAACAATGCTGGTTCACTATGAGACGAGGTAGAAGATTAGGTAGTACGTTTATTCGTGTGACTTGTATGAGATTTTCCAAATCTTTCAACAAAGGTATGTGGGAAGGGGAGAGGGGGGAATAAATTGTAACATTGGGGAAAAGGACTGAAAATATATAACAAAGCAAAGCTAGGTGTTCCAATCAATTTTGGAAGGAATTTCGGCAAATCGAAAGCAAAAGCTACCTCGATTAATATAACCAAGGCCAAGTAGAGGAAACATTCGAAAAAGAAGTACAGGTACGTCCAGCCAACACCTGGATACTCAGTCGAGAAGGAACTGCTCTGCCACTTACACGCAGCCCTGCAGGGTAGAGACACAGATCACTGTCAGCTTCCACAAACACATATAACAAAATCATTGAAGCAAAGAGCAGTTCCTAGCAGACTTTGAAAGCTATGTACCTAGTGTCGACCGTAGCCGTTGACATCTTGACGAGGCTAAATTATTACTGAAGTGTAAATATACCGAGCAAATAATTAAAGACAAAACACTTTGGTATATGAGAATGATGGGTGAGCTAAATGAAGGGTTGTTCCTTATATAACCATTTTTGATACTAAAGATCTGCAAACAAAGTTATCATGATATAATGGTCACGTCTTGTTGCATTTAATGAAGGTCGTGTTTTCTCATTCTTTCGAATGGTAAGAAAATAGATGTGTCGTCTCGTTTTCTTCTTGAACTCTAATACTTGCAAATATAAGAGAACATTGTTGTGGTGTTAGAGCATGCATTATAACAGTGGTGTTAGAGCATGCATTTTTATTGGAACGGGAAGGGCACCAAGGGCATGTGCCCCAGACCTGTGAACAAATGTCCATTTTCTTACAAGTGCCATTATTCAGTCTGACCCTCTTTTTTTGAGCCAATGTGGACTTCAAACCAGTGTCTCTACAATTTTGAAATGTTTCCGGCGTCCCTGTATTTGACTTTTATAAACGCTTTTGGGAGCATAGCAAAGGCTTCAATCAATGCTGCTGTATTGTGCTGTATTGCGGTGTATTGCACTGTATTGTGCTATGCTGTATTGTGCTGTATTGCGGTGTATTGCACTGTATTGTGCTATGCTGTATTGTGCTGTATTGTGCTGTATTGCGGTGTATTGCACTGTATTGTGCTATGCTGTATTGTGCTGTATTGTGCTGTATTGCGGTGTATTGCACTGTATTGTGCTATGCTGTATTGTGCTGTATTGTGCTGTATTGCGGTGTATTGCACTGTATTGTGCTATGCTGTATTGTGCTGTATTGTGCTGTATTGCGGTGTATTGCACTGTATTGTGCTATGCTGTATTGTGCTGTATTGTGCTGTATTGCGGTGTATTGCACTGTATTGTGCTATGCTGTATTGTGCTGTATTGCGCTGTATTGTGCTGTATTCTGCTGTATCGTACTATAATGTGCTGTATTGTGTAATTTTAGTATGTTTTGTAAAGTTGTCTCCACCTCAACAATAATTAACTTGAGTTTGTAGTTGTTTATAAAAATGCTTGCTGTTGAGATATTGAGATTAAATGCTTTTTAAAAATGACGTAAACAACACAATTTCTATAGACCTAAATAAGTGCCAATGTTTAGCAGAACTTTAACAGTTTCAAAATTTATATGGTCACACACACTCCCGTACATCGATCGGTAGTAACAGAAATAATTTATGCATTTCTAGAGCAGCACTATAGCAGAATCTGCCTTCAAAACGAGAAATGAAGACTGCAAAAGCCATGGCCTGGAATTGAAAAAAGCAAGCTTATTCATCACTGGAAAAGTAAATCCAATGGATAAGCCAAAGACAAAATGAGGCGGTTAATGAAAGTCTCATCACCTTTCCTAGCACTCAAAGAAGAAATATTTTTGAAAACAATTGGAAACCATGGCTGACTAGCCCACTTTGGACAAACAAGGATAATCACGCAAGCTTCATTGGTGATTTTATGCAAAACTCGACTGATTTGGCTGAATGGAGGGAAAGCATAGCAAAAGTATTCGTTCCATGGTTGTGAAAAAGCATTAATTGCCTTACAAAAAGGATCAGGCCTCCATGAGAAATAAACCGGTAATTATTTATTCTTGAAGCGAAAAGATATGTAGTGGGAGTTGTGAATTTATCACAAATTTTCTTAAAAATTCCCTCGTCAAGACTCCATTCAATTGGTCTGCAGCTGTGTTTTGTGCCCGGCAAGTGGGATGCTGTTACAGAAATCTTTCTGTCAGAACACCAAAATCTTCTACACGATTAATCGGCTACTTCATGAAGAAGGTTATGTCGATGTAAACGGAAAAAGAAATTAAGAAAAAAAAGGGAAAGGGAAACACATAGGACAAGAGCAAATGCCAAGATGCAATTTGGAGCTTGAAAAATTTGAGGCGTATGACAGATCCCCCCCAAAAAAATCATAATTTGAGTTAAAGAAAGGTTGCTCTGTTATCGTTTGGTTTGAAATTAACTAAATTAGTCAAAGTAAACATGGGAAAAACAACAAAGTTATGCTGCAAGAGCGTTCTTAAAGGCTACTTATGAGTTTGCTTCTACTATTTCCTGTGGGAGCCTATTCCATTCTCTAATTGTTCGTGGAAAAAATGAAAAATTGTAGTATTGCTGGCCTGACCCTGGTATCTCATACGCTTGGTTATTAAATTATCTAGATGGTCTTAAATTGGATGACTAGTCGCTGTCTCCGTCTCCTCTCTTCGAGTGAATCCCATCGGAGTTCTCTCAGCATTTCAATTAAACTGGCATATCTTTCGTATCTGTTTGTCACATACCTTGCTGCTCTACGTTGGGTCATATCAATGGCATTTATATGTTTCTTTGTGTAGGGATCCCATATTGCACTAGCATACTCTAGGGTTGGTTTAATGATAACTTTGTAGGCCTTTGACTTTAGGTTTTGAGAGTATTGCCTAATATTTCTCGTCAGAAAACCAAGAGTTCTGTTTTCTTTATTTTCAGTATTATTAATGTGTGTATCCCATTTCATCTCACTGGATATTTCAACTCCTAGATATTTTGCAGAGTCAACATGTTTCAGAACCTCACCCTTAAATTTGTAGCCATGCCTTACTGGGTTCCTGCTTCTTGTTATACTGAGTACTTGACACTTTTCAAGGTGGAACTCCATCTGCCATTTTGCTTCCCATTCTGCTAATTTGCAAAGGTCTTCTTGTAACTCCTTAGCATCCTCTTCACAATTGATTGTTAAGTAGGCTATTATATCATCAGCAAATAGCCTAACTGTGGAAGTGGGGGATTCAGGTAAGTCATTGATGTAGAATAAGAATAGACATGGACCCAGTACTGAACCTTGTGGTACCCCTGATGACACATCTGCTTCGTATGATCTCTCTCCATCCAATACTACTGTTTGTTTTCTGTTTTTGAGAAAGGCTTCGATCCATTCATTAGTTCTACCTGTAATTCCATAAAACCTTAACTTTTCAATGAGCCTGGCATGTCCAACTTTGTCGAAAGCCTTAGAGAAGTCCACAATCAACGCATCAGTTTGCTTTCTGTCTTTCATGTTTTTGATGACATCTGATGTAAACTCAAGAAGCTGGGTTACACATGATCTTTTGCTGCAAAAACCATGCTGCAGATGATAAAGAATAGCGTTGGAATTTGCATAGTTCATTATATTACTTATTTTTATGTGCTTCATAATCTTGCATGTAACACATGTGAGTGACATTGGACGATAATTGCTTTCTAGTGATTTTTTGCCTCTTTTAAACACTGGTACAACGTTAGCTAATCTTCAATCATCTGGCAATGTGCCAGTTTCATAAGATTTTCGAAATATGTATGTTAGTACAGGGGCAAGGCTTATAGCTAGCTCCTTCAGAACTCTTGGGTTAATCATGTTAGGGCCAACTACCTTGTGCACTTTTAAACCTTCCAAAATTTTCTGCACAACCTTTTCTTTGAAATGAATTTGAGGCATTTGTGATGCTTTGGAATGATCCAGAAACCCTGGTGTAATTGGTGCTTCCTTTATAAAAACTGATTCAAATTGCTTATTAAATAGATCAGCTTTATCTTTAGAGCTGCTAATCACCTCACCCCCTTTTTCAGTGTTCCTCCATTTACACAATCTCTCCTCACTCTCTTTATAAAGCCCCCAAAACGCTTCATTTCATTATGGGTGTCATATGCTTGAAGAGGGGTGATAATGTCTTCAACATACTTCCATTAAGCTTGTCGAAGCTTTTTCTGTATGATAGATTTTAATTCTTTACATTTTGTATCTAGGTGTTTAAAATGTGGTGTTGAATTTTCAAAGTTCCTCATAGCTGTTTTTCTTCTCCTGAACAGTCTGTTTCTTTTCTTGATTAACTTCGTTATTTCTGTTGTAATATATGGTTATGGTAAACTATATTTGCTCTTAGTAAGTTTAGATGGAATGTATTTATCAACTAGACTGTGCATGGATATTTTGAATTCATTCCACAACTCATTTATGGTGCTTGAATGATATCTTTCTTCTATAACTTTCCTTAGGTTTCCTATCTTAAACTACATATCACTCCAGTTAGCTCTGCTGTACAATTAAATTTTCCTAGGCTTTTGCTTTCTCCTGATTGATCTTACATCCACTTCAATCCATGGTATACAGTGATAAGAAATTCCTGGTATGATTTCAGTTTTATTTATCCTTTTCAGTTTTTTTAGTTTGACCAGTGAATCTTCAAGCTATTCTGAGCATTTTTCATCTCCCTCATGAGGTCTTTGGTAGGCACATATGTGCATTGTTTTTGTTCCATATACACCCAATCTGCACCATAGAATTTCACAGTTGGTTTCAAGTTCTTCTTTTCTTTCAATAATCAGATCTTTCTTTGCCACTACAAAAACACCACCATGGTTATCATTTTATTTTTCCCTGTCTCTTCTAATGACTTCGAACTGATCAACTGGAAATACAGTTGCATCACTGTCCTCATTACTAAGTCAGGACTCTGCTCCAATGACTACATCAGGATTCACATTGCATTGAAGGATTCTTTTTTAGCATTTAGGCTCTGACAGTTGACAGTAATGACTGTAATGCTAGTTTCAAATTTTCTTCTGGTTTTGTCACTTTTCATTGGAGTTGAAGCATAGACAGGAGAGCCCAGGGATTTGTGTTTATACTAGACAAAATGCTATATTTGTTCACAGTGCAAATTGTTGATTTGAAAAATAAATCAGTGCTAACATTCATCAGTCCATAATAACAACATAACCATGATGCAGTTAGTCCTGTGTAATGTATCTAGCCTGTAATTTATCTATATGTATCAGGTTTCATATATATTATGGGCTCCGCCCCCTGGCCCCCTTCTATATGCGGCAGTCAGGATTAGTTCTGGATCCGCCCCTGCTCAAGATTAAGACCAAGTTAAAAATAACTAAATTTTCTTTAGCAGGAGCATTCTTCTGGTAGTAGATGTACTTGAAATGCTTGTATATTTGACAAGCAGGTGTTGTTGCAGCCCAAAGAATATGCTCACAGACTGACCAATCTTGATGTCTTGAATAGTAAACACTAGGATAATTTTTTAAACTTAGAATAGCGGCAAAGAAGCAAACAGAAAGCGGAGCTATAAAAATTTATAACCGCCATCTTGCTAGCCTCGTTTCTATTCGGCAATGAGACTGCGTTTTGAAAAAGGAGAAAAGCGCAAATTTGATAGCTTTTAATTCAAAGATGTTTATGTGTTTTTTGATTTCAGTAGCAGACCATTTACCCTGAGTTTTTGAAAGCGTTTTCCCTTTGTAATCTAAGAAAGCACCCCAACCCTCAAGACTGGAATCAGTGTAAACTTCGCATTCGAAGTTCGTTGTATTCTGAATTGTATCAGAAATTGTTATTTGCAACGTTTTCATTCCACCAGCGTAGTTCACTGATTGCGCCCGTAGAAAGAGACTCTAGGGCATCGTAGCTGCCCATTTTCACACCACCAGGGTAGTTCGCTGATTGCGTCCGTAGAAAGAGACGCTAGGGCATCGTAGCTGCCCATTTTCACACCACCAGGGTAGTTCGCTGATTGCGTCCGTAGAAAGAGACGCTAGGGCATCGTAGCTGCCCATTTTCACACCACCAGGGTAGTTCGCTGATTGCGTCCGTAGAAAGAGACGCTAGGGCATCGTAGCTGCCCATTTTCTTCAAGTTTTCTGTTTTACATATTTCTAAAAATCGGCAGTGAAGTTGGCCCCATTGTACCGCCATACATGCCGACGTCAGCAATCCTATACATTTTGATAGGGCACGAATAATAATTTCAGAAGAGTATAAAATTTCTTTGCAAGTTGTTGCAATTTTTTGAACTTTTTCTGAAGGCAGGGAAACTGACTCTGTTTTTGTATCTATAATAAAGGCTAGGTGAGAAATACAACTAGACGGAATTAAATACGATTTTTCTATGTTCACAGTAAATCCTAAACTCTGAAGTAGTGAAATCGCAAAATTTTTATTTTTCATTGCTTCCTCGATGGAATCATTTATATAAAGCGAGTCATCTAAGTAATATGTGCATGACACGCCATGTTTACAGAGATAGGAAAATATTGGTTTCATAACTTTTGTGAAGTAAAAAGGTGCAAGGGATAACCCGAAACACAAGCACTGGTATGAGTATCGATTGTTTTTCCATTCAAAGCAAAGAAATCTTTTGTATTCTTCGGCTATGGGCAAGGAGAAATAGGCATCTGTTAAATCTATTGATGTTAAAAAGGCATCCTTCTTTATTAGAGGTAAAATTGAAAATAGGTGTTTCATTTTGAAATGTTTTTTCTCGATAAACTTGTTTAGTTCCTTCAAGTTAATGATTGTTCTCATTTTTCCATATTTCTTAGGAATTATGAATATATTCGAAACAAATTGTTCCGAGCATGATTCAACTTTCAAAACCGCCTCTTTTTGTAGAAGGAATGAAATCTCCTTATCTATTAAGCTTTCTTCTATTGGGGAAAATTTAATCGGTTTTGGGGTAACCTTTTGATAAGGATTTTGACAAAGGGTAGCTTGATGCCTTTAACTAAACTTCGAACAAAATTATCTGTTGTAAGTTTGCACCATTCATTAAAGAAAAAACGTGTTTTACCAGTTACCTGTTTTACTGCTGTTTTTGTGGTGTCATCACATTTCGCCCCCTCTTTGGTTGAAGGGGCTTCGGTAGTTTAAAGGCGGTTGTTGGAACTTGACTTGTTGCTGTCCAAACTGTGGCTTGAACTGGGGACGGCCTCTGCCAGCACCACCGCGATAGAAATTTTGCGAAAAAGTTTTTGAAAGCCTTTGAGTTTCATTGATTTCATGAATCGAATCGGAAATTTTGTCTCCGAAAAGATATTTCGTTATCGGGACTGTAGAGCTACAAAGGGCTTGGTAACGATCGGCTAGTGCTGGTTTGATCAACTCACGTCTATAGTTGGAAATCTTCAAAACAGAGGTACCCAACAAGGCCATCAAAGAGCCGAGCTTTGCATTTACATCGGCCATCAAATCTGAATCGGACTGGGGTTTAAGAAGTTCTTCCCTTGCTTCCGCAATGGCTTTAACCATAAGATTTTGGCATGTTTGAAATTTGACATCAGTGACTTTCAATCGGCGAGGCAATTCTCCCAATATTTGTGGGTTGACTAGCGGTACTACAAGGGAATCGCAGTTTTCTGGTCTAATAACTGTGCCTGTCAAATGTTTTATATAGTCCGATTGTCCGATTGAATTTTTCCCGTTGTGCATTCTTTCACAAATTCGGAAGACAGTCAGAAATAGGCGGAGAAGTTATTTCGTCTCCTTCAAAAGTGATTTTTGTCTGAGACGGCGGATTGGGAGTTGCATTAGCAGAATAAATTTGCGCTTTATCGGGGATAAAATCTCCTTAAAGTGAAGAAATCTCCGAATTGTGTTCCATAACATAATCATCACTCAAGGAGCTAAGCTACACTTTGAGCATAAGCCTCTCTTAAATTTGGCTGGCAAGGGCCTTTGGACTCCGTAGAATTTCCAGGCAGAGCTGGAATATCAACTTCAGATTTGCAAGAAATTGAAAACTACTAGCAGACTGAGCTGCAACTGCAATGTTACAAGACTGAGCTGTAATGGGTTGTGTTGGCATCAAAGACTCAGACCCTCCTATACTAAATTGGTCATCGTTTAATTTTAATCAATTTTTGTTGAAAAGCTAAGAACGAAGCAGTCAGTTTCTCAACCGATTGCTTCAACTCATTAAAATCTCTTTGTGAAACGGCTTCTCTTTCACCTGGTTTTGGAGGAGGTGGTGGCTGGCGTCAACCACCAGCTTATTCTTTCAGCAAAACCTCTTCTTCGCAATTTTCCTTCGACATTTTGAAAATACAGCTAGGCGAGAGCAGCGCACGGCAAAAGCTGAGGAAATGTGGGTGGTGGCTGAGTATATATATACATATACATATATACTATATATATATACAAGTTTTTATATTTCTTTCAACAAAGGGGTCGAGACAGCCAATCAGTAGCTGTCTCATATTGAAAAGAATTGATCATGTGGCGCAGTGAGCCTCGATTCGAAGAGGAGACGAGATAGAATCTTCATAGATTTTGATGACGTAAACCCCACTGATGAGTGGTTAACATGGGAAATGCCACAATCGAAGAGACGAAAAAGGCCAAACTATTTGGAATAACTTTAGACAGCAAACAAAACTTTGAAGAACATATAAAAAACTTATGTAAAGAAGCAGGTAAAAAGATAAATGCCCTAGTCAGAATCGCCCCTTATATGAATGAATATAAAAGATCACTATTGATGAAAACCTTTATACTTAGTCACTTTAAATATTGCCCTCTTTTATGGATGTATTGTAGCCGCAAATCTGGAAAAAGTATTGAAAGTATCCATAAAAGAACACTGAGAGTGGCTTACAATGATTTTGAATCAAGTTTTGAAAATATTCTCTTACAAAAAAATGATGTCAGGATACATCAAAGGACCCTACAACTACTAGCAATAGAAATTTACCAAACAGTAAATAATTTCAATCCAGTATATATGAAAGAGATATTTCAGTTGAATGAACTTGCATATAATTTACGAAATCAATCGTTTATACAAAAAAGGCCAACACTGTTACTTCTGGGCTAGATACAATATCCCAAAGATATAATGAATTGTGGAATTCTTTGCCGTTAGATATTCGATCGACAGAAAATTGTAAAGTATTCAAAACTGAAATTAAACAAACGAATCTTACTTGCTCGTGTAGACTCAGTGGCGGATTTAAAGGGGGCCAACCAGGGGCAGTTGCCCCTCCCTCAACGGGTTGAAGCAAGTCTGGCGCCCCTTTTTGGAAATTGTACGCCCCTTTTGAAAAATGAGAATCAGACGAAAAAGGTTCTCGGACCGATAGGGTAATTTTCTTCAAGGATTACCTCACAGTTATGTTGTTTATTCTAAAAAGGTATCTGAAATTGTTGTATACAACGCACTCTCGTAACCAATTTTTGAAAATTTTTTAGCGCCCCCACTACCAACTGCCCCTCCTTCAAATTTGCTCTGGATCCGCCCCTGTGTATACATACACTTCACGGAAGTTTTTGGTCTGTGACGCAGGCTACCCCTGTTTCCTTGTAAACCAACATTAAATGAAGTAAATGAAAAGAACAAGTCTCGTTTCCATTTTCCACTTCCGGGAAAGACCGGAAACTGTCTGCTGAAACGAAAATCCACTGCACTGCACTCACTGCACTGCAGAAGAAGGGAGGGACTGCAGATATGGCGGTTTGGACAAGGCAGATTCGACTCTTGATATGGAAAAACTTCATCTTGCAGGTTAGCTACAGTTTCTATATCAGTCTTCATCTAATGTTAAAGTTTGATAGGGAGATTTGGACGGGAACGGCATTGAATCCTCCATGGCGGCCATCGGCGCAGGCAGGGCATGCTATACGTTTAGTGTGCTTAGTGTGACACTTGCATGAATATTATTGCTTCATTGAGATAGAAAGGCCCTGATGGAGCCTGAAATGCTATTAATTTTGCCTGATTAGGGAGGCTGCAGCCCCCCCCCCCTCTACGCCGAGTGCTAAAAACAGGCCTTGAAAAAAAAAAAAAAAATGCCATGGCAGCAAAATAAAAAATTCAAGATTTCCTGCTAAGCTTCAAGAAAGTTTCCAGCCACTGAAATTGATATTTCAAGTTGCTTGATTTGTTTAAAAATTTGTCCTAAAAACAAACTGTCACACTAAAAAGAGTTAATTGTTGGTCCTGCAGTCATGATCATAGCTATTCGTAACAGGAATCATTTTGTTTATACTGTATTGGATGATCAAGGAAAACGTGATCAAGCACGATACTCATAGTTTGTTTTCAAGGTAAAAGAAAGTAGATCTGAATATCTATAATTACTTTGATTAAATTTCATATCAGTACTAGCAAACTAGATACTTTATAAGTATTGATATATCTATACATCTTGCTCTGGGTGGGTTTATCATCAAAGCTAGTAGTTCATACAATATGTAAGAATACTATTTTTTTTCAATGGTTAAAATAAATGTTTTAAATCAGGGGTGGTGCTAGAGGCAAAGATTTAAGACCAAAACGCTTACATTCTATAAAGCAAGTGATGAAAAATATATGCGAATGCCAGTAGAAAAATACGAATAATAATGGACATATCCACACAGGTTTTTGGGCACTTTCACCTTCAAAACAATTGACGTAGCAAGATTGGTTGTCTTTAAGTGTTTTTACATATTTAAAATGGCTAATAATGTAAAAGAAATAATAATGAAAACAGCATTCCGTAGAAATATTGTAACATGAAATTAATGTTCATATTAAAGTCAAGCAATGGAGATTTCACGCTAAAAATTTCCTGGCAAACATCAACAATTTCCTGTAATGAACTTGTCCCAAAAATTTCCTGGCAGCACCCCTGCCGGTGCTGCCGGACATTTTCCAGCCCTGGCTAAAAAACCCATCAAATCATCACACTAGGCAAGCGCAAGTGAACACTCAATACCAAGTTGAGCTTTCAATCATTCCAGTTTCATAGCAGAATAAGGATGTTTAGAAAATAGTTTTGTAACAATAGAACCAACATTTATTCATTTAGCAACAATTTTCATTCTGTTGCAATTTATCTTTTATTTCCCGCTTGTTGTCTGTTTCTACCTGTTCAGCAAAACAATAAATATCCTGAGTAGGCTAATGATGGGTAACAAAAATGAAACTTATGTTTTGTCAGTCAAATATTTGGTCACTTAGGTCATGCGTTTAGGTCGCTTAGGCATCCAAATCACAAAATAGGAAATAGGCAGTAGGGTAACTTCTGCCCATCAGGTGAAGCCTGAAAATTCTAGCGCATGCGTTAGCATATACGAGGCTTAGCATGTATCTGTCAGGTAAATTTAAAAAAGTTGAAAGTGGACAACTTTATTGAGACGAAATGCCCCACAAAAGTAAAAAAATGTATCATAATTCGTTCACTATCTGATTAATAAATGATAATTTGTCACTGCCAAATTCATCTAATGAAATCGAGGTTTAAGGGGAATTGAGAAATTCTATTGAACTGAAAACAACAAAGGAACCGACGAGAGTTACCCTTCTGCCTATTTTCTATTGTGTGTCCAAATATACGGCCACCTAGGAAAGCGTCCTTCTTGAAACTTGGCCTTCTAAAAAGCATAGCAAACAGCGCAAGTTTCCAATCATTGATAGCAAATATGTCAGCCATCCTCCTTGAAAAGCATTTTGTGAAGATAGCAGATGAGAACAGAGAAAGCGAATGAGAGAAGCTCTTTTGTTAGCTCTTTGTTTACAATGATTTTTGGTGCCAAGCTTTTGACACATTGTGCAAGTCATAAGAATTATGTCACTTGAGCAACCCTGTGTAAACGCACTGACTAAGTGACCTCATTTGTGGCCGAATTCAGCAGCAGGCCAAATTTTTGGCCGGCCACATATTTGGCTAGCCCTGTGTAAACGCAGCAGCCCTGTGTAAACGCAGCTGCATACGTAGACGCTACGCCACTGCTGCTGCTATGCATAGATGGATAGACAGACAAAGTAATTGTTCTCTAAATTATTAAGCATAATCTATACTTCATGTAATCTTAGTATGGATTCCATGGCAGCTGCACTTCTAGAAATTTTTGTAAAACTTTTTGCACTCTTGCACACCCAAAAGATAGGCATGGTTTGGGCATATTTTGGATGTGGCTCAAATTAAAAAGTTTTTGTCAACCAGTTCTTTAGATTATCTTAAAATACACTTCAGAATATTCTTTGCAGTCATTTTCTTGCAAATGTTTCCATAGGTATTACTTTGTTTCAATTACTTCATTGTCACCTTTTACCATTATTCCATTCTATAAACAGATTACTGTCATTTCACTATAAAGAATTAATTCCATAAAATGGGATTCCTTTCTTTATGAGGTTCCCTAGACATCAAAACCCTTTGGCAATTTGCCTCCTTGTGCCCCTCCCCGTGGCCCTGCTTTAGATCATCCTTTATGTGTTAGGATGCTCATGTTTTGGCCTTTTTGGACATTATCTGTCAAACTGAAGGCAGTGGTAGGTAAGCATAGTTCAGCTCTCAATCATGAATTTTTCTGACGTAAAATTAATGTTAACAGGAAAAGTGTTGGATAGAATATGAACACACCCAAGAATCACTGAGCAATTTGATGCACACTCAAATGTGCACACTTATCTCAAATGCACTCTTGCTCTCCCAGGTAATAGCTTGTGCACTCCCGAGATCTCATCAAAAACTGCCATGAAATCCAGACTGGATGTAATCTAGGGATCTGAAAGAGTGTTTTGTATCATTGTTTTGACAATTTTGGCTTGGATTGTTGAAGGTTTGTGAGTCCAACTCTGCATATGCAGCAACTAAGTTTCACTTTAATTAAATGTCAGTTTTCTGTTTTGAAATTCTAATATGCAAAACTCAGTCTAACTTCTCCTGTACACTAGCAGAATGTAAATGAATTTATAAACACGACCACAGAATAAAAACAAAGAGAAAAACATTGGATATTGTAAAAATTTAAAATTTGCATGGAGAGGAATTCCTTGAAGTAGGCTGTTTCAGTAGATAAACTAGCCAAGGCGAGATCAGATCCTGTGTTAACAACATGGTAGATTATTCAACCAGAAAAACTTATAAGATTGAATATACACATTTTGATTGATAAAAAGTAGACATTTTAAATTAATATAGTTGTGGAAAATTGTGTGGAAAAATAAAAATTTTATGCATACCACAATAAAAAAATTATTTGAAAATAATGAACTATTATGAAATATTAGCAGATCTACTTGACCTATGTCATCTCCAATATTTTTTTGCATGTTTTAGTCACTCAATTAATATTCATATTTTGAATATGATGTGCTGCTTGAAATAGTCTGCCTTTATCTATTTATGGGGGGGGGGGGCTACTGGTCTGTTCTTACGTTTTTTTGGGGTGTGAAGCCTGTTCTTGAGCTTTTTGAAATGATGGAGTGTAGTGTTTAGCACAGAATTCTGAAATACGAAATCAGCCCATTCGTTCTTTTACTCTTTTTCTTTGTGCTTTTTCTTTTGTTGTACTCTTTTTAATTAGTACATAATGCGGAAACTGCATGTACAATTTTTTTTGACCGACTCAAAATACAGACAGAATATTAAATAAGCGTTCACTAGGTAAAAAACAAGGGAATAAGTAAATAAATGCCTCAACAACAATGGCAAGAAATAAACAAATAGAAATTGAGGTTGCCTAAATCGTGAGTCATGAGTCATGAGTCGTGAGTTATGATTAGTAATACATTATATAGATATACCTCTATGGTGAGGCTACATGAATAAACTGGATACACATGGACTTGGAATTATAAAAGACAATGTATTTTACATGTTTCTATATATTATATATTGCAGTATAGTATATCTATACTGACACAGGCCAGTGTGATCTGGTTGAGGTTGGTATTACACTTTTTTTTTAGTTTTTGGCAAGCTGTGCTTGTTTTTTTTATGGTTTCAAACAAACATTCAAATTTGAATGTCATATTTTTATTCAGCATAGGAAATTGACATTGCAACTCATTGTGACTCATTGCGACTTATGACTCATTGGCTCATTGACTCATTGGCTCAAACGCTAGTAAATCTCATAGAAATTGGGTTGTTTTCAACATGCCTCTTCCCTAATTCCACTTCCTTGTTTCAACAAAACATTTGCAGATACTTTCTTTCTTTCAGAAACTCGTGTTATTTATTGTATAACACTGCTATAAACTGTTAAAAAATGGCAGTAGCACATTCTGTGTCACCATAGCGCAGAAGAATTATATTGAGAATTGGTAGACCAACTCTCAGTAGATAATTAAAACTTGAACGTTGAAACTGATCAGTTAAAACTGATTGTGTTTTTCAGCCTTATGATATGCAGTGCTTGAACTATATGTATTCAAAAGCTCATAGTGTAAAATGTTTAAATGATAGTATATAGAATCAAAGAAAACACTTTCGTAAGACGTTTCACTTTGTATCATCAGTAATGAATTAATAATGATTTCATCAGTATCTATAATTAAATATCCTTATTTCATGGCATAGTTTTCCACATATTGCAAATATTTTAAGTTGAGAGTTGTTTTGCTTTTGAAAACTTCAATGTAGTTACAGTGATGAATAATTTTTCAAAATAATTCTGTAGATCAGAAGGCCTATTGGAACAGCAGTGGAGATCATTGTTCCTGTTGCTCTCTCAGCTATTCTTATTGTTGCAAAGTAGGTAACTTTGTAATGGATTCTCCCATTAAGTTAATTCTGTCACTTTATTCAACATTTTAAATGATAAAAGTTTATTAATCTGTTGATGTTTTCTAATTTTTATGTACATTTTTTTGTTAACATTTGTCTAGATAACTGTAACTAAACTATATCTTTCCTAGAAATTTTGAAAAAGAATTGGATCATTTTCTAATGACAACCAAATCAAGCAACCCGCCCTTTGTTTCTTTAAGGCATAGCTAACAGTTTAGCTATGTACTGAAGTTTGGAGATCCACAATTATGCACATATTTAGCATGCATCAAAGCAAAGACTTGATGGATCAATCACTAGGGTTTCTAGCATGAAGCTGGTTTGAGTGTGATTTGATTTCATTGTCTTGCTGAAGAAAAGACTTGGTTATGAATGATGATTGCCTGTACAATACCCCAATTTCAAAAATAGAAAAACAACATACAAAATTTTGGTTTCAAATAAAAGAAACAAAAGAAAACCAGCGATACAGCAAAACAGTAAATCTAAGAAACATGTATTACTGGGAAGGTTCGGAAAATATGCACAATATAGTTATTTTGATTAAGTTTAGAATTTGTCATGCTAACCAAAAATTCAATAGAGTTATCTGATATACCTTTCATGTTCAGCAAATTAATTGGTTGTTATATCATTTGTATATTGAATATATTGTACTGTTTTCTTATTTTTCAGAATTGGCCTTAAGGATGCTACATCTGAAAAATGCTTTAGTAAGTAGACAGAAATCTATAATATCTGAATATAATATAATATATTGCTTGTTATGAATATTGTACAAAAGCCACCACTAATGAGCACAGCGTTTGTCTTTTACCAAACTCACAGCATGTTTTGTTTGGCCAAAACCTTGCAAGGAGTGGACAGGGGTTTTCTCCACGTTGATTTCATATACCGTAAATCCAGTCTAGACAATTCTTTGGCATTTTTTTGTAGGTACATTTGATTCAAAAGATGTATCACAAATTTCACACATGTACTACCAAAGCCGGTACTTATACTATCCTGACCTTGGTTGGGGTATGTATAGTCGTGTTACATCTTAGTAGCCATACAAGATGCCTTTATAAAAAATTTTTTAACATTAACTTCTTTTTCAAATATTTGAATCAAGCAGATAGAAGTTTGTTGAGGTTTCATGACTATTATTATATAAATTCACAAAAATCCACTGCTCCAGTGCACTGTCTAGTATTTGTCCTCTATTATGCTTTTTCATTTATCCTAGACCATTTTCAGCCTGTGAGTCTTTTTTTACCAAAACTGGTGAATAAAATTTGCTTTTAGGAATTTGATGGTCATGTTATCATTGTGATTTTGTACATCATTAAAAAACACCATTTCAAGGCCTAACTCAGAAATTTTAAAATATTTCTTCATATCAAATTTTCAACCTTGGATTAAGGTTTTGCATATTAACTTAAGTATGGCTGTAAATTTAAGGATATAAATTGTTTTAGATTCAAAACATTGCTCTGAATACTTTGTTTTAATATCACACCTTAATCTTTTTATCAATATTATAGATATTGAAGATAAGATTTGCCATTTTAAGGGAAATATAAAATAGAATTGTGTGAATAGGTAAAAAAAATTGCCTGGATAGGGTAAGGTAAAATCGGAAAGGGTTGGATATTGTATTAGTTTTACATCTATTCCAACTATTTATTTTGTCTTATTTTATTCTATATTCTATGATTTTTGTAAACTAGCATTGCTAAATGGGCTACCTTGCTTAAGTGAATGAAAACGAATTAAAGCTATTTGCAATTAGCTTATAAGCAATTTGAATGCATTGAAAATTTTGGGATATTTTCACTTTTCATTTTATATTTTCAAATTTTGGGTATATTTTCATATTTTCAGAATCAGGAACTATACTTTTCTTCACAAAATGTGAAGCTGTTTTCTTCACCAGTGTCTCAGTGGTAATTTTGCTTCCTGCAAAATGGCCAGGTCTCAATCGCGGACATCACGGATTCACATGTAGAGAGATTTAGGCGTTTTAAAGTAAAATTTATACTCCCCTAAAACATAAACCTGCCTCTTGGCCCAGGTTAAGGTGGCATTTTGCTCTTCTATAACGTACCTATACACAAAAGGGGGCACCAGGAGGAAATTTTGCTGTAAGAGGAGAACTCAAATTTACTGTGGCAGTGATAACAAAAACTACTATGTACTATTGCATCATTCCATGCTTTCGTTCATACATCATTCCATACAGTTGCACACTTCACAAAAAGGATCCTCGTTTTCCCCACAAACATGAGCATCTTCAGTAAGACTGATGTAATTCCATTGCTAATTTACTTCAGAGAATAGTATAGCAGAATTATGATGCCGATAACTTTCTCAATTCAGAAAGGAAATAACTGAAAAAAAGTAATGGTAATTTTCAGTGGGTTAAGGCTTAGTACAATTTTTGTACATAATTACAGTTGGCTTATTGTCAGTCAGAAATTGTACACCCTTAACAGAAATCCATCAATTTACATCCCTTTCCGCATTTTAGTAATTTGATATAAGACGACTATATGCGATAGGTCTGCTAAGATGTCCGCCTTTAAGACCTTGCTGCTGCAAAATAACCATTGCTATGTTGCTGCAACTACCCAGTCCTTTTGAGCTGGTGATGACCCTGCACCCGAATGCTCTTTTATCTAATTCTCGTGGATTTACTCATTCATTGATACTTTCGTACATCTAGTTTTTCCTCATTAAATATTTAAAGAGACATCAACATACACCTAAACTGACCTGCACTAACAAAATCTGCATCTAGATTAATGCATGTTTTTTCCTTGTAGCTCAAAAAATTGTCAATGCATCGGGAAGATATAGAAAGTTTTTCTTTAATCGTGATAGACAAGGGAATAAATTGACTTCAGAAGAGGCTGTTGCAAGGTTGGTTGCTGAGTCCAAGCAATATTATGATGGAGGTAAGCCAATGAATTCTAGTTACAAGGAACAGTATAACTACATCGTTTTAACTCTCTCTCATACAGGGGTGTAGTGCTATCAAAGTAACAAGGGAAGCTCTTTCGCAAATTGCTGCGAAAACAATAGCAAAAGTAGAAATTGGCTACTTTTCGGCATTACACCCCTGCTCTCATATTTCTTTTATAGTTTTCTCTTTTAGGTGATGCTCTTGCAAATTCAATTAAGGGTTTTTCATTTTTTTTACAATTTTGTTTCAGACTAGGGAAAGGTAGAATAGCTGTTTATAAACAGATAGAAAAGTGTTTAAAGATAAAGTATTTTACCCTTCATTGCCACATTGATGTAAACCTTTGTGGAGCTGTTTAAGAAGAGAGTTGGGTTGACAGGAGCTCCAAATTCGTTTACTTAGAACAGGTAATTGGATGTTTTTATTTCACAGCAATTATCTTTAAAGATGTTACATCAGATAGTATTCCAAAGCGTGTATCATACAAGATTCGACGGCTTCCTTCAGACTATTCTGGAACAAATAGGATTTATCGTCAGTTCCAGTCTCCAGGGCCAAACAGCTATTCGTAAGTTCATCATCATTTTTTTCTTTATCTTTTGCTTTAAACAAAATACTTTGAATGTCAAACATGATTTTCTGACTACCCCTTGTGCCTGTAACTGTGTATGTATTGTCTTTGTGATGTCAGAAGCAACAGGCTGTTTGAATTTCAGAATATCATATCAATTTACGTTGGACAAATGAGCATGATAGACATCTGATATGAAAACAATCTTTTACAAGGTGGAGATCACGAACCCTTGCTTGAAAGCCTGTAATGTGTTACAGTATGCATAAGGAATAATGCAGCGATAAAAAGGCAACAAGATTCACCTGTCTTTCAGAGTTGGCTATTTTTAGCCGGCATTTTCTTCTATTTGCTCGGTCAAAATCTCTGATTTTTGAGACAAATAGCTTCATATCAACCATTGGAAACAGAATCTAACTAGAAACTAATCTGGAAATATGATTACGTCCTAGAAATGAATTTTAAATTTTTGATCACGTTATCTGCAAGTTCATTATAGAATTTTTTACATATCTTAAAGAGGTTAATATAACCAATATTGGTAAAAATAAAGGCCAATAAACCCATTCAGTTTTTGATTTATTTGTTATTTTGTCCTGGTTCTAATCACCCATATCACTGTTTTTTGGTCCCGGTTCTAATCACCTAAATCACTGTTGTTTGGTCCTGGTTCTAATCACTCAAATCACTGTTATTTGATCCTGTTTCTAATCACCTAAATCACTGTTGTTTGGTCCTGTTTCTAATCACCTAAATCACTGTTGTTTTCATTTATTATGAAATTTCATATACTCGCTCTTCTTGTATCTTTGTTTTGCAAGCTTCTCGTTTAATGTATACTTGAATTTCTTGTAGCGATTATGAGTGGCAATTTTTGCCAATGCAATGGCTGCTTGATTCAATAATCATAAAACTGCAAACCAACCAGACTCAGTTTACATCGCTTGACAGGTTAACGGTAAGCATATCATTTTTCTAGACAGGTATTTTTTTTTATTATTAACAAACTCCACTGTTTCAATATTCTATCCTTTCTCAGATAAATATAATCCATGTTGCTCTTTGACGAGTTATTAGTTGGCCTGTACCAAATCTGCGTAGTTGCTACAAACAATGATCTTCATATTTAAATGTTCGTGACATATTTATAGCAGAGCTAGTGATGTATTTTAAGATAACCTAACCGTTGTTGTCCAAGTCCTATTTTTAAATGGAAATTAATCGCTTAATTCGAGTTAATACCCGCGGGGAAAATGCACAGATCCCCCTTTTCTAGAATCAGGTGGTCCCACACGTATATCCTTAGTAGGCTGTGAATATCAAGTTACCTTAGCTATTTGCTAATCAGCTTGTGGTGTTTTCTAGGTGGTCTTGCCCTAACATATTTTTTTAAGTACAGTGATGCAGCTCGGGTCACGTCATATTTTGCAGCAAGACTCACGCGTTGTTTGTACGCGTTTCCCCCTCCCATCCCTGTCCAATTGTACTCGCTTCTCCTCCTGCCTATACCCCGTTACACACTTCCTCCTGCCTTCTCCTGTCTCACTTCTTCTCACACAGTCATTCAATTGTGTGACAGGTGTATCAGTCTTATTGTCGGGGTAAAAAACTAAGGCATTTTTTCCCTGGAATCAAACACCGACCATAAAATTGTGTCATTGCTCAGGAAAGACAAGGGCTGATGCACCAAAAGCCCAAAATGTTTTTCCTGAGATTAGGGTGTTGTCTATCATAACTAAGGGGCCTCCGCGATGGAATTAAACGATATCTTACATAATGCGAAAGTTTTTATCTACAGCAATTTCCTTACCCGTCGTACAAAGATGATCCATTCATCGCAACCGTACAAGCACTGATGCCCATATTGTTTGTGGTTGCCTTCATCTACACCGCTGTTTGCATGATCAGGGTGGGTATTCAGAATATGTTCAAAATAAATTAACATAAATTAAGTAGGACTGATGTACTTGTGGCTATACTTTTCAATACATCCCTTGAGACGAGCATTTTTCCTGATTTATGGAAAATGACTAGGGCTGCACCCATTAACAGAGACGGCGATAAAAGTGAAAAATCAAATTACCATCCAATATCGGTTTTGCTAATCATTTCAAGGCTCTTTGAAAGAATTGTCTATAACCAACTGTACCAACATTTGAACTCAAATAACCTATTTGCTAGTGCCCAATCCGGTTTTCGTGCCTTGCACTCTGTACAAGTCATCGGTGTTTTTCGTGCCGTCTCATAAATATTCAGGCGTTAGTCCATTAAGGGTCTTGTAAACCATAGTGTTAATTTCAGTATTGATCAAATCCTGAAGTGGTTTAAGTCCAAGAGTATTTAACAGTGGTCTAGCACTAGCATCAAAGCAGCTATTTGTAATTAGTCTTGCTACTCGTTTTGAAATAGTTCTTTTCGGTTGCACCACAGTTTTCCCAAACTGAGCAACAGTATCTAAAGTGAAGGTCAGCAACAATTTCTAGCTTCCATTCCTTACCCAATCAAGTCGAAAAGGTCTGATAGCATCGTTTTCTTCTATACTAATGTCTGATAAAGAGTATTTTAATGTTCTATATTGTTATGCTCACCCGTTCCCGAAACACTTCCAGTTGCTTCAAGTGAAAACCTTTTTACTGTTTTTTTCCCGAGAAAGTGTCTATAATCAAGACTCGATTTAAAGACGGCCTAATGTAAAGGTACTTTCATAGGAAATTGTAAGAGAAAAGAAAGAGCGACTTAAAGAAGCGATGAAAATGATGGGACTTTCTAACTGGGTCCACTGGGTGTCGTGGTTCGTTAAAAATTTCGCTTTTTTGACGATATCTTGTGCCTTGATAACAATTGTCCTGAAGGTAAGTTGAGTCTCTATTGTGTGTGACTTTTTAATTGCACCTTCAGTTCTGGTCATGAAATTCTTCACAGTTGTTCAGACACATAGTTAGAAGGCGTATTTAGTTTTAATTGAATGGTGTATATAATTTGCCTCTGTAGGACCTTGCGTATTCCAAAATCATAGGTTTGTTAAATTCGAGTTGAAAAGATAAATTTGAGTTAGCGGGAGTATTTTTTTCTTTTTTCTATCTAAATACTCATTTGTGTGTGGGAGTGTATTTGAATCCTAGAGAAAGATGCAAACTAAAAAACGTTTCTGGCAGGTTATCGGGTGTACCACAAGTCATCCCTGGGTAGCAAGCCCAGTGAAAACAATTCCCGTTTAAAAATTTCCTGACCAGAGAGTCCCCTTTCGAAGAATTCAATGCCTCGGGCATTTTTCCAATTCCCAGCATCCCTTGCAAGTGGAAATTTTTTCCCTTCCGTCTGTCTTGCGTTCCCGTTTTAAAATTTTTATTTCCCAGCCAAAAAATACACCGAAGTTCTCTCTACGGCTCTCTATGAGGCCTATTTCTCCGGTCATCTTTTTACCCATCCGGCACAAAGCCAAGACATATCTTAAAATCCTCTGCCCTATTTACCTGCTATCCCCATGATAAAAAAACTTGCTGGTCTTATTACACAGGTTGTTACCAACCCTTACTATTAGGTAATAGCTTTTCGTATTAAGAGCCATAGTTTTGTTGTATACAAGTATTTTATTTTTGGAATGCTTTCACTGCTCCAAATTTTCAAAATACCTCAATTCCATTTTCAATTTTTTCACCAGGCATCGAAAGTGTTCGAGTACACGGATGGTTTTTTGCTCTTCGTTTTCTTTCTGGCCTACTCATTTTCAATAATTTTCTTCTGCTTCGCTATCAGGTTGGTGTTAATCTCAATTCTTGCATTTCAAATATTTTCCCAATGGTGTTTAAACTCTGTACTAAGCATCAATTTTATCTTCCATTATGTATATACCTAAATTATTATTAAGTTAATCAAAGCCCACATGTATCGCTTTGGTATTCTAATTGTTCATTTGGTTTATTTTCTAATAAAGGTAGGGAAATTATAACTCTATTTTCTGACTGCTTGAAATTAGACTCATGCTGAGTGTAATGTGCAAAATTTCCCTACTGTAGTTTCAACATTTTACACACTCAGGATTTTCAGAAGTCCTGCCCTGACTGGTTCAATTGCTCACATTTTCTCTCCGTTAGTTTAAAAAGTAAGATATCACTGTTCAATGCGGTCCTTGAGCCCTGATTTCGACAAAACCGTTGCTAGATTGATGATTGCAGTTTTTTTAATTTGTGTTTGTTAGTCTGTATAAAGATGAGTTTACACAATCTTTTCTTCAAATCAGATTCTTTTTCTTATATTTGCTTGAATCGAATTCAAGCGTCTACACGGTGGAATATTTTCAAACCAAAATTCAAGATGTATGGAAAAACAATCTCCGTAGAATAGCAATGCGCATCATGACGCGAGAGCATGCGCACTGAAAAAGATCATGACATCCTTGGTACGAACGTTCAGATTCTTTCGGTGTTAAGCCTGTTTATGAAAACGTTCTCTTTCAGTGTTTTCTGTTGCAATGTCATCTGTGGAATGCTGGTCGGTGCGCTGTTTTGGATCGCTACCTATGTACCCTATGCAGTTATTGCTAGTGGAACAAACATATACGACACCATGAGCGTGTACGGTTTGCCTATTTGACTTTTGTGAATTCAATTTATAAATCATTTTTTCATTAAATGCCATTTGTTAAAATGATGAGTGGATATAGCTTCGCTCAGTATGATAAGCAAAGGCATGTATTTTTTACCGTTTACTTGAAGTTCTTGATTGTCATTGCAGACAACCAGGAAACTTTCTTTTTTCTAATTATATCATATACATAATCGTTTTTATTATCAAAAGCAAAGGACATTCAACTGTCTATAGAATCCAAATATCAGCTTAACCCAATTAAGCTAAACGTCTCTGTTTCTAGTTCTTTTTTCCCGTTATATCTTAATTTTTCTAACATCTGGAAAGTCATTAGCTGCAGGAATGAAATGAAAGGAAAAATAACACAAAATTTGTAAAATACTTTCCATGAAAAACGACCAGTCTGTTTAGAAAGGTTTGGCACAGAAATTTTGCAAAACGGGATTTTTGTGATGCAAAAAAGGACCTTATATCAAACAAACATCACTGGACAGCTTCTTTCCTGCACAACTTTATACAATCATCCTTGGATTGGCCTTTTCATTGCTGTTTTAAATTCCTGCTAGAGACTCTTTCACTGAAAATGCCTTTATCCTCCAAGCTGGAACCGAAACTGCACCTTGGGTCATGTCACTGCTATAGTTAGCCCTCTTTCGAAAAATTTTCCCTGTTGTTGGAACTAAAACACTAAATTTACGTATGTAAAAATTTTTTGATCCAGCGTGGATTGTGGCTTTAATGGAGTCAAGTATATCATCCTATCTTTTGGTTAGGCAACCATAAGGCTTTCATTCATTTTAATTATTCCAACTTCATAAGAGTTTGGTTTATTAATATTTGTTACTTGTATATTTGATTCTAATTGCGATAAACCTAAATGATGCAAAAGACCCAATGAATATAGACGTTATACTTTTTATCCATATGTCAGGGAATTTCTTTTGCCAGGTGAAGGACAAATGGGGCATACCTCATATGTACTCAAAATCCTTAGAGTCCTGACCAGATTGGCAGTATAATGTCATATGCAATTTAATTTTGCTGTCATGTGATTCTTATCAACTTAGGAGCCAAAAAGCAGCTGCTTGTCTACTCCCAAACACGTGCCTCGGAATCGGTATTCAAGTCATGACAAATCTCGAGGCTGCACAGATCGGATCGCAGTGGGATAACATTGCCATGTCATCATCTGTTGATGAAAACTTCAACCTTCTGATGGTTATCATCATGTTCTTCGCTCAGTCGTTGATTTGGTGGATTATAACATGGTATCTCTATTTATTTTTATTCACCGAGAAAGACAGTTATTTCTAAAATGCATTTATAAAGGGGCACTGTTTTTTAATTTTGTTGAAGTTTTCAGCCATGATCTTGAAAAGGACCTTTATGTGTTTTTAAAATAACTACGATTCTGGTTCTTGTTTTATACAGCCATTGTTTTCTACTATCAGATAATTTGCTTGCGATACCCAATTCAGTGCAAATTTTCTATCTGCTTGCCTATTTACATTGTTTCCAAGCAAGAGTAAACTCGTAACATTAAACACCAATAACTTATTATGCACTTTTTACCCAGGTTTTTTACTATTTGTTTGGGAAGGACGTCTGCTGTGCTAAACGCAAAGATTTTTTCCAATCTTTTTTTTCAAAGATACGGAAACAAAGAAAAATTATTATGTTATGTTGAAAAAAGAACGACTATGTAGTGAACCCGCTAATTTTAGATGACATTTCTTTAAAAGCAATCTGAATTTTACTGAATTCAAACGAAGAAGCTATGTCACGAATTTGCTAAAGTGAAGCGACCTCATTACCTCATTAAGATGCGCTGTTGAGTAACACTGAATTTTTCCAAAACTTTTCTCTAGGTACGTCGAGGCTGTTTTTCCTGGTGAATTCGGTGTCCCAAAGCCGTTTTACTTCTTTCTCACTCCCAACTACTGGTGCAAAACTGGCATGTGCAAACAAGATACTGGCTGTCTCGATGAGGTGGGCAAATATTTACCTTAGCAGCATTGTGGTGTTCAAAATGCTTTAATTTTATGGACGTGATGATGGTTCTGCAGCCTCTTGAAAGAAATCATTCCACTATCAATAGAGCAATGGTTTCTTTGGTATCAACAAGATGAAATATCAATAATGTCATTCGTGTATACATTGTTTTATGACCCTTAAGGCCTTTAGAAGAAACTTTAGAAAGTAATTTATTAGCTAAAAACTCAGAAGGGAATGAAATGCATGGCTTTGTTTCAATGCTGTATCAACAGGCGGTTGATATGTGCCATTGTATTATTGTTCCCTGCCAAAAGCTATTATGACACAATTTTTTATCGGGAAAAATGCAATTATATAAATTCATGAATCAAAATACAATTTACAACAGAATTCAGTTACATAAAAACGGTTTTCAACTACTCTAAAGTCTTAAGTAAATGAGACATTTTAATAACTACTTTACCTTATTCCAGCCTTGTTGCCCCACCAATGGAGTTATTTAACTAAGATTTAAAATTTTCTTTGCAATAACTTACAACGTTGCTTTTGAATCTGAATTTCTCGATCCCCGCGTTTATTAAAAGGCCATGTTTTTAAAGTTTTAGACTTGGCAAGGCCCCTCCACCGCCAAAATTTCGAATGGTTCTCTGAGCAGCCCGACGTGCATATCGCTTTCTGAAGTAATTTTTTGCCCTAATTTTTTGTCTTGATCAATGTTTTCATTGTATAAATTTAAGCATCGTTTATTGACTGTTTTCCTACTCCAATTTTCCTTTTTTTCTAACAAGAATTTGGAGATGATGGTAAAGGAAACCAATCCAGATGTTGAAAAAGAATCGAAAGATTGTAAAGTAGGAATTGACATAAGAAACTTGACTAAGGTTTTCAAGGTATGTAATGTCAAGAAACGTTAGTTCCTTTTGTTACAGAGTATTATTGCAACCGTCAAAGTCACCCTCCCCCCCAAACTGTTGAAGCTGTTGACTGTTCTACTGGTTATTCATCCTCCTCTAACATTGCATTTCTTTTATTTAGGGAGCGACTGGGAAGAAAGTGGCGGTAAATGGCTTGAAGTTGAGAATTTATAAAGGACAGATCACCGCCTTACTTGGTCACAATGGCGCAGGTTATTTATTTTTCCGATACTTAATCTTCAGTCATAAATAATAATACGGGAAATGTTATCATGTGCAAACGACAAACTTTGCATCTGTTTTTCACTTATCAGGGTCAATACCTTAGTGGATATCAGGATAGATTTTTTCGAAGATTCATTTTTGTATGAAGAGTAAGATTATGACGTAAAAATGGAGATTCTTTTGTTAAGGTAAAGATTTAAGTTGCCCAATCCTAACTATTCAATTTCATTATGGTGAATTTTTATTTACAGTAGGTCCTTGCAATCTCAGGCTCCGACTAGTGTAACTTCGTATACGTTCCTTCGAGTTACATCCAAACTAATGGTTTTACATTGTGTCTAAATACCCCAAGCTTTCTATTTAACTTCGTTGTTTATCTTTTAGTATTATTCATTTTTTCATCTTTTTATCGTCGGGGTAGGGAAAACGACAACTATGTCGATCCTTACTGGTCTGTTTACGCCAACAAGTGGAGGTGCAATGATTGCAGGGAAGGATATCAACACACAAATGGATGAAATAAGAGAAAGCCTTGGTTTATGCCCCCAGCATAATGTTTTATTTGATCGACTGACCGTACAAGAACATCTAGAGTTCTTCATTGCTTTGAAGGTATATAATTGCACGTTGTAGGAAAAATGGCTAATAAATCCATTAATTCATTAAGTTGCAAGAGCTTTGTTTATTTATACATTTCCATTGCTTGTTAGGCCTTATTATTTTCCTTTAGCTCTTTTCCCATTTGAAAATACAATTAAATTGTTCAACCTGTCGTTTCAATACACCAATACGACTTATGGTCACCTTTTGTAAATCTCCAAATCTAATTATACGACTTTTTCAAGCTCAGATTTGGTTTTATCACAATAATTTTAGGCCGGATACAATTTTTCATATTGTTTGTGTTCGTATTTCAAATTTTATGGAGAAATGAAGTTTGAAAACTTTTAAGGGATCTAACCGCAAAAATCATTCCGGGTGAAACTTTACCCCCTAGTCGCCAATCACGGTAAAATCCCTTATAAAATTTTTTATCTTTATGTCGTCTTTAAATCAATATCGTGAGCAATACTACAATGAAAACTTAAAAGAAGACTAAAATCATTGCTCTCAATCCGAATCTGAGGTAGAAAATGTTGTACAAAAGAATTTAAAATTTTTTTCAAAATGATTCCGTAAGTCAAATTGGTGTATTGCTTTTTAATTGTACTACCGGATTCAAACTTCAGGGAAATCTTTAGCAAGAAAGCTGTTAATCTGAAAAGTTACGAGGTGTTTTTTAAAATTTGATCATTTGAATTCACTGGTCCAAGTCTGTTTATGACATTAATTAATTTTTTGTGTACTTTCAAGGGTACGCCATCAAAGACTGCAAAATTGAAAATTGATGAAATGCTCAATGATATAAAGTTAGCAGACAAGAAAAATGCCCGTTCGATGACTTTGTCTGGAGGAATGAAGAGAAAATTATGGTAACATTTTTGACAAAGCATTTGCCTCAGTTGACGCCCTCTCTTGTAATAGCAAAGCAACTTCATAAATGCAAACAATTTGCAATTTTTTCTTCACATTACGTTCGTTACATTCGATTCGTCTTAGCGCAAAAATTAATTTTATTGTAATTTTACCAACATAGTTTCCTGTGTTCGTTCTCAGCCTAATGCTATCTAGTTTTGAGCGCGATAAAAAAATGCATTTCGTTCTAGCTGTGCTATTGCTTTGATTGGCGATCCAGATGTTGTTTTCCTTGATGAGCCTACAAGTGGTATGGATGCATATGCACGCAGAGCCACGTGGGATCTTCTTGAGAAGTATGCAAGCAACAAGACCATTGTACTCACGACGCATTTCATGTACGTCTTTTTAAAAATTCACTCTTTAATGCATTTGATTGACGTAATGTTGACAATGAATTGCCAGCATCGAGGTTGCATAAGAATGTTCAATGGCAGAATCGTATCATTTGTGTTTAGTTTTGTAGATTTGTCTGATTCGTTTTACAAACTTTCAATGACGCTGTAATGTATTTCTTCAATGAGATGCTACCTCTATCAAGACTTTGGTTATATGACGTATCCGACCCCATGTTAAAAGGCATGATGTCTTACGGCGAATGTATGCAAGTCTTTCGAAATTAAACTAGATTGAACCTTTCATACATGTTTGTATTAAACCAGGTATCGCAAAGACATCTTTGCCTTATGTGTTGCAAAAGCTGTGCCAATACCTGAGACCTCCAAACGGTGCTGCTGCTGGAAAGTCAAACTTTTATGGCCTACAGAATTTATGGAAGTTGGCTATCTTTGAGGGAGATTAAGGAAAGAGTGAACTCCGCCTCATAGTATACAACATTTCTTTGCCCTTATGATGGTGTTTCTTTGTGCAATTGGATGTTGCATAACAAGTCTGTCGCCCATCACTAGGCTTCAATGAGAATATAACGACAGGTCTTACCGCTATCAATCCAAGTATTAGGATTCAAAGGAATAGCCTCATCCTATTTATAGATGCAGGTGACATTAGCTGTGTCTATCCTGTTTATTTGGGATTCAATTTCCCTGGCCGGAATGGCAGACAGCCAAGGGAGACGTGGCGGCAGCATGGCATCACCTCTTTATGCACAAACGCTGGTGATATATGCTTACCTGTCACTGTGCTTTACTCGTCTCAAATGTAACAAAATATGAATGGTTTAGTTAGAGGACCCACTTCAAACCTTTTATCGATATCCTTGTTTTCTTTTCGTTTAAAACAGGGACGAGGCTGACTACCTTGGAGACAGAATTGCTATAATGGCGGACGGAGAGCTGCGTTGTTGTGGTAGTTCACTTTACTTAAAGAAAAAGTGAGTGCAGTTTCAACTTACAATTGCGTTTCAGAAGTAATGGTTTTAACAGTCTAATCAGTAAAAAGATTTCTCTTTAGACTTCTTAAGGGTGAGAAGATTTGCTTATAAGGTGGTATATTTTCCAAATCGTTATAATTTTTAATCTTTAACATAACATGAATTCATTTTTTGATTAAAGAATATACCAACAGGGTAGAAGTTGATTTTTATGGGGAGAGCTAAAGGATAATATTTTCCTACCAGAATTTGTACAATCTATTTCCTGCATCCTTATCCTTCCACTTGTCCCTGTTTTTGAGACAGATTTCGGTCAAAGACTATTGAAAATCGCGTATTACTTTTTAATCCCAATATTCGTTTTGTTACATTTTCGTAGATATGGCGTTGGATACCACTTGACGTTGGTGAAGAATAGTGATTTTAATGAAATAGACACTGATAAAATAATTGTAGACGCTGTTCCTACAGCAAAAATGGCAAGTAATGGCCAATCAGAAATCAGCTATCTCTTAGAACACGAGCATTCGAAGAAATTCAGAGATTTGTTTGAAAAACTCGAGGGTATGCTTCTATATCGAATTGATTTTTCCTTCAACTTTTCAGTGGAAATGATGAATTTTTTATATAGTGTCAGATGTCTTGCAGTTGTATTGATGAATATTTTGATCATCATATCGATCATCTTATTTTTATCATTAACGACTTCATTAAGGCACGAGTAAAGACGTTTAACAAAGAAGCAAATGATTTTTTCATGTTAAAAGAAGCAAAAAAAGGAGCAAATGTATTGTCTTTGTGTTCTATCAGATAACTTTATTTTGCAACTCTTTCTTGGTACTAATTTTCACTGAATAAATGAAAGAAAGTATAGCAGAAAAAGGATACATTTAAAATTACATTTTAGCTAAATATTTAACCCTTTTTTGTAAATATTTTCGCACACCTTAGGGAAAAAGGAAGAACTTGGTTTGCGAAGTTTCGGAATTTCTGTCACAACAATGGAGGAAGTGTTCTTAAAAGTTGGAGAAGGAAGTGATAAGGCTTTTCCAGATGGGTAAAATCCTCACTTTTTTGTGCATTGTATACACGAGAGCGTTGTGTGCTAACAAGCAATACTGTGAATCAAATACAATTGAAAATTATCGTATGAAAAACTTCTTTGCTTGGTTTTCAAAAGTATGGTTAAAAAAATTTCATGCTTTCAGGCAAAATTGATTTTTATCGCAATATGTCATGGGTTGTTTATTTATATATGAAATAGCATGTTATTTATTTAGTGTTGTTCCAAGATCAGCTGAGACCACTATGAAAGGGATTTGCAGTGATCAAGGTCAGTGTGCCATTTGATGCAAGTAACTTAGAGATAAAAAGCCATATTTTGTGAGAGATAAATTAGCGGTAGATCGTTTTGCCTCTTGTCTCTGTTCTAGTCTTATGTTTATTAAATTTCGGATTTCCCACGTACCATTCAGCTTGACCTTGAGAATCGATGTATGGGGAAAGAAAATATGATTATAGCGTAACTTTTCTTCATAATATGCAAAAAGTAATGATTATTTTCATGGGAATCTAGATTCGTTTTTATTTCCAAGTATTATTTTCTTCAATTTCAGAGAAACTGACAGGGATTGCACTCAGCCTTGCACAGTTCCGTGCCATGGTTACAAAAAGATTCTTGAATTCAAAGCGAGAAAAGAAAGCATTTGTAACCCAGCTGTTGTTACCTCTTGTTATGATTATCGGTGGTTTGTCTCTAAATCTAGTGACGTCATCGACAGCAGACCAACCACCTCTTGTTCTCGATTTGTCCATGCTGAGTGATCCAGGACAGACTACGCATGCCTATATCGCCAATTATAAGGAATGGAACCAATCAGATACTTGGCAAACCTGGCAAAATGTAGGAAACTTTTCTTTAAAAGTTACATTTGCTAATATTATATAAACTCTACAGACCCACCATTTTGAAGTACTATTTTCAATGGAAGTGAGCCTTTTTAAGTATATTCCTTTTCTCATCTTGTATGTGAAATCCCCCTATTCGGCCTAAGAAAATTCCATCAGCGGCTTTTCCTTAGTTGTGCCTTTTTTATTGACTATCTTCCGCATCAGTTATATGGTTAGCCAAATCAAACATTCTTTGCAAAGTAGTGGACTTGCCATTCCTTCAACTTGAAGAAGCGTATATGTGCAATTTTTGTTGCTTTAGATCATCGGAAATTACTTCAGAAGTGTGAGAGTGTCACAGCAAGATATCACCAACGACTCCTTAAAAATACGAACATTGAATACAAATAACAGTGTCACTTACAAAGGGAAAACATACCAGCTAGAGGACACAGACAAAACAGCCTGCTGCAAATATGGAGACCTTGTGCTCAATGCAAAGTGTAAAAAAGCTGTGAGTCTTTCAATTTTCTAAGTAAAATTAGTCATTATGAAACAGCACGCTATAAGGATTTTAGGTTGGTTGAAATGTAGAGCGTGAGATGGAGATATGGTTTCTTTTCAATCTTATTTATTATTCAGGGATTGAAAATGTTTTGATTTTTTGAACGAAAGTTAATCACTTGTAGATAATTTGTTTTGTTAACATTCTATGGGTTATAGCGACCTAAGCAACTTTGTGATATAATCGTCATAGCGACTCAACTAATGCGGGACAACAGTCGCTTCGCCAATATATCTTATCCATAGTGACTTATCATTTAACAAAAATGACGTCAAGGTCCTAACCATAACTCCTTAGTTGGAGACAAATTTGTTTGTTGATATACAACATGAAATAAGCCAATCAAAGAGAAACTTTTTCGTTAAGTCATGATGGCTATATCTTTCAGTGTTATGTCTTCAAAAGTTTTTCACTTCAAGGTTGGAATCGTTTGTTGCTTAAATGGTCGGTTTGTTACGCCCCGGTTGCCTGCGGAATGAAATAGAAAGAACAAACTATTTACAAAGTGGTTTTTTGTCGCATATCCTACCAATACTCTATTATTTTCGACAGCTACGGGGCTCCATCATATTTTAATGTAAACACTGCCTTTAAAATGCTTTCAACTTTACAGTTTATGAGTTTAAATTTATTAAAATAATCATGAATGGATGTATGATGATTTAAGATTAGAGAATTGTAGATCTGCTTTTTACTATCTTTATCGATTGCGAGAAGTCAGTCTTTTAATCATGAATCGATCTATCAAAAGTTTAGCTTGTTATTCATTCGAAGTGTATACGTGCTGATACCCGTTAATTTGTTCAAACCATAATAACTTTATTTTACTACGCAGGTTGATTCCAAAGAGAGTTACGAATCACTGTGTGGCAAGAATGATAAAGGTTTTGGCTACTCGTCGTGCAAAGATTGTATCAATGGAATGTAATCATACTTTTTTTAGTTTTAATTATACTTTTTATTAGTATTTTATTCAAATAAAGCAGTTTATGGTCTACAAAGGTTCAAACCTTTACAAACAAATGTAAAAGCTTTTGGCACGTACTGAAGCAATATTTAAAATGGAAATGGTGGACAGATGCCAAAATGGTTAAAAGGAAAGACGTATCATGAGACTAATATCCAGTATGTTCTGTGTAAAAACCCTTTAATCAAGAAGTAGAAATCGTTTTGGCGCCTTTATCATTTGTTTTCTGATATTTTCAAATGAAGGTTTTTTCTTATTATGGAAGGAAGGAAAGTTTTTGAGTGAACTTATAATTGAATTATTTACTAGTTGCAGCGTATTTCAGTTCCTTTTCAATACAGATGTTTCAAATTTCAGATTTTTCAGATTTCATCAATTTTTGGTAACTTCTTTAATTCTTTTCTGGTCTGTAAAGGCCATATCGAGATTCATTTGATCAGGGGTCCTACTTAGCGTGGCAGATCATTGTATATTGACTAATCCTGTTTCTGTTTATTGTAGCCAATCCCCTTACTCGTGCCCAGTTTCTGTTATTAGCACAGACTTAGCAAATCCAACCACATTCTACACTGAATATGTTTTGGAAAAGAGCAACTCGAAGAGATTTTTTAGGAAGTATGTTGCTGGGATAACTTTCGAGAATAAAACCTGGAAAAGACAATCTAACAGAGATTTCGAAATGAATGTGTGGTATAGTAACCAGGTACGTACCGTATTACCCTTTTATAGGCGCACCTCAATTAAAGGCGCATGCGCTCATAAGTGAATCTTTATCTTACCGATTGTGCGAGAAAAATGTAGAAATAAGAAACAGCCATATGGCTATCTATATTCTCTCTGACAACGTTCAAATGCTTCCTAGATTACTTTTCTTGCACTGTCCATTTCTTTAAATTGTCCTTTGAGTATGGACTGACCTGATGACGAGGACAACTATTTAAACATCTGAATGAAGAACTAATGATCATTGATAATGATTCGGATCCTGAGAAGGTTGAAATTGAACAATTGTTACAATTTCCAATTTTTTCTGTTGAATCATTACTCGTGCACATTTATTTTCAAAAAAATTTCTTTTTTATAGGCACATGCACTTGTATCTGAATAGGACAAATCTTGAATTTCAATTAATAAGCGCATGCGCTTTTAAGCGGGGTGATAGGGTATTAGTTTGAATGCACTTTGGCTGCAATATCTTTGATGTTCGAGGCTTGGCATTTTTCTTTCAAGAGCGTGTCTTTTTATGCTTTATTTATGGTGTCTGACGGTAAAACTTGAACGAGCATAAAAACCAGCATTCTTGTTTAAGTTTTTCTTTAAGGAGGCCTCCGCATCTGCAATGTGCCTTGAAAGATGTTATATCTGAGTTCCGATTCTAAGAGATGCCGTTATTTTTAGCATTCTTTTTGAAAAAGGCAAAATCGATTTTGTACAGTTTAATGTTTCCTTATAAAGTTTAATTAATGTTTTCATGCGATGTTATAAATTGGACACGCAGGTGAAGTGAAAGTATCCGTTGCTAGTGCTTCCCTTGCTGTCATAGATTTTGTCATTGAATCATACGACCTCAATAGAATCGTTTTAAGCTGATGCCTTCATAGATGTTAGTATATAACTATTGTTGGCTTAACGACATTTTGATTGTAGGCTCTGCATACGCTGCCATCAGTTTTCAATGCCGCCAGTAATATCGTTCTAAGATACCTCAAGGGTGATGAGAGCTACGGCATTGAAGTAACCAATCATCCTTTGCCACTGAGTAATAAAGAAAAGGTATGGTATCTTTTTCGAATCAGACTTTCTTCAATTCTGATTGTGAAGCCACTGATCTTGTTATAATCTCTGACAGCAAACCTTGTTTTCATTTTTGTTTCAATAAAACTGCGTTTTCGTCACAAAACTAGCTTTTTTATTTAATTTTTGTAAACGCCAACTTAACAAATGTAGGTGTGCATAATAATGTATTTCTGTATTTTTGTTTTGGTTTATAGCAAAGAGAAAGCGCTTTCTCAGGGGGAAACATCATCTTGACAATATTTGTAACCTTGGCGGCTACTTTTGTTGCTGCTAGCTTCATCGTTTTCATTGTCTCCGAGAAAAAATCAAAGGTATATTCTTTTTTTTCTGAATTGATTCGTTTTTTATATCAACACTAGACAAATTTCTCTTACATCTTTCCACTAAGCAGGTTATCTTAATGTCTCTAAAGACATGTAAAGTGCAATTGTTCTTTCTACACCCCCTCCTTCCCCGTCCTAATTTTGTAGATCATGATGTAAACACGTACGACCTTGCAAAGGGGGTTATCTGTGTTGCGGTGGGGGGAGAAGTTAATAGTCAGCATTGGTAAGAAGGGATAGCTTAAGCTAGACCTGGTTTTTCCAACATTTAAAATAAGATGTTAAATTTTTCGCAAATAAACATGGTCGTGCTTGTTATCTTATATCTAAAAGGGTGCATATCCAAAGACGTGTTTTAACTTGACTAGCTATTGCCAAAAGACTTAGTAACCTCACTTTTGAGCATGTTCACAATTAAGTTGCCTCTTTCCCTACCTTCGCCGATTCTCTTCTTTGTTGGTTTATTTTCACCGAGGTTGCACAAGAATATGTACCAATTAGAAACCGGCTGTCGTCTTTAACGTGATTTTATTCTTAGCCTTTAAACCTAGTCTTCGCTTGCAACTAATTTAACTGTGCAATATTGGCTTGAAAATCATAATCATTCGCACATCTATTGTTAAATAATAATGGTTTCTGAGTAGCTGCGTCTTGTTAGATGACAACGCCATGAAAAACTTTAAAACGCCTATCAATTGCGCTAGGGCTTTTCCCCCTATATGCTGTCTTTATGGTGACTGTATGGGCTTAACAGAAGGGTTCTGTCGATTCGTGACTGTTTAATTTCATTTTTCTTTGAATGGAAATCAGTATTGTTCTAGTAAATTAAAACCATACTGTCATGATGCGTTCAGGGCCAATTCATTCTTTGTAATGTTTCTTTTCAAGGCAAAGCACATTCAGTTTGTAAGCGGTGTCAATGGGTGCATCTACTGGGTGTCTTGTTTCTGCTGGGACTTCATTAATTATTTGCTGCCAGCTGTCGCAATGGCCATCTGCTTTGCCGCTTTTCAGAATACTTTCGTCAAAGGCAATGACCTTTATGCCCTCTGCTTAATTATAGTGAGTTTTTATACTTTATCAATGTCAATTACCCTTTCTCTATGCATATCCTTTTCTGTGAAAATTTGTTGCTGAGCAAATTTAAATATAGTGCATCTTTGTTAATTTTTCATAGATGTATAGTTTCATGTTCATTCTTTATTCAGGGTTGGACAATTCGGTCTCCCGCGCACCCGGGATTACCGGGTTTTACCTGCGGCAGACCGCTTATCGGTAACTGCCGGACCACCAAGATGTCACTTAAATTGTCCGGCCCTATTGCCGGTGTTCCCAGAGACCACAGAGAGCCCATTATACTGGAATTGTCCACCCCTGGTCATTGCAGTTTGTTTTTCTGTGCTTCTACAATAGCAAGAGATTTTAAGCTTATTAATATTGACTTACTATATTTGTTAATTTGTGACTTATTTGCCAATTGTTTCTTTTTTTAAAGTTCATGCACGGCCTTGCCGCTCTCCCGTTTACATACTTGGTGTCTTTTATCTTCAAAAGTCCCTTCGTTGCATATGCGGTTATGTCCATTATCGGCTTTGGAATCTGTGTGGTGAGTATGTCTTTTCAGTTTCTTTACACCATTATTCTGCTCATTTTTTAACTTCGTGTTTGTTTCTATCTAGCATCCGAAGGTAGTTTTTAGGGCACTGAGAAGCCATGCTTGCTATATGCTTATCGAGCAGTGTATCTCGATGTGACCACACCTTGAGCTGGCCCCAGGGGCGAAAATACCGGGGGGGGGTGTGGGGGTGTGACACCCCCCCAATCTTAAAAATAGTCGATTTCGCAGGGCAATCGAAGATTTCGCAGGGCGCCAAGAAGAGCTTTGTTCCCACGAAGAAATGTCGCCTCTGAAGTTCGTAAAGGGCCGTTTAGGAATTTTGAAATGGAAATATAGTATTTGTTATGAACCTACCTTCCTGATATTGCATTTTAGACAACGGAACAGGTATGTAAGAAAAAGCTCCGTTATTCCGTCATCATTAAAGTTTCCAAGGGAGTCAATAGTTAATATCTCTGGACATTGCGAGAATAAACTTCGTGAATTTCGCATTCTAGGCCAAAAACGCGAAAAATGCAAAGTTCCTTCCCCTAAAGTATCGTAATGCTGACACTATTTCTTCTTTGAGTAATTGAGCGAACAAATTTTTGTTCAATACCACGATCATTTGGCTGCTAGGACAGGTAATGATACTTTGATTTGCAGTTTCATTTTGTCCTTGGTTTTTTACTTTTTCAGTGATGAATAAGGTTGCTGTTTTAATTTCTAGGCCATGACTTTTGCCGTCTTCATCTGTCGTTTTGAAGGCAGTTCCTGCTCAAGTGCTGCTCCAGTAATGCATAAATTGTTTCTGCTAATACCGATGTATGGGTACGTGTGACTATGGAAATTTTGAAACTGTTAAAGTTCTGCTAAACATTGACAACTTATTTAAGAATAAAGGAATTATTTTTTTATGTCGTTTTTAAAAGGCACTTTGAAGACTGTACGGTGCTTTCAAGAAGCGTTTATAAAAGTCAAATACAGGGACGCGGGAAACATTTCAAAATTGTAGAGACACTGGTTAGAAGTCCACATTGGCTCAAGAGGTTCAGACTGAATAATGGCACTTGTAAGAAAATGGACATTTGTTCACAGGTCTGGGGCACATGCCCTTGGTGCCCTTCCCGTTCCAATAAAAATGTATGCTCTAACACATTTGTGATTTACCAATAATGTTATCCTATATTTGCAAAAATTAGAGTTCAAGAAGAAAACAAGACGACACATCTATTTTCTTACCATTCGATGGAATGACAAAACACGACCTTCATTAAATGCAACAAGACGTGACAATTATATCATGATAACTTTGCTTGCAGATCTTTAATACCAAAAATGGTTATATATGGAACAACCCTTCATTTAGCTCACCCATCATTCTCATATACATATACCATAAGTGTTTTGTCTTTAATTATTTGCTCGGGTACATTTACACTTAAGAAATAATTTAGCCTCGTCAAGATGTCAAGGTGTGTTTGATATGAACCAATCACCTTCCCACCTTTCATCTTTATTTTTTGGTAATTGACTCCTTTTTGGTAATTGTTGGTAATTGACTCCTTTTTGGTAATTGTTGGCTATCAGATGTACTGTAACGAGACCATCATTGTACGTGCGTAGAAATTCACGAGAGATGACAATTTACCTTAAACTGTGTTAGTAGAATCATTTTTGAACCTATGAAGGTCTTTTGGCTTAGTCTGATTGCGTAGTCTGATTGCTTATGAACGCCATTTTCAGTCAACTGCCTGGGTCCTATATGCTGCTAAAGCACTCCTATGAAATATTTCTGGGCACAAACGTCCATTGACGATAGCACGGGCCATTGTGGTTAGTTCATTTCTGAATCTGTTATTTTGATTATTTTTACAGTCTTTCAAGCAGTGTCCTTGACATCAGCAATAATGCAAACAACAGGGAGCTCTGCTCAAAAAGCATGTAAGTCATAGAATCAACTTGTCTTGCTTTTTATCACTTGCTTAGTTTTTGTACTTTTTCATATATTTTATAACCTCACTTAAGGTGTTGATAATATCAAGATATCTTCACAATCTTCTCAAAAGCATATTTGCAAAACGTAAAAATTTAAATGGTGATCATTCCTCTCATCTAATGTTTAAGTCATCTATCTTTGGGTGATCGAAGTTTTTAAAAGGAATGCATATGAAATATTTTCAATTTATAGTAAAACAACGCATGAATAAAGGGACAAAACACCATTGATTATTTTGTCAAAAGAATTGATTTGGTATCTTCGCAGACAAGTTTTAGGATAATTTTGATCGCATCATTTGTTGTCCTTCATGTGTCCACATCACTCTCGATTAAACGGAAAGCTAAGAATGGTTTAAACGGAAAGCCAATCTGTACAGCTTTCGATATGGATCAAAAAGTGATCTGTAGCGGTTTAAACGGAGCCTTAGTCTGCTTAGCAATTCTTAATTCAGTTATATGATATCCAATCTTTGTTAGTTTTAACGGACACTATCTAGGTACGTAGGTTGAAAAGTCTGCTAGGAACTGCTCTTTGCTTCAATGAATTTGTTATATGTGTTTGTGAGAGCTGACAGTGATCTGTGTCTCTATCCTGCAGGGCTGCGTGTAAGAGGCAAGGGACCATGTGGCAGAGCAGTTCCTTCTCGACTGAGTATCCAGGTGTTGGCTGGACGTACCTGTACTTCTTTTTCGAATGTTTCCTCTACTTGGCCTTGGTTATATTAATCGAGGTACCTTTTTCTTTCGATTTGCCGAAATTCCTTACAAAATTGATTGGAACACCTAGCTTTGCTTTGTTATATATTTTCAGTCCTTTTCCCCAATGTTACAATTTATTCCCCACTCCCCCTTCCCACATACCTTTGTTAAAAGATTTGGAAAATCTCATACAAGTCACACGAATAAACGTACTACCTAATCTCCTACGTCGTTTCATAGTGAACCAGCATTGTTCCAAGGGAGAGAACTGGACTTTGGCTGTTTTTGCCCTTGACAAATTACGTCATTGTTCCAATAAAAGTCTTTTCGCAGGGATCGATTTTGATAATTCTAGTAACACAACTGGGCAGCAAGGTTTGTTATATCTGGGCATAGTTACGTTTACTCTCAACAGACCATGTGAGTATGACATACGAAAGTGTCATTAAACCGTGAAATATGCCAAAATATGATACAATTATGAGTAAAACCGAACTTACTTTTTAAAAGATAGCCGATATATTCTTGCTGTCAAGCCGAGTCGAGAACATGAATACTCGCATTTAAAGATATTCTCAGAAACAAATTAATCCGTTTGTTGCAAATTTACCCAAGCCAACACCAGCGGGATCTACAGTTTGAAGAATCCGAACTTTTAATCCAATGTAATTATTAAAATGTTTCATGCAGTTCAAGGTTTCTTCATCTTCTAAAGAGCGTACGTCTTTTCATTTCAGGAAAACTTCTTTGTAAAACGTCGACCAAAGGCTCCTCCTCCGCGTTTAATGAATCAGTATGAGGTACTTTTAAGTTTCTCTGTTGTGACAAATTCTCACTTTTACAATGTATTAGACTCAAGGTGCCATGTAAATACTGTTGCTGAAAATCTGGATAGATAATATAATTGTATCATAAAGGTATTGGCATATTTGCAAAAACCGATTCTATATAAAGCTCACAAAAGTAAGTTGGATTTCCCATTTTTAGCGTATGACAAACCTAACATGCTTGATAAAATTGTTAGGACCTCCGAAAAATCTTCACAATTTTGTAAAGTTGTTTCCTACCTCTTATGATTAGATGCATATACACCTCTGATGTAGGAATCAATCTGAGGGAAGGGGAATATTTAGTTGAAACGTTGATAACTGTGAAGGAAATAAAATCTCGGAGTTGCAACTTTGAGCAATGTTATTGTGTTAATCCAACTGTTATTTGCAAAGAATTGTTCCAACTATTTTGTTCCAACTATTTTGTTCCAACTATTTTGTTCCAACAATTTTTGCACGCTATATTGAATGTCAGAGGAGCTACAAACAGTTCCTTGTTAATATATTTATCGTCTGGATGTTATCTTTGCCATTTAGAAAATGAGTAAATGCCGCTACAAATAATTTCTTCTCATCTTCAGGATGTAGATGTTACGCAGGAGAAAGCACGTGTTGCCGACCTTGCACCAAATGGTATCAATGAATCTGCAGTTGTCATTAGGGACCTTACCAAGGTGAAAATTTTGTGAACTAGGCCAGGTTTAATTTACTTTCTTATAACTGAATGTAGAATTGTTACTGGGTAAATTAAAAAATAGGATCCTTGCGTAATATCTGTCTGTCTGGTCGTTGGATCTCTCGAACTTTTTTCATAAGTACTATTGGCTAATAAAAGCGACGTCAGACCCCGTCCACGCATATGCGTTTACAATTGTTATCGTTTACTTTTCTATGCGTTTACCCGTTTTGTCTACACGTGAATAGGGTTCCAGATGACCATGAAGGCATACTTCTAAAACTTCTTTTTCGCTTTTCAATTCTTTTTCTAAACGCTGACATCAGAGCCACAAATTTTTAAAGTTTTCAGACGGTCTTTTATTATAATTATTTGGTTGGCATAATTTCTGCATTAAAATTTTGCATACGAACCAAAATTTTCATATTGAGTTTGCTCACGAACTATGCGAGAAGAAAAATTAATCTTGTTTAGCATAGTTTCCTTCTCGACGCACGACGCATGGAAGCCACAAAACTAGTGCACATCAGGAATGCGAGTGATGAGACATGTATCGTCATATTGTTTATATCTGTTGACTCAACTCACTACATGTGCATGAAGGGCTTAGTTCATAGTGCTTAGATCATGGTATGGGATCATGTGACGTCAGTTGCATATATGGAAATAGTACATATATTTGCAGTCGCTTCAGCGTCTACGTATGGACCAGCTAAAACACCCTGTAAGCAATATAAAAGAATCTGTGTGGAAAGTGAAACTTAGTTTGCCTTTGTAAAGGAAAACAATCATAAACGTGTCATATTCAAAGTTCCAAGGACAAATAATTGTCTTCAAAGCAAAATAATTGTTACTTGGTAACTAATTTTGCATAGTATTGTCCAACAGTGTTTTAGGTATCGGAGTCGTGTTTTATCAGGCTGTGTTTTATTTGTATTCTAAGAAACCAAACGTTTGATGTCTAATCCGTTGTAAATTAATTTGACACATAAGAACATTAATTTTGTAAGAAGAACGAAATTTGATCATAATTTCGACCATTACTAGCTATAAAACGGCATAAATATTCAATTTACTTATGATCTGAGCAAAGTTCATCTGACATTTGGTATAAGTAATAACAGACTAATTCTCTTTTGTCGCAGATTTATAAAAGTAACAACGTCAGAGCTGTTGATTCTGTTTCAGTGGGAATTCCTTATGGGCAATGTTTTGGCTTGCTAGGAGTCAATGGTAAGTTAATTGCTAGGTTAATTGCTAATGTTGGTTGAATATTACCAGTATATATTACTAGTATAACTAGCTCAAAAATCTCGATTAGCCATAAGACCTGGCCACTTTCAAACCACACAGTTCCCGATCATAATACATTTTATGTCTGTGCTTGAAGAAATTAATTTTGTCATTGCAATTATGTTGTTGATAAGAAGGGATTTTTCTACCGATCGCCTATTTCTAAAGAAAATACTCAGAAATTTGCTATTGTAACAAACAGTTTTGCACATGAATTAATTTGATGACCGCATTGGTTTCTGGGAAGCCAAACACCAAAGGCAAAAATATTAACAATGATCAAATCAATGGCGATAAACGTTGAACGTTTCATGAGGTAGCTTTGAAAGGCAACGTGATTTTCTTCATCATTTAATCATATCTGCAGCAGAGTGAATTGCTATCTTTTTAGTAAACTGTTTGCTGCTTAGTTGTGATGAAAATAGACTTGATAAGAAGGTTTGGAAAATATTGAAAGAGCTTTGATATTTAGATGCAGCATCAAGAGTTTAATTTAATGGCATTGGAGACATGTTTCTGAATTTCAGAAAGGCTTTTTACAGCTTCCCGTATCAGACATCTAGAACTGCGTATTATATGTGTTGGTTTCATTGCGTCGACTGCAAATTTAGAAAATGCTCAGCTGGCAGTTGTTAAATTGCATTACAGAACTGCATCAGAAATACCTAGAAGATGTTCTTGATAGCTGATTTTTGAGAAGGCAGGCTTCTGAGGAATAACCCAATTCAAAGAAGTTTGTATTTGCCACCTAGCACCCGGTTTTTAGCACACTGAGCAGCTGTGCTTATCAAGCAGTATCCTGGTCCTTCCTCTCGATGTGACCACCTCGTGATTCCTATGCCTGCTATTGCAGAGATCTGGCAACTCTGCCCACTGGGTGGGTGAAAGCTTGGTCCAAGACTCATCTACGGACCCTTGGATCTGTATTCAGCGCATCTAAGCCCAAACCTTCAAAATTACCCTATGTAAATCGTCAAATCTCAACCATTGGGTGACCCCCCTCCCGAATAATACCATTAATTGCAAACATATTTATCGGGAGACATGGTCATTGCTTCAAATAAGCCTCCACAGTGAACTAGATGGTGTTTTTTATGTGTTTTGTGACGGCAAATCTTGAGGAGCGTTACAAACGGAAGCACGTATTATTTGATAAAATTAATAAACGTCGCTGTCGTCCCTTGATGTCTTCAGTAGAGAACAAGTTTTAGCTATGACTTAGGGTTGTGATTTTTTAATCATGGTCTCCATACTTCCAATTGCCAGTGAAAAATATGTTCGTGATTTAATCTGTAACTCTAGAACTGATTTTTATCAAGATTCAAAAAAGTGAACGAGCATGAAAGCCATGATAACTAAATAATGTCTGCAATATCAGGAAACATCCGTACTCGACGGAAAAGGTGTTTTGACATGTTGCACCAAGAAATATATACAAGCCAACTCTAGCAAAAGAGGGCCGCAGTTATCCAAAAATTAATGCAAGGCGAGAATAGTTCAGATTGATTCCACCCTTTTTTATTTTATTGTTATTTTAGTTCAAATACTGATTGTTTTTTCTTGGAAGCCTACGAAAAAAGTTTTACTCCACTCTTTAAAATGCCGATAAGCTCCCTTGAATAAGCCCCCATGTGAAACATCTTGATGAAAATATGCCCCCATGTGCTTATTCGGGGATTTAGCTTAGGAAGACATCCCTTTTTCAGGAAAGCACCGTTTTCTGAAACTGAAAGCACTTCATTTTATTCGAGGTTGAGATAGGTAGAGTAATGAAACATTGCTTTTACTGTGATATAATTTTTTATTACTTTTAAATTCTTTATCTCGTAAGGCGCTGGGAAAACAACGACGTTCTCGATGCTTACTGGAGAGACTAATATCACTGGAGGAACGGCTTTTTTGAATGGTCTTGATATTCAGGCCCACCTACGCAAGGTAATTATTTCACAGTTGTTATTTTGTCACACTGAATTTGAACTTAGAAATTGTACATACATGTATTTATATAGATAATTATGCATAATGAGCATTACTGTTTATCTGGCTGTCATATAGTGCTCGTTTTCGTATAAAAGGGCTGTACCTTGCGCCTTGGTACATAGAATCGCCCAATCTTATGTGCCAGAGCAAACATACACATATTTTTCTGTTGTGGTTGCTGTATGTTATCCATAAAAGTTTCATTTTTTTATTAATTTTTCATTTTGTCAGGTCCAACAAAGGATCGGATATTGTCCACAGGTAATTCTTTATTTTCTTTACAACGCTGTCAAAACAATTCATACAATAATGTTTATTTTGAATCAAACCAGCTAACTTGCATAATTTGAAGATGGCACGAAATAGTGGAGACATTGCATTCAGTATGATAACCATCTAGTATTCTATCTTCACCTATATTACCATCACCACTACAATCATTTTTGCCATTATCGACATCATCACCACTTTTGTCATCCTCATCAGCATTATCAACATCGTCGCCGTCAATACATCATCATGCTTACATTTATGCTGTATGCAACTGTTTTTTTGCACTTTGAAATAGTTTTTTTTCAATGTACGTATGCCACATAAAAACTACCTTGTAATAGTGCGGTTTGTAAGTGTTATGTTTTTCAAAATGAAATGACGACTGGTTTAAAAATTATTAATCAAATCGACGAGGAACCATTAAATGATAATTAAATCTAATTTGAAAATTCAAAAACATTTGAGAATAAATTACAAGTAAACTGATTTTTTGAGCTCGTGTACACAGTGTTTTCAGAGCAAAAAGTTGTCCCTTATACCGGGGCGAAATATTTGTCAACTTAATGCATTTGTTAACTAAATTTTTCCTCTTTTTTTGTTTTTCAAGTCAGATTTAACTAACGTTGGATTGTTCCTTGTCGCGTTGCGTTCGTCCTGTTCATCGTTTTTCCTGAATTTGTCGGTTATGATTCTAAATTTTAATTTTACACAGTTTGATGCACTTATTAACCATCTGACTGGCCGAGAGATGCTCGAAATGTTTGCTCGTCTTCGAGGAATACCATCATACAAAATTCCAGATGTTGTTAATGCTGTCATACATGATCTTAATTTGGAAAACTACTCAGACAAAATGTGTGGAACGTACAGGTATGTCCAATTAGACCTCTACCTTCTCCGCCTCTCCGCCTCTCCGCCTCTCCGCCTCTCCGCCTCTCCGCCTCTCCACCCCTCCGCCCCTCCGCCCCTCCGCCCCTCCGCCTATCCGCTCCTCTTTTCTATTTCCGCACTTGTCTTTGTGTGTCTTTGGTACCAAGGTTAGGCGTTCAATTACAATGTGTTGAAGCAGTCAAGCGAAATTTCCGTCATTTATTTAAGAATCTTTCTTTCCAAGCCACAAGTTTTTCAATTGCCAGGAAGCCCGCATACTTGATACTTAGTTGCATGTCTGTCTGTCTGTCTGTCTTTGTTTGGAGACATTTGGTGATTTCAAGATTTACTTTTAACTATGTTCCCTATAGCAAAAACGCATATGACCCGAGGTACAGGCCATTGTAAAGAGTTATCCGTTCTCTTGGGGTTTTTTTCATTGCTTTGACTGTAATCAAGAAGTATTGCCCATTTGATTGGAGGGTCGGGAATCTGGGGGTGCCCGTTAAAAAGGGTGTCGCTTGTACAAACATGATGCGGTAACTGTGTGTCTTTCCTAACAGATGTTTATTTATTATTCTTTACGCACAGCGGTGGAAATAAGAGAAAGCTAAGTACGGCCATTGCACTCGTTGGTGACCCGCCAATAATTTTCTTGGTAAGTACTGTCTTTCTCATTACAAATCTGATATGAACGTACTCGCAATACTGAACACGAAGTCCTGTTCTTCGTTGTTACTTATATTGTTTTATCTCGTAGAGCCTAAGTTATGCAAAATTTGAATGAGAATGCAAGAGAAAAAACCTGTTATGTTTCTCTTCACCTTCTTCAAAATCTTTGCTGGTATTTAAGTGTTTTCTTCAGCTTCATTAAGGGAATGATACATTCCCCGCACAACCATTCATGTTGTATGTAAAATAAACGTGACTACCTGGTGCAGCGCAAGTATCATTAACCAAATTCTTTGGTAATTTTCCTGAGTGACAGTAAAAGATTTTAACAGACAGTGAAATGAATAATGCGGTTGATAAACTCGCAGATCTTTAGGCATCAAGACTCTCAAAGCTCCATTAAGTCTGCGCATAGACGCTATCGGCTTGCATTTTGATTGGAATTAGCTTTTGCACTGCCCACTTTTAATCCTTTTCCTCAAATGTTTTAAGGGCACTATTGCACCCTATTATACCCTAAATACTTTCCTGTAGAACTGTGTTTTTATTGTAGGACGAACCAACCAGTGGCATGGACCCGGTTTCGCGCAGATTCCTGTGGAATACGTTAAAGAATATTTTAGATTCTTCACGATCGATTATCTTAACCTCACATAGGTACTATATCTTGAGAGGACATGAAGAATCCGGATAGGTATCATGTATTGCTGGATGTCATATTGGTAGGAGAGCATTCCGTGACCCTAGGCGAACTGTGATTCGTTAAACAGTCAAAAAAGTCCTCGACGTGTATAGCTTGAGGTTAATCAAATTTTCCTATCCGGATTCTTCAGTTTCGCCTATGTCTCCTTCCTGTTTACTCTTGTGCTAATTTTTCAATAATATTGCAATAATGATAATGCTAGGTCTAAAATGAGATTTGTATGACGACAAGATATAGTTGTTCTGCCTCAAGTGGCAATCGTTGCATAGAATATTGAGAATTTGTTCCATTTGACGCGCACGAAGTCTTCCTAGATAATCGAGGTTTTCATCAGCCTCATTCAACAATGTGAATTCAAGCGAGCGGCAACCTTTGCCATAACCTCTGAACCTAAGAATTCTGAAGGCTTCAGGAAGCCTTCAACAGATAAAAAGAAGCCTTGGCTGCGGTGAATTAAAAGATTTTTAATTATTTGTGGTCATATGGTTCTTTTTCAGCATGGAAGAATGTGAAGCATTGTGTGATCGACTTGTCATCATGGTTAACGGGGAATTCAGATGTGTTGGTGGGCTACAGCATATTAAAAGCAGGTCAGTTGATGCCTTGGTTGACGAATTAGTTAATGAAAGACCCATTTAGATCATCCAAAACAACCTTCTTCTTTTCCATGTCACCCCTTCCTTCCTTACCCCTCTATTTGTAATAACCAATACAAGACAGCAAGTTCCAAAACTACGACGCTAAAACAAGGCCAAAGACTTGATTAGGGCTGTTGTTTTTTCCATCGGGTGCTCAACGGGTGGTCTGGAACAAGAATTTCGTGGGTGGATCTTAATCGATTAGTGGTTATGATAGCGGACTACCGATCCAAGGGTCTGCGGTTCGAGTCACTGACATGACCAAACTCTTCATAAGAGTGAGGAGAGAAACGAAATGTGGCTACATCAATAAGGAATAACCAGTACCCTGCTCGTTAAGCAAAACTTTCCCGTGTCCAAATAAATAGCAAGATAAGTAACAAGTATAACCAAAAAACCACCATATTCCAATCCACTGTTGCTTATAGTTCATTTAGACAGACCATCACTTCGAAATTTTGTTGGAAATGGTCTTCATTAGCTATTCATGTCATTAACTGGTTTAGTAGTTGTTAGCTTTAACCGTAGGTTCGGACAAGGCTATACCATGATGATTAAGATTGGTGATAAAGAAACAGAAAGGCGACATAGCTTCAGAAAAACAGGTTAGCAGAACTATCCGTGATTTCTTTGAGCTTATCGTAAGCTGCGACCCTGTCGAGTAAAAAAACTTGCTTTTGCAATGCATTTGTGGTATTAGATCTACCATTGTTGTTACAGGCTCGACGACCAACAGGGCTTACAACGTCAGCGTTTCTTCTAATGATGAGGCTGCAATAATCAACGAGTTAGAACAGGCCACTGGTAACCTGTCAGCCAAAACTGACAATCAAACAAACATTAATCAGTCGACAGAGCGGTTGAAATCTTTCATTGCAAGACATATAAAAGATTCTCATCTTCTGGATGAAAGACCGGTTAGTCAATGCATTATTACGATTCGTTTTTATCAGCTTACCGTTTTTTGTCATTTGTTTTTTTCGTAAACTTTGCCAACATGAGAAAACGAAAATCCAAATATTAATGCATTGTGATGATTCCTAGATAATGATTTATTTAGTCCTGGGCACTAGCCTAACACAACTCAAATATCATGGCTCTTAAGTGCGTAAACACTACACCAAACTTTTCATGAAACATCGATTCCACTAACTTGTAGATTGAGTGCCATCTGGACAGATGACACAACTAGCTTTTTACGACCGCTAGGAGAAGTGCTAAATCGTTTGAACTTTAGTGGTGGAATCTTCAGGATGAACATCCACCCCGTGGCTGGCTTTCCTAGGATAGAAAGAAGGCAAACGCGATGCCTCTGCTACCTTCAGCTTGTTCACGGGAAGTCGCTTTGGTAATACGATCACAGCCTACTTCAAAGGCAATTGATTTTTCTCTGCGACCAAAGCGATCCCAAAAAAAATACGCATACGCAATTTCAGTGCGCGCTAAAAAAAAAATAGAAGTGGAGGTGACCTGTAGACATTGTCAGATTAACTGTTTTTGCAAACTGTTGGCTCAGAACAGGAAAAAAGCTGAAGTGAAACGTCATTCATGAATATTTGACGTATTTTGGGAGCGTTCGCGCTAATGTACGCAAGGCTGATCAAGATAATCAAGATCTTCAAAAAAAACTTTGTCGTGATTTTAGCGAAGGATTCTCTTCCTCACAGACTGCAGCTATGCAATTGCTTTTTGCCTTAAAAAATCATCACATCGTTTATTACGGTTTGTCACGTCTTCCCTTGATGGGGCTTACCAACAAAAGTTGTTCACCTCACGTCGAAAACCAACAAAGGTTTCACGGCGAGTTTCCTATCTTTCTTTTTCCTATTTTTCGCTGTGACTCAACGTATGATATGTTTAAGAGTCAAATGTTTCAATCGAATATCAGTGCAGTCTGTTGCACAATTGCTAATTTGATATCCTTATTGCACAAGGTATAAATCGTGGTGGCTTTTTTGGGATTGAAGGCCCTTTTTGCAACTTTCTTCGTCGAAATTGTAACTTGACGTTGATTTCAACCTCTGCTTAGGTATTTTGATGCATTAAGATATACTCTGTCTCCTGATCAATACCCTTTTGCTGCCGTTCTCTGACTCTTTTTACAATTTGAGTTCCTTCTTTCATCGAGTTTGGCATTTATCATGAAGTCTCGCAGTATGTGCGTGCATAATTCAGAGGCTTTTTGTTATGTACTTTGTTATGCCTACGAGTTCTGGTAGATGGTAATCCAAAGAGTTCCACGTAACAAAATACAACTGACATTTCATTTCTTGATATCCATATACCACAAGACCTCATTTAAGAGGCACTCTCTTTCACCTCAATTTTCACTCTCTTCCGAGGAGACTTCTTTTAAAATATTTATTTTTATTTATCTTCCAAGCTCAAATATAGATAACAATTTGCTTGGATTGCTCGTTAGGACCTCTTCTGGCTAACACTGTATAATTTCTTATGTTTAATTTAATTCCGTGACCATTAATAGTTCAATTCCGATGCATCGGTTAGCTTGTGGTAAGTTTTAAGTTCCCGCTCAGCACACACCCTTAAAGTTATTTTTCAAATTTAAGGTTTTTCGACTTCAACAAAAATGTATGCTGTCTGCTTCTCACAATATACTCCGAACCTTGAGTTTTTGACATTTGCCTAAAGCTAATAGCATTGATGCATTTTTTACACCAAGCTACTTAAGCCAGGGTTTAGTACTCTTTTTGATAATTTTTTTATTAATTCTAGTGCTAGGGTTTTCTTAAACGCAACATAAGACTGGCATGAAATAGAGCACCTAATCAGTCACAGAGAATCCCTCTTTCTATTGTCAGTGACAATCGAACATGCCTAGTCTTCAAAAAAGAGTAATTTCTATTCCAATTTTGAGCAGTTTTTAAGGTCGAGTGTGATCAGTGCTATTTTTTTCTAAATATTTTGGCCTGTCTTGGACTTGATTTCTTTATGACCAAAAGCGTGTATGCTGTATGAAAGGTTTTCGTGCCTGTGGTCTCCAGTTGCATATCGTTAATACAAAAATATTTCACTTCTGACCTTTTGTGAGCTGAGAATATCATGATATGTTATGGAACATGTAATTTATAGAGGTTGTGCTAGCCAGTGCCGAAATTAGCAAGGCCCATAATCCTGTTTGCCACTTCAGGGTCCACTTTATTTCCTCTTTGCTTTGTTTTAGCTGAATAAAAAAATAGTGCTGATCCACTTGCCTTTTTAGAGCAATTAGTTCGGTGCTTAGAGTAATTCTTGTCAAATATCTTGCGAAATCGTTATATGCAAACCTATAAGACATTGTGTAAAATAGTGATGGGAAAAGAAACTTTTCCGTTATCACTACATTATCACTGTATTTTTACGGTAATCATTACAAATGACGCTTGTCTCGGTCCGTGTTTTGGGTTATTTGCTTGAATTCAGAACGATGCAAATGATGCAAAAGTTAGTAGGTACGGGAAATGCTGGAGTCAGATGATTATCTTTTCAGGGAATGCTGGAGTACCAGATCCTGAACCCAGACATTTCATTGTCGTATATGTTTGGAATACTTGAAGACAATGCTGCAGATCTGGGAATAATCGACTACAGTCTGAGTCAGACCACACTTGAGCAAGTAAGCTTCAAATGTTTTTATATGCACGAATGTAAAGTTTTAAAAAAACTATTACAATCTATAATTCCGTGACTATTCAAAAATTGATGGCGATTCAAACCGTTATTTTTTCATTGCTTATATCGCATGTTGTGATTTGGTACGACCAAGCATATTTGTTATATACTAGCCAAGCAAATTTATTGTAAAACCTTTGTTAATTTTCCTTAATTCTAACTAACCAACACTTGTCGTGGATATCTCTGATTCCCTCAGTGCTGTCTTTGAAGTTTGTTGCTTTGTTAAAGAAATTCTGTAAGCAAAATGAGCAGACGAGTGTTTTCAAGTCTTTTTTCAATTTGTTAATGTTTCCTGTTAAGCATATCTTTTTGGCCTACATGTCAAACCAATATTAACATATAGCAAAAAGATCTATCAATGTTGACATACTTTGTGCTCTCTTTAGGTTTTCATCAATTTTGCCAAATATCAACGTGAAGAGGCAGCAAAGAAGAAAAAATTATGTGCCTGTTGTTGCACATGATTAAGATGTATTCATTTTCAAGTTTAGTTTTCAATTTATTGGTGAAATTTAAAATTTTGAAATTAGGCCCTTACAACTTAAATAGGATGTTGATTTTGTTCTGATGTTATAAATTTTCTTACATCTTTAATTTTTATTGAGTTTCTATGTTTATTTATGGGCTTTTTGTTAAACACTGTAAAACAAGTGACATTTTTTTAGTTTTTCCTATTTATTTCTAATTCCTTTTTCCAATGTCAACAGCGTCTCTGTTTTAATCCCTTAGTTTTCAAGCAGGTTTCTCTCCGGCCACTCCTCTATCTCTAGGTTCTTTCTGACAAACCTTTTTTGTTTATTTAGATCATAACTGATAAAGTTCTTTAATGGAAGCATTCATGTTTGAATTTGTAGTTCAAAATGTTTAGATGCGATTGTTTGAACAATGTTTGTGATGTTATATACTTAAATGTGGATAGGTTTCAAGTCTAGGAAGGGAGGTTCGCGTATGGACGCGCGTACTTTCTAGAAAATCTACTGCAAGAAGACAATCGTTGAATCATGTAAAGAAAATCATATTATACATGGGTCATTCCAAACCAAACCATCCAACAAAACCGACACATTTCTGGCCTCTAGTCTTTAGGAATTGATACAATTTTTTACACGTTATTTCAATAAAGATAGCGAAATTCCCGAAATTCCTCCAAGAACAATACGTACGAAATCCATGCTTGCAATAACAAAACGTAAGAAATTCATATTTGCATTAATGTTTCTGAATTTTTTCCCCTGCAATACCTTTTTATCTTTACAAATAAAGGTAAAAACGAGACTATTTCGCTGGACGAAAACCTACCCCAACAACCCCAACATGATCAGAGGTTAGTGGCATTTTATAAGGAGGAGGTTGGGGAGCTGCTTACAGTTGCATTGCCAGTTATCGCCATTTTAGCCTTATGTATATCATAAACAATATATCCGATAATGCCTTGATTGTTCTGAAATACGTTACACAGACTTACAGAGTTCTAGATAATCTGTCTGATGAATGCAGAAGCATGAAAATCTGAGTAACGACGAAATATTTTTCAATTTTAATCTAACGAATCCATCCTGCAAAATAAAGTAAATCATTTCTTACGCATTGCATGTACTATATTAAGAGTGATTTAGACATAAATTATTTAGATGATTTTAATTTTTTTTTTGAAGTAGATTATGAAAGAATAAAACCTATCAGAGTATCGAAACTGACAATTTCTTTACTTCTTTCTGTCTGTTTAGACTTGAATGTTTATTATGGCTTTTTTATTGGCGATAGAGAATAAGTTATGCAGGCGCGTCCTTTCTCTTATTGTGTCAAACACTAATGAGTGAGACGGGTGGGACTCGTTCTCTTACAATTAGAATGGAGCTAAAAGGCCCCCTCTTATAGACCCCCTCTTGTAAACATTCTCGCCTAATTAAAACCAAACACACGCTTTGAACAAGAAACCGAGCCCGAGGCCTAGTTCATGAAGTTCGTTATTTTTGGACCTCTTTTGATCGAATTGCTGTGCTAAAAGTTCCTTAATAGTTCGTTAGTTTAACTGCACATTTGGTGCCCTGAAGATTGCACATAGTACGTTGAAATTCTTAATTAGTGTAGCTAGATTCTTAACAGTTGCTTAAAACAAAGGTGTTAAACAGAAAGAAGACTAAAAAGATGTTTGGTACACGAAAAAGTGGAAATTAAATCAAGAAGGAAAATGAAACACTCGATAGCTACCTGCGTAACACACAATTTAAGAGATTATCAATTCCAAATGAATGGAGTCAGCTTTCTAATTCTTGATCGTCGGCGATGATAAAAATGTAGAATTAAAAAGCGTCTTAGGGATTTCGTCTTTAGTACTAACGGTTCTTTAATTTTTTTCTGCTTTCTGCGTGTAGGTTCTTTCTTAAGTGATTCCTTACAGAAAGAAAGCATGTACAAATGGCCTCAAATAAAAGGATCCCCTACACGTGAAATTGAAAAAAACGCCCCACCTTTAGACACTTACTGTAAAATGTCTCAATATCATTAACACTGCCTACAACAGAGCAGCCCTGTTATAGAAAATTACAAATGCAAAGAGGTGTGCATACCGTATTTCCCATGAAAATCGCCTAACCTTGAAAAAGCATTCCCCTTCCCTTCAAAAAACGCCCTTCTCTCAAAAAACCTTGATTGATAAAAAGCATAGAACCTTCGGCTACATTACTACCATATAATCTACACAAAATGGAAGGTTTAACGATTTCATGAATTGAATACGGCTACAGTGATCAGCTATCGGCACTTGGATTTTTAAATTGGGAGTAGGTTGCATCAAAATCCATCAAGTCAACATTGGTGGAACTTGAAAAAATAACGTGTAGTTTTTGAAATATTTAAATCATTCCGTCAATCATGACCTTAATTCCTAATTTTATGTTTTTAATCCTTCATCGCTCAGAAATTCAAGGCCATGAAGTATAGTCAAATAATAGTATTGTGATTGTCACTTTACACTCAATTTTGATAGAAAACTGCCAACAGAAACCCCAAGCCCCCCAAAAATAGAAATGGTTCTTTTCGACGATAGAAATGGTTCTTTCCTGTTCAATTGAAAAAGATAATAGAGAGAAGAACTCCTTTGACTGGTTGGGTGTTTTATCTTATGTTACCCTTTATGTTATCACTTTGTTATGTTACTTATCAGGGCTTAATTTAGAGTGGTATTGGTCATATTCATGGAAGATGACAATAAAATGTCAACTTCTTTGAAAAAAATGAACGAAAAATGTTGAAACTATAACTGAGAAAGTTTTTTGCACTTTAATTTTAAAATTTCAATGCTGACACAGGGTGAGTTGCTCCACTTTTGACGTTAAAGACTTGTCTATCTTAAATTCTGATTTGCATAAAAAAATCAAAAATTTAAACCAAAGCGTTCTAGAATCATCTGCCCCCAAGTCTTTATGTTATTTAGCAAGCCAACGATTTTGAGCACGTAAAGCCTTTGAGCACGAAATGGAGAATTTCCTTCAATCCAGATCATACTAATCAAGCAGTCGAGTTGACTTTCTCCAAGAAAAGATCTCCCGTAAATCACCCACCCATATTATTTAATAACGTCTCTATAAAAAACGTGCAAGAGCAAAAACACCTTGGGATCATATTGGACTCCAAATTGTCCTTTTCTAGTCACATCAGATCTGCCGTTAGAGCTGCCATATCAAAAGCCAGGCACGAAATAGGAATGTTAAGGTTTCTTTCCAAACATCTACCACGACATACCCTCAACGAAATGTACAAATTGTATGTTTCATATATCACATCCCACATAATATCTGCGAATTTAGTCATGACGTTGTATTACCTAATCTAATTGAAAAACTTGAAGCTGCCTAAAACTTGAAGCTGCACTAGCAATAACGGGTGCCTGGAAGGGTACGTCCCGTGAAAAGTTGTATGACGAACTTGGGTGGGAATCATTTCGATGATGGAGCAGACGCCTCATCCTTTCTTATAAAACAGCCAACGATCTGACTTCAGATTACACAAGATATCCCATTGCTTACCTACAAAAGTCCAGCTATGATCTTCGCAGACGCGTTACAATTTAGCAAATGCGTGCAAGAACGCTGAATTCCAAATCAAGCTTCTACCCGAACTGCTTATCGGAATGGGAAAGGCTCGACCCTGAAATTAGACTACCCAACTCTTTCAATATTTTAAAGAAAAAATTACTGTCAATTATCCGCCCACCCCAAAGCCAAACTATCGTATTTATGCCCAAAAAGGCTTATCCATCCTAACACAGCTACGGGTTGGACTTAGTAAGCTAAATTTTCGTAAATTCAAACACAATTTTAGGGATACTATGAGCCCTTTATGCCCAACAAATGATGGTGTTGAGGATACGGAGCACTATTTTATGTTCTGCCATACTTATGATGTAAATAGACGTGGTCTTCTCAACAGTGTACATGCGATCCTGTTGCCTCATGGTTTGTTAAATCTATGGCCATGAACAGTTACCAATTGATCTAAATGCAAAATCCTTACGGCAACATTGAAGTATATCCAGGCCTCCAAACGGTTTGCATAACGCAGGAACAAAAATCTTTGAATCTCCTTTCGATTTCTTTCGATTTATCTCTTTTGTAGTTTATTTAATTATAAAATCGCTTTTAATATTGTGTTCTACGTATATTTCTAGTGCTAGGAGGTAGTCATGATATATTGCTCCTTCTGGCCGTTCTTGTAATGTAGTATAGTAGTTTCCGTTCTGTATAGTTTAAGGTAATTTTGTTTGTAACTTTTTATATCGAATAGAAAAAAAATATTGAAAATAAATAACAGCCAAGGGGATATCTAGAGAAACACGTTGCTCGTTGCACATTCTTTATTTCAGCAAGTTACCTTAACCATGAGATTCAGTGGATGTCTAACTAGAAACAAATACAAATTAGTGTAATAAATGCAATAGTAAATACTTGATACCCGCCTAATAAATACATTCTTATAGAATAAACATCAATAGCCTAATGATACTAAATTGTGCTTTAAATAACACTACCTAACAAGTCCACTGTAAAATAGTTCCAAATACCATTAATGAGTTATAAAAAGTAATAAAGGTATGGCTTAAACGTAAATAAAAAAGAAGAAGAAAGAAAGTGATGAATCAACGAAAGTGAATGAGGAAAAATGACAAAGTGGAGAAAGAGAAGATGCCAGTTTCATTTTAAGTCTATTCGACTGTACAGGACGAGTATAAAATTGTATGTTTTCCATCAGATTGTCCAGCTGTGAGGTTTATTACGTAATTTTGGCAATTACTCGCATTGAAGTGCAAATTGACAGATTCTCTAACTTGGGGAGGGGGGGTTTAGGAATTGGGGTATAGGGTTTTAGGAAGAAGCCTCATGTCTCCATGGCTGTCAAAACAAAGACCTGAGTAAGAGGACGTCAGATGCAAGAACCCAGTAAGGTATTGCTTTAACTTCTTTTAGTAGATAGTTATGTTTCTAGTGCAAAGAATGCCCTCACTTTAACGTGTGAATATTACTCCAGTTAGGGTATACTGCATTGAAAAAACAGCTAATCCTCCTAATATTAAAACAGCTATTCATGCAGCGAATGGCTATATGATGGAAAGGAGAGGTATCTTTAATTAGAGATGAAAACAGTTAGAGTTGATAGTAATAGCTATCCTACGCTGATAATTGGGGTGGTGGGGGTTTGGGGGGGGGGTTGGGTTCTGGGTGTTGGCAGAATTAAAACTGTTAAGATGATAAAACTGATTAAAAATAAGCAAATATCTAAATATTGCTCCATCCAGAGCATTAAATAATTCACCAACAATGTTGGAGCAACTATTGATTATAAATATGTCGCATCAATGATTGAAGTTACGCTGCAATTATATACATCCACTTAAATATAAAAATGAAGATGTACGTGACCAGCACCAAATAACCTAAATGTTTCAAATTGAATTGCAGAAGAGACTTTTAAATACAGATGTCTCAAAACAGTGTCTACACGACTAAAAAAGAGGCCAGCCTTTGCTTCATGTTACTGAGGAGTGAAAGAGTACAAATTCAACGTCTCCTTTTACAAAATGAGGACAACCTGATCATGGACAAAGGAGATCTTCTCAATAAGTTGGTCAAGGAAATTGATATCAATTGACCCCGACAAGCAAATATTTACATTGTGTATATTTTAAGCAAAAAACAAATAAAATTACAATTTAAATAAGCAATAGATAGTACTATCTATGATGCTCTTAAATAAAAACCCAAATACTTGCTAATTCTGCAACTTTAGTATGCATAACACTTTAGTAAGCACTTTAGTATGCATAACATAAGTATAGGAAGTGGAAAATCCCAAATGAAGCTATTACAGACAGGAACAGCAAAGATTCTTCTTGAACTTTCTGCCTTCAGAATACTGGTCTTTTGCAAAGTTTAAGAAGACCTGGAAAATTGGATAGATTGTGTGAGTAACAAGAAAACCATAAGAAAATACAAGCGTTGTTAGGTTACAGTTTAATAAAGTTCCTAGTCAATGATATATTCCTCGCTTATATATCATTGATCCTAGTAGGAGTGCGTCCGAACGAGGCGAAGGATGGAACAGAGGACACGTGGAGCTGTATTCCGAAAGTAGAACAGGCCAGTTTCATCAGAAGGCTGACGATTATCTGTCGATAAATAAGCTTATAAACATAAAATAGATGGAAATAAGAATGAAATCTGGCATGTAACGAAAACTTACAACAAAAGAGGCAAGGACAACAAAAAACAAAAGTAGCTTTGACAATATATCACCTGTTCAAGAGAAGTTTGACTGAGGCTGTAATCCGAAATAGCAAGTTCTGAAGCATTTGATTCAAGGATGTCGAACATGTACGACCATCGTAAATCTGCATTATTTATTTGGTATTGCAGCATGCCCTGTAAATGATGACAAAAAAGCTTTTAGAACTATTCTGTCCACTTCTTAGTCCCTTTATGACTTTTTAGCTCATTTTTTCAACGAAACATTTCTTAGTTGTAGATTTGAAAACAAAAATTAGCTATGCACGTTGGGTTAACATCGAAACGTAATTATGACACGATGACCTAGTCCACTCGTCTACATTTATATCACTTAAATCGTATTGATGGTGAGCAGTTTGACGCAAAAAGGCTTCACAAATTTGATTCAAATTTCAATGACCATGTTATTTACGCTGTCGCAAATACTTTTCGAGCGAAAGCGTAGAGTATTTAATAACGGAACTGTCTGACCAATAGGATGGTCTTAACAAATGGAGTGATCTAAACAAAACTTTTAATAAAGGAATGGAATTGACTTTCATTGAGCTTTCTTATTATTTAAAGCGACAGTCCATCATTATTATAAAGTTTCCAATCAGACTGTGCTCCCAATCATTTCTTCGATGTTAAGTAGTTACAAAGCTCGATAAGCAATGTGATCCAGATGGTTTTGACATTTTATCTTTATGAGTAAACAACACACTATTCGAACGTATCCCTAGCAAAAATACGAATATAAACAGTTCAAGTATTACTTGTTAAATACAAAGTTGCAAGAAAATATACTCACGGATCTCTCATCAACAATGGCGGCACCTGGAAAGTGATCTGCCACAAAGCCTTTGACTTTCTCCATTGCTTCAGCTGGGCGAGAGGGTTGCCCAAGTTGAACCTGATCAGCGTTTCGGTTGAACATAACAGGAGGTACCGAGTCACCTTTTTCATATGCATAATTATCTAAAATTTGGATTGCAAAACATTGCAAAACAAAACTAGCAATTACAGAAATTCTTAAAGCTCTTTCAGAAAGACATCCGTCAAAACTCCATTAGGGATATAAGCATACATATAAAAGCAGCTTCATCATTAATTCACTTCATTCACCAAGTAAACTAGGTTAGAAAAGCACTATTCTTACACTGCTGGCCAATTTTTCTACAATTATTTAGCACAAATAACACAGCTTTAACGCAAAGAAAAAGATTCAAAGAAAACCAATAAAGTCCTGATGCAGAAAATTACATAATTTTTAAGCGGACTGATAAATCAAACTAATAAAAAACAGATCTGATAGTTTAATTGAATACAAAACGCAGGAAATAAATAAATTACATGCAGCATGCCTACCTGCAAACATCGCCATTATCGATTGTCACTCATTTATAATGAAAGTAGGACAAGAAAACAGTTCATATAAGAGTAAACAAAATGTATGTATTTATTCAAGGTTTTGCAATGTATTTATTAATTATTTTCAATAATAATTCAAAGAGTTTGATAATTTTTTTTCTTTAAAAAATTAGTTATAACTGCAATGAATATTTTAAAATATTTACTGTTAAAAAGTGTGAGCGGTTAAAATGAAGGCAGAGTGTTTGGAAAATACCACAAAAACGAGGAACTACAGGGAACAGTGTGATGGGTGCATTTAATGTTGATTTAATACCTGCGGGTGCAGTGGAGTTAGAAGCCTGGTCAGGAACACTATTGTTATTTTCTTTGCCACCTTTGCCTAAAAATCCAATCATTACAACAACTGCTGCTGAATTTAAATAATAAGGTATTCTTTGGGTCATGGAATCCTTGCTTTATTGACACTTTACAAAACTTGATTTCATATTGTTAATTAATAATTATCTAATAAAGACACGTGATCCTGATGATAACAGTGTGCTTGTTAAACTGATAGCTTTATTCTTGTAAAAAACTAGTGTATTATTATTGTTATATTTGTTTCTAAATGGTGCGTTAAAATAGCAATTAGGCTTCATACGGGTTATTTGGGGGATGAGTACAAGAGTTTAGGCCAGAAAATTAGAATCAAAAGCTTAATCAACAGCTTGTATCAAAGCTTTAGGTCAAATTATTTGGGTCGATATTGTCATCAATTATTACCTACAATGAAGGGCCAAAGGACCGAGTTACCATAAAGGAGTAAAGAGACTGACCCCCCTCCCCATGTGCAAGGTGGAAATTCATTTAAACGGTTTGCAATTTGATACCAGCTTCAAATAAGTCTCGGTCTAACAACCTTCTTTCAGCCACAGCATAATATCTGCAATTTGTCTTTAGCATTATATTATTGCTATAAGTGCAAGATTAAATCTGAAAAAAACTGCACATGGGGCATATCAAATGTTTGGTAAAAATATCGTTTTAAGTTTAATGAAAATGTTCCATGCAACATTGGATATGTTTGTGTCACAAACAGTTTTCAATTATTAAAAAAAGCTTCTTAGTATTTACAAATTTACAGAGTTTAAGACCAACGCTTTGACTACAAATGGGTCATTTTAATGCCATAACATAATTTTATATGTTGAATAGAGGTGAACGTTGGTAGATACCATGCATGATTTAAGATGTTGCCAGATTGTAAGAAATATATTGACATACCAAAACCACCGTTGTTTTCATGTCGACTTTAATCATCAAGGTAAGTCCTTTGCCATATCTGAGAGGAAAACTTGCAGCTATGATAGTGAACAACATCATTATGTCTGGTTTGATTTACTTTTACTGATAAATATATGAACTAACTAGCGCAAGGTAAACCGATGTACATATATTTATTTCAAGCGGTTTTGTTTCTAAAGCTTCTCGAGCTAACCCAAAATTTGGAACATAAACATATTACATGGGCACATGGGCCTGATTTTCTAATCCTACATATCTACTGAACTGGCTCTATTGCTTTTCTACCCCTTCCTCCCCAAAGTATTACGAGTGGAAAAAGGATAACAAATCGTGGGTCCTTGTAGCTTGGGATGGAGAAAACAGAGATCCTTCACACCATTAATGTATCAATTTATTTTCTTACTTGTTCTTTAAATGTTGAATGCTACCAAGGCACTTGAACTTTCCATTCACCATAATTGCTAGGCGAGTGCACAAAGCCTCACATTCTTCCATGCTGAAAGAAAGCAAAAACAAGTGAAATATAAATATTTCCAAAAATATCACGGTTTTGTGGCAACACCTCCAGGGTGAAGATTGTATGAATTACTTTCAAGGCTACAAACTAACTTGATTTTCTGAACAATAGCAGGTCATTTTATGACTCTGATGTGTTCAAGACTAATAAATGCGTCTCGGCCTCTAATTAATTTGGCCCATCCCACCTTTTCTCAGATTGCTTGATTTACAAAATTCAGTTAAAAGGTACCAGCCTCATCTGGATAGTCTAAGGAAAGGATGTTTATACATTAGAACACCCTAAAACATTTACCTTTTCGAATTATTTTACTACTATATCATTTTTAACGTTGCAAAAGAAAAACGATTTTAAAGCAAATACTGGAGACATTAAACGTTATAGACTAACAAACCTGTGAGAAGTAAGAATAATCGACCGTTCGTTCGTAAGGAGGGCGCTCAGTGTATTCCACAGGAATCTCCTTGATGCCGGGTCCATTCCACTTGTTGGTTCATCCTGTTATCCAATAAAGCATTAATTGAAATATCTTCCTTGTTTGAGAACGGCTATCGGTGCCATCATAAATTTAAATAGAAAATGCCAGCATGGAAAATTTGTTTCTTATTTCTGAATTGTTCATATGTATTTGAAATGTTAAAGGAAGCGGTCGTCCCCCAATACTTTGGAGGACAATGATAATTTGCTCTAAAACAATGAGATAACATGATAATATGATTCAAACAATAGGCTTGCCCCCCCCCCAATATTTCTCCCCCCTTGAATGTACCGTCAGATTTGACCATAGAAATCTTTTTTGAATTTCTAACGGAAAAGGCTGATTGATTTGAGAAGCTATAACGAAATTTTAGGAAAGGCTTGAAAAGAGCTTAAGATGACTGGTCTGAGTTAAAGGCCAGTTCTACAATAATGTTCAGTTTACTGAAATTCGGGCATGACTGCAAGAACTGTGATGATAATTGATGAATGAGAATCTTGCATGGACGTTTGTTCACCCATTTTGATTGGATGATTATCACATCTACTTTGGCAAACCGGAAATGCTTGGGTACCTCCTCTTTAAACTTCACTTCAGAGAGTGTTGGAGAAAGGGATACATGTAGCTCCGTATAATTTATCACGATTGATGCAGAAAGGAGCCCAGATTTAAGGAAACCACAAATTATAACAAACCCACTTTTTTATATAAAATACAGTCTATTAAAATATTAAGGCTCAAAATTGCTGAAATTTAAGAATAATTTAAGAATAATGCGAGGCTGAGACTTCATCAAGAAAATATTTTTTGATTATTTGAATTTTATTGTTATTTTGAGTCTAAGCAAAACAAATGCGAGTTCCTGGCAACATAAAAAAGTGTGTATGCGAAAACTAGACAGTGAAAAATAGTTTGACTGAATTACGAGGGAATCAAACGATCGAAAGCTACTTTTTCGCAGCATTTAGATAATTTCAAGAAAAACCTACCAGAAATATGATTGGGGGGTTTCCAACAAGGGCAAGAGCTGTACTGAGCTTTCTCTTGTTTCCACCACTGAAAAAATAATTCACACGTGTATACTTAATATTCAGACACGAAACCTTACACGCACACATGAACATGTTCACACACAAAACATGTTCACACACGAAACCTTACACACACATACGAGAAAAACCTTACACGCACACATGAACATGTTCACACACAAAACATGTTCACACACGAAACCTTACACACACATACGAGAAACCTTACACGCACACATGAACATGTTCACACACAAAACATGTTCACACACGAAACCTTACACACACATACGAGAAACCTTACACGCACACACAAAACATGTTCACACACGAAACCGTACACACACACACACAGAAAACATGCTCACACACGAAACCTTGCTTAAACATAGTTCAGTAATTGTTATTTGTTATGTGTACCTGTAATTGCCACACATTTTTTCAGCCCATTTCGACAAATTCAACTGCTTGATGGCTGCATTGACAATTGGCTCCATTTTATCGGATCGGATTCCACGAAGACGTGCAAACATTTGCAACATTTCACGTCCAGTCATTTTGTCAACCAATGCATCAAACTGAAAGTGGAACAAGTCAAGAAATGCATCTTATTTTGGCGGATGTATCAATGCTTCTTATTAACGCAAATGTATTTATTTCCATTAAATCAAGGGTATTAAATCAAGTAATTCATTAAGGGTATTCTTTTCAAAGAAAACTAAACTATAAAATAGCAAAGGAAACTTGAGATAAAAATCAAAAGCAAAATTCCACGTTGAATTATCAAAAATGATACATCCAAATCAATCATTTACTTCCTGAAAGTCTCTAATTAACACATTTGGTGCAAAAAACCAACATTTACTAAAAAAGTTGGCAAATATATCCAAGATTCATAAGAACAGCGGCAAATAGAAAACCAAAGCTAAGGTTTTCATCCCCTTAAAATGAACTATATAGGGATAGATAAATAAGCGAAAGAATTAACATCCTACCTGTGGGCAGTATCCAATCCTTTGCTGTACCTAAAATAAATTCATTTCAAGTTATAAATTTTCTTTGCATTGGTGACACATACGTCAGTCTGTGCTCCAGACCCCTAACTTGAAAGTTAGGGGTCTGAGACACAGGCTAAGATATATACGTAACAAAAAGTACATACATACGTCACAAAGGGTACATATTTGAGTCAAGTAGTCTACACATAAACGTCACATAGAAAACATACAGATGTCAGGTAGTCTACACTCGTAGGATGTCACAAAAGTACATTCATATGTCAGCAATTATGTACTCAGAGCAACATTCTCAGTTTTTTCGTACTCAGAGTAACAACATTTTTAAATATGTATATAAAAAAGGTCTAAGCGAATGTATCAAACTATTTTTATGCCTAATTAATAACATAATTCCTTTCAAGATTGCTTTTGAGACTTCTTAAAAACGTCCATGGAAAAAGACACTTTGTCAGTTTTTATAATGTACCACAATCTGCATTATTTCATTAAAACGGCTTGGCAGCCAAGATATGTAGATGTAAAAGGTATCCAAACTTTAAGATTCGGTAACATTGCATCAGAATGAAAAAGAATTAAAACTAGAGTCCTATTCCTTCAAGATTAAATAATCTTATTCTAAAAAGTTCCATTAGTTTGAACAGCATCTTTAAATTTTCTTTTAGAAGTAGCTATCAAAATGATAAGTAAAATTTTCGTGAAAAACTTGCCTGTCTCAACTGGGTCTGAATATTAAAGCCATCGAGAAATGCAGTACCGGCAGAAATCCCCAGCTCTCCAGTTAACATCCCAAAAGTAGTTGTTTTCCCGGCACCTGATGTTTACAGAAACGAAAAAGTACGTTTACAGGTAATACGGTGGCTTTAGTACAGAAATGTTGATAACAAGTCAGGTTAGTAATGGCAGGCGTCTGAGTCTTAACTGAAAAGTTCAGTAGATTAACTTAGAACTCAATATTTACGGCTTTATATATTAATGCAATCAACACAGTGGCTGAAAATAGTTGTATAATTTCAACATTTGGAGACGTAGAGCACGATATAGAGTTAGAAAACATTCATAATCGAAAAAGCAAAGCTAAACAAAGTTTATAAATTGGTTTTTTAATCGTGCAACACAACGTTGGCCCATGAGCAAGTTATGTTAAATGATTAGTTGAAGTGAAATATATATAAATATATATCTATTAATCAGAATTCTAAATCAGAAGTGTTGCAAATGGTGACATAGACTTTGATACAGCGCTCTTCAAATCACGGAGGATGTTTTTTAAAGACAATATAAAGCTGCATTAAAGAATGACGTATTGGATCTATGTATTACCGTTAACCCCTAAAAGCCCAAAGCATTCTCGTTTTGGTACTCCGAGAGACAGATGATCAACCGCAACCAGCTGATTGCCCCCATAAACTTTGGTAACATTTCTCATGACAACAGCTTCTTTGTCGTAACTGGCCTCGTCCATGGCGAATATTCGTCGTTGCTCTTGACTGACGTCAGAGTCCTTTGAGTGAAAAAAATGAGAGTTCGTCGAAAAACAAATTCAACTGGCTATTGCAATTCCGTAAATCTTCGAATCGCCCCCCCCCCAGAACTGGGAGATTTGTATTAAATAATTCGAAGAAGTCATGCATGTCTTAATATCTAAACAAAAATCTTCAGGAGTTTGCTGAATACTAAAATCATCTTGCTTACTACTAAAAACAGTTCGTTTACACTCAGCAGACCAAGGAAGCAAAAGAAGTAACAAAGGGGGAAAAAAGTTCCACTTTTTTAGCAATCTTGAAGATTGCAGTACCAAATGAGATAAAAATTAGAAACATACGCTTTCCTGAGTTTGACTCTCTTCTTTCCTGTTTGCAAAGAATTTACTGAGGAAAAAATTTTCCTAAAACAGAAAGAAATATATTGTATTTCTAAGTAGCATTTCAGAAAAATAATATCCAAGATAATGTGTGCCTAGGCCGTACAACATTGTAAAATTCTTAATGCCACATTTTAGAATGGAACACGTAATAACCTTATTGATATCTTGTACTGGTCTACCAGTAGCATCAATTCGCACGCACACACGCACGCACGCATCACACTCGCATTAAAACGCGAGAGGCTAATGGTTTTGATTGTTATCTAAGATAATGGCAACTCTTAACAACAACTTAAAAGAAAAGTTAGCTAGACGTGAAGCAAACCTCGATGAGTAACACAAGCACAAAGTAGATCACTGCTTCTACGGCCATGTATAAACAAGCAGTGCCACTACCAGGATAATTCCACGCTAGGGCACTTTCTTCCCACTTTGTGTCCCGTTGTTTGCAAATTGCTTTGATTCTGAAAATGGAAACAATAACATGCATTAAGATACTAGGATTAGGATACATCAAGGTGTTCGCATTTATTTCAATAAGCCTTAAGTCAATAAGTATTTCTATCAACTACTTAAACGGATAAAAACATTACGCAAGAAAGCAGTCTTGACTCATTGGGAAAACAGTAAATTAAACTAACGATTCGAAGAGACTCGCCTGGCAATGTATCTTTGCAATCAAGAGTGATGTTAACGTGTGTAAATAAGTAGATTTGGAAAAGAAATGATTTTTCGAAAGCCTAAATATACCCGCCCTATACCTTTCATCTACTGTGCATGCCTTTCTCGATCCGTAATTTACTGCAATATCCATCAGAGCTTGAGGAAAGCTACGATAAAGTCATGAAAAATATAAATCGCTAGAAAGGTATCTCAAAGATACACAAATTTATTTTACATTTTTAAGCCTCATCTCTGCCAGTGTCGCGTGCCTTTGGTTTTCAAGGCTAAAAGTGTATTGCATAAAAATACCATCTTCTTTAGAACCTATATAAACCTCCCTCAAGTATGAAGCACTATATTCAATGTCATGCTATTCTGTAGAAAATTCATTGATATTATAGCAAAAACATTGATCAATTATTTTAAGATTTTAGGCTAAAAACCAATTGCAAGATCGGATAGAAATGCAGCGTTATAAAGTAAAGATGCTTTTGAAAGGCCATAATGAAGAGCGCAGCAAAGATATATCTTCACTTATTTACACGGTGTACTTAATTAACGCAAGAAAATTTTTCCTTAAGTACCTATAAGTTGGCAGCAGCAAAAAAATATGATGCATGATTTCTGCTTCTTTCAGGTATCCTAGCTGCGGTATGCGGCAGACAAACACGGCGATGACGGCAGTCTGCAATTAAATAAAATAGATTAACTTAAAATTGCAGTGGAAACGACCCCTGTAAAGATTATAACGGGTGCAGAGATGACAAATTTCTGGCACATGAAAACCATTATTATGAACATGAATCTCTTTCGGTAAATATTTCACAGAGATTGTATATCCAAGTATGGCCTACTAACGCTGAAAGTAGAAATGCAGCAGTTAAAAAAGGCAGTTTTCGTACAAGGGAACTTTTACAATTGTTGATTATATAATCTACTGTGAGATCTTTTCCTTTATGAAATTCTTCTTCACTCAATCTCCAAATGTTCCTATTTTTGTTATTGTCCTCTGGTGACTTATTCTAATTAATATTGCTTTTGAAAATGAATGTTGTTAAATTCTTCGAACAGAAAATTTAAACTTAATAGAAATTAAGTGATTTACCCTGATAGGCCATGTAAAGTAAAAACATAACGTATACAACAGATTAACATTATTAAAAACACTTTGCTTGAAATTAAAATAAAAAGCATATTGTTTATACTTACAAGACTAACCAGCATAAGCAACATAGACACAACTGAGTATGCAATCAAAGGGCTTTTGAAGGCGAATGAGATGAGATAAACAAACGGCAAAATGCTTAACCCAAAAAAAATCTAAAAGAGATGAAAATACAAAATTACAGGAATTTGTAGTCGGTGATTTACAAATCTTTTTATCTTAAAAAACAACTTTCAACTGTCACTCTTATTGTTTTCTTTGCTGTTTTGCAATTGTATATTTTTGTTAGCCTTTTTTCCAAAAATCTGCTTTCCGTCATCTACTCTCCATCCTTCTTCACGGTCTGTTTAAGGCTTGAAATAATTGCCAGCATACAAAGACCAAAAAAATGACAAAAATCAACTTCCTTTTTAGCTTTTGTCGGCCAGAACTAACATAAGGCTAGAAATTCTTACAACCAAAATGTACATTTTCAATGACACTAATTATTAACAAATAGAGAAAAATTAATCTTAAATTGAGACTTCTATTATTTAAAATGAAGCCCCGTAGGGGCAGAATTTGATTATTTGATTAGGCCAAGTTGAGCTGCAATTAAAGACAAATGAAAATTTTTCCAATCAAAAATGTTTAGGGGGCGAGGGGATGTTATTGTGTTGTTAGGAGTTAGGTTGTCCGGAGAGGTTTAAAGGGCGCTGTATTGCATTTTTCAGGAGGTTTTTGCAAGGATTGCAGCTTGATGAGAAAAACCAATTTCTGCAGTTACGTAAGACTGAATTGAACGATACAAATTTTGCTGGGGTTTGTCCAAACAGGTTCATTGGCAAAATTAGTTTCAGCACCAGACATTGGCCCCTCTCCCATAGATTTAGGAATGAAAAGTTAGTACGCATATCTGTTTTAAATACGCTAGGCTGATTCATACAAGACAGAATCATATAGGCCCATTCTCGTTTCCGTGGAGTATCAGAGCGAGGTGTCAACAAAAAAGCTTAGGATGCAGATATGGCCTTACCAGCATAACAACGAAAGCCCCGAGGTCGTCTCCTTTGTAGGTGTCCAGTTGGAAAGCAGCAAAAAGTATTATAATACCAATGGCTGGAACCACGAAATTGATAAGATCCCAACAGTACGTTGCAAACCAGTAGGTGAAGGAACCAACACCACTTACGAACTGGATATGCTTTGCCTGTTAAATAAAAAAAGTCTTCAAAGCTTAATAAAAGCTACTCAAGCATTATTAAGAATGTGAACGTTGAATTTAAATGTAATTGAATGATAATTTCAATAGTTTTTACCCTTTTCTGATTATACTGCGGCCTAAATTCGCCCTGTATGGCGGGGCGAAAAATTGATCAACTCTAATTCACATAACAAAGTAAATATTTTTTTTTAAATTTTAGCTCTTTTAGTTAATTCTCATTGTTCCTGACAACTGAAAATTGTCATGTTTCAATTCAAATTTTTCTTTTCCCAACATCACTGAGATTATTGTGAAATTCTCACCTTAGTAACTTTCTCAGTAACAATGAAGGTGATGAAGCTGGCCGCTATAAAACACACTGCCATTGTGACAAATATGACAAGCGTCAAATTTGCGCCATTTGTCAGGGACACGTCCACCTGTAATAGGAAGGATAAAGTCTAAAACAAGCTCAAAGGTTTGCTTGCATGTCATTGCTTTAGAGTTGCAGCCTCTAATGGGAAGAATACACTTCATTTTTGTGTACCTAGCTTAGCATAAAACATCGTATTGAAAAATTTAAGTAATGAACGATTTCCAACTGTTTCTTTGCATCATTGCCTAACTTTTTCATTCAAATGTGTAAAAAAATGAGTATTGCAGTACAAGTTGTGAAGGGGTATCTGAAATGAAGCGAAGAAATGAAGAAAATGTTCAACAGGACGACGCTATTATCGATTTCTGCAAAAACAAGCATTTACGCTTTCAACAAAAAGAGGCAAAAACAGCTTTTGCAGTGAACCGACTTTGGGAACTGTTTTGCCATCTATTCTTTATCAATTTACACCTAAACGAGACGCCATCACTTAGAGAACGTAAAACAAAAACGCATCAAGATTTACGACTTTTCGGTGCGATTAAGAACGACTTTGGTTATTTCAGCTGTTCTACTTCAGGGCTCAATATAGTAAATAAAAGCTTCTGCTTGTTACCTCCTCCTGAGGATTTCTTGGAAGAGGGTGGTTGGTGACTTGGATACCATAGCTTGAATCATTTTTCATGTGTGACAGCATAATATTGTTGGCAGCACTATAGGCAGATGCAACGGCATGAAGGGCCTATAAAATCAAAGTATTATTGATGGCAAATCAAAACGAATCTTTTATGTTACGTCGCAAAATTGTTCGCCATTACCAATAGGCATTTCAGAGAGATTTATTTGCGGAATATTTTTCAAACAACTTCAATGAAAATATTGAATCGTCTGGTTAAATAAGTCAAAGGCGTAGTTTTAGTGTTTTTAAAATGAAAAGCAATATGACTTTCCTCCGTTCTATACAAAATTGCGAGGCAGAAGTCATTGAAAACAACTTACTTGGTGACTAAACCAAGATCTTGCTTCAAAACGGTTATTCTTTTCTTGCAATGTTATTCCAGCCAAATGGGTGTCAAAGAAAGCTTTTTTGCCCTTGCTCTTTTCCAAAATAACTTCCGTGAAGTACGTGAGGTCATCGTTAAGGTTTGTCTGCCTCACAGTGAATGAGGAGCAGTCTTTCCCACCACTGAAACAATGAAACACAATAACGTAAATACGAATAAAAAAAATATGTACAAAAAAAGATGCTAATTGCCTATGATTGCAACAAATTAGGCCTGCATAAGAATTTACACAATAAAGGATAAAGGGAACCTTGCGAATGCCAAAAGCCTGTTGGGTTGGGTTTATTTGCGATAAAATGTATTGCAAGGTATCAGACTTGCCAAGAGTATCGGAACCTTGGAATTAGGTTCCCAGAAAGTTGTGAGAGTTGACGCGAAAAGTTGTTGAACAAAACAATTTTAGAGAAAAATAAATCATATCTTGAATTTTTACAGCAAACGATAAATTGCCTTTGAAATTTTCAAGCAGTTAAAGTTTAAAATGGAAATGAAATGAAAAATTCTCAATTTTGGCAGATAATACTTTTTGCCAGGAATAATTTTTGCTGCCAATGCAGTATATGTAAACCTTCCGATCTGGTCTGGAGAAAGACAGAATAGCATTATGGGATTTACGGAAATTAGTATACAATGACAATGGTGTGTAAACAGGCCTAGTTTGAAAGAACACGAAAGAAAAGCATACGTTCGGTCAATTTGATACATGTTATGCATCTTTCCACAAAGAATAGTCTCAATTTTAAGTTTTACAAGAATAATCTAAAAATACTTCATGTTATGTTTGATAACTTCTGTGGCTGTACTTTTCAACGAAAGGAAGGCTGAAGATATTTCTGCTATGAGAAGACATCATTAAATTATCGACTACTTACCCATCTATGCATTTATAGCAGTGTTTGTATCCAAATTGCTTAACATCTTTACAGAGGTTATTATCTGCTATTATCTGTAAGAAGAGAAAAAGATTTTAATTGTGACAATCTTATTGGGTTATTTCGTAGATTTGAGCTAAATTAAAGTTAAAAAACCAAGAAATGAAAAAGCAGCTTTACTGAAATAGGAACAACTACTACTGATCTAATGAAACAATTCGATATAATAGTTCTGTCAACATGAGAAGAAATGACAGTAAAGTGTCCAAACTAAGGCTAGGTTTCTCAAATAAATAGATTATAATCGTGCATCAGGGGATAAAGTTTGCATCCAAAATTGAAAGCAAAAAGTGTATGATTGAAAAAAAAATTAAGATAATCCAAAATAGATCCTTAAAGTCCTTAAAGTGGCTCATATCATACTTGTAGAGGCACACGCACGCAAACCAAAGACATTCAACGCTTAGTTATTTCAAATTTTCTCAAGGGTATCAATGGCTTCCTGATAATAGCAACCATATTTAGCAATATTTTAATTAAAGCTTATGCACACAAGGTCATTCTTCCTTTCAAGGCAGTTGGATGATGCCGATGGTTTCAGTGTTTTGCTAACCTTTGCTTGGCATTTAGAATTCAGCACAATGTCTTGAAAATTACAGCATTCTTTAAAATCTGCTCCGATGGTGTACTTATTTTGATGAGAATAAATGCTGTCGTTTCTATTTTCAGTGTATATTTTTCTTGAATACGCCGTAACATCTTCCACATTCAGTCTTTCCGCTTCGTAGGCCTTTTTAACGAGCTGTAATGAACGATAGTATGAATTGGCCACAGATATTAACAAACATGAAGCTTATCAAACTGTACAAGAGCATCTGAGCTTTAGACATAAAAAACTGGAAATCTTTCCATCAAAAGATGATATTATTTTATTTTCCATTCAAAAACAATTTCTTAACCTCCAAAATGCCTGCCTATTTGTAAGTCAGGCAAAACAATAGAGAATTTTAGTACCATTTTTCCATGACGAAAATGAGAGAATGAGTCCACGCGAGCTAGTTTAACACACTTTGGAAAAGAAGCAATTTAAGAACGACGCTTAAGTGTCTTCAAAAGAATGCAGCAAAAGAGAATGTTTGTCGATAAATCCTGTCTGCAATCAAGAGTAGAAATTGACAAAACCAGTTCAGAGAAATTGTGAATTTTATCAGGTGCGGACAAAATATGTTTGATGAGTGGAGATTAGAGGAACTATATAACAGAAGAAGGAAAATAAGTGAAATAGCATAAGTATAATAGAAAGGTGTTTAATAAAACTCAAAAAATTACGAAAGAGCAAGTATACCTTTGAAAAGCTGGCATCAGGACTCAATCGATAGTCGGCAAAATAAGCATTTCCACGGGCACCGGCTTGGAGATCAGACGAAAGTTTCATTACTCTTGCGGGGTTTTCCTGCTGCGTAGGAGAGTTCTGGGCCAGCAGCAAACCAAGTAGAGTGATTATCAACGGTAAAAGAACTTGGGTGACGACCGCCTTTTTCTCCCGCTTAGAATTCAGGAATCTCTTTATAAACATGGCCTTGAAGTGACTGAGGCCCAATGCAAAGCCCGTGACCAGCTCTGAAATTACATGAACACCAAGCGCATAAACATAAATTGATTTATAAGGTGGCTATACGTGTCTCACGACAAAACTGTGTGGTTGTACACATACCTATGACAGATACAACATAGTGAAGTTTATAATCTCAGATTTGATTAAAGTCAAACGTTTAAAGTCAAAAGTTTCTCCAATACATGTATGCTCGCAAAATGATATGCAAAATTTAAAACATCTTTCTTGAATACATAAAACAACAGTCATTCCCTTCAATAACAACGAATAGAGCTAAGATAATTAACAATATTGTTTACTTGTTTCAGAATTTCGAAATATTTTCACAACAGAAGGTCGAAGAAAGGAAAACGTCATCTGTTCTCAACAAACCTGACTTATTTGTTTCAATATCAACCAAGAGTTTGACATCATTAGTATCTTGACTTTCTTGCTCCCTGCAAATACAGAGAAAATAACCTAGACAATAAAAATTTTTTTCCCTTATGCCATGACAAAAAAGTTCACACGTCACCGAGAAAATAAGAAAAAGGCTATTAACTCGAGCCGTAACCACATATTAAAATAAAGATTTGAATATCAATATACATTTGTAAATTTTCATTTTATATAAATATACATAAATATATATTCATATGAAAATGACTGATAACCGGTCTGTAATCGACGAAGTTCTCTAAGGTCCAAACAAGTACTGACTTAGAGAGCTTATGGAGAATGAAGGTAAATACCAGTGCATTTCATCAAAAAACTTTGGGCATCAATTCTAGAGCAACTTCCCGCAGTTATCAGAGCCAGAAGCAGCTGCACAAAATGTTTGCTTAATTAAAAGTTGTTTCAATTTCTAATTTAAAGTTTTGCAAAATGTAAAAGGAATGTTCGAATAAACGCTTCATTGAATTCACTGTCTTATTTGCGCGCACAGCTTAATCAGACAAAAACAGAAGTTATTGCCTGATCTACCATGAATCGCCTTCGCAGGTGTTACAATACCTTTGTCCTGGTAGTGTACTTATGGCTAATTCTCTACAAAATGCAAATACTAACGTTGGAGCTACACTGTGATCCAGGCCTTCACCAACTTTCAAGAAAACCTCTTCCATAGTAGTGATTGATATACCAAAGCTACTTATTCCGAGCTTTTGACCTCTTTCTGAAAAAACGACAAAAATTGCAATGCGACCAATTCCTAAGCAATTTATGATATCACGTCTTTAAGGCAACACAATGAATGAACTAAAGTCCTTCGAGAAACAGAAGACAAATAAAATCTGATGTTTGAAACTGAAAATTATAGGAGAAAGTAGAATAAAAAATAGCTATTTTGCTTCTACCAACCTCCTTCAAAGGCGGCAAAAAGGTCTTTAAAAACTTTGGAACTCTCATGCTCGAGAATGTAAGACATCTCAGCTCCTATGTTACCAACGAGTTTGGCAGAGGGAACCATCTCTCTGATCAGGGATATAACATCATTTTCTTGAAATAACGGTTCCTTTACAAGCGTGAGATGATACCCAACACCATACCTGTATGGAACAGGAAATATTTCTCCTTACAATAGGTTAATTTTACCTATCGTTGTCATTTAGGCTAGGATGAATCGAGCTCAACTCAAAACGTTCTCACAATTAGTACATTATAAAGTGTATTCGAACTTGCATACGTCTTGGTCACTAGATCATCAGATTGTCAAATTTACTCGAATCAAACATGGCCTAGTCAAATCTATATTTCGTTGGAACATTAAATTACCAGACGAGATTGTCTTCTTTGAAACTAGTGTTTTTCGTCGTGGTCCTTATCTAGTAGGTTAAATGAAGGTTACCATAAAATGGATGTCCTAACGATACATCAAGATATAACAAAACAGAAAAGTTCCTTTCGCAATAAAGGAAACTAATGGTCGCATATGCAAGGAGTTATAAAGGAAGTGTTTGAGAAATGATTAGCCTTTGCTTGCTAGAAAACGTCATATACCCAACGTACAACGTTCAACGTACCTCTTCTTTAAAAACAGTGAACTACCACAACAACGTAAACGCCCATCAGCCATAATTGCAATTCTGTCACCAAGGTAATCAGCCTCGTCCCTAGAAACATTACAAGCAATGGTGTAACTTCAACAATAATTATAATGATAATTATGATGATAATTATGATGATAATTATGATGATAATTATGATGATAATGATGATGATAATGATGATTATGATGATGATGATCACGATGATGATGATGATGATGGTTCTTTAGATATACATCATCATAAAAACGGTTGAATAATTCTTCTAGATGTTTATAATTCACAGTCTTGAATTTGATTAGCTAAGCTTTATTGTCCAAACAATAAATAGATTTATTTATAACAATAGATTTACAAACAAACAATAGATTTAGATAATTGCAGCTCGCATTATGGTAACTAAAGACGTCAGTTTCAGGAAAATAGGTGAATAACTCTAAGATAAAGGAATATTCTACATATGCTCTTTAAAATCAAAATAGCATTTAATCGATAATTGACATTTTTCTCGCCATGTTGTACAAACGTGCGTCGTAATTTACATACAGTCTAAGGAAAACAAAATAACGTTTACATGAAAATACATATACGTAGTTTAAGGAAAACATAAGAAACCAGTTATCCAATCGTACAAAAAATTTTTTTTAAGATTTTTATTCCTTAGTGTTGAACAAAATGAAAATGTTGGTGCTGCTTACATGAAGTGGGTTGTGAGTACCATCGTTTTGTTTCCCCTGTGCTTTTGCAAAAGATCCCACGTAGCTCTTCTGGCAGAGGGGTCCATGCCACTGGTGGGCTCGTCAAGAAACACTACCTCAGGGTCTCCGATCAAGGCAATTGCACAACTAAAAGCACGCAAACAAATTTATAATTTATGTGTTATTAGACAAGATCGTGTTATTAGCTTTGCTCACAAAAATTTCAAAATCTTTGAAACGTAAATTTCTATTCCTAACAGCCTTAACATCCCTGCTCTCTGAATAGTCAGCCTAATGCAGAAAAAAACTATCGATCCACGATATACCAATGGCTTCAAAAATTTCTTCACTGATTCAAATAAAAGAATTTCACCAAAAAAAGAATCAGGCCTATATTCACCCTCTTATTTAAAATTTGACGGTACAAGAAGCTAAGGTCCTGGTCCTGCTATGGTTCTTATTCACCCGTCTTGTTCAATCAGTTAAAGTAAAGTAATAAGGATGAAATGCTTTGAGCTTTCTTTCTACATACTTTTAACCAGAAGACTTTGATCGATCAATAATGAGATAAAGATCTGGCTTTATCTAAGCAAAACAACAACATAAAGAAGCCTCGGTTGAATTGCCCAGGAAAGATATCAACAAATCAAATAATTGTTTATTTGCCTGAACGCTAGAGTAGAAATGTTTGGTTCTCTCTAGCACGAATAAAAGAATAGAGCGTCTTTGGTGCCTGCCTAGCGTTTTTAAAAGACTCTTGTTTTGTAAGCTTAAATATAATATTCAATAATACCGTTAACATCAATGATGTGTTTAAACATATTTTTTGTAACAGATTTCGAAAAACAATTCATCAAACAAATATTTTCAAGGTGTAACCTCAGTTTTCTTTTCATGCCACCAGACAATGTTTTGGATTGGGCGTCCTTCTTGTCGATTAGTTGGATATCCTGTAACATTGCATTTATTTTGGACTCTGCCTCCTGGCCTTGCACTCCCTGTCAAACAGAAACATTTCATTATCATCATCGTACAACAAACAGGGCAAAAAGTAAGCAAAAAGGGTTTTTAATAATTCAATTTTGATTTCATGGGGTCTTCTAGTGGCGTTTGTATGAAAAAGGACAACTTTGCCACAAATCCTATATAAATTATTCAAAAAGCAGTTGATAGATATTACTTCGAAAGACACGAATATGGTTTGAGAATTACTCGTCAATGATTAAGGAGAACACTTTTGGAAAATTACTAATAGCGAAATCTTGACCCTTCTAAATCAAAGTAACTCTGGTATTCTAAAAATATGTTACAGTAAATCTCAAACATAGCTAACTATCTGCTGATTATTATGCTGCGTAAGAAAAGAAAATAAACCAATTTACCATTGCATTTATCATTTCAAGATAACAAAACAAACCTTGAGAGAAATGAAAAACTTCAAATGTTCTTTAACAGTTAATCGATCAAATAAAACGTTGTGCTGCGGACATAGCCCTAAACTTTCTCTGATCCGATCCATCTCAGTTGATATGCTTTGATTGCCAACGAGCGCTGTTCCTTCAGTTGGTGGATAAAGTCCGGTTAATATTGACATTGTGGTTGTCTTGCCTACGAATAATTGAAGAATTCCATCACAACATAGCAAAATAAGCAAGCAAGAGGGTTTCGACTACTACGAAATATTCACCGCACACAGGAAATCTAGAAAATTGGATGGCTGATCTGTGGGCAGACACGTGATCATCGACGAGATCGTAAGGCAGGAAGAATCGCGAAGATCCCAGAAAGAATACCCTGCCACATAATCTATGGTTTTCCTACAATAGAAACAAACTGTAACAAACTCTGGTCTTACCAGAAACGAGACGATATTGATTATTTTCTGCTCAGTTATTGTTGAAGGTTTTTTGAGTTTATTCGTTATAAGTTAAAGTACATTAAAAGTTACAAAAAGGTACATCAAACCTGAGAGAATTTTCCGTATAAAAACAATGTGTTATCTGTATCCAAAAATAACATTCGAGATTTTGATGCTGAGTTTGTTCATGCAATAAATGTTTGCTAGTTTATTGACTTTGTATATTTCATGCAGCCAATTTTTTATTTGCATTAAAGATCTTTGGTGGAACCCATAATTGGGTTTTGTTAAATAAAATCTCTTTCTCATTAACCAGGGAGGGATGATGATCGTTTTAAAAATCCTTCTAATTTTGCTTGTGTTATCATATTCATTAAACGGATATTGTAGACTTGGTTAAAAAATCACAAATAGCTGTACGTTGTTAATTCGATAATAAAGTCTGTGCGATAACTGACATCCTTTTTGGTTTGCATTTTAGTCAAAATTTAGCGTAATTTAGCTTCAGAGAAAAAAGCAAGTCGCGTTGGATATCAAGCGACTAAACTTTATAATAAAGGAAACCCAACCTGCTCCATTATGACCAAGTAGGGCAGTTATTTGACCTTTGTACATCTTCAGACTTAAACCATCGACTGCCAGTTTCTTTCCTGTTGCACTCTGGTAAAGCAATTGGAATGAAAATATTACACCTCTCTGTGGAGAATTTAAAATCGAGGTAACAAAAGCGGCTTTGATCCAATTAGTACAATTTAAGATATTTATGTCGTTCCATATAAACCTGAATAATTTCCCGAATGAAGAAAAATTCAGTTGGAAGAAATCAGTTTGCTAGACACATCAATAAATTTCTAAACCAATATGGCCGATTGTTACCGAGAAGGTTTTCTTCAGGCCTTGAATTGAAACGCCAACTTCAAGCTCTGCAGACTCTTCCTCAACATCTTCATTCTCCTCCACAGCATCCATGTCTATATCCTAAAGAATCATTAATATGCATGTTAAATGCACGGATTAAAGATGGAAGATTAAAGATTTCAGCTGAAAAGAAAGAATAAGCTGTATTTCAATGATTAGATCGAAGATTAAAAAAGACAACAAGATTCAGCATCGAGAATATACTTTTGCTAGGACAATAAACTATACTGTCACATACAGTGGATAAGTAAGTCAGTCTTGCGAAATACAATTTGTTCTATGACTAGAACCGTTTTACGACCGGCACTTTCAACCGAGCACTCTCCTTTTCTTTCTTTCCTTTGCAATTCTTAGAGGAATGCCCAGCAAACGCGTGTCTGCATTAGGCTAGGATAATCAAACGTTTGTTGTTCAAAACGGAAAAATTACATCATTAATATTTCAAAGCTTATAAACAATATCATTAGGTTGATAATGAATAATACGCAGTATTTGACAAACATTATAGCTTTGTGCTCGAAAAAAACGCTCACAGTAGGAAGTAAAATATTCTCACCCTTACTTCATTCTTTGTGCTTGGTGAAGTCCCGCACCAATAGGAAGATGTAAAAACAAAGTAGAATGGTTTTGGAACACCATATTCACCGGGAAATACAGCCTCAATATACCTAGAAGAGAATATTAAGTAAGAAGCCAAAAATGCTAAGATATTTGTTAAAAATGCCTAAAGGGAAATTTTCCCATATTTCCAATGTGATCTTTAAGAAGAATTCCATACATATATAATTTTTTGTAGCCTTCTTATAGGGGCTAGGTGACGCAACCGTAAACAAACATACTGTGCGGGACAATCTGCTTGTAAGAGGAATTTTGTTTGAAATTGTCAAAGCGGACTATCTAACAAAATGGCAGACAGTGAAAGCTAACAAGCCCGTTATAATGTTCACTACTTGTGTTCCTCCTAAAGTACAAAAGGCTTCTCTGTCGTGGTCAATGAAATAATTTTGAAATATATATACGTATAAAATCAAGCTTTAAGGCTTTGGCAATGATAAAATATTTATTTAGTATAAAAAAACGTTGAAATTTTCTTGATTCGCTGCGATTTTCTGTCCTACCAAATCTCACTTCAGATGATGTGGTAGATTCATCCCAACAACATTGCCCCGCATCCTTACACGTGACCGAGCCTCTTTAATGTGTGGCATACAGTTTACTCACCAAGTGAGGATCCAACAAACAACAGACTGTACAACCATCATCGCAACAACCATGGCAAGAGAGAAATTCTCATCGATTGTTGGTGGGTCATTAAAATTGCTCCAATTGACACCAATTTGAGCCTCTTCGTACTTTGAAATAATCTGCACTCCAATTCCAAGACATGTATTTGGGAGAAGACAAGCGGCTGCCTTCTCAGACCTGATATCATAGAGACAAAGTATATCAAAGTTTCGTTTTAAGCCAGTCATTCAAACACTGCAAATATTGCTTATCAAATATGAATGAAAGGCATCTTAGATCAAGCTCATTGAAAACAGGGGTACAGTGGGTTCCCGCATATAAAAAAACCCCTTGTATAAGAAACCAGCCTCAAATTCTTTCCAAAGGGCTCCTTTTATAAGAAACAATTATAGGTCTGAAATTGAAACGTTTCTTATTTTCAGATCCATCATACTTTATTCCTGTATGTCAAAACATAATCCCCTAAATTTTGTAATGCAATGTAGTATCCTCAAACAGAATCAAAATTATTAAAACTAAAGATTTGTTTTTTTTATAACAAGTACTGTGCCGAAAAATACTGTAACAGTTTATTAAACAAAAATTTAGAGGAAATAAATTTATGTTTCTTTTAATAATAAATAACATAATTGGCATAACCAAACACGATCCAACACTTAAAGCTTAGTTGCTTATTAAAAAAATGTGTAACCTATATATAAGAAACTTTTACCCTGATTATAAAAAGGTATGTTGAAATAAGAAACGTTATGAGGCCTCAATCTAAAAAGTGGTTTCTTATATGCGGGAACCTACTGTAGGTCTAAAGACCATACTACCAATGTAGTTTCAAATGAAGTTCTGAAAAATTTAGTATAAGGCAAATTTTCATGAAGATCGTGATAGTGAAAGGTAGATCTTATAGATGTCCAATATAGATTAGTTGTATAACAGGTACCAATAAATTCAGAAAACGGGGGGAATTTTTTGGTACTAGGCCCCTTCTCCACCTACACAAGGACCATTTCAAAATTACAGAACAGGGCTTTGTCATGTAAAGAATTACTCAATATATGATATGCTATCTGTGTTGTACGTGTCTTGAAGGGATGCATTTTTATCGATCAATAGAAAGCAAAAAAGGCGTTCTAAAAATCTTCCAATTTTTTATTTGGTTTCAAATTCGTTTTCATGGTTATTAAAAACACCGTATGCGAGTTGACGAATGAAAAACAGATAAAAATGTTTGCGTTTTCAAAAACATCCATATACCTGCGGACAGAGTCTTCATCATTTTTCTGAACATTAAAATATGAAAGTATTTCAAAAATTTTGTTTAAATTCAAAGTAGAACATGTCTTGAACGTACGTGCTCATGACATCGTATGTAGCCGGATTGGCAATAACAGTGTATGGTGCATACGATGCAAACCAAAGAACTGCTCCAAACAGCATGCCTCTTATAGCATTTGAAAAGAAGACACTGGCAAGAAAAGTAAATACATGTAAGCATTTAAGTGAAAGCAACCCGAAATAGCTGGGGAAAACAGAATTTGAAGAAAATTCCACAAGATTTTCAAAAGCAGTGATTCTATCAAAAGCAATTTTAAGCAATAAAGAATTCAAGTCAGCAAAGGTACATCAAGATGATAAAAATATTTGGAGTGACGATTAGTGAAAAATTTCAGCTGTGATATTCCCTGGCTGCCTTTGCCTAGGCATACCGTAAAAGCTCTATTAAGTTCTCTCGGGGTTTATTTATTTTTTCAGTCCTAGAAAGGGGGCTTATTAGAGGGGTCTTATATTAATTCAAAGTAAACATGTTATAAAAACGCCCTAATGCTGTTTTTGCTATAAAAATATCACAATATAATCTCAAAAGACTTTGCAAGCAGCTTCGAAAGTTTATTGAAATTAATCATTGATAGTGTCGTCATCTACATAAGAACCATCAGGATCAATTGATAACCCTGGGACACCTTCTAAACAACTTTCGTTCTCTGGGATTCCTTCGAAAGGATCAACATCAGTATCCTCTTGACTTGTAAGGCACACATAGAAATCTTTACATGGTATTTAATGCACGTGATCTTATCATCATCACACCCATCAAGAGATCAACTCAATGCGCATGTTTTCTTTTTTTGACATCAGGGGCTAAATAGAGGGAGAGCTTAATAGAACTTTTACGGTATTCTATCTTCAAAACCAAAAAAAGGCGGAAACAAAATGCAAAGAAAAATTCTAAAGCAAATTTGCTCTGGCATGAGAAATTTGATTTAATATTTATATTGCATTCAAGAGATGCTGACTCACCTGATAAGAAAGCAGAAAAATATAGCAGAAACAGAGTAGAAGATCAGAAATATAAATATGACACCACCGTTTGAGAATTCAAATATTTTTGCAACCTAAAATAAGATAAAAGCCTTTGATAAAAAGGACACCTACCCTGGAGAAAATAAAGATTAAAATCAGATAATATAATAACTAGAATAACTAACTTAACAGCTTAAATAACAGCGTAAAATAACTAGAAAAGTGAGCTAGGAAGGCCATTAAGATAAAACAAGCTATGCTTTAAAAATGAAAACCAGACGTAAGATTCCTGTTTCACGTAAGATACTCGAGACCATTTTCATTTTCATTTGATTGGTCGTGAACCTTTTATAGTAAAAATCTGAGCTACTCGCATGCGTGCAATAAGTACGAAGACACATGTTGTTACACAGTCCCACCTTCTGATCACAGCTGCTCTAAAAACGAATGAACCTTGTCTTTTAGGGTGGTTCCAACGACACCATAGATTTCAATGGGGACTAATGCAACAGCGATGAATATTTAAGTGAATGACTTGAATGAAGTTTAAAGTAGACCAGTTTCCTCTTACATCGAGGTCGAAAATAAAAAATATGTCTGTTTTCTGAACACTCACTTTAACCAAAATGGTGACCAGGATCGTTGAAAGCATCAGAAAAATGAAATTTTTAATGAACCAAGCAAGCCAGTGAAGCCAATTAGAAAGTCCCATCATTTTCATCGATTCCTTTAAACGATACTGCTTTTCAGCAACGAGTTCCTGAAAATTCAAATCAAGTTGTTCAAACCAATATAAAATAAAGAACAGGTGCATCACTTAGTTGTTCAAACCAATACAAAACAAAGAACAGAGATCTAACTAAAACTCATCGAGTATCTTCCCTTTTCGTGGCTTGTTTCTTAGCAGAAGAATCATTGTTGAACAAGACTATCATTGAACGTGTTTGCATGAACTGAAGCGCGACGCTTGAGAAAAAGAGCGAAACTCAATTCAGAGGACCCATAATTGAACATTAAAGTACATAAACAATTTGAAATCTTCAAATTTGTACGTGTCCATCTGTTTCCGATTTTTTGCAATACTTGCTGGTGTTCCGTAAACAAATTGACCTACGCAAAATGCAGGCTTGTAATATGAGAAGCAGAGAACTTAACTACAGAAATTGTTACACTGAAGTTCGATAAAAAATTAGTATTAGGATCATTTCAATGTCACATGCCGAAAATTAAGGCCGACTGAAAGACACCATCCAGAAAGCATAACGTTGCTCTATTGATGCTTTTTGGCACGAGTAATCTCGAAAATAGGTAAAAAATAGGCGGTAAAATAGGAAGAAGGATAGGCCAATAAAATAACTTCGAAAAAAAAACATCTTTAAAATATGCAAAGTGAGCGAAAAATTTATCCTTTCACATCGTTAGGTGCTACTACAAAAATGAACTAGCTTCTAAAATCTTCATGTGTTCTTTTCCCAGAATTAATAATTGATCCTATGTGCTTAATTTTTGCGGCAATTAATGTTGATTTGCAGCAGTTTCTACTTTCAAAGACTGCGAAACTGTCGTGTTTTTTATAAGCGGTGGGCGTTGAGCGCACGCACTTTGAATCGAAAAATCAAGTTCGCCTTGGACACAAAAACAAAATTTAAGTGTAGTTAGTGCCCACGTGAATGTAGAATATGCACTGACAGTACATACTAGAAAATAAGCACGCTTTGCGTCTTAACTATAAACTAAATTGAGTTAAATATTGTAAGGGTCGCAAATTGACGGTAAGATTTTCCACCAGTTAAAGGGCAAATTTACTTAAGATAAAACAATTTTTCCTTGAGCATTTTGAAAAATATCAGCCTGTTAGTAGCAAAATATTCCTTTGAAGCGTTGCCAAGGTGCGCCTCCCGCTTCTACTATTCTTCTTTTTACTTTTGACTTTGAGTTGCAATTTAGCAGAGTCCAATATAATGGATAAGATTCCTTGCATTTGAAAAGATCCTTACCTTGATAATCATGATAGAGGTGTAAATAAATGCAAGTGTGAAAAGCAAAGGCAACAATCCACGGACAGCGGCTATGAATGGGTCGTTGAAATACGAAGGAAACGGAAATTGCTGCAAAGATGTAAGAATACAGAAAATCAGCATCCTTGGTGCAATTGACGTATGATACAAAAAGTAATAAAATTTTGATCACAATTACAATCCTAAATTTATTGTGTCGTATCAACACTGGATAGCATCAAGGGTTGGGATAGTGGTCATGCTCAAGATCACGTAATTTACGGTGAAAAAGGTTTGGGATTTGGATAGCGATATTACTCAATGTCCGTTTTACATGAATATTCCCTTGAATAAGACTGTCATTAACGAAGCAATGAGAGTCGGTTAGTTTTCGTGCAATCCACTGTATAATCTAAAATTTATAAAAATTTAGCCCGCCTAATTACTTCAGAACAAATACGGATAAGAATATGTTGTAGGAATCTCAAGAGTTTTAAAACGAACTCACGTTGATTGTCGTTGCAACAGTAGCGTTGATGTTGTTTGAGTGAATGCGAGCAATTGTGGTGTCAAGCGCGTATTGCAAAGGAAGAAAGCGGCGAGAGTAATCACTGTTGAACAAGTCAAATAGTATCAGTAAAATTTAGAAAAAACTCGATGAATACATTATAACACATCAATTTATAACCTAAAGTTAAATAAATAGAATAAAATCCTACACCCATTGGGTTTTTATTCCCTTTCATTGCAAAATTTTCTGAAGCGGTAAACCACTCCAAAAAACACAGCTATAGGAAATCTACCAAAGAATTTTAGTGACCGACTCAAAGAGTGATGAAAGCTTTAATCTTACGGGAGTTCGTCGAACTTTCTCGGGCCAGCGGCTTTGAAGAATGGGAATGAGCGCTGTGTTTGCCAAGAGCCTCGTGTTGACGCAGAATTCGATTGCAGCTGGTGACTGAGACGAATCTTGTACTTTATAAATTTTGGCATCGCTGTTTCTGAATGTTCAAATATAACAGCTGAAAGGGAAGTTTTTTAAGCTCAATAGAATAAAGCATCAAATTCAGTTGTCCTGATAACGTTACCATTAAGAAAACATCTCTCGTGCCTACTTTGCCTGGCTAAAAAAAATCTAAAAGCCAGATTCACCGATGCTAGAATTTAAGGCATCTAAAACCAAACAATGCCGTTTATTTCAACAGAAACCGCTCTCTTCTATAAGATCTCTGGATAGAAATGGTCTTAAAGATGCTAAAAATCTGAAACGTGGAACAAGAACGAAAAGCACGAGACAAATTAAAACTACGATAAACATTAAATGCGTCACTTGAACCATTTACAAGCAGACAGTATTTCAAACCTCAACAGAACTGAAAAAATAAGTAGCTTGCCTCCAAAATATTGGCTAAAGAAATCTGAAGCCTCCTTTGCAGCATCTCCTTCTGATGTGAATGATTTTCCACTTAAATCTTTGTCGGTTGCCTTAAAATTCGGTCCTAATAATGCCGATACTTTTGTCGCCACATCCTTTGCTACAATTATAAGAAAAATAACCTTTAGAGGCGATGTTTAAGCAGGTATTGATTTAAAATAATAGAATCTTGACAACCTTAAATACCTAAAAAAACTCATAATTACGCTATTGGATCAAAGTTATAAAGTTGAAATCATAAATGATCAAATCATTCTTTTGTAAATGCAAAGTTTGTTCTAAAGCATTGGAATCGTAAGACGATGGACATTTGAAAAAGAGATTCCACTTAATCCAAAATAACTGAAACTTACTCCACGCATTTGAAGGATAGAAGGCTAAATATGTTGTTGTGTTTTTTCTGACAAGCGGCAAAGGGAGGCTCAATATCTGAAAGTGTGGAACAAATCTTGCATCGAATGTTGCTGTGGACAAAAAAGAAGAAATAAGAATGATTCGCAATACAATTATCGGAAATAACAACGATTTTTTACTAATAACAAGTTTTAACATACAAATCACCCACTTCACTGCGATTATAAATGAACGATTCAATTTTACGATCATATAAACATTTCAAAGTTGAGTTTACGTACAGAAACATTTCGTAGCTGTATCTGTTTTCAGGCCAACCCTAGAAAAGAAAACGCTTTAATGATGAACACTGAACGAAGCTAATCACGAAAAGCACATTGCGAGCTGCTGATATCTCTCGTTCGAAAATAATGCAGATAATTAGTTGAATTGGAATAACCACAGTCTTCCCTTCTGTCTGAAAACATTGTACCGGGAAGGGCCCCCTCTTAATGGAGTGTTGCCTGTTGAAAGTAAAGAATAGTCAACCAATGAGGTTACTTCGATATAAAAACCTTGAGCAATACTCTTACATTTTGAGGGCAACTTTTTGGTGGGAGTGAAATTGAACACTTATCCTCATACACTTACACTTATACAGGGCCGTCATTATACAGCTGTAATGTATTTCCTTTATAACAGTGTACCGAATGGAAAGCAATACAGTGGGCAGCCCCCCCCCCCCCAATAAAAATTTCATTCTTATTGCACTGTTATAAAGCTTTCTAGAGGTACATGGTTTCGGTACTCGAAGTGCACAATCGAATCCTATATAGTGGTGTATGATCCATAAAATACTTACTTTGCAATTATGAGAACTGCAGTCAAGGCAACGGGCAACAGCAGCTCGATGCATGTTCCAATCGGCCTTCGGAACTAAAAGGGAAAAAATCATTTCAAGGCATTAAAAGAAGGCTTTATTGCCAACATGCCCCTCAACACTACACCCCTCGACAAAGGAGTCTCAGGGTTTGGGGATGTAGCCCCTTCCAAACGTTAATCGCGGTCTTGTTAACTTGAGTAGCACGGCTTGCCACAAAACATTATTCATCCTTTGTAAGGCAGTTCCATTGTGGAAAGGTTGGTAAATAAGTTCACAGAGTTGCGTAGAGCTTACTTGTTTCATTAATAATTCTAAAATCCTATCAACAAAATGTGTGCAATGTACGCAAATTAAGTGTCCGGTGAAACAGGAAAGAGGGAGCTGTCTTACAGCAGTGTCTTTTTATTTATGCAAAATCACATTCTTGAATCAATCTTTAGCAGCGAAAAATGCACTACAATGTGGTATATTTTGTTTGTTTATGCGAACCGGACGTTTTCGTTGCAGCTAAAAGTAAAAATCGGCTAAAAGGGAAGGCAATATAGGATAGGACACGATAAAAATACTTTTACTAATTGTTGGGGGCGGCGGTGGTTTAATGAAGATGTGCAGTTAGTCATGATCAAAATATTGAATCTGGACTTATTCAAAGATTGTGTCCGCTATTTTATTCTATTTGAGGGCGGCCATGGTAACCGGTAACAACAAACAACAACGTGCATGGTACCACCTGCATACAGAAAGCGAACAGCCCTTACAAAATTTGGAAAGATTTACAGAAAAATTCTTGTATTTTAACAACTTCATGCGTTGTTCCAACATTCTAAACTAATTAAATATCAGCTTATTTAATAGCAAGAGGCAACGTGATTGTCTTGCTCTATAAACACCTACTTTCAAAATAGACTAACATTAAGTAGAGACAGGGTACAACTAGGAAGGGGAAGATAGTATAGTATCTACTTCATGGAGTCCAAATGCTCCTGGCAGTGATCTTATTTCACGATTTCTTAATTTCACATGTCTCTTTTTCATTTACACAGTTATAATAATCACAGTTTTATTCAACAAATGTTCATGGATAAATTGTGAATGCAATGCATATGGGGTGGATGTCTTTTTGCTAGCATTTTCCTTTAAAAATTTTACTTTATATAAGTGAAAAAATAAGACAATATCTCGTTCTCAAGTTAACCAATTTTTATACCATGGTTTGACCTGTGATGATAATCCTAAATTCCTTACGAAGCTTATTTCTACGTTGTGAGTTATCAAAAAGCTTTGTAAGAAATTCATAGGGCTTATACACTACAAAGGAAAGTAAATGTCTTTTTAAGATAGCCTGATTCCACCTTATCAAAAAAGGCCATGTCAGTTAATCACAAAATAACACACGGGCTTAAAGAGCTGCCATTTGTCCATATTGAAAAGGCACCCACAGTAAATATGAAAAATAAAGTCATCAGAAATATATACTTAAAATCAGGGTAATGTTTCTTATACGAAAAACCAGATTATACTATTGATCATCTACTCAGACACAAGCTCAATGATTGTGATAAAAATATCATAATATTTTGAGCTGTATTTGTAATTTTTCACTTTTAGGAAAAACTACAATTATTCCAGAAAAATGCTTTTGCTTAGTTTGCATTCAAAATTCTTCTTCATTTGACCAGGCTCAGTTTGATTTGTTCTGTTTTTCAAAGGATGAAGTTATATGAATAAGAAACAAGCATTTTTTCAGACCTTAACCAGTTTCTTATCAAGGGGTTATTTTTTTTAAAATAAGGGTCTGTGTTTCTTAAAATTGTGTTTCTTATATGCGGGATCCTACTGTGGTCGTTGAAAAAAACACTGGGCACTCAGTTGTATTAACAAAACCATGAACAGGACAATTTTAAGTTGCTTTGTGAGTTTCACAGATAGGGTGTACAGCTCTGCCTATATGGCATCAAGCACTTTATGATAGACCAGAAAACAGTAACTTTCATTACTGAAATGTAACAAAATGTTAAATGTTCAAAACAAAAGGGGAAGGGTCAATTTGTAAAGAGCATGACTTGATTGGCTTTCAATTTCTTAATGGAGAGATGGATCCCAGAGAGATGGGACACAGAGGCTGCAGATAATAAAATTTTTTCTGATAACCCATCAAGAAAATTTTACAGTAGAGTCTATTTATAGTCACACCGAATGTTGCTTAAAAAGCTGTGACAGTAAGCAGGTGTGACTGTAAATGGAGCATAATTTAATAGGTTTCTGTAAAAAGTGGCAGCCTCGAGATGGTTGATCTGGACCTGCAGATTCAACTGCATGATGTATGCATTAGTAACAGTGATAAGATGGGAAGAGAAAAAACGGTAAACCAACATAAAGAAAGGGGAACACTCAAAAGACAGGGCACACCTTAAATATCCTTCAAACTTTTCATAGGCTCAAGATTGATACTTTGTCATAGAAAGAAACTCCCTCGTTTGCTTGTGATATGAAATGAAGCTTCTATTCAAGTAAGTCAAATTTTATAAAGATGCTAAAATTTTATCAAGACGATTTATAAAACTTTTTTGCAATTGTAGATTATCTCATTTAGTGTATAATATTAATGGTAGAATTTAGGGTTACCAAAGCCCACTAATGTTTTTGCATTTTCAATCGAGCTATTCTTTTAATCTTTATCTTTTTAAAGGCATCAAATGACTAATATTAATTGATTAAACACTAAAATCTTGAATTAATAAAAAAGAAATAAAGTGCTTTGACTTTATTTTGAAAGGTATAGCAGCTAGGTTGACCTAGGGGTTCATAAGCTTAAGCATTCCCAATAACTTTTCAGAAGTTTTATATTGCGCCATTGGGTTTCTTTTACATAGTTTTCTGAAGACTGATGTCAAAAAATTCTGAAGAACATAGTTTTCACAAGTCAGTTTTCAAGATGGATCAAAGGATGGTCAATTTTGCGTAATTCAAATTTTTCTAAGAATGCAATTTTCTAAGAAACTTCTTACAGACAAGGAAAATACATTTCCATTTCTTACCACTTACCATTTCTTACCAGAACTGGATATCATTAAGAAATTCAGACAATCTATATTTGCATAAATACAAGTATGGCTCTGTTTTTTGGAACCACATTTTTCAGTTCCTTACACTGTGGGAATTCACAATCTTAAAATGTACAAACTTATGTGAATTGACATAGCACCCTGATTTCACAGAATAAAAGAGGGATACTCTTTAAAGCCTAAGATTTATCCTGCATCCATGTTGTTAAATCTGTTGTTCAAGAAAGGTAAACCTATTAATGTGAATACAAATTCTTATGGCAGAAGTAGATGGCCTACACTTTAGTACACATTCACTGGTCTTTCAATGTCTCTTACAGGGTGTTCAACAACTGTTTTTTTTATTTCAGACTATTGGTACATGCATCCATGTTGCTAATGTGACTGTCCAAGGAAGATAACCTTTTTTGGCAGTACGAAACTTGAAGCCCTGCTTACTATCACCTTGCCCCCCCCCCCCCCCAATCAGCAATGTTGTCAAAAAATTTGGGCTTTTGTCGGATAATTGAAAACCGTTTAACGTGTCAAAATTACTCCAAGAAATTGTTCTTAAAAGAAACTTTAAGCTAATCTAAGGGGACTAATTGCCAAATTTCCTGCTCGCTTTGCCCGCAGGTGATCTGATCTGCATTTTCCTTTTTTACCCCAGGGGCCACTATAACCTCTCTGTGCCCTTTTTGCAAAATTTGAACATAGCATAGCTGATAAAATATTAGTAAGTACTAAATAATCAATCAAATAATACATGACCAAAACTGCTTGTGAATTGTACATAATAAACAAATAAATAATATATAAAATATTTAATTTCAATTCCGAAATTTTCATCGGATTCTTCCAAATAAAAGTTATTTTCAAACGTATTTCCCACTGACGAAAACAAGATAAAATGCATAAAATGAACGTACAACTTGTCAAAAGTGTAATGTGTCGACTTATTGTATCATCAATTGCCTTAGCCTGCGTCACAGACCAAAAACTTCCGTGAAGTGTATGTACATATCGATTTTGATATCAAAAATCATAAATGGATTGTTCTTGCTACTTAATTATGACGTTGTCAGCAAAGATTTCTGAAGGGTCTCGTCAGAAAAATCATCTATTTTTATCAAAATGTGCAGTTTCTTTAAAATTAGACATGATCCAAGATATTATCTTGTCGGAAAATCGTAGGCCTGCCCCAACCCCCCCCCCCCCAATGATGTCATAATGTAACACCAAACTAAACTTGGAAATGAGCGCATATTTTCGAATTGTCATGCTGACTGCTTTTAGTTTTGTGCCATAACAATACCAAAGCACGCAGAAGGAAGTTGCTTTCAATCTACGGTCTTGCAGTTACGTAACATAAAATCAAATATCCCTTTGCGATTTTCAAACATATCATGAGACTTTCTCAACTCAAAACCACCTGTAACTTATTCTATTAAAGGCAAAAGCAAGACAGAAGAATTGCATCCATGAAATTTGCCTTCCGCCCGAGCCTTGCAAACAGATTATTTTCTTACTAAAACGTCTCAATTTTGTTTCCTCGGAGATTCAAGCAAGTCAAAATATTTAACTTCAAACCGATTAAAATGTTAGTCCTATTCAAAATAAAACGTAGAAATAAATTTTGCTTATTAAGCGAATTCAACATAGATTCAAACCACGAAGGCGAAGTAGTTAAATGGAGCCGTGATAAAACTTGAAATAACCTCTCGATATTAAGAAAATAGCAATGTTTTCAAACCTGAAGAACAAAGTTTTTCCAAAGGAGAAGCAGCAGCTGCCTCAAATTGCGCGACATTTCCACTTCTTAGTACAGCAGGTCTGGCGGCTTGTTTTGGAGGAACTTTATATAGCCTCGCTTGCACACAATGTAATTCACAGATCTAATGAAACGAAGAAAATCGCATGTTACGTATTTCACGACGACGGGGGAGAGTGATTATAAGAAGAGGCTTGAGTGATTGATCTGACAAAACTTAGATGAAGCATGGAAAAACAGTATCTTAAGTACACACATTTTAAGCTCAGATCAGATAAGACAAACTCATAACTCGTATTTTTTATCTCATAATGATAATTTTGATCTTTCTTTATTTCAGGATTAAACGTTTCTCTAAATTTTTGCTTTATCAAAGTTTTCAGCTCTAATCCATGTAAAGAAACAGATAGAGTTTGTAACTTCGTTTCAGTAAAACGAAATAAGAGATCAGACCCAGTCTCAGCTTGATAGTTGACACAATTTTTTAGGGAATTCTAACATAAATATAAATAAATGAAATTGTAGGGTTTTTGTCAACCGTGACTGTAAAATTAATCTCTTCAACTAAACGCATCGTTTGAAGTCATAATGATTGCAGAAAATATATTTTTACATAAGCGGTGCTCTCTCCTCGATTTTTTATACATTCTCCGTCTTTGTAAATTTATCAATTATATATCTTGTATCTATTGTTTGTGTTTTTTATGTTAAATTCTTTATAATTAATGTATATTATATCAAAACTTGTCTGTTGTGAATTGTGAAAATGAAATGATCTGAACTGAACTGGAACGAACTGGTGGTTGTTAATAGTATTGTACAGGGCACGGGATATTTTTGGTTAGAGGTAGTTGCAGATTAGTTTTTTTTTAATTTTTGCATAATAAGCAGTGTCGGAGCTACGGGGCGAGTGGGGGACTAGTACCCCCACTTTTTCAGGAGCTGATTTTTTTGTGAAGCCATAACATTGTCAGTAATTTTGTAGATTACCTTCTTTGTTTCTAAATATTGTCTACAATGCTCTAAAATCTTCTTTTAATAAGGAGCAAGAGAGGTATTTCCAACAGAATTGATTTATCGACTCTTCGAAAAAATTTGCCGTCAAATCTAGGAAGCTGATCTTATAGTCCTTAATATTAAACAGCAAACTTTGTTTATCGATTAGAACTTTGCATCCCCTCAAAAACTCTTGTGAGCTATTTGTACCTTGAACAGATCGTTGTATTAGATTTTGTGACAGTGTAGATTTTGAAAGTTTTTACTAGTAGCACTTGATTATAGGTCTTTGCATTATTTTTTCACAAGTAAAATTTCTAATTTAAAAACTCTGAAAACAAGTTTCAGGCAATAGTGTTCATTGCCAACGGAAAATTAAATGACATTTCTTGGGAGACAAGGGGTGTTTGCTAAGGAAGAAAATGCTTCTCGTGGGAAAGGGGCGTGGCCCAAAAGAGCGTGGTCCCAGACTGTCCCTCCCACTTATCCCGGGCTGGAGCCGCCAATGATTATAAATAATCATTTGTTAGTCAATTTGCTTTCTTTCATAGACATAGGCTGGGGAAGGAAGAATAACAAGCATAATGTGCAGAGCAAGCAATCCCCCCTCCACCAGCGTTCATTTAACAAATGACCCGTGTCAATTATTACAGTGTTTTGCGGTATTGTTTGCGGCGGAAATCATACGATTAGAGTATACGGGGGAAATATCAAATTGAGTTTTTAAGAAATGACGTCATAAAATGTGCAGAATCAGTAAAATATGTTAGGAATCTGAAATGTGGTCACATGAGAACAGGCTCTTTCCAATGATGAATCGTCTGTAATTTGGGCTCAGCAAAATACCAGTAATCCGCAAATCACACATCTTTCAATGGCCATATCTCACCCGCTTTTTGACATATTAAACTGACTTCGCCTATTTTTAAGTATTTCGTGGTGTTTTTTATATTTGGATAAAATTCAAAAATTTTAAAAATAGATTTTCGTGATGCTGACCCAGAGTACTACAAAGCTGAAATATTCTCCCTCGAGGGGCAAATCACTCCAAGAAAATCTCGTGAAAACCCTTTGTGAAAACCCTTATGTTTTATATGAAAATCCCAGGAAATCCTTTTGTTTTTAGGGGAAAATCTCGTACGCTATTTGCAAGAGTGAATTGTCCCTCGACCTCCCTAAGTGTAGAAATTTTCCTAATTCTACCACTTTTGAAATAAAAATTAAGGGAATTAAACATTGAGGGCATCATAGTTTGAAATGTGAATCGAAGGACAAGATACGAGTAAAGACAGTTCTCTTCACTTTGAGCAGGACTTTGGAAACAATTCTTAAAATAATTTGCGAATAGCAATTCACGTACTTTTACGAAAAGCAATTCACGCGTGTTTAGGTTCTAAAAAACTTTCATTTTGCTTGACCAAAAGGCTTCGTTTTTGGCCAAAGATCGTGTGGGTGAAAATTTCAAAAGAACGCTTCTAAGAGCTTGTAGATAGTAACAACATATTGTCACAATGCTAAACCCACAGTTTTGCTTGTAGGCCAAACATTTTAGGTAGAATATATTTTAAAAAATGCAAGCTACATACTCAGAAATTTGCTTATAACAGGCTAAACTATATCATCTACGATAATGTTGTTGGGGATTTCCTGCGTGGCCCTCTCTGTCTTCAAAATTTGACTGATTTTGGAAAAATCATTGTTATGTCGGAAAGTTCTTATACTTGGGATGTGGGTAGAAAAGGAGAAATGAAACAAACCTTTTAGAGACACAAATTACCTGGGCTAAAGTACATTCCGTATTGTCCAGGGGCAATTCACTTTTGCAAGGGCCAAATTTGGTTATGGAAATCGGTCAGTATTGGTCATAAATCATATCTTTATTTGATATTAAAGACCAGGAAAGTGCCAATTTTGTGTCTATCATCAGATTTGAAAAATGTTGTCCCATATTTGAAAATGCTAGCTGTTTTGTTGCACAAGGTAAACATTTGAAAACGAGAAGAAGGAAGTCGATCAATACTATTGCTTTCCACCAGTGGATATTCATTTTTAGAATAAGATTTTATTGTTAAATTATGCTCCAAAGAATGTTTCAGTGATGTTGTATTGCATCCAACTGTGTTACAAATATCATCAATCGCGCCCTCGCTTTCAATAACAAATCGTTATCTGATGACTTTCTTAAATCAGTCCCCCGTTTTTCGCTATCCGATTCACGGTGAATTGTCTTAAATCATCTACTATGGTTCGCGGTTTCGGCTATGAATATTTATGTTATTTTGATCAATACTGAAGGTCAGGAACTTAGCAATCTGCATTACAGCTTTTACATTACTCGAATTCACCGTACCTAAGTCGCATTTCCATTGTATGTTGTCAAAAACCATTCCCACAAAATAACGTTGAATCTTTCCGCTTACTCTTCAATGAGTCATTAAGTCCACTCCATAGAGATAAGAAACTATGGAGATCTCTATGGTCCACTCACAGAGAACGACTTCTTTGATAGAGTTTTGGATAAATGTCCTCTGGGTGCCAATTAATATTATAGTTCGGAGGCTGCAAGCAATGGGGGAACTCGCCTGTGGTTTGCTGTGGCATTAACAAGACCCACGCATCCCTACAGAACAGTTGAATGTTTTAGGAAAATGCAAGAAAATGCAAGAAAATGACATCAGGAAATCATTCTGTAGTTTAATAAATATACAGGGGCGTTTTTGCCAGATTTTCTGCTTACTTTGTTCGGGGAATTTTCTGCTAAAGCTGGAATTTAGCTTTTTCTCCAGGGTTTCCAATTCATAGCACACACAAACAGAGAAAAACGGGGAAAAGTGTCTATTCTACTCTAAAGCATTAAAAAGGCCCTGTTTTGAAGCACTTTCTTACAGTTGAATCTAAAGAACTCGTTTTAGTGCACGTGCAGCTACGAAAACTCTCTCTTACGTTTTCGCCTGAGTCAGAGTAACTACCATTGATAATTATGTATGTATAATTATGTATTAAGCCATTGCTAAAATTTCAGATAACTGGTTTTGCCGCATAAGAACATTATCAAGCGTTTTAAAGAGAGTTCCCCGACACAATTTGCTGTAATCAAGCCTAAAGTCCCTTTTAGAAGCATTGCGCCAGTCCTCATTTTCAATAGTTTAGTGTTTAGAACAGGAGCTGAATTTCATGCCGCTTGCAATAAAGTTTTCGTCAGATGGTTGGAATGCAATGACGTCATACTACCACTCGTGCATTGGTTGCCATAGTTTGTATGACGTCATGACTATGATCTAATGCCGACCAAGATTAAATATAAGTGAAATCGAGGTTTAAATATTTCACATTATTAAATACCATCAGAAAAGCATTGTCAACATGTACTCTATACGGAACAAGAGATAAAATTGAGCCACATCTATCAGTAAATCAGAGTTGATTTAGACCCTTCAGAAGCACATCTGATATAGTATAGACTCACAGATGGTATGCAGCAAAAATAGCTTTGTCAGAAATAGACATACATATAACAGGAATAGATATGTCATCAGCCTTTGATACAATAGATACAAAGCTGCTATTGGACATTTTGAAAGATAAGAAGATGAGATGAGAATAGTGAGATTCTTACTCAGTGACACCAACATATCCATTAAAATAAAAGGAGCAACAGATGAAATGCCATTCTTAGCAAATGTGGGTACACCCCAAAGAGACAGTCTCAGTCCAGTTCTATTCATAGTATACCTGGAAACAGCATTGAGAGAAATCAGAGAGATAAATAGAATGGAAGAAGGATTCCCAACAGAAATGGCTTAGGCAGATGATTTCGACTTTAAGTATGATAAAACATAAAGATGTGGGCGAGATAAGCAAAGTATTAAAGAAGTATAAACTATTAGTCAATAAGGACAAAACGGAATAAACTACAAGCAATAGAAAGAAATCAAAAAAGGAAGAAGAATGGAGAAGTGCAAAGAAAGTGGTTTCATTATTAGGAGATGAGGAAGATATCAAAAGAAGAAAGCAGTTAGCCACAGCATCAATGAACAAGATCAATGCAATATATCTAAAGAAAGATAAAGTAAAGCTTGAGAAGAAAATCAGGATATATAGAGCATTAGTAAAATCAGTACTGCTCTACAACTGTGGAACATTGGGTGTTTCATCAAATGTACAACAGAGATTGGATGCATATCACCGGAGGCAGTTACGTAGAATTCTAGGAATAAGAAATCCAACACGCATATCGAATGAGAAATTGTATGAAGTGACGGGAGAAAAACCAATATCATACACCATAATGAAACAGAGGTGGGAACTATTTGATCATATCTTGAGAAGAGACAGAAATATTCCAGCATTTAAAGCCATGGAATTGTACTTCACAAACATAAAAGCCAAAGGATTCAGAGAAAAATCAAGAAAAACTCTACCAAAGGTACTGATGATCTGAATGCCTATTACAATAACGACCCCATTACAGCTGAACATAACTACTGTCACCGGTTAAAGCTCAACACCAAAAAGATCTGGAAGAATTGAGAACACTGGCCCAAGGTAGGAAGGGATGGAAGAAGTTAACAAGAGCAATAATTTTGAAGACCGGAGAAGCAGCGACACCTAATGGTGAAGAAGCGGAACTCCAATAAACAACAAACAACGACAAAGCGAGGTTAGCATAATGTCACGTGACAAACAATCCCTCTACATTAAAGTGGGGGGGAGGGGAGGGGAGGGGAGGGGTGCTATGGGCATATTCTATATGCAACCCCTGCCCTGAACAATGGTATTTTCAATGAAGCTTAACTGGAACTTTTGTGGCGCCCTTAAGCAACGTTTACACGAGCCCGGGCTAGATTCCATTCCGGTCCAGCTCGTTCCTTTACAGGGTTAACCTGGCCAGGGTCAGCTTAGTTTGCTGGCTCAAGTTTAAAAGTGACCCGCAGTTGGCTACTTTGTAGTACTTACATGACCCTGTGTTTAGCTGACTCGATTTCAAATGAAAAAAACTTCATAAAAGACAAGCCGTCTGAATGGGTGAGCCCCACCCTGGACCATGGTTACTTGGCAAGGCGGGTTGACCCGGGTTGGCTACTGCAATTATGTAAACGTTTGAAGAGCTTTGGCCGTAGACGGGCTGGCCCTCTAAGGCGGTAAGCAGCCAACCCGGGCTCGTGTAAACGGAGCGTAAGTCACCATGGCTGTCTATTTGGCAGTTTTTTCTAATGAAATCCCTTTTTTGTTATATCTTTAAATTAGCATTAACAGAAAGCATGTCCAAGAGCCACCAGATACAACATGATGACTCAAAACTCCGACCTTTAATATAATTCTACCAATGCTTTAAATTCTTTATGCTTTCCCAAAGAAAAATCCTGTAGCTTGTCAGAAAATAATCATTCTGCGACTATGTATGGAACGTTTTTTGGTTCATTAAAATGACAACATGACTTGTTTAGGTAGCAAAGAAAATCTTCTAGAAACCTCAATCCATTATTAAAAAGAATAAGTATGTGTATCAGCAGTTTAAAAATAAAGGATTCAATCATGAATATTATTTGCAAAAGAAAATTTGATTTGTTGAATCCATATAAAGAGGAGTTTAAAGGAAAGTTAAAAGTTTGTTTGACGAATCTTTATTAGCACGCCAAAAATATAACTAGCAGTTTATGTTCGACAGACACAACAGATGGAAGTGAAAGCACAAGCAAAGCCTATACTAGTAGTTTCTGCTCATATCAATTGAATTTCTTTGTTAAATTGAATGTTTTTCGAAGTTCCAAGTTTCTTTTAGTAATATTTAGGTTAGAGATTGTAACTGATAACCTGACATACAAATCTCTATACACGATAACAGTGTGTTCTTCTTATTTTCATCTTCTCCTTCTTCTTCTTCTCCTTCTTCTTCTTCTTCTCTTTCTTCTCTTCTTCTCTGCTTCTCTTCTTCTCTGCTTCTCTTCTTCTCCGCTTCTCTTCTTCTCTGCTTCTCTTCTTCCCCTTCTTCTTTTTCTTCTCTTTCTCCTCTTCTTCTCTGCTTCCCTTCTTCTCTGCTTCTCTTCTTCTCTGCTTCTCTTCTTCTCTGCTTCTTCCTTCTTGCTTCTCTTCTTCTCTTCTTCTCTGCTTCTCTTCTTCTCTGCTTCTCTTCTTCTCTGCTTCTCTTCTTCTCTGCTTCTCTTCTTCTCTGCTTCTCTTCTTCTCCGCTTCTCTTCTTCTCTGCTTCTCTTCTTCCCCTTCTTCTTTTTCTTCTCTTTCTCCTCTTCTTCTCTGCTTCCCTTCTTCTCTGCTTCTCTTCTTCCCCTTCTTCTTTTTCTTCTCTGCTTCTCTTCTTCTCTGCTTCTCTTCTTCTCTGCTTCTCTTCTTCTCTGCTTCTCTTCTTCTCTGCATCCCTTCTTCTCTGCTTCTCTTCTTCCCCTTCTTCTTTTTCTTCTCTTTCTTTCCTTCCTCTCTGCTTCCCTTCTTCTCTGCCTCTCTTCTTCCCCTTCTTCTTTTTCTTCTTTTTCTTCTCTACTTCTCTTCTTCTCTGCTTCTCTTCTTCTCTGCTTCTCTTCTTCTCTGCTTCTCTTCTTCTCTGCTTCTTTATTTCTCGGCTTTTTACTTCTCTGTCTCTCTCCTTCTTTTTCTCTTCATCTTGCTCTTCTTTACGTTTTTCATCTTCAAACAATTTTCTTCCTCTTCTTCCCCTGCTGTGGCTTTCTCTTCCTGTACTTTATTTCATTTTCTGCATATTTTCTTCTTCAATTTTCTATTTCTTTTCTTTCTCTTAATTTACCTTCTTTTGTATCTTATTCTGATCTATCTGAATCTTCTTCTTATGATTTCTTATCTTCTTACTTGTATTTTTATCCCACACTCTTTTCTGTCATCTTATCCTTTTTGCCTTTTTACCTTCCTTTTCTCCTCCATCCAATTCATTTCTCTGACTTATGCGTTTCTCTGACTTAGAGACTTGTCTTGCAGCAGTCTTGGCTTGTTCTGTCTGCCTCAATGTTGGATTTTAGCTTTATTCAGACCAATACAGCCATCTTATTTACAACTGATATCTTCTCTTCATGTCATGGCGATTCAATTTACAGCATTTATGCCTCAAATTAACTTTCATCTCTTCATTTCAAATGATTTAACTATCAGACGAATACTTTTGACTTAACAACATTGACATACAGCATTAGAATATTGATGCAGGTTGAAAGATTGAATTCTTTCAATCAACTTTGATTAAGAAATTATTAAAAACACCTGTTTTTGCAGCTACCCTCAAAATTCCCAGAAAGTTTTTTCCTTCATAGTTGTATACGGTACTTTCTTTTTTGCAACACGGCAAATGATTTTCGGATTAGATGACGATGCTGAATCTTGCATGCAATCAATTTTGAATTCACAAATTTAGAGAGCCTTGTTAAAAACATGTTGTGATATAATATTCAGATGCGGTCTGGCACGGGAGGCAAAGTTGCGATACATCATGGATATCTCAATTTACTATGTTTATCATTTACTTCAAGGCAGAATAATCACAAAAAACCACCAATTCAGGTATATTGCCAAAAGTTTGAATAGTTCAATTTGCATTGTTTGGGAACGAGGTGCTTATATAGAAGAGAACAAAATGCCTACAAAATAACAAATTACAAAGCAAGTATGTTTCGGTTGCAAAGCATTGAGGAATCTGTCTATGTTCTACACTCAGTCTAAGCCGAACGCTGGTGGTTGTATTTGACCATACTCCATCACGTTAATACAACACAGACTCTGTAGCTAAAGACTGATGAAACAACGGAATTATACATTCAAAGCATAATTTTATAGAACCTGATATCGGATCTTGCTACAATAATTTTGCATTTACAAGAGAGAGCATGGGACCTTTCTTGGCTGTATTTATTGTTTTTATCAGTACTTCATGTGCAGATGTATCGTTATTTGGGATTTTTGAAAACCAATCTAGCCCAAAGTATTTTGAAGAAGCAACCGAGAAGCTTAACATTACAGGAAGCAGTTTTTACTCAAATTGGAACTCGAGTCATGGCTTATCATTTGTAATATCGCAAATGGAAGCGCTTAGAATGAAAATCAATCGGAGTGATTCCAACAAGAATATTGTGTTTAGCGATACTCAGGGAGTGCAAAGCGAGATGGTCAAAGAGCTGTTGCTGATTCAAGAAGATACTACGCCATCAAGTTACAACAAGCCTTTGTTCTTTTATGACGATGGTTTAGGAAGAGATCATCAGGTAAAAATCTGCTCAATTGTGATTGTGAGATGATGTAGGCATTTTATTCATTTCAACTTAATTTTTTTAAGTTTCCAAAGAATTTTTGGCGATATTTTGACGGTGTTGCAATCACAAGTAAACGTTTTTTCTGACAGCATTTGGAGCTCAAAAATGTAGGTTTACAATCCATCAAATTGCTTTAGATGAGGTTCTCATAACGTCTTGCTTCAATATTTATAACAGAGTGTTTTCGTTCCATGAGTGTTTGCGAAAAGAGGGTTCCAATGAACATACTAGAGCCTATCCAGCCCCCAAAAAATTTCTTTGTTCCAGCTAAAGTCAATTAAAAAAGGCTATTTAGGTTATTTACTTCTTAACTTAGTTATGTCAAATTTTGCCAATGCCATCGGATCTGGCTATTTTGTATCAACTTCGCAAAAATTGAATTAACAGAACCGACAATACTGCACTGGGAACCTTCTTTGGAGACCACAGACCCCTTGCATAGGTAAGAAAGAAGTTGGGAAACTCTTTTAAAGGTAAAAAAAATTCTTTTTTTACTGAATTTTTCAAAGATTGCTAAATCAAGCTATCAACTCAACTCAGCGAAAATGTGTTGATTAACCTTTGCTCTTTAAAAAAGTTTAGTTTCCAACCGAAATTGAGTTTTCAGAGCTTACGAAGTAACTTCTAAAGATTATGTCTTCGGAATTTTAAAGAATAACTTTGATACTGGGATGGAAACTTTGTTATTTGTTGTATGTGTTCAATAGGGCTGATTATCATTATGAATACAGCTTTAGTATCCTTTGCGTATCTGAACAGTTAAGAAAATATTAAGACATCGTAGATTTGCATTGCTGTAAAGGGAGACAGAATTTTTTTCTGTAATTATTCATTACCCATTTATGTCTCTTTTGAGGGTTAAAATTTTGCATATACCTTTCCAGTATCTTTTATTATAAATCTATTATTTTTTTATATTTATTCACTGCTTATTTATGTATACATCAAGTACCAGAAAATCATGTCCCGAAAAATTTGGTGGATTAATTCTTAGTGTTTAAAATTTGTTTTTATTTTTTGAATTTTGGTGTAAGTTTCGGTGAGACTTTTAAAAAATTTTGTTGAAGAGTCTTGGTGGGAGAAAAATGAAGCACTTTCTATATCCACTTTAAATTTCAATAGAAAATTATCTAGAACACTATCATAAATGATACAAGAGTCAAATATTTCAATGTCATCGCAATAAATGGATATGAAGAGCATGTAAAATTGCGACAAAGCCTTATTTAGAGAAGGCTTTTTACTTTATTTGTTATAACCCATTGTAGAAAATTAATTGGAAGCTTTTGTTTAAAGTTTGTGATATTTTATATTACTAATCAAAACAAAGGGATTAGAATTCTCATTGATTTTGCGTTAAAAGTTAAGGTGTCAAAATTGAAACCGCTTTGTGGTTTGCAAGATAAAATTTAGAGAAATAATGAAGAGCCAGTGAAAACAAACATCATGCTCTGGTGAACTTTCAGTTCTTAGATGTAGAGGATAGAAATAAGAAGAATTCGAAGATGAGCTTGGTACCTTATATGTTAATGAAAAGGAGAAACAGAAATTAAAAATCTATATGTATCCGATGTAATACTAAACCAATGCTGGTAGCTAAAATATCTCGGTAAAAATGTTCCCGATGCACTTCGGTCATGCTTTAAAATATCATACATAGCAACTTAGAATCCTGTACATTGTTTGTCGTATCTTGAACATCAACGAACATTTTTTTGTTATTTTAAAAGTACACCTGTGTTTAAAAAAACAATTAGGAAATTTTTCGAGTCTTTCGAGAATTTCGGTTTCAAAATTGTTGGAGGATCATCTGTTGCTGCCGTGTTTCTATGAAAATAAAACCCACTGAAAATTTGTTTTCTCAATGTACTCCATTCTTAATTTCATTTCTATAGGCCCTCAAATGAAATATTCGTTCACACCATGTGGACCCAATCTGAAATATTTTCGTTCCGCTTTTTCAGAATGATATCACTTCGCCAGTGATATGCAGCCAATCCGATATTTATCGGATTGGGTGACGTATTACTGTAAACGCTCGAACCGCAGTTACAAACTTCGTAGACTCGACCCCAAGTCTAGCCCTCATCACAGAAGAAAACAAACTTCGTGCTGATATAGAAGATTATTCAAGATCTATGTTTGGTAAAGAACGAAAGGTTGTCTAAGCGCCGACAAATTCTAGCAAAGCAATCGCGTATGTGGAAGCTAAAACAAATGCACATGGAGTGTTGCATGTTTGCACCACCAACAGGTCTTTCTCTTCGGGGAGTCTTCGAAAAGATTTTCTGATTTTAGCTCAATTACTTGATGGGTTCTGATTTTAGCTCATCTTCACTTTAGTTCCAAAATATAAAATTTACACTCTGTGACCATCGGTCTTATGTCTCTTCAAAAAGCAATTGGCGTAAACAGTCATTTGAAAAGCACTGCATTTACTTTTTATAGAGTGAACATCAACATCAAATGGCTAAGGACATGCTCTCCTTCTTGAATACGTTGGCTCTTCCATTCAAAGACATCACAATCGTCACAGATTGGACAGAAACCGGCCAAGCCATCCTAACACAATTGATACAAAGTGCCTACCATGTTGGAAGAGACACGATTACTATTCAATCAGTCGAAAAGCTGATTGCAGATCAAAGCAGCGTATCGTCTACTTTTATGGATTGCAAGCTATTTCTTGTCGACTGTAATGGAACGTTGGCTGCGAAGATGTTTGATATTGCTAAATCGATGGGCCTAACTGGATTCATGGATTCAATTAAATGGATACTATCGGGACACACGATGGAATCTCTGCCTCAAAGCTGTTCTATTCCTAGAGGTGAATACTATGGACTATTGCCATCCCAAATCGCCCTTAACGGATCTGACATCTTACGGCAAGTCATGCAGTGCAGTAAAGAGGAATCGCAAAAAAAGGATTGTTCGCGAAGGTAAGTTACTATATTTCCAAGTAGTAGTAGCTGTAAATGTTGCGGCATAAGTAAAAAGTTTTAGAATAGATAAAACCTGAGGTATGTTAACATTTTAACTTGCATGATGCCAAAAAACGACCTACTAAAATTTAGTCATGAAATTTCCCCCGAAATAAATAAAAGATTAACTAAAATTACCCTAACAAAGATTTACTTCAATTCAACTGCAATCTTTTGTGCCCTGGCACATCAACGAGCTGTGCAAAGAGCGTTTTCCCAAGAACATGAAGATTTTCAGTTTTCTTCGACTGTGTAAAATTGTGGAATGTTTAGCTAGCCCATCCATATTGCTGCAAAATTTTTTGACTTGATTGTCCGATTGAATGTGTCACAGTTTCGAAAAACGATATTACTAGATGGTTCGGGATTTGAAAACCCGTTTCGTGCTAGATGAGGCAAAATAAGTTTATTGATCATATAAATTAAAGAAAACCAGAGATTTAGCACTGAATTAAATCGTTTTATCTAAGCCAGCTATTGTAATAGAAACATTGGCACTTAACTACGCCGTATGTACGGCTCATTTGTTCAAACGATAGTCCTGCCCAGCTCTGTAGCGATTCTTCGAAAAGTCATGTGGTTTATCTTGTGTTTCTATAATAGTTCTTCGTCTTTAGTTATTGGATCATCCAGTAAGTCGCATTTTCACGAACAAAACTATACATTTGCATCATTAGTATACAGTTGTATGGACAAGAAGAAGGAGGTGTAATGGTCGAGACTTTCTCTAATGTTTCGATTGCTGTTTTTGTCGCGTCATAATGCAACTTGCAAAACTTGTAACTATATTGAGTGATGATAAAGGCAAAATTTCTGACCATTTTTTTGTATGACTTGTTTTGCAAAACGTCAAGGAGTCTAAATGAATTGCTAAACTAAAATAACCTTAATATGCAATGAAAAAGAGTATTGATATGCTGAAACTATTGCCAACAGCAGATACAGGTCCAGCATCAAACTATTACAATTAGCGTTAAACATGTATTATGCTTAACGAAAGCAAATGAGCATTTAAACCAATATATTGAAGACTTTTTGTTTTCTTGGTCGTAGTAAACACGCTGCAAAGATATTAAGACTTTGGTCGAGTCAAATCACTCCGTCGAGGAACATGTGGATAGAAGATAAAAAGAACTTTGATAATATGATCAGTTCTATTATAAACAAACAAGGTTTGCATTCAAATAAACCAAGACTCAGGGTGTCGGTCGTTGAATCGAAGCCCTTCATTATTGTAAACAAATACAAGGAAACATCCGAGGATAACTTCCCTTGCCAAATTAATGGAAAACTAGGCATAAAGAGAACGAAAAATGCATCTGGTGAGTTAGTGTGTATGAATGGCTTTACCATTGATATCTTAAAAGAGCTGGAAACCACATTAGGTTTTGTTGGTATCCCAATTACTACCAAGGATGGCAAATACGGCAAGTATGATCCAAGTACAGGGGAAACAGATGGTTATGTTGGAGAAATAGTTCGTGATGAATCTGATATATCGATCGATCTATACGCTGATAGGACAAGAAGCCTGGTGATGAGTTTCACTACGCCGTATTATATTGGTTCTTTGGGTTTTGCATACCTGCAGAAGAATCAATATGAGGAAGCGGCTGTATTAAAACCATTCAGCCTGTACTTATGGCTGTGTATAATCGGAACCATATTTGTGCTTATTGTTGTCTTGTGGTCCTTGGAAAGGATCAGTCCATATAGCCAGCATCAAATTAACAAGCGGTCCTTAGACGACACAAAAGAATTCACCTTCGTCGATAGTGTTATTTACGTATGGGGAACATTTTTCACTGGAGAAATCATTAGCAACAAGCCAATGGCTGTTGGTTCTCGTTCTATCGCCATAGTTGTATCATTTGTGTCGATTTTGGTGATGTCTGCATATTCAGCAAACTTGATTTCGTTTCTTGTGGTATTAGATGAAACACCATTGGTGACTGGCCTGCTAGATGAAAAGGTAAGAAACTGAAAGGTTGCAGCGTTTGAAAGTTACTTGCAGTAGGGCTACATCCAAGGGTTGGAGGGGGTGGGGCAGTGGTGGATGGGGGCGAAGGATACTTTATCTGAATGTTAAGGTGATTTTTTGAATAGATTTTCAAATAGGCCTTGCTATTCATAACAGTTTCGAGTTATATCTAATTGCAAATCTTGACCCCTTCTTAAATTCAATCACACATTGGTTTTTGCATTCTAATAAAAGAAAGAATGATATAACGAGATATAAAACTTGCAAAATAATGAAGGCCAAGGACATAATGAGCATCACAATGAGATTCTCGAAAGATTAACAAAAATTGAATTTCAGTTTGCCCTAATAGGCAAAATATTTTCTCTACGAATTTTTTCCAGTAAGTAATGGTTACTTTTGTACCTTGTCAAAAGCTCGAGCGAACTTCGCATCGGAGTTCAGGAAAGCACATTCCCGGACCATTTCTTGTTAACTCATAATGATCCAAGAGTAAGAAGCATGTCGAAGACGAGGGTGAAAAGGTACTCTAGCTTGGATGAGTTACTCATCACTTTAAAAAACAAGTAAGTATTTTAAATGTTCATCTAGATATGCAAGCGTGAAGAACGTTATGAAATGTATCGCTTTCTTCTAATTATTGACTGCAGTTATACGATTCTTTCAAGATCTAAATTTGTCAATCCTGTGAGACTAGTACCATAGCGATACCCACGATATTTCTGTGAAAATTTGTTTTAAATTCGTGGACAATTTTCATGGCCCATTTTGTAATGTTATGTTGCAATGCAAACAACACACAAAAGATACCATTATTGTTATTGAATTTCAAAGCAAAGAAGCTTGGAATTGCAAAGAGGTTTCTTAAGATAATTTTGAAGATTTAGCTGAGTCAATCCAGCAGGTCCCACCTTTGTGTTGTATGCATCAGCCAGCTTCTGTTACTTGTTATATCTAAAGATTTTCATGTTTATTTAGCGGCAATAGTTTCATTATGAAATTGTGAACTTTATTAAAATGTTGTGCTTTATATTTCAAAAGATAAAGATCAAGAAAAGATGAAAAAGATTTAAAAGAAACTTATTTTTATTCTTTACTTTTTTATTATCTCAAGACAGCAGACAAAAAGAGAAAGTTCCATTATTTTTACGATCGATTAATAACTTTGGCGTTCTTCATCTTTCAGAATTTAACGTGGAAGTAAATTATATTTGTTGCAAATGTAACAATAAAAGTCAAAAAACATAATCTGCTTTAATTTCTGCCATAACAAAGGATTTAGGGAAAAAGTCAAGAAAATCTGGTAATTTCCTGACTGATATTTATATGTAAATTACTATCAATTTGTTTTGCTTTGTATGGAATCATTTTTTTGCAGCTAACTCATTATTGATTGAAGATAATTATAGTCAAATCTTAAAGCAATTCAGGTCTTAAAATATCTGATGAAATCATATTTTTCCAGGAATGCTGATCTGATAATGAGCGATTTCAACGCTTTAGCATTGAGAGCAGCTGAAGACAAAAGTTGCTCGATAAAAGTTATCCCACTGAAGGAAAAAGAAGTGGGCATGGCGGTATCATACAACAACAAATCGACATGGAGTAGAAGGCTAAACATGGGAGCAATGGATCTAGCCCATTCTGGAAAAGCTGACTCAATAGCCAAAAAGTGGTTCACTTCATCACAATGCACCCATGCAAGTAATTTTTCTGCCCTTGATGTGACCAGAATGAAGGCTTTGTTCATATGGTTATCTGCTGGAATTGCTGGTTGCCTTGGTATTCTTGTTTTCTCTGTTTGGTTGCGAAAATGTGAAGCATTTCACAAGAAAATGACAGAAGAGGAAGATGGATAAGGAATGTATGAATATTTAGCAAATTACAATATCGAGCTTCCTTTTAACCGTATGAAATTGGCAATATTGGAATCTGACTGTAGACTGTCCATTACAATTAGATCATGTCTTTACTACGAATAAACTCATTTTTTATAAGGAGGACACTCGCTTTAAGAAACAAGAACTCGGAAGTCGGAAAAATAAAGAAACTTTAGTATTGAAAGCAAAAAACAAGGCAAGGACTCAAAAGTTTAAACAAAATCTGGTTGCCACAAAAGTTTAGACACCAAGAAAGAAAACATATTTTGAAATAGGCCAGTCAGAAACGCGAGCACATGACTGTTGAAATTGACCAATCAGTGCCGCTTGCCTATAGAGAACTCATCCCCAAAAAGAACAGCCACCTCGGTCTTGCAGATCTAAAAATACAACTTAAACCTGCGATTCTGCTATCGGGCAGCATTTACTGAAAAACCCAGATTGTGCAAAAAACTATATTGGCGACATGTTTCTGATTAATGGTAAAGCCCGATCGTCGTTCCATCTAGCAGTTTTGAAAGCTATCTACATAAGCACGAAAAAACTGCTACTGTGTAGACAAAAGGAATTCGTTTTTACCTTGGGACTCCATTGGTAGCATTCTCAATAGGCAAGCGGCACTGATTGTTCAACTTCAACAGTCATGTGCTCGCATTTCTGATTGGCCTATTTCGATCCACAACTGGGTATATTTTTATCCTAGCGTACAGTTTTCGATCTATCTTCTGACGTTTTAAACTCTGAAGAGTGTGAGACGAAAAGCTTTAGTTTACTCAAATGTTTGCTTTTTTTAAAGTTTTGTACCACCAAAATATTGTTTAAAACATATTTCCCTGATCTAAGCAGGGCATTATAACTTAACAGAAATGTCACCATCACTTTAAAAAGCTGCAAGTCATCCCAACAAACATAAACAATTAGATATAGGGTTCCAAATGTCAGAATTGATTTCATTCACCTCAATAAAGAAACTCTTAGGCAACAATGGATTCTGGAAATTCCTGAAGCACTAAGAAACTGGAGTACTCGACATTGACCTATATTTCTTATAAAAATTGAGTGTATTTTACAGTTTTTGTTGTACTTAAATTATGATGTATTTAGGAAATTTGCTATATTATGAAGCTAAACAGATTTATTCTAATGGAGGTTACTGAAGAATAAATGCAAAATCTAACGTTTCCGAGTAATACGCAACGAATAAGCAATACCTTTTTTTAATAAAAGTGTGTTGAATTCGTAGTTGAAATTATGAGAGCCATAATGAATGACGGAAATGGATGAATAATTTAAAAGAAATCATCTTTATAGATTATAATGTTCAATGTTTTGCTTCTGGGACAATGTTACGAAAATGAAAACCTTGCTCACTAAACTAAGTAAGCATTGGCTTAGTTTTTTAATTGTGCATGTTAAGTAAAAATGTGATCTCTCATCTAATTTTCTTTTTCTTTCGCACCTGGTTCTCAAGCATCACTTAGACTGATGGCAAACAAAACTTTGCAGTGAAAATTTAGCAGTGAAATACTTCCGGTTTTTTAAAAATTAGAGTTTTCATCGCTTTACAAATTCGAATTCTAAAAAGTTTTCAATTTTCCTAAGAGAACTGTTCTCATGATGTCCGTTTAGCAATCTTGGAATGACTCAAAACATTCATCATTCAAATTATTCAAAATTCACAACCTTAAACAGCCAGTATTCCGCTGAAGGAAACCTGTTGCTAACAGGATAAAACAAATAGTAAACAAGCAAGAGAAGCAGAGAGAATGATGTTTTGAATAGCATCAAAAATGGACTATTAAAGACAGATAGTAATGAATTCTTATAAACGTGTCTAGATAAAAAAGTTTGGAGGGATATGTTCGTCCAAGCTCCTGCGCATGACATGTAGTGAAGAAGAAACTCTAGAATCCGGTTAAGGCTTTACATGTAAGAATTGACTGACCAGATTTAATCATTTCCTGGGTTGTTTAAAATCTGTGATTCATTCATACTAGGTTTTCTCTGTAGCATTTGTTTCCTATTGCGTTGAATGTAGATTTACATTTCATTCTTATGTTTCAAGCGAAGTCTGTAATGTTTTACTGCACCTTGATTTGAAGGGTTTACTTGCATAACCTGATTGTGAATGCTTAATGACTGTCTTGTGATAAAGGCTTATAATCATTGATATGTTTATGTTGCATAGTAATGTTAGACTGCAGCACAGTGTTGAGTATAAGATTGGTTACTGACTGTGCTGTTGCCTTCTCTCTCGATGTTTACTCTGCCTGACTCATATAAACTCTTCTTTATTGTTTCTATATTCTAAAATAAAGCTTTCATAATTAAGTATGCCCTAGGTACCAGAGCCACATAAATTCACGCGTGGAAACAGAAAGGAGGAACGGAGAAGCGGCGAAGCGGAGAAGTGGAGAAGCGGAGAAGCGGAGAAACGGAGAAACGTAGAAGCGGAGAAACGGAAAAACGGAGAAGAGAACGCTTCCACTTCCGAGGTCGAAATTTTGTAGCTCTGCTATGGTATTCAGGCCGTTTAAAGATATAGAAGTCTTTCAATCAAAAATTTGCAGCGAAATTCAATAAAACCAAATTTATTCTTGAAACACTTTATAAACATCACAACCTTTTTATTTAGAAAAACCATTTTGCTATTATCACCAGCAAGAATAAGGATCTTTTTACTAAGTCAAAGTGAAGAGCGTAAACATGATGTTTGAAAGGTTGAAAAAAAATGAAATTGGAATGTTTTAAAACGACGTGTTTATGCATTTCTGAGTAAATAAAAATCGATCAATTATGTTTCTGTTGCATGGCATTGATTTTTTACGCTTATTTAAAATAAATAGTGGGTGGCTTATTTGAATTGATCCGTGGTGTTTGTGGCAATGAGGGTTTAAAAAGAAGACAGCAATTAATTATCTCATTCAAGGCCATTTTTAACGAAGCCATGTTCTGACATCTGACTACAACATGTTTGTGTTCAATAGAGGATCCCTGGAGTCCTTCTTCGCTGCATTTTTTGCTCTTCTCACTACTACTTCATGCCAAGATGTATCATTTTTTGGGATAATTAAAAACCAATCTGGCCAAGGTAATTTTCAAAATGCATCGGAGAAGCTTAACATCACAGAAAGCAGTTTTTACTCAAATTGGAACTCGAATTATGGGTTATCATTTGTAATATCGCAAATGGGAGAGCTTAGAACGAAAATCAATCGGAGTGATTCCAGCAAGAATATTGTGTTTAGCGATACTCAGGGCATGCAAAGCGAGATGGTCAAAGAGCTGTTGCTGATTCAAGAAGATATGACGTCGCCAAGTTACAACAAGACTGTTATTTATGACGATTGCTTAGGAGGCAATCATCAGGTAAGACTCGCCTACTTGTGATTGCAAGGCAATGTAGGAATTTTTTTTATTTTGAATTTCCTTCTTGTTTAAGAGATTTATATGATTTTATTCGAAAAGAAATAAAGAAAAGAGGATTAATGGAACTTCTGAGCTGTAGCGCAATGCAATTTAGAGCGCACCACAGGGGCCCCTCAAGCTATATCTACAGCCGTGTTTTCTCAAACTCACCCTATTCAATCTTTTATCAAATTCACCCTATTTCCTAAGTCCTTAAACATTCTTCAATTTCAGCACATTACTCAGCTTCCCATGCTTAGCGAGAAAAATTATCATTTTTACATTTGCTATTGTGGTTGTTATACCTCACATCCTTAGATGGGCATTCTTGCAGTCCGTAAATAACGGTTCCCTACTTCAGATTACTTCAGGCTGGAGGTTTGTACTTATGATCCAAAAGGTTATGTTTTCTCTACTGTCCTTCCTCAGATCACAACACTTTCTCCAATGATTTATTTTACATACTTCATGACCTTTTGATGTCTATTTTAATCATTTTGAAGTAATTCTTTACAGCTTTTTTCACAGAGAGAGAATCACCATCAAATGGCTAAGGACATGCTCTCCTTCTTGAATACGTTGGTTCTTCCTTTCGAAGACATCACAATCGTCACAGATTGGACAGAAACCGGCCAAGCCATCCTAACACAATTGATACAAAGTGCCTACCATGTTGGAAGAGACACGATCACTATTCAATCAGTCGAAAAGCTGATTGCAGATCAAAGCAGCGTATCGTCAACTTTTTTGGATTGCAAGCTATTTCTTGTCGACTGTGATGGAGCGTTGGCTGCAAAAATGTTTGATATTGCTAAATCGATGGGCCTAACCGGATTCAAAGATTCAGTCAGGTGGATACTATCGGGACGCACGATGGAATCTCTGCCTCAAAGCTGTTCTATTCCTAGAGGTGAATACTATGGACGAGTGCCATCCCAAATCGCCCTTAACGGATCTTATATCTTAAGGAAGGTCAAGCAATATATTAAGGAGGATTTGATGGCGCCGAATTGCTCGAAAAGGCAAGTGTCTTTTGTTTTCAATACGTAGGAAAGATCAAACATCTTATGAAAGGTAGAAAAGGTAAACTAAATAGTTATCAAACTATCAAGAAGTATGACTTAAAAAACAAAATTCCGAATTCGTTTTGGAATGTATATTTCTAATTCAAAGCGGCTTAAATTGTTAAGCGCATACAAATGATGGAAATAATTTTTTGACACGCTCTTTTTCTGATAAAGTTTCAATTAATTTTTTTCTGAATGCTTAAAGCAAGGAAAACCATCACACTACGTGAACAAATTTTTGCATCTTTCGTTAAAGTTATCACACGAGAAGTATCCGCAATGATTGAAGATAGGCAGAAAATTAGTCACTTCGATGCTGTATAAAACAGCTGTTAATTTTATATTTTGTCATATGATTTCGACAAGCAATTTGGAAGACTGGTTTATGAAAGAACCTGGTACCAAAATTGTACGTTGTGTTGGCTAAATTCAGAACACCTTCTTTGAAAAACCATTTCCGTCAACGTCATAGACATTAAAAACATTTATAAAGCTACAGACGTCAACCTATTTATCATTGTTTTATGACAAGTAATTATTCTAGACAGAGATGTGCCGATCAGGGGGACGTGGGGGTGGAATGTGGGGAAGCGTTACGCCCCCTCAATGTCTGCAAAATTCAAGAAAGTTGGTCATGCAGCGGTAACCTTAGCATTAAATTGGAAGTTTGATTCATTCTTTTTATTGGTCATGGTTGGTGATAGTCAACTTTTTTTTGTAATACAATCTTTTTTATAAGAACAACTTTATCAAAACACGAGCCTCAAAATTGGACAAAAGTTAACTCGAATTCACTGGTTCGTACAAAAAAAGTGTACTGCAAATAACTTGCTATAAGGAGCAAGCTAACGATTATAAGAAATGACTACAAGAAATAACCACAAGAAGTTTTCTGAGAGGCATATTGAGCTAATCTAGAGGCTGTGGTCGAAAAATGTTTCTACTCGCTCCGCTCGCAAAGACACCGTTTTTCCATTTTGCCCCAGAGCCTCTGAAACCTCGCGGCTACCTTCCAGCCATATTTGCCCTTCAATTCTTATAAAATTCTATAGATTTGAGAAAATTATAAGCTGAAAATATTGTTATGAGGAGCTCAAAAGAAGCTGTAGTTCATATTTTCAGATAATCCTAAAATTGGCTTTTCGCAAAAAGATGCTCATGGATTCAGCCAAAAACGAGAAATCCAGGAATATTAGTTTCTGCAAACTTAATTTCCTTATACTTTGATGCCATAATTTGCTCTTACTTGCTGTCATTAAGTGTTTATATGAACATTTATTTCATTGTTAATGGATTTTATATGGAGAAATAGTCGGTCAAAAACGCAATTTTGGTCACTTTTTTTTCTGAACGCTCCTCCCAAACAAAATTGTCTAGGCACATCACTGCATACTAGAAAACGATAGTCCTTAAACCCTCGACATTTCCAAACACAAATTAATTTATTGTGGATCCATTAGTTTGATTGATGAAGACGCGGATGAAATATAGATTAATGAGCTTATTAATTTCTAACTTGTAGAATAAAGCCAAATAATCAAGCAAGAAATGAACCTATTGAGAATGTGATTTGAGAATGGCCAATATTGGCAACATTATTCAGAAGATTTGGTTTGACTGAAGAGAAACTGGGAAGAATATCGATTGAAGATTAATGTATTTTTGTTGTAGAGCATCGGAAGCAAAAATATTTAAACCTTTGTCAATCCGAACCAATGCGTTTGGAAACATGTGGAAAGAAGATATGGAGATGTACGATTATATGGTGAGTATGATCATAAACAAACAAGGTCTGAACCCGAATGCACCAAAACTTAGGGTATCAGTCGTTGAGTTTGGACAATTTGTCATGGTTTACAAATACAATGAGACGTCAGAGAGCAACCTTCCTTGCCAAATTTCTGGAAAGCTAGGCATAAAGAGAAGACCAAATGCATCTTACGAGTTAGTGTGTATGAATGGCTTTACAATCGATATTTTAAAAGAGCTGGAAGCCATTTTAGGTTTTGTTGGTATCCCAATGTTGACTGAGGATGGCAAATTTGGCGGTTATAATTCAAGTACTGGAGAGACAGTCGGATATATTAGAGACCTTGTTCGCAATGAAACTGATATATCGATCGATCTGTACCTTGATAAGAGACGAAGCCAAATAATAGGTTTCACTGCGCCATATTACATTGGTTCCATGGGTTTTGCATACATGCAGAAGAATCAATATGAAGAAGCGGCCGTATTAAAACCATTTAGCCGGTACCTATGGCTTTGCTTTATTGGAACCATGATTGTTCTTATCGTTGTCTTGTGGTCCTTGGAAAGGGTCAGTCCATATAGCCAGCATCAAATTAACAAGCGGTCCTTAGACGACACAAAAGAATTCACCTTCGTCGATAGTGTTATTTACGTATGGGGAACATTTTTCACTGGAGAAATCATTAGCAACAAAGCAATGGCTGTTGGTTCTCGTTCTATCGCCATAGTTGTATCATTTGTGTCGATTTTGGTGATGTCTGCATATTCAGCAAACTTGATTTCGTTTCTTTTGGTATTAGATGAAACACCATTGGTGACTGGCCTGCTAGATGAAAAGGTAAGAAACACATCAGTGTAGAAGAGAGGTACGACAGTCTAGTGTAGACATACGGCAGTGTAGCGAACCGATGTAACCAAATCAACTTCCATTTATGACAGGGTAAATAAGAATGAGGCAAGATTTAAGTTGCCAGTGTTTGGGTACCTTAGATTATGAGTCTCCGTATAGCGTCCGTAAAATGAGCGTAACGCTTATGACGTAACTCTATAGAGGCTGGAGGAAGTTGACAATATTCTTCTGCAGAAAAAACTGCGTAAATAAATCGTCCGTTTTTTACGTCTACAATGTTGATTAGAGACTTTACAAGTAGCAAAGTAGCTTTCTAAAATTTATTTGTTTTCTAGATATTCTGATTTTCTCTTGGGGTATAAATAATGTGAAAGGTTTGTTGCGTATTTAATGAACAGACGGTATTCATCGAAAAGTGAAAGAAAATTGAAACGATCCGATGTAACCAAATATCATCCTTTATCAATGGGTATTATTGCCAGCGACAGATTTAGGCAACAATGATGGGGGAGGGGTTTTATATACTAATTGGATTTTGGTGCCAAACCCTTCAAGTCACTGGGAAATGATGGAAACGCCCACTAACAAAGTTCGGTTTTGCTACTACTGACTTCTAAAAGGCGATCTTTACCGAATTGAAGCAAAATTTAGGTCACAGCAATATTGGGGGAGGGGTGTCTTGCCCCGTACACCCCCGCTAAATACGTCCCTGGCTATAGCTTCTTGCATGCATTAAAAATGTTTAAGGTCTATTTGAGCTTTTTTGCCTTCAACGCAATGAATGTTTTGCTCATGAATCTTTTGATATGAAACATTTACAACGATGCTTATTTTTGCAGCTTATCAAAAGCTCGAGCAAACTTCTCATTGGGGTTCAGGAAAGCACTTATCCTGACTATTTTTTGCTGATTCATAATGATTCAAGGGTAAGGAGCATGTCAAAAACTAGAGTGAAAAGGTACCCTAGCTTGAAAGATTCATTCAAAGCTTTAATAAACAGGTAAGTATTTTAAATTTTCATCTAAAGCAGTGGTGTCAAACTCAATTGAACAAGGGGGCCAAAATCCAAAACACGATTTAGATTACGGCCCGAACAGAATAAACATTTATTGATGACACTATATAAACAAAATAGTATAAAATGATCTCACGTGCCGGATATAATTACACGCCGGGCCAGATGTGGCCGGAGGGTCTTGAGTTTGTGAAATATGATCTAGAGAATAAAGCATAAAGGCAGTTATAGAATATTCTGTCTATAATCATCGCAGGCTAGTGAACTTACTTCACTACTTAGTTCCCATAACGAACACATAACATGTGTAACTCAAGTATACTTCTGACTTCATTGTATAAAACGTTGGATGGAATCATTGTCTTCGTGCGGATCGCAAGTGGCGTGTGTGATTGATACCTTGTTTTTAACCAATCCACTACCGTAAACCTACCACGTATCGTGTTTCCCATAGTCCCTCGCATATCGCCGTGACGTTAACTGAATTCCGAAAATTTTTAGATGCGTTTTATTTGGGACTCGCCTGCAAAAGTGGGAGGTTTCTTTTTGAAAGTAAAATCTGAGGATTTTTTTAATTGAAACTGCAAACAGAAGGCATATTCTTATAACAATTTTAGTGAGCAAAACATCAATTAACACAAGAGCTGTTATTCCAATAAGTTTATAGTGTAACTTTTTTTTGTCATCGTTCAGGTAAACTAAACTCGTTTGTATTTACTCTATATTATCTTAAAAGCCGCCCAAGATGCTATGTTCATTAAAAGGAGCTGTCTTTTCATTGACCAATCTGTAAATGCGGTGTTATACTTTAGTTTAAGATGGTGTTTGAAGAAAGAGAGAAGGTGTCTTTTTAAAAAATTGCGGTCTGTCAATTGCGGATTTAGAAATCGATGAGAGAATGCTACCAAAGGCAGCATCTAAATGATAAGAAATGATATATTTCTAGGGACGTTGATTTGGTCATTAATGATTTCGACGCTTTAGCATACGAAGCATCGCATGATAAGAATTGCACAATGAAAGCCATGCCTTTAAATGAAAAAGAAATGGGTTTTGCGGTATCATACAACAACAAATCGACATGGAAGAGAAGACTAAACATGGGAGCAATGGATCTAGCCCATTCTGGGAAAGCTGATTCATTAGCAAAAAAGTGGTTCACTTCATCAAAATGCACCCATGCAAGTAATTTTTCTGCCCTCGACGTGACAAGAATGAAGGATTTGTTCATATGGTTATCTACTGGAATAGCTGGTTGCCTAGGCATTCTTGTTGTCACTGTTTGGTTGCAAAAATGTGAGGCATTTCACAAGAAAATGACAGAACCGGAAGATGTACAGGGAAGTTAACAGACAGATGCACGAAGGCTATTTACGTTGAATGAAAACTACTTATAGAGCATGTAATCGTTATCAAGTTGATAACGAGTACATGCTCAAAACGTCGTGTTTTTAACAATCAAGCTATTATATTTTCATTCTGGTACTAAATACATTTGCTAACTGTATTATCGTTATTCTGGATGAAGTACCACATGCAACGTACATATTTACACGCACATGCTCTTTCTGATAAGACCTTCAAAATAGCATACTTGCGTCTTTCTCCCCTCAGTTTTAAAAACCCTTTCACAGGCCTATGCAGTAATAATTATATTTTTCACATTCATAACTTAACCATATATATACAAAAAGGAAATAGAAAAGGCAAAAGCCACTTTCAAAAGTTAAAAAATTGGCTGGATAGGCCTATCTATTTTGTCAATATTCAACAGATTGTGAAGAAAATTGATATTGCGCACTGTGTTATCTCATGCTATTTGAGTTGTTGATCATTTTTAGCATATTTTAGGCATTGTTCTGTAATTGTTATATAGAAAATGATACTTTTCTCATCATATAACGGTACCTCATCTTAAGGCTAACGAGGCTCTCCAACCAGTACACGACGAGAGGCAACAGTGTTTGCCACTATGCTACAGAGCTACGTCACATTTGATCTAAGCCAATAAATTCATTTTACAGTTAAGAAAACACGACAATGCTTTAAATATTTTAAGCATCTATTTATTTATGATCCATATCAAATCTCTGATAAAGATTATGTTTTAGACACTTGAAAGTATCGTATCCGCCACAATTTAAAAATAATTATTTAACTTTTCTCTCAAGCTGCAAGTTCACATTATGGTACATCGATCTGAAGGCCAATTGGATTTTTTAAAAACTCTATTTGACGTTACTGCTTTCTATCACATGAAATTTAAGTCAGATATACAGACTTTTCCCATTCTTCTTTAGGTTTTCTACGTGACTTTACTGATTTTGTTGACGAAAGGAATTTTGCAACCGAGCTTAAACTTTTGAATCGTTTATCGTTTACCTATAAATATATTCTATCACTGTAGTAATGATATTAGGGTCATAACGATGTATCTTAATAAAGATAAAACCAACCATGAGTATAATGGTAGCTCAGCATTTAAGCAGAAGACGACTTCAAGAATCAAGTGATGAAACTAAATGACAAAATGTTCCCATAAAGTGACCTTAGACCACAATCCATTCTTGGAAATCCTGATGTCGGATAAAGAAATATCACTCTACGAAATGAAGAATACATTCAATCATCTAATTATACTTTATGAATGTCAAATTTTGTATTTTATCATTTACTCTACGGCAGAATAATCACACAAAAAACACCAAATCCGGTATATTTCCAAAAGTTTGAATAGTTCAATTTGCATTGTTTGGGAACCAGGTGCTATGTTTCAGTTGCAAAGCATTGAGGAATCTGTCTATGTTCTACACTCAGTTTAAGCCGAAAGCTGGTGGTTGTATTTGGCCTTACTCCATCACGTTAATACAACACAGGCTCTGTAGCTAAAGATTGATGAAACAACGGAATTATACATTCAAAGCATAATTTCATAGAACCTATTACCGGATCTTGCAACAATAATTTTGCATTTACAAGAGAGAGCATGGGACCTTTCTTGGCTGTATTTATTGTTTTTATCAGTACTTCATGTGCAGATGTATCGTTATTTGGGATTTTTGAAAACCAATCTAGCCCAAAGTATTTTGAAGAAGCAACCGAGAAACTTAACATTACAGGAAGCAGTTTTTACTCAAATTGGAACTCGAGTCATGGCTTATCATTTGTAATATCGCAAATGGAAGAGCTTAGAATGAAAATCAATCGGAGTGATTCCAGCAAGAATATTGTGTTTAGCGATACTCAGGGCATGCAAAGCGAGATGGTCAAAGAGCTGTTGCTGATTCAAGAAGATATGACGTCGCCAAGTTACAACAAGACTGTTATTTATGACGATTGCTTAGGAGGCAATCATCAGGTAGACTAACACTCATGTCTACTTTAAGAAAACACAATAATTTTCTTCTGATTTGCTTTACTGTTCAGCAAGACAACTTGTCGTGATTTCTACTTTGTAGAATTAGCTGGTGTTTAAATGAAAATTATTCTATAAAATTAATGCCGATGATTTGTTGAGCATTAGTTTATAAGCCATTTTTCATGTCTATCAGAACTTCCAACTCTCTTCTTTGTAAACAGATTCTTTCTTGATCATCAATAAATACCCTGATCTTGAAATTAGTGTCAAGAAAAATTTTGAAAATATATTTTATTTAATGTACTCTTTTGTAACGCCTTAGCATCAACATCAAATGGCTAAGAACATGCTCTCCTTCTTGAATACATTGGTTCTTCCTTTCAAAGACATCACAATCGTCACAGATTGGACAGAAACCGGCCAAGCCATCCTAACACAATTGATACAAAGTGCCTACCATGTTGGAAGAGACACGATCACTATTCAATCAGTCGAAAAGCTGATTGCAGATCAAAGCAGCATATCGTCAACTTTTTTGGATTGCAAGCTATTTCTTGTCGACTGTGATGGAGCGTTGGCTGCAAAAATGTTTGATATTGCTAAATCGATGGGCCTAACCGGATTCAAAGATTCAGTCAGGTGGATACTATCGGGACGCACGATGGAATCTCTGCCTCGAAGCTGTTCTATTCCTAGGGGTGAATACTATGGACTAATGCCATACCAAATCGCTGTTAACAGTTCTTACATCTTAAGGAAGGTTAAGCAGTGCAAAAAGAAAGATTGGCAGATGAAGTATTGTACGGAAAGGTAAATATGTGTTTTAGACTAAAATGAGTTATATATTTTGATAACTTTCAAATAATGATTTTGTTTAAATTGGATATTTAGGAGAAAGCTATTTTGTGAAAGCAAAAACAGCTGGCTTGATAAAGAGAGTTTTATAACTGAAGTCTTACTTGCTAACAAATTTAAATGACTAATAAATCATGTATTCTCTTATAAACCTAACAATGTATTGCTATGTCGTAAACAATTTTGCAGAGCAAAAATGATTTAGAGCGTGATACATTGTGTAGCTGTTCAAGAGCCTTTTTTGCAGCTTTTTTTAAAGACCTTTTAGTAGAATTCACTTTAAATTGCAACTTATGCTGTTCCAATTCTTTACGGTTGAATTTTGCGGTAGTTCGTTGTTACGGTTGGTAGGGCAAAGTTATTGTTTGTGGCTTGACGTAACGGTAATGTTTTGTGCTTTCTTTAAAGACGTTACATAAGACCGGTGTACAGTTGTTTTTTGTCTATTTCGTTCATAAATGTTGCACATTCCACTTTATGGCAGTTGTGGAAGTTCCTGACCGAATCTTCTTGGCAGGTCCTGAATCAGCTTGAAAACCTGTGAACCAAGCCAAACTACCCGTAATCTCTCAGTAAACTTCAAATGGCCATATCGCACAAAGATCCAACATATATGCCTAGGTTTGCACATTTAGAAGAAATAAAAATTTTCAAAAAAATTAAATTTATTGCAAATTCCATATTTTATAGATATATATTTCATGCAGAGCACAAATTTTCCAACCTAATGTCAACAATGCCGCTTCTGCTTTTATTCCAGTGATGCTCTCATTATGGGTCAAAGATTTACTTCTTTTAGCACGAGGCCCTATAAAACAGAGAGTCCTAGGCCATGGCCTAGTTGGCCTTTGGGTTAATCCGGCCTTGCTGTACACATAAAACAGGGTAGCTATACAGATAGAGATTATGTGCAGTAATGTAGTTTCTTTCCCCTCCTACGATCAATTAATCATGGATGTGTAGTCTTATTAAGCATCGTTGAAATAAAAACAGAAGAAACCTTGTCAAAAGGATTTTACTCCAAAAAGTCTGGTTAAGCACTTATTTGCAAAACCTCTAATTTGCAACACTAAGTCAATGCAAAACCTGTAAGTGAAATCGCTTGAAGGATATTCACAAGTTTTGGTTGAACAGAGCCTTGACATGTTGAAAAGATTTAAAACTTTGACTCAAATTTAAACGAGAAGACGTGCCTGAGAAAGCATATAGTAAATTTATATAAGCATGTGTTGTTTTGCAGGGACTCAGTAGGGAAGGCATTCAAACTTTGGCCAAATGAAAATGCAACTTTCGGAAACAACTGGGTAGAAGTAAAGAAGGGAAGTGAAACTTTGGTGGACCACATAGTCGAAAAAGAAGGTAGAAATCCAAACTCACCGAGACTCAGAGTATCAGTCGTCGAATTTGAGCCGTTTGTCATGGTTAACGGATACGATGAGGCATCAGTAGATAACATTCCTTGCCAAATCGCTGGAAAACTAGGCATAAAGAGAACACTAAATGCATCTGATGAATTAGTGTGTTTGAATGGTTTTACCATTGATATTTTAATAGAGCTGGAAACCAGTTTAGGTTTTGTTGGTATCCCAATTACTACCAAGGATGGCAAATACGGCAAGTATGATCCAAGTACCGGGGAAACAGACGGTTATGTTGGAGAAATAGTTCGTAATGAATCTGATATATCAATCGATCTTTACGTTGATAAAACACGCAGCCAAGTAATGGGTTTCACTGCGCCGTATTACATTGGTTCCTTGGGTCTTGCATACATGCAGAAGAATCAATATGAGGAAGCGGCTGTATTAAAACCATTCAGCCTGTATCTATGGCTGTGTATAATCGCAACCATAATTGTGCTTATCGTTGTCTTGTGGTCCTTGGAAAGGGTCAGTCCATATAGCCAGCATCAAATTAACAAGCGGTCCTTAGACGACACAAAAGAATTCACCTTCGTCGATAGTGTTATTTACGTATGGGGAACATTTTTCACTGGAGAAATCATTAGCAACAAACCAATGGCTGTTGGTTCTCGTTCTATCGCCATAGTTGTATCATTTGTGTCGATTTTGGTGATGTCTGCATATTCAGCAAACTTGATTTCGTTTCTTGTGGTATTAGATGAAACACCATTGGTGACTGGCCTGCTAGATGAAAAGGTAAGAAACAGTCATATCCAAAGATCTTTGAATCCAAAGTTTAAAATTTTTTTATGGTTGGAATAGGAAGAAAAACGAACAGGTGATTTGAATATTTTTTTAAATGAAAAGACTTATACAGAGAAATGCACAGTTCAAATTTTTGGAGGACGTTTATCTTTAACTCAGAAATTGCAGCGCAATTAACAGTTCCTTGAAGGAGCCTGGCTAAGGTCTTAGGGTGAAATAGTAAGTTTTTTATCCATGATTATGTGCAGGGATTCTGAGTAGCTAAATGGAGAGGGTGTCAAATGTTTACTTAAAGTGGTATTTTGTATTGGAAAAATAATTTTTTTTTAAAAATAGTAGATTGATTAAGCGAAATTTTGCAAAAATGCATCCATTGGTCAGTTATCAAACCGCAAATGCCACAAAAGCTAATTGAGGATCATCGGCATTTCACCATGAACAACGAATCGAAGTTTCGATTTAAAATGCATTCACCTCTAGTTCTTGACATAACATATTCTTAACTATTTTAGGCATATTTCCAAATCGTTTATGACTAAAATTATGTTCCAGCTTATCAAAAGCTCGAGCAAATTACGGATTGGAGTACAAGAAAGTGCCTATCCGGAATATTACTTGTTGAACCACGTTGACCCTAGAATGAGAAGTATGGTAAAAACTAGAGCAAAAAAGTACGCAAGATCCAAAGATTTAATGCAAGCATTGAAAAATAAGTATGTTTTACATATTTTTATCTATAAATGTTAGGATATTGACATTTTTTTATTTTAGGCCATATTCTCCTTTTATTCCCGGCCCTGAGTGTTGATTCATAAAAAGAACTTTTTTTGCATCTAACTGTTTGGAAAGCATCAGTCTACCAAATGCTTTAGTTGGTGAACATAGCATATCTTTCCAGAAAACCTGCCTATGTTTTGCTTTATTATAACTTTTTTCCCATTTAAGAACTTTCCTCTCCTAGCAGTAACCGAATAAGACTTTTGATTGACCATTGATGTACTATTATAAACTTTGCTTTAAGGCTACAATAACATATATTTCACAATGAAAGGTTATCTTCTTAAAAGAAATATGCTTTTAACATGTGACTTTCAAATATATAGCCTGTTGTAAGTTTAATATAGAGTGCATGTGGTAAGACTATAGGATGTTATACTTTAAGAAAATCAGCAAAGACAAGCTCCTTTGTGTATCGTTGTTGAAGAAACAGGATTTTAGTGCTGAAAAATCTTAGTTGATGGCGTTTTATGAATAGGATTTGTTTACTGCTATTGCAGTGGAACGCTTTATCAAACTTACAAGGGTTTTAAGGTTAATGCCATGTTTCTTTAAGATTTTAACTACATTTAAAAAGCATTTATAATGGAAACATCAATAAAAATTGGTGAAATCATACTTTTCCAGGGATATTGATATTGTTTTTGGTGACTACCTCGGTTTGGTCTACGAAGCAGCTCGAGATAAGAATTGCGCATTGAAGGAAATGCAACTGAAAAACATGGAATTGGGTTTGGCGGTATCATACAACAACAAATCGACATGGCGTAGAAGGCTAGACGTTGGAGCGATGGATTTGTCTCATTCTGGGAAAGCTGATTTGATAGCAAAGAAATGGTTCTCTTCACCAAAATGCAACCATGCAAGCAATTTCTCTGCTCTTGATGTGAGCAGAATGAAGACGTTGTTTATGTGGCTAGCTGTTGGTATATTTGGTTGCCTAGGAATACTTTTCTTCTCTGTTTGGGTGCGAAAATGCGAGAAGTTGTATTATCTGAAAGCAGAACAAGAAGGCAGTTGAATTTCTTAAGAAAAACTTGATACTTTAATGAAATCTGATCGTTAACAAAGACTACACGACCTTCTCTTGAGAAGCTTGGCAGGCCATGAAGTTTATAATATACGGCAGACCTTTGAAATTATGACCTCCCAGAAGTCAGACTTTAGTTGGTTTAGAGCCGTCTCTATCGCTGAAAGACTTTTAAATTTTTTTGTTTGTCACCTAAACATAATTTTGAAGACTGTCCTTAGAGAAACAACGAGAACAGGAAGTGGCAGGGGACTGCCGTATTTATTCGACTATAAGCCGCTATTTTTTATAAGTTGCAGCGAATTGGGTTCTTAAAAAAATGTAAGCCGCATCAACAAAACCACGCAGGATACTTGGTTCAAGATGACCGACCAAAAACTGATAAAACCTGATTATGTACTTAAGCAAAAGAATAGACATTAAATCTTCAACCAACAACAATATTGTCCAGATAACAAATCATCAATATCGTCCAGTAGTATTTCTTTCTTATCTTCCATATATAAACCTCAGCTTCATAGTACCAGGAAACTTTGCAGGATCTGGATAAGGTAATCTAAGCCTCCATCTTTTATAAGACGCCCTTGGTTCTAAACCACAGCAAATATTGCCAAAAATAATTATAAGCCGAGGCTTATATTCAACTAAATGCTGTAGTGATGGAATTCTATTGAGTACAAAGACGGTTTTCCCAGTCGCTGAACATGCAACTGCTACCTTTCCTCGACTCTGCGTCTGTCAAATTTTGGTAGATTCTACACTCAAAAGCATCCTTCTTTGTCAAATAATCGATTCTCTGTCGATAAGACAAAATGGTATCGATGTAATTTGCAGAATAAAAGTCATTTTTAAAGCAGAATGAAAGACTTTTAAATATAACTTCATTGATTGCTATTAACTGAATATGCAACACGCTTTACGTAAAATTCTTTAATAATTAGCATTTAAGTACAACCACATTGCCTGAACAAAAAATGTGCTCAATTTTTCAAAACGCATTCATTAATTTACTAGCAAATATCATTATGCAATAAAAAGTTTCATGTGACGATGTTTGCTTGAAACCATCTTGCAACAGGTTAGTATTTATCGCTGCTTTAAAAGGGATGCTCAAAGATATCCTACGGTGCTAAAGAGAGGGTTTCAAAAAAAATCCAAAATTTTTGGTTTCCTGTATTTGCAACACAAGCAACTTAAATAAATATCAGGTAGCATTTTCTTTTCGTGTCCTTTTGTCTCAAACAACTTATTTTAAGTATTTGTTTCAGAGTTTTTATGCATTTCGTTTCTGGTATTTGTGATAAGCTCTTAAGAACATCAACAATTTATATAAAGGATTTTAAAGCGGGTGAATGATTTGTTTAGATTTAAATCAGCGGCACCTTCAGTATGTTTCAATTGTTTGTTTATGTTGCTGGTGGTAAGGACAGTATGTTGCTGGTGGTAAGGACAGTCGGCCATCCATTCTCAATAGCCAGATTTAATGAAAACAACAGAGGGATCTTTGGTATTTTGATAATACAAACATGGAAGCCCGATGATTGAAAGAAATCGTTCATTCACATCAAATTGGATTAACCACAGGAGTAAAAGACGTTTGGGTTTGGCTTGTATATGTAAATCAATATATCCTTTCAAGTTGTCACCGTTCAGTCTAGTTCGGATACAGGAAGCATGATAGTGATCCCAGTTCGAATACGGTAGGTGAAACTATGTTGACGACTTTTTCAAAGAGCATTGACTTTTCCAATGTTGATGAAATTTCGTAGATTGCTAACGGATCATTTCATTTCAAGGAAGTCAGTCTTTCGAATATTTTTGCTATAAGATTTGTTTGTAGAAGCTTTTTTGTTCTGAAATCAATTTAGAATCAGCTTTTACTAGGTTGAAAATCTAACGATTTCGCTAAACTGGTTAAGCAGCCCATCTAAAGTTGACTGTAAATTGACTTTATGTCTCTCGTCATCCTAATCAGACATCTTTTTCCTTGTATGATAGCTTAGCATCCATAGATTTTGTTGAAACATCATTTGAATCTTATTTCTTTCAGAAAGTTCATGTTCGTTTATCAACATAAAACTAGATCAAAGACATTCATTGAAACATATCTAAAATCCCGATCAACAGGTTTACAACAATGTAAATAGACCTCTGTGAAGCGATTCCTTTGATCAATGGTTATGAACTGTCCAGCTGATAAAGAAGATTACTTTATTTCAAAAAGAAGAATCATTTGTGTAATTAAATTTGATGCTTTGATTTGATGCAGATGTTTATTACTGCTAAAATTTGTATCTTATTCTTAGGAAAGCCAGCATTATTAACGTTTCTCTACTTTAATCAAGACATTTCAGCATTCAGTGAAACAAATTTGTAGCATAATTTAGTGTTGTCTACATATTTTTATTTCACGTGTAACATAATCTCGTTCCCTAGGCGTCAAATGCAAAGAATGGATGAAACATACACTGTGCAATATTTGTTTATGTCATGTATAAATCTCTTATCTTTGGTAAAAGATTCAGACGTGAAAGAAAGAAATTAATTCAAGCATGATATGGGAAGCAGGAAAGAAAGACTTGGCTACCATTCTACTGCTGGGTTGTTTTTTTGGCCATGCAACTTGTAGAGACGCTGTTTCAGTTTTTGGAGTCTTTCAAAACACCTCTATTCTTTCTTCATTTAAAAAGGTGTTAGCTGACGTGAATGCAACACAAAATATATTTACCACAGACTTGCATTCCAGTCATGGATTGGCGAATCTAGTAAATAGAAGTGAAGAGGTCAGAGAAAGAATGCGTCAGAGTGGTGCTAAGAAGAAAATTCTGTTTACTGACACCTACGGTATACGAAGTGAGATTGTTAAGGAGATCTTGCTTGAAGGAGGTCAAAGCATCGATTATGACGATTCACTAAACGGCCATCAGCAGGTTTGTCATTAAAGTGAATTATATATGAAAAATAGGAAATCTGAATGCCAAATTGATAAGCACCGGGGCCTACTGCAAAGGGAGCAAATTTCATGTGTATGCCTCTATGATGTTTTGCTTGATGTTTTACTGACCAATAATGTAGGTATCAAATTATGTTTGTGCTTCAATTAAAATATGTAAATCAAAATAATGGTTTCCTTGAAGTATTTGTTTAAAGATTCATATTTTTTAAGTCTTACATTAATATATAATATCACATCGATGTTATCGTCAAAGATCCTAGAGGTACCCATTTTCCTTTTTGTTTGCGATCTTCCGTTAAGATCTAGACTTAGGCCAATGGCAAGAAAAGGGAACAAGTGCTCTGCAAGCTGATTTATATATTTATATCATCTTATAGTTTTGTTTAATAAGCCAAAGACATAAGTGAAAATACGAAATTTTTTGAGTGCATAGCTTGCAGACTGGAAATAAAAATAATAAAACCTTTGAAACATTCTTTGAAACAAGATTTTTGAAACATTCTAATGTTTTTAATCTCACACTTAGATCAAATCCCATATCGGTGCTATCTTCAAGGATCAAAGAATAATCTGTTTTCCTTACTGCCTCCAATCTTTTATTCTATGAATGATTTGCAAACTAATTCATCAAAACGCCAATCTAATGTTAGCTTCATTCACAGGCGTATCTTCAAGCGGCTGCTGGTATGCTATCTTTCTTGGACACACTGGATTTTCCATCGAGGAGAATTTCTGTTTTTGTTGATGATACAGAGTTTGGCAAGGCCACTCTCACCCAATTACTCATAGCAGTGCAACACAGCCAGAGAAAAATAGTCTCCTTTGCAACAGTCAAAGAGCCTTTCAAAAAGGAAAATCTAACCCCTTTTATTCTAAAAGGGAGTGGTGTCTTTCTGGTCGACAGTGAAGGAGGCATTGCTGGGAAATTGTTCTACATAGCGCAGCAGCTAGGCCTAGGTGGTTTAAGGAACTCTATTACATGGATATTGTCAAAGCGAACAATGGATTCTCTATCACTCACTTGCAGCTTTCCTCAGGGAATATACTATGGACTGCAGACACGTGGAGCTGTACCAAATGAAAAGTACATTGCACAAAAGGTGACAGCCTGTAAGGAACAGCTAAGCAATGGAGAAGATTGCACTAAAAGGTAGAGCCTTGTAGAGGTGGTTTAAAATATAACTACATCGTAGTAGCTTTAAACAATAAAGATTTTAGTTGCAAGAGAAACTGTCTTGAAAAAGCCTGGTAGAGGTGGTTTAAAATATAACTACATTGTAGTAGCTTTAAGCAATAAAGATTTTAGTTGCAAGAGAAACTGTTTTGAAAAATAAGATTTTGCCGCATTAGAAATTATGACAAAAGGTAACAACCATGTCAAAGTTAAGTCTTTTTCAAAACTCTCAAACTTTGTAAATGCATACTTTCGGAAACGGTTTATTGTTACCTAGCAATGGGAAGATACGTTGTTGTCTATTGCTAACAAAATGCTAAAATATTCTCTTTCTGTTATTTAGAGAGCAGTTAACAACAGCCTATCAGTTATGGTCAAATCCGAATGTTTCAAGTGGAAGTGCTTGGTCTAGAGTGACACAGTTCGACCTGGAAATGAGCAATGTGATCGTTCACAAGCATGGCAGGAACCCTTTTTGGCCACGGCTAAGAGTGTCAGTTGTAGAAAATTCACCATGGACAATTATCACAAAATATAGAAAAATTTCAAGCAGTGAGAGCCCGTGCTCTCTAGGAGGGAGACTTGGTATCAGACTCGCGTTGAACTCTTCAGAACTCATTTGCTTGCATGGTTTCACTATAGATATTATCAAAGAGCTAGAGAATCGACTACAATTTGTAGCGATCATCCATCTCTCTAAAGATGGCAAGTATGGATCATTTGATGAAAGTAAAGGAATGATAGATGGAATAGTTGGTGAAATAGCCAGAGGAGAGGCTGATTTTGGCGTTGAATTGATCGAGGACAAAACTAGAAATCAATTCATCAGTTACACCACCCCACACACAATTACCTCTATTTCAATGGCTTACTTACAGCGATACGATTACAAAGAAGCTGACATATTTGAACCATTCAGTGTCGAGCTATGGTTGTGTATTCTTGGCACAATATGCCTTTTGGTGGTAGTAATTTGGATTTTAGAAAGAGTCAGCCCATATAGCCAATTCCAACTCAACAAACGAATTCTTAACGCTGCGAAAACGTTTGATATCGATGACAGTGCCAACTATATCATGGGGACATTTTTCACTGGAGAAATTATTGATCAAAAGCCGAGGACAATCGGCTCCCGTTCTACAAACATCGTTGTTGCTTTTGTCTCTATTTTGATTATTTCTGCGTATTCGGCCAACTTAATCAAGTTTCTTGTGGTTTTGGACGAGGAGCCTATTGTGACTGGCCTGAAAGACCAAAAGGTAAATACTTTTCTTGCAAAGTAGTAATTGAATTTTTTTCTTAGAAGATAGAACATGAGGGGGGGGGGGGAGGGGGGAATTGATGAAGGAAGAATGAGCATATACCCCAAACTATGGTATAAAATCTGTTAGCTTTCTCGGTCTAAAGATATGGAATAAAGTCATCCTAAATTGCAACTCAGTTCAAAATGCATAAAATTGCAATGCTTGCAGTCAATAGAACCCATGAAGCAATCTTCTGAATTGCTGAATTGCTTTTTGCTAATATACTCTACTGTCTCTACCTTTGTAAAACTATCAATAAAAATCTAATCATCATTATTATTATCATACCTAATTGCATACTGGATGCCACCTACAGATCGCTGTAGATCTGAGGTCACAGAACAAGTGATATTCTACTACATTATGAAGGCGTAACGAATACGATATGAAACTGTGCTGTATACACCTCCCGTTTACACTGTGCTGGTATAGTTTTCACTTAATTATGGAAAAAATTGAATACGGCATGCCAGCTTGCTTAGTTGTTTAAACCGTTTACTGTAAACGGCGAAAACGGCATCATTTGATCTCGATTCATATCGAGGTCATAATCTCGCATTATTAAATTATTTATCTCTGTCTAGGCAGGGCTATGGCTGTGAAAATCTGATTTCTCGCATAAACGAGATGATCTCGATGGTTATATATCCTTTAGAGTATGGAGATTCAGAATCCAAGATGGGACTAAAAATTTTTTGCCTGAGAATCACGTGATTGATGACGTCATCGATAACGGCAAAAACAGTCATAAATCCGCCACATATTTCAAATAAATTGTAAAAATTAGCAATTCTAGGTTTTATGTGAATGCGCATTTCAAGAGCGTTTAATTGATGTATCATATAATCAAGTTTGTTGACGTTTTCTTATTTTGTGACGCCATTAGTGGATTTTCCCAAGTTTTGCCACAACATTTATGCTGATAACTAAATGAGTTGGAATCCATTGAAAATGAGCTATAATTATGTTGATTTAAATATGTTTGATACCTCTCGACATTGTTTGACTATGCTTGACACTAAGAAGTCATAATAATCATCATAATGCACCTATGTTGTGCAACAGCATTGACGAAAAAGCAGTTTATTTACAAAGCCACTCTACACCTGGTCACTGCAAGCGTTTTTACAAGTCACAAGCGTTTTCAAGCGTTGAAACAGGATTATCTAGTATATATTATTTGAAAGCTAATTTAATTCCAGTGTCGAGCTAAAAGTCTTCTCTTTGCTTCTTGGAATAATTGCGTGCGCGTTGGTAGTGAAAATTACGTTGCAACCTTAGCTTCCCTAATTCCTGCCGGCAGTTCATCGAGGAGTTCTGCCACATCCTTCGTGGAACTTTCTGGAAGCACAAGACGACACAACTACCGTCACAGAAATGGCTGTTACGCTTGTAGTATTTTCTTTAAGCCATGTGGCAATGTAGTTGGGTTTTTGCTGATCATGTATGTACCTAAATGAATGCTTAATCAGATGCCATCTTCTATGTTCCTTCACTGGCATCCAGTCAATTGTACCACTTCTTTCTCTTTGGCGTATCGGCCTAGTAGAATACCTGTATTTTTTAGCCCTTTGCCATCATTTTAGGAGTCTCAACGGAAGAGGTCGGAAAGGAACGTCAGTATAGTCCAAATTGGACATAGCGAGAAGTTCAGCAGCTTGTCTCTATAATTTTAATGGAACGAGTTTTCTCTGATTTTTGCTATTATGGATCCATGAAGATGTTACATTGGCTATATGGTTTATGATCCCTCGATATTGCAGCAAGCAATTTACTAAGTGTTCTTCTTCAAGACCCATTCCCCCAGTCTGTAGAACTTGATTATAGTCTTAAAGACTGTGATGCTTTGACAGATGTTTTGTACACAAAACCATAAACTTTGTCGTACTTCGGTTTAGAACGAGATTTGTGGATGAAGACCAAGAAATATACTTTCAAAGGTGTTCATTCAAGGAAAGGTCAAAGATGGAGATATTGTTTGGCCTTCCATGAGCAGGTATAGCTAAATCGCCATAGTACTGAAAGCAGGGTAGCTGGATTTTATCTTTAAGGTCAATAACATGAAAGTTGAAGAAGAAAGTGCCTTGAGATGATTTTCACAGCCATAGCCCTGCCTAGTCCTTTGAAACTGTTTCAATTGCATTGTCTGCTGTCGGACATTTTACTGCATTTTCTCCAGCTAGACACTTTCAAACTCGGGAAAACTTGAATACGGCATGATTTTGTACCGATAAAGTGTTAATGGGTCAGGGGAGAAAAAATAGAGATAAATTTGCTTCTGTGCATTGATCCTGACAGTTCCAGAAATTGAGATACCTGGAAATATTAACTTTAGAAGATATTTAGATATTATACCGTCTATTAAATGAATAAACAATGCGTGTATTGGGAGGCTGATACATCAGTATTTTTGAAAGTCATCGTTAACACGGTCTTACTCGCAACTTGTGATAGAAAGTTATATTAGATGCAAAAAACGTGTTAAAACATTGATTAAAACTGGAAAATAAATTCTACATGCTGTCAGTCATGGGTTAGCCCTTACCAAGCTTAAACATGCAGGAAGACAAACATAACCATTCAAGTATTGAATAATGGCTCTGTAGAGTCTATAGAATATCCAATCTCCAGTCTTCAATTTTCTCTATTTGCAAAATATAATATGAACATAATATAAATAATGTGAAATTTTTAAGTGGATCTTGTCTTCGTTAATTGGGCTCTGTTGGATGCTTTTTTATATCCTTTCTGTCAAATATTCACATCGCATACCAGACCCTGAGGCTCAAGCTTCTTTGGAAACAAATGAATGATTATGTGACTCAAGAAAGATTCCTGGCTCTTTTTTTGTGAAATAAATAAGAAGATAAAATCGAAAAAATACAGTGTTTGTTCCAATTATATTTACATGCGTAATGCGTAATGAATCCTCAATGCGGTAATTGCTATCTTTTTAAACGGAAAATATGATTCATGATAAATTTCTTTCGTATGCATTATTCATGAAAAAATTCTAGCAACGGTCATGGAACTTTGTCTTCGTGTGATCCAGATCTGGTGCCATTTACAAAAACAGCGTTATAAAACTTCATGTGAATGCGAGGCTCGCTTTGTGAAGAAAGAGGTTTCACTCCTTCAATAAAATTAAAAACATTGCGTCATGTCAAAGGTTGTTTAGAGCCATTTTAAATAGTTCTGAAGGCCACTATTCATTCATTGACTTTTACTTTGCAGTTGCTGAGTGACTCAAGTCAGCTGAAAGTTGGCATAGAAGACAGCTCGTTCCTCCCAAACTACTTGAGAACCAACTCAGATGCCCGGATACGAAAGCTTTACTCTACCAGAGTGATAGGTTACGCATCATTTGCAGAGTCGATAAAGGCACTAAAAAACAGGCATGTCTAGATTATCCTATTCTGCTATGTCCTTCATTCCATTTTTATCTGAATTCTTTTGATCATAATATTTGTATCAAGGGTAGGTTGCTGAAATTACGAAATGAAGTGGATTTTATCATGACAACTAGAAAAAAAACATGCTAAAGATTCGACAGTCTTGGCTAGTATGTCGTAAAATAAAGTGTACATGATAAATTTGATAAACATTTCAGCAAAAGAAAGCTCCTGGAAAACAACAATACTCAAATTTGTGAAAGCATCTGTTTCCCATGAACAGTTTTCACAGTGGCGATGCCTACGCATAGTGTTGTATGCTAAGAGAAATGTCAAATTGGACTAGGTAACAAACTTAATCGCAAAAGATGATTAGCTAACGAACTTAATAGTGAAAGATGACTAGGTAACAAACTTAATCGCAAAAGATGATTAGCTAACGAACTTAATCGTGAAAGATGACTAGGTAACAATGTTAATCGCAAAAGATGATTAGCTAACGAACTTAATCGTGAAAGATGACTAGCTAACGAACTTAATCGTGAAAGATGACTAGCTAACAAACTTAATCGCAAAAAATTATTAGCTAACAAACTTAATCGTGAAAGATGACTAGCTAACAAACTTAATCGCGAAAGATGATTAGCTAACGAACTTAATTGTGAAAGATGACTAGCTAACAAACTTAATCGCAAAAAATGATTAGCTAATAAACTTAATCATGAAAGATGACTAGTTAACAAACTTAATCGCGAAAGATGATTAGCTAACAAACTTAATCGCAAAAGATGACTAGCTAACAAACTTAATCGTGAAAGATGACTAGCTGACAAACGTCCCAGGATAATTCCTGTCCTTGCCAGAATTTCCCAATCGCAGAAATATCTAATATTCAATAAGAGTTATTTTATCTGGATTTTCACAATTAAGTTCAAGTAAGAAAACAAAACTTTGACTTCGAGCAACTTCTATCTAATACTCGTGGAACATATCACAACTGCTGCAGGTGTTTTCTTATAGTAAGTGCTTAAACTTTAAGCACTAAACTTAAACTTTAAGCACTCACTATAAGAATTTGTTTCTTTTGTTTTAACTTTTCAGCATTTTGAGACCGGGTCTCTTAAGAATCTTTCGCGGGCAAGCTCTACTCACTCCTCCTTCCTAACGTATCTTTTGTTTCCAAAGTCTAAGAGTTCTGACTACCCCACTGTAAAAAGTACAAGTACAAGGTCTTGAATTTTCCTGTAGTGGTACGAGTAAAATATTGCATAATGAAAATTGTCTTTTGTTTTATCATGGCTCCCTCCCCCCCCCCCTCCAAAAAAAACTACAAAAAGTAATACCATTGGACTGACTATTAACAATATAGAAAATGCTTACTGTTGTCCTGTTTGCATCTGTGTGACTATTCATTGCGTTTCCTCTTAGGAGCGTTGACATCGTTCTTTACGATTACCTTTCACTTGTATACACTCAATCAGTGGACAGAGACTGTTCTCTAAAGATACTACAGCTCTCCAATGCTATAATGGGGATCCCAATCTCACTAAACAACCAATCAACGTGGAAGGGAAGACTAAATGCAGCAGCAGTTGACCTCACTCTTTCAGGTACAGCTGACAACTTGTTGAAGACGTGGTTCAGCCAACAATTGTGTAAAAATAGTAATATATTTTATTCTCTTGATATCAGGCGTATGGCAACATTATTCTTTTGGCTATCAGTTGGAATTCTATGCTGCATTGTCTGCATGACTGGCATAATTCTATTGAAAAAGTTAAAAGAGTTCTTCACAGGCAACATATAAAGTACCTGAGAAATGGAAGGCCTTCACAGAACGGCAGAGCAAAACCCAGGAAATAAAGATCTATGTTATGCTCCTCTCTCCAGAAAAATAGCAAACATCATGGCAAATCAGTTTAATTTCACTTTCTATATCAACATCAATGGGTTTGGTGAAATGTTATGACACCGAACAATCTTTTAAATTGCAGATTCTACTGGTCTTTTTTAGCTACAAAAGCTACCTAAGCAAGAATGTCAAATATAGTTATTTAAAGACGTGTACATGTTATTTTAAAATGGATCATTTATCAAGTAATGACGTAACTGAATTAGTTGCCACTAAGACCAACCTTAACGTCTTGTTTGCATAAAGCTTTAGATTGACTTTAGTGACAATGCTATAGATAAATCTGCCAAATTGATAATGTTTTCTGTATCATAAGCATCATAGAGTGCCAAGGCGTAGGTAAGGGCTCACTGGGTACAAATTTAATTGCCTCTTTTACTTGGGCGCTCAAAGTTCGGGAAATCTGAGGTAAAAATTAAAGACGATTAAGACCTTTGGGCTTAACAAACTCTAAACGTTTATGATGGCTAAGCCTTGGTCTTACTCGAATATTGCTGCTCCTTTGCGTTACAATTGCATTAATGAGCCTAAAATTTATTCTTTTGACTGATTTAAGGGGTGGGGAAGGGGAGGAAGGATTGCAACCCTCGTAGCCCCTATTTTTCCTACGCCTATTATGGACTAAAATATAATGAGAGCTTCTAGGACCTTGCCCCTGGATTTAACTGAATGTCTTTTCTGCACCCAGATCGAAATATTCCAGTACTCGTTTCGTGCTCAACGGATTTTTCAAAAATTCTTGCAAAAATATGAACCCTCAGAAATACTAACGTAACATGATCTAACACGGAAAACGCCTGTTTGAATATAAAGCAACTGATTGAATATACACGAGTGTTCCCAAACAGGTGTTATTGCCGGTATGGATCGTATTAGTGGTCATGATGCAATTGTGAGATATCACATAATAGACTTACTGAAAGCTTTCGTTAAAGTGCTTGAATGCTTACAATTTGAATGCTTACAATGCTTACAATTTAAATTTTAAACATTGTAATGAAGAACCAAAATAATGGTCACGCTAGAAAGATTTTAATCAGGATGTTTTGTTTTTCTTTAAACATATGCGACCAAACACGATAAAGTTAAATGTGCAACAAAAGATTTTTTCCACGCTAACCTCTTGCAAATGAATAGGGCGCTGATTGTAACGTTAGAAATTTTTTATCAAGTAACATGGGTCTTCGGATATCCATATAAAAGTAGGCTATTTCAAGTGACATAGAAAAATAAAAAAAAATGTTTCCTGGCGTAAAATAGGCACTTCAAGGCTATTTTCTTTGTCAGCAGTTTGATTATTGTCCAGAACTATTGCGAGCCCATCTTTAGCTTGAAGCTTGGTCCTGACAAGTCCTTAGTAAAGTTTTCCAGGTTTGACCCCTACACCCTAAGCGTGGATATCTTTACAGTATATGAACAAAGACATAAATAACTTTTATGAACCGCAAGAGACAAATGATTTATGCTCCTTCAAGATGATGATGTGAAAATTGGAATGTTCAGTCATGTTTCTTAAACTATTGTTGTCGGTAGTTTGTTAATATAATGTTCATTACAGTTGTTATAGTTTCGTAGATGTTTTTTGTAGATATCATCTAATAATCTTTACCTATTCGTATCTCAAGCGATGTAGACAAAGCGTTCGGATAAATAATACTTACAGTTCCTTCCTAGAGGTTATTTCTGGTGTACCCCAAGCATCTGTGCTGGGCCCAATCCTGTTTAACTTTTATATAAATGATTTGTTTCTTTTCATAAAACAGGCAACTCTCTATAACTATGCTGACGACAATACTCTTGCTTATTTCTCTAAAAGTATGCCCGATCTTATCAATATTGTGGAAAAAGAATCTGGAGTTGCTCTAGCTTGGCTAGAACAAAATGAAATGATTGCTAATCCTGAAAAATTCCATGTTTTACTGCTTAGAAAAAACCAAACAAATACTAGTGGAGAACAAATTAATATTAACGGTAAAATAATCAAATCTGAGGAGACTGTGAAACTTTTAGGTGTCACTTTGGATTATAGACTTGATTTCGACCCACATGTTTCGAATCTTTGCAAAAAGGCTGCAACGCAATTAAATGTTCTCAAAAGATTAAAGACATTCATTGGCTTTCAGTTGAAGAAGATCCTTGTTCAGAGTTTCGTATATTCTAATTTTGACTATTGTCCTTTGGTTTGGTATTTCTCATCTTCCAAATCATTGCAGAAAGTAGAAAAATTACAAAAACGTGCTCTAAGATTTCTTTATAATGATCATACGAGTTCGCATGATGATTTGCTTTCGAGATCGAGTAAATGCACGATGCGTGTTGCCCGCCAAAGACTCCTTTGCATTGAAATATTAAAAACACTGAATCATTTGAATCCACCATTTATGCAGAGCATTTTTGAGTTACGCTCTTCAATTTATTCTTCAAGAAATCCAAATAATTTAGCACATTTTAGGCCTAATCAAACAACTTTCGGGTCCAAGAGTCTCAAGTCCATTGGGCCATAGATTTGGAATGGCCTACCGAATGAACTAAAATCGGCAGAAAATCTAAAAAGTTTTAAGGTTTTAATAAAAAAATGGGACGGTCCCAACTGCAAATGTAGTGCTTGTGCTTGCCTACCAACTTAATTGTATTATTTAGAAAATATTAATTTTGTTTATTTGTTCTGTATATTCGATTTTGATTAGTTAACTTGTATATATTTAAATGATGTATATATTGTTAGCTATATGTAAAAATTATCGAATTAAAATAAGATTACACACAATTTAATCCAGATTGACAGTTGACAGGTGTGGGTATAGTATTTGGTCTATCAATTGGAACTTGTTGAATCTTTGTTTAATATTTCCCACTTCAATACTTCCCATATTTTTCTTTGTGACAGATCACTGATAGCTCGGCCTTTTGAAAGCAGCTGTCTCTGAAACTTTGCTGGTAGGATTTAATGTTTATCCTCTTAGATGAGAAAAAGGAGTGAAGAAATGAATGCTATATTCAATGCTGTGGCTTATGCTTTCGATCTCAATCAATGTAAGCAAAAGAAACCTCTTAGGGTTTCCCTAACCAGCTTACCAGTTCATAGTGAAATGATTAATTATTGATGCTTCACATTCAGTGAAGTAGTTTGTTAGTTCTTCACCGAGGGTAAAAGCAAATAATTTGTCTGGCTTTGTAAGCAAAATAATTCTTCATTTGCATCGGTATACGCTGTTTACTTTTATCAGAACAAGGATATACAGAAAGGCAGCACAGATACCTTTACATGCGGTACTGCAAGTTGCATATGTAGTTAACGTATTTGATGATGCAGATGGTGATGCACGAATTAGAATGATGTAACACGCCCTCAATATGCTGAAAAGGACATCGAAAGCAGTGTTGATTATATCGACATTGCTAAACATTTATTCAAGCGCGGAAGTGTCATTATTTGGAGCATTTCAAAGCCAGTCTGGTATTGAAAAATTTCAAAATGCTACAGCCAAGCTAAATATGACAGATAAAAGTTTTTACACAAAATGGAACTCCAGTCATGGCTTATCCTTTGTAATATCGCAAATGGAAGAGCTTAGAACGAAAATCAAACAGAGTGATTCCAGCAAAAATATTGTGTTTAGCGATACTCAGGGCATGCAAAGCGAAATGGTCAAAGAGCTGTTGCTGATTCAAGAAGATACGAAAACAAATGTTTCCAGGAATAAAACGATTTGCTATGACAATGGGTTAAATGGAAAATACCAGGTTAGCCAAGTACAGCTGCGTAGATCCTAAGTATTTTTCTGGTTTGCCTTCAGAATTGATAATATAACAGCATCGTAGAAGCCTCGCAATAGGAGCTTGGCATTGTAGGGTATCATGCATGCTAAACAGACTTTTCGTTCTTCAGATAATTTTCATGAGATATCTCTTTAAAATCTTCTCATTTTCTTGATTATGTTTACATATAAAACTCATTGCCATATTTCTAACAAAACAGCCACGAAGAAAAGGCTATTAATTGTATGACAACCCAAACAGATTGACAAGCACCTGGGTGACAAAATGCCTAAATTTTCTGACTGAAAGGGCTTTTGAAAAATGCTGCGTCCTACCTTGATTAACTCCTTTATAATGTTGTCTTGATTTCTCAATTCTTTCGATTTCACACAGTTAGTTTTGCAGGTAATTTGGACACTTTGCGGGTTAGATTCAGCAGAAGCGTCATAATCTTGATAAAGAACAAAAAATGAGTCTTGATAAGAACAGAAGTTGTATAGACTATCGCCGCATGTATATCTTTGACCGAGTTTTCTAGTTTTTGCAATTTGTATACAATTTCAACTTTCGTAAAGTTTTGATGCTATAAAGACTAGAATAAAATCTATGATAATTCAAATAAGGAATAAATTCAACATTGAAACTAACATACAAGAGATGAAACTTTCATTGAAATAAATAAACATGCCTTTTGTTTTTTGTTATAACAGATTGTATTACTTTTGTTGCTAACATTTCCATGTTCATAAAATTTGAAGTACGGTAAAATCACCTGTAGATACTTCATAGAAATATCATATTTTCCCAGCCATCTGGAGCAGACAGCCTGCTATCCGTTCTGAACAAAGTCAGTTTCCCATCAAGTTATGTTTCAATAGTTGTCGACAAAACAAGATCTGGTGAAGAAACACTAACGCACTTGATCAAGAAAATGTATGACATTAACAAAAACGTTGTTACAATCTCATTACTCAAAAAGCCGTTCACAAAGGAAAGTTTTGAATCTTCTGCATTGACTGGCAATGATATTTTTCTGGTTGATTCTGACGGAGTTTCTGCTAGACAGGTATTCGATTTAGCCGAAGAAGCTGGTGTATCAGGATTGAACGATCCTTTGAAATGGGTATTATCGAAGCGTACTATGGACACGTTATCTTCAACATGCCGCCTTCCAGATGGCAAATATTATGGTGCCCGACAAGAAGCTGTGATACCTAATGAAGGATACATTATAAACAAAGTAGTGGAATGCCAACATAATACCTTTGCATGTAGACGTTGCTCGCAAAGGTATTTAGATTGTCCTAAAATCTTCTACCCTTGAATCAGCTATGGTATTTAAGCAATGATTTGACTTGATAACGGGCTATGCTCGAAACGTCGTTAATTATTTTAAAAAATTTTTCCTGGTACAATTTTCCTACATTGATCGTTATTTAAGTTTCATGCGAACTACACTCCGGACAAAATTGTTGAGACAAAATGCAATTTCGGTAATTTTGTACTTTATATCGCCCCTATAAATTCGAACCCCCCTTTTCCCCGGATCAATGTTAAATTTGTAGTTCTATCATACTCCTTCAAATCATACATTGAACATTGAACTGGGGGAGGGGGAAGTCATTTTTTAAAGGAGAGTGAAAATATAAACTTTCCTTGAATGTCTCAGCCTCTTTTGTCCGGGATTGTAGGTTCAAAGTACAAAGACAAAAATGCTTTAAAGATACATTGAGGTTTTATGGAAAATTTTTGCAATTCTGTAACAGAAAAATATAAGAAGTATTTCAATAATCTTGTCTCACTATTCAATGATAGAATCGACGTTAAATACTTTGATAAGTTGATAAACAAAGAGATTATTTTTCAGCTCCAATTCCTCAACTGCTTATCAACTATGGACAAACACAAATTCAACGTCTGGGTACTCCTGGATAGAGCTTATAAAAAAGAATCAACCTTTAGACGACCATATAGTTTCTATGCAAGGCTTGAATCCTCTTTTAAGAAGATTTAGGGTAGCAGTGGCGGAAACTGCACCTTGGTTGATGGTAGCAGAGCTCTATAAGTTGCACGAGAGCAATCTTCCTTGTGGAAAAAGTGGAAGACTTGGGCTTCGGCCTAAATTGAACAATTCAGAGTTCGTCTGCTTCTATGGTTTTGCAATTGACATATTGAAAGCTGTCGAAGAAAGAATGAAGATTGTTGGTATCATAAAGCTTTCCAAAGATGGAAAATATGGAACAATTGATCCAAAGACGGGACTAGCCGATGGGATAGTCGGAGAAATCGCAGCTGGCGAAGCAGATTTTGGACTTGATCTTATTGAAGACAAAACTAGAAATAAGGTCATTAGTTTCTCATCCCCATATTCCGTAACATCCTTTGCTGTAGCTTATTTACAGCAGTTTAGTTACAAAGAAGCTGATGTTTTTCAGCCATTTAGCAAGCAATTATGGCTCACTATTGTTGGTACAATTGCCTTACTGGTTATCATAGTATGGATATGGGAACGAATCAGTCCATACAGCCAGTACCAAGTAAATAAGCGTACTACAAACGAATCAAGAGCTTTCGGCTTGGATGACAGTGCAAATTACATTATGGGTACATTTTTCACTGGCGAGATCATCGACCAAAAGCCGAAAACTTTTGGAAGTCATGTTGCTATCATAGTGATATCATTTGTGTCAATTTTGGTCATATCCGCATATTCTGCCAATTTGATCACTTTTCTGGTGGTGTTGGATGAGGAACCTCTGATAACTGGACTTACTGACGAAAAGGTAAAGCTCGTAAAGTTTCATACATTTATAAACCTTGCCAGCAAAGTTTGGGTAGTGATCTACATCAAGAATTCAGCAAAGGAAACATTCAAAAAGAAATTTTGTTTTGGGTAACAAAAGCGTTAGATAGATATTGCTAGAAAAATATTTTTATGAAGTTTTATTGACAGTTTCTATATAGAAGAGTTGATCTTTATAGACCAGACTATAAAAACTTCATCATTAATTATAGAAAGAAATAGCCTATGTTGTTATTTAAAAAGAGTCTTTAGTAGTAGCTAATGTTAAACGGCTATCAAGATCATATCTGTTTGCTAAATCTGAACCAGCTGTGATTTCTAGGTTCTAACGTACAGGATGTCTTAGCGACCTTCTTTATAAACAAAACTTATTGGTATCACCGTTCGTGAATCTTTCAGGCTTAAAGTGTGTATCCTAAATTGGCATCTACAGGGTCATATTATTTGCCGATTCCCCCTTCTCCTATACTATACCTCGAGTAGGGGAAATACGGCCTCGCATGCTCTTAACTGATTCAAAACTATCTATGTTTCAGCTTATTGGTGATTCAAGCAAACTTACGGTTGGAATTCATGGTAGTTCAGTGGTATCTGGATATTTGGCCTCGCATTCAAATCCTAAAGTACGGAAGCTGTCAGAATCCAGAGTGAAACATTACCGACAGTTTGATATGGCTGTGAAAGCTCTTGTAAACAAGTAGGTGCTAGATTTTTCAACAGAGGTATACATATAAGATATATCTAGGGGTGATTATAGAAACTATGCAAGTCCTTCCATTTTAGGCTCTTTTTTAAATCATGAATGACGCTCATGCTAGGTACCTATACAAAGGAATAATCCATCTCTATCAACTGGATTTTAATTATTTGGGTCCTTTTATGCAAACCAAACATTTAATTAAATCATAGCCAGTTAGATTTGTCTATTTTGCTTGGGACATCAATCAACAATGTCATACTACAGGGAGGGGTTCTTGCCTAAATTTGGATTGGAGTCTACCGCGAACACATTCAAAGTAGTACCGTCGGCTAGAATAGATTTTACGAATATGGTACCCTTGGCTAGAGAAATTACCAAAAAAAGGATAACCTTGACTGCATTCATTTCCAAACCATTCAAGTTAGCATATATCTCAAAATTTTTGGTTTGAACTTAGAATTGTAAAGGTCGATTACTCTCATTTACTAGTTTATCATCAACAAAAATGGGTTGTCAGGAATGTCCTACTTTAATAGACCGCTCCATAGATTCTTGATATGACCAAAATTGCAAAATCTCTACTTTTTTGACGTTAGCAGCAACATTTTGGTAATTAGAAAAACCACTAACTGCTAATACATATAATTTTAGGTGCAGAAAGTCAAGCTTAAATTAAGATATTAAGGTTTTTTCTATGACTCTGTGTTTTCTTTGCGTTAAAGAGGATTGGATCAGAAATAGCAACTAAACCTTTTTACGGAGAGTTAAGTACACGTTCCAATTTGAAATCCTTAACTGTCTTGAAAAATTCATTAATTTAATTTCCTTGCTCAATCTTTATTTGCAAAAAAAAAGCAAAACGATACAGAAAATTCAATAATCAAAATCTCGAGAAGCATAACTTTTTTTTCATTGGTCACGAAGGGAGTATTCATAAACATTAGTTTGTGAAAGAGCATATGACAAAGCAAATGACAGCAATATAAGGCTCATCGTGTCACGCATTATTTCGAAATACATGGTATGTGAAGCCGCCACCAAAAGAATAGCCCTGGCTCTGGCTTGAATAATGCAGATTTCCTTATACGGGGTTAAAGATCTTTAAAAGATTTGAATATAAATATTGTTCAGCTGACTTTGTGAGAAATCCATAGAACCAGGCAATTTTGGGAGGTTATATCAATTCTTTTATCACATCTTTCCATGATCTCGTCCATTTGCAAATTTCATCTCGTTTACTCTTGTTGTATCAAGTAGTGCTGAATTAGGCTTAAATCAGGCTTGATGCTCATGAGAGAAGGGTATTTTATTGGCCCTGTTCAGCTATAGAAAAAATGTTTCATTTCAGCAATGGACCTAATGCTGCAGTACCAATAGCACCCACCGTAATCCAGCCCTTGACTCAAGTCTCGTTACATGTAACTCTTTCTTTGAAATGGCTAACAAAATGGATTGCTTTGCTTAATAGATCGTTTGTCTTACAAAAAACTTTATGAAAAATTTCCCCCTCTTATTATGTCAAAAATGTCGAAAATTTTAAAGAAAGACTTTACAAAAGTCATGAATTGTAGAAAAGATTTTCAAACCAAGAGCACTAACTTATCTAATTAGAATTTGACAAGGTTTAAGAAACGTGAGGCATTAAAGACTAAAAGCAAAAACAATTTCTGAATAGACGAGGGTATATCGGGAAATACAAAAGCATAAAGGGAGTTTATAAAGATTTTGATACTTGTAATTGGCACAAGTCCTCGAAATTAAATCTTTAGCAATTCCTTATTTTGTAGATAGTTTGTTTGAATTAGTTTATTCCTATCAATTGAACCAACTGTAAATAGTTTTATAATTACAATCATTAAAACAACCCTTTTTTTTCTCCCACTTCATTTCCTACTAACATTATAAATTCCTCATAGGCATCAAGAAATTGCAAATGAAATTCTCATTTTCACTTAAAAGCCATGCGAAATCTGGAAGATTCAACTTATCTTTACCGGTTAAAAGAGTGTCTTTGTTCACTAATTAATTGATAAGAAACTGTTATTTTCTTTTTTAGAGAAGTGGACCTTATTCTGTATGACTACTATTCTATTGCATACACTCAGGCCCTAGACAGAGATTGCATGATCAAAGTACTCAGACTTAATGACGCTGAAATGGGTGTTGGCTTAACGTTCAGTAAGACGTTTGCATGGAAGAGAAGATTGAATTTAGCAGCTATCGATATATCTAACTCTGGCAAATCAGATGATTTTGTGCAAAAATGGTTCAACCAGCAGATATGCCGTAGCTCCAACATATTTTATTCGCTAGATATCAAACGAATGTCATTATTGTTCGTGTGGCTTTCTGTTGGAATTTTGGCCTGTATAGTCATAATGTGTATTGTTGTACTGATAAAGAAGATAAAAACTCTAACTAGGAGGGGATGAATGTACAACGAAATTGGAAAAACTGGATGAAATCACAAATATCATTGAAAGTAATTATATGTTCAAAAATATAGCTTATCGATAATCTATTTTTATCACAAAAAATGTAATTTCACAGTTTGTATCGCACATGATTTATTTACTTGGCAATCAATCCACCTTTTCTAGCAAAACAAATCATTTCACGTATTATTTGAATACCGCGCACTGATTGGCTGACGCCGATATTGCAAGGTTTTTATAGAGCATTTGTATCAGTCTGATTATGTCGATAAAAATACGTCACGAAAATGGTAAAAAACTATGCTTATCCAAAGAAATGTCCTGATTACCCAGCAATGACCAAAAGATCCGGAGAGAAAGTCAGATTTTTGGCGTCTTCCGCTTAGATAGTTTCTAGATGCTGAGGCGTTGAAGTGTATGCAAGCCTGTTGTCGGCCAATAATTTTAAGAAGATCATCGATTGGATTCCTATAAGAAGATCATGACTTCCAGTACAAAATTCTGGAGTAGACTCAAGCTCAATGCTACCGCTGCAGCTTTGATAAAACCCTGAGACTCGAAGTAGGGACCGGAAAAACTTTCGAAAGGTTAAAAAACCCTTAAAACATATACTCTCATGGATATGACATTCTTCGCTGAATCAGCCGCTTTCTTTTCAAATTTTCTTCTTTCTAAAAGCATTTGTCGTCACGCATCCTAGACTTGCTTCTAACACATCAGGATGTGTTGTTCGAATAAAACGTGGGACAAAATGCTCTGATTTAAAGGGTGGATTGATAAATAGATTAAACTAGACTGTAACACGCAGTTAAAATCGTTATTAGCGTTAAATAAGTAACAAGTAAATGAACAAGACTCTTTTATGTTGATGATTCTATCATGTGAAACCATATTAAAGGACTGTAAAGCGTCGAAACGAATCAATTACAAAGCCAAAAGAACCAAATTTTTTAACGCCTCAAGCTGATGAGTTAAAATTTACGATCTGTGTTCTGTTTCCTGAGGCACAGATCTAGTCAAATTAACCACAAAAACTGTAAATTTTGATATTTGTTATTAATTAGAATTATTCCTGCTTATAGTGCTCAAAATGGTAAGAAAATATGCATACCCTATTCTCCTTCCTGCTCTCTGGTTGTGTTAGCCTGATCTAACAGTAGAAGTAACTGACAATGCAAAAGTGCAGACAGTAAACAAACTTGTATACGTCACGGGACAAGAAAACGTCACGCGTTTTACTCACGAAACGCTTGCTATAATCTGTGCCGGATGTTATCTATAGGCTTATCAAGCTGGAGTACTAGACCTTAAAGTATAAAGGGCCACCAGCCAGCGTGTATGACTTGTATACCTTTTCACGCGGGATTTCCTTTCCTATTGTACACTCCGAAGCTTTCAGAAATGTTCCTTATATATTTTACAAAGTCAGCAAAGATAGAAATTAGATTCATCATCGAGTTCCTGTTCAAGTATTTCTTGTTCACTCCAGCCAGTCTAAAGGAAAAATATAGGAGAATTCGATAAATTTGAGCAACAGATAACAACTGAACATTGTGACAAGAAAAAAGCGTAAAGGAAAACAATATTTATGGAATTATAGAACAAGCCAGACCAAAGAAGTATTTAGTGTTAAGAAATTTAATTTCCGTTTCAGCCTTTGCTATTATGTTCATACGCTCAGAATCATGTCCCATTCCCTAGCCATTGAAAATCAACAAACTATAAGGTAATCACATTAAGGTTTATTCAAATAGGTATGCTACCTAAAAGCTCAAAAGGGTACGAGCATCAGGTCTAGGGTTATCTTTGAAAAAGTTTTTTGGAAGAGAAGGATCTTTATGAAAAAACATGCAAGAAGGGAATAAAGAAAAACATAAAATTGTATGCATTCATTGTATTGTTGAGCTGTTACGTACCTCCTAACCATCAAACAAACTCTCTTAAATAGAAGTACTTGCTATAGTACCTGCTCAATGATCAGGTACATCTATTTAAAAACGAGGGTTTGTCCGAATGTTATTTACGCAGATACACACATTACCAGTGTGAAAAGGCAGTCTTGAGTGATTGCATAGAAGAGATTGGTGAGGAAAGGTATTCTAATAGAGATGATATGCTAGACGCACACAACAATGTACCAGAAACGAGCCGAAACGACTCAATCAAGAAATAAAAAACAATTCGAAAAGAAAACACAGGTCTTTTTCTAGAATCAATTACACTACGAATCGAAACTCTTCAATATCACTACTCGAATATTTCTCTCAGTCTCACATAAAGTCAATCTCTCAGTCATTTAGCGTCTCTGTCAAAAGGGTTAGACGCCTCGTTTGGGCAGAAAGTTTTTGGGACCTCGGCAGAGGGCCTCACATACACCAGATTAAATATATCTTGAAAAGTAAAAGTCATCCTTAAATCAAGCTTTGCAAGCATATTTCTATCAAGGAATGATATAAGGTCTTTATCAAACTGTAGAGAAATATGACAACAATTTCTTTATCTGCATATCTTGCAATAAATAGCTTTTTGCATTTTTTTTGGGAAATAAGAAACGCAAAGATTTAAGATAAGTTTAGACCCCTCGAGATATCGCAGCTTTCACAGAATTGCAAATATTAGGTGCGTCCTACATACCTAGTTCCACGTTGACTCAAAAAGTCATAAGCGATAAGTAGAAACACGTGGATATAGAATGTAAAGATGTACGATTTTCTGGTCATCATTCAATTAAGTTGCAGTTTTGCTTGTTTGATTTGTTATGATTGTGACTTGCATTTCTATAAAAATGTCAAACTTGGAAAAGTTTATTCATACATAGTAACAATTTATATTTCTATACATGGTTGTGAGGATAACTCTGTTGCTAGGGTCGCAGAATTACAAATCTTAAGGAATATGGTTCAGGTCCCTGGCATGACAAAACTTTCACTCAGAGTGAGGAGAGCTGCCAGCTCTCTGTAATTCCAGGCGTAGGAATCACGAGGTGTTGTCACATCGAGAGGGAGGACCAGGACACTGCTCGATAAGGACAGCTTGTCAGTTTGCTAAAATCTACCTTCGAATGTTAGATATTAAGATTTACAAAATATAAAATACATTGAAGATACATAGCAAGAAAAACCTTTATCACCAATAGGCATGTCATTGGCATTAAACAAAGTGGGCATGGCTGCATCATAGCAAGAAGTTATGCATATGTGAGATTCTAATGCCAGTTGAAATTAATAAAGCTTGGTGCGACGAAAGATTGGACTCGTTAAAATTAGTTTGTTTAAATGGTGTAGACCGTTAAAGTGTTATCTGTAACTTAATTAAAGCTGAAAAGTTAGTATAAAAGAAAGTGAGCAGGCTGTTATAAAGCGAACTGAACGAATTGTTTAAACTTTTGTTAAGACTATTGTTGATTTTCTGGCCCTGTAAAAGCTATTGTTTTGATGCAACGCTCATGTAGAAGTTTAGAAGTTTGTTTTCTAGTTGATACAGCTGACCTGAAAAGTAGCTTCTTCTATGAAAAAGGCCTAATTCTTTCAACACAAGAATTCTTTGGTATTTTTCGTATATTGTAAGAATAACAGAACATTTATAGGAACGAATTTCATCAGATTTACAATAACATTTGCCTCCTCACTAGGATATGAGTTGATTTACGTGTTTATATGAGAAAATAGTTTTTTCTCAGATCCAAGGCTACAATATGTTTAAATAAAAATTGAGAACGCAATTATTGTACAGATTTCACTATATTTTGATTCTTTGAAACGGTTATTTGGCAAGTAATGCAACATCAAATAAAATCATTGAATTTTTTTATATATACAAATTAAAAACTTAAATAGTATTTGCAATAAAATATATAATTCAAGAATTAAAAAGACTTATTTACTTAACTTTTATCACAAAATAAGCTTCTGCCGCAATGTCCTTTTTAAGGACGTATTTTTGTTACTTTCATGCTATTCCAATGGGTATTTTAGAAGACTGAGTTATACAACAAGGATAAGGCGGTAGGTGCAACAATAAGACTGGTTGATTATTTCTGATATTTAATCTAAAAACGCAGTCAGTCACATTCTATTCCACGGGAATTTCAGTAAACAAATCGTAGATTTTATTGCTGAGTGAATTTTACATTAAGAGAACGTCAGCACTCTCCCTTCTGCTTTCAAGGAAAGAAAGCACAAATAGTAGGCCTAACAGACCCCTTGCAAAACATGAATAAATGATTCTCCTATTTTCGGCATTGTTTTTTATGTTGTTATGTTCAAATTGGATCATTTACGTCTTCTCTGTTACGTCTTCTTCTTTTGTTCAACTTGCTTGCAATTCTCAAAGTCACACTCAGAAGAAAGCACCCAGCAACAAAGCCAGCGAGCAAGATAAACAGAGGTTGCATTCTCTTAATATCGAGTCTAGAAAAAGTGGTTGATTTATTGCAATGTGTGTGTCTAAACCATTTACCAATTAGGAAGTCAATTTCCCCAGAAAGAGTCATATAAGTGATAGCTGTGTTGATCCTTCTCCTCCATGACCAACTTTTGCGTGCGACGGTTCCCATTGCAAGGTCGTGTTCTGGTAGTTCAAGGTGGATGCCAGATGTCTTAAAGTTGGGCCGTCTTGAACCAATAAATCTATCTCCCTGAATGAATGAAAATAACAGAAATAGAATATTGATGATACAGAAAGCACACGAGTAAATATAACTAAAAAAATGGAGGTGCTAAATCTAGTTGCTACACATATTATAAAAAATATGTAGCAACATTTGTGCAAAAAGTCCCTGGCTTAAAAGAAAGACGCCTATATATGAGAGAAATCAATCTGTGAACAGCTTATAGTAAGGCAAAGGTCTTGACCTATTTCTAAAGTCAAACTAAAAGTGAGGGCAAAGAATCCTTTCATGCATGTTTTCTAGAAGATTAAGACTCTATTCCAAGAAGAATATAAAATATTTTGATTAAATCTTCAAAAGTCAACTGTAAAATAGGTAGAAAACTAAAGGCTTTACTTATTGAGCTTTTGCCAAGACAGTTCACATTTATAAGTTATTTCTGATACAGTAAATGATCAGTAAGGATAAAACAAAAGCAATAAAACATGGCAATCGAAGATTTAAAGATATGAATACTTGTTCTCGCATATTCAGAAATAAACGCTATGAATAAGAAGATGTGATTGGTTTAATTGTTTCATACAAATGCTTTGTTTTGAGAATTAGATAAGCTGCCGATGAATAATGTTCAGTATTCGGTGCTTTGAATGTGGCACTTGAAATATCTAATTTCAAAAAGGAAATCTTAGAAACTATCGTTGAAACATTTTACTTTTTCTTTAATCTCTTGATACAGTCTTCCAGACTGTTGCAAAGTTTCACCCTGTTGTAAAGGTTTTTAACTCTCGAATCTGAATGCGCTTTGAGAAATCCCTCGGCATATGAACTTTCAAGGATCCCAACTGTCATTGTCTTTACATTCCCGATTAGCTGCAGAAAGCAAAAATATTTAGCATGCCATTTCCAATTAAAAAACTATATAAAGAAATATTTCAATTCTTTGCTTAACAGATGCAAATAAATTACATTGAAATTATTTAAATCTAAAATTTTGCTACTTTTGAACAAAAGATACACCTAATTAAATATACTATTGATCAAAAAGTCTATCTTGCAAAAACTAGAAGTATCAAGTTTTTACCTCAAGTCTCATATAAATGAAGCCTTGTGCTAACTTTAAAAGTGACTCGTCTAAGCCTGCATTCTGAAGTGTGTCCTTCTTATAAGAAAAATAATTATTTGAAATAGAATCTGACTAGGAAATAGAAAATTAAATTCCAACACAGCTATATGCATATATAAATCTATTTGGAATTACCTTCGGAACAAACAATCCTGAGACTGGAGGTCTTTCATCCAGTACTACCAGGTAGGTGATGAGGTTTCCAGAATATGCCGATATGATAACAACGGATACAAAAGAGAAAGCAAGTACCATTGTCCGGCTTCCAGATGATTTCGGTTTCTTTTCAATTATTTCGCCTGTAAATAAGGTGCCCCATACGTACGTTGTACTGTCAAACGCTCCAAAGTCTTTTATGTCATCAAAAGATCGCTTTTTAATTTGGAATCCACTGTAAGGACTGACATGTTCTGTGATATAAATGGTCACAACAAGCCCTGCTATAAGTCCAATAATTCCAAACCAAAGGTTGTCACTGAAAGGGCCAAATATACTCGATTCATCAAAGCTGTCTCGCTGAATGTATGCAAAGGCATAGCAACGTCATAGCAACGTCAGCTTTGTTTTTGAGTAATTCTCTAACAATCCCGTCAGTTTCACCCGTTTCCAAGTCATAAGATCCATATCTCCCGTCTCTTGAGGTGTAAATAACAGCCTCAAAGTTAAGGTTTTTTCTCAAACGATTCAATAGATCAATGGCATAGCCATATACACATATCTTCACAGTGTTTGTCCCATTGACATACTTCTCTCCCAACATGCCTATAAGACCGCATGCTTTTCGCCCCGTGATGTGAGTTTCACATATCTCTTCTACAATCACCCAGGGTGAGTACGTGGAAGCAATCACCACTCGTACCACTGATTCCAAATCTTCGTCCTTGCTTGTAGAATGAGAATGCTTTTCAGGCTGCATTGTTAGCGTATTCACAGTGAACCACGATCAAGTGTGGGTGTTAAATTCTTTGATAGATAGATGATCTCCTTGCAAAAGTAAATATTCAAATGGCTTAAAATTGTTTAAAGAGCATAAAGAACAGCATAAATTGTTGTGCTTTTTGCCATACGCGTGTCTATCTAATGGTTTGGGAACATACATTGTTCCATGGATTACATAAGTTTATCATTTTGTAAAATTTTAGATGTTATAAGATCTTTTAGAAGAACCATGTAACATTCACCATACCAACTGAAGAATGGCATAATATTGTTTTCCAACATATATAGTTGCAATTCATTTTTAAATACTCAAGCATATCAAATCAGTACTTTGAAGAAAAATATTCCAAAAAATGGCAAAGTGATCTTCACCACAATTGTTATGATGCTTTTTCGGCAAAAATTCAAACAAAGAGTTCTTCTATTAAGTAACATCTTAAGGATAATTTTAAAAAATAGTGTTATGATTTGTTTTATAGAAAAAGTTGTAAATAAAATATTTTCAGATAAAAGTGTCAACAGGGTTGCTTGTATCTTTGTAGAAACGTATCAACTCTAGAGAAGCCAACGAAAAAGCTTTATTGCACTCACATTTCTATAGAAAAATTTTGACTCCAATTTAGACTGGCCAAGTTTTATCGCTGAATCTTTTCTATGATAAAGTCTGAAGTCACGGAAGCAAGTTCAAAATCTACATATCGATATATGTGAGGAAGCAAGTTGCAATGACTGTGGAGTTGTCCAATTGATCTTTGAGTCATCATCCAGTAAAACTCCTCACGATACCCTGCCACGCCCAAATTGATATGATACATCTTGCATTGCCTTGCGTCAAAAAAATGATATTCTATTTGGGGTATCTTTTGCACGATCCATATACTTTTAAAATAATTGTATTTTTGATTAAGAGAAAAAGGGTGTGGTTGGGAAAGCAGAAGTATTTCTGATTTTGATCACTTTTTGCCCCCCAAAACAGATAGCAAACACGTTACCTTCTCTGCTATATTGAATTTATTGTCTGCATGAACAGTTTTGTTGATTTTGTCATTATTCAAAATTTCTCTGAAAATCTCGTTTTTCACATTGCTAAAGTCATTGACGAGATATCTGCCGCTTCTTCCATGTCCATTCAACTCTTTTGCAATGTCATTTCCCTGGTCCATATATTGGCTTAAACTCAAGTTTGGTGCGAAGTATGAAGAGGCATTTGTAGTACTGACATTCATCTTAATCAATGCTTCTTTGAAAATACTCTCATTTGCAGCAACTTCAAACACTCCGTAGATTCTCGCTTCTGTTCTTTGGAATACGAATGCAAATGTGAAGATCTGTATAATTTCAAGCAACTCCTTTGTCAAAGACATTGCCGGTTCGTAGTATGAATGTTTTTATTATCTCAATGCGGGCATGTCTCTTCTACCAAACCATTTTTGAAATTGTGAGCTCTATCTTTAATAAAAGAATGATAAAGGCTTTAAATACAATTATAACTTTATGATATCATATAGCAAACGTTTTTGTTATCATATTGGATAACAAAACTCATTTTACTCCTTTCATCATCAAAGTCAACAAAATTTATTCCGTTGATGGGTCTTTACCCCCTGAAAGATTTTCCGCATAAAAGTCCTTGCTGAGCACCTATTTTATTCTTCATATCATCTAACTTCTGCTGACTTACTAACCTGGCTACCAGAGCCATAATCTGCTGAACAGCTTTTAACTCGAAAACAGTCTTATGCTAACTCAATGACTCACGCCTTCAATTCAAACCTAATATTTATATCAAACTGTACCTCGTCATTCCGATGTCAACTCAATCAATAGCGACTCATTTACCAATTTACAACTCCACTCGTGCATAAACGCCTCCCCGGGAAGCAATTAAGGACTCATTGCTAACAATGAGCCATTGCAAGTATCCCATAATGCATTTTCAGACAGTCTGAAATCAATTATGGTTAATCCGTAGAAGTTTACTGCCATTGTTTGGATTGTCGCCTGGATAATTTGCCACCCTCGCAAAGGCTCCTTGTTAACAATGAGTCTTTAAGTTCCATTTCTTGCTTGGTGCACGCAACAACTACAGAAGTTTTAACATAGCGTTTTGTTTTAAACGGTTAAATTCCTCATTCACTGTCAACAAGAAGTGAAGCTAGAGAGGAGAGTTGACAAGCTCCATTTCTTTGCTTATTCTTCAAAGTAGACGTTCTGATATGCAGTCCTTTAAAGCATCCCCATTCTGACTTTTCTATTTGACTATGTTGAATAGAAATAGGATAGCGATAGTCATAGGCCCCTCCTTTGCTTTCAAAAATGACTTTTCAAAAATACAGTTGCAGCATTGACTTAATTTATTAGCTCAACACCCTTTTTCTGTAATGTTTCTGGCATATAAAAGTATTTCCAGATCTGACTAGAGCTTAAATAATTGTCGACAGACCTCAACTTTTTGATAACGATTAAAATCTCACTTAAGAAATCTTGTGATTTTTACTGCAACCTGAAAAAAGTCTAATCCTTAATAAGAATGATGTCAAGGACTTAAAATTTCTCGGGTTGCGCAATTTGAAGCCGGTGTAATATGCGTTTTGGTACCCTATGCAAAAGTGTAATATTGTGAAACGCAATGTGTTTCAAATTATGTGATTTCATCGTAGTGCGATATTATGACACGTTAAAATTAACAAATTGAACACAATGCATTTTGAGTTTAAAATTTCACGTTTTTCAATCAAGAAAACTTCGGTGTCGCAATTAATGTTGTACTTTTTTGCATAAACTTAACAAGGGAAATCACAGCACCGTTTCTTGTTAGTACCCCCTTGTTAGAAATAGTTAGATTGTTCTTTACATTCTGAACAATATGAACCAGAACATTTGTGTTCCAAAACCGGCTCGCATACTTAATTCCACCATTCGTTTCCGTTCCCTGTTTTTAAAAAGCTTGGTTACGTTTTTGTACAAGCAAAGTTGCTATGCGTTTGTGTACCCGGACCGTTTTGCATGCTAAATTCCCCATTCGTTTTGGTTCTTTATTGTTTAAGAGCTTGGGTACGATTTTGCATAACCAAAATTTTCATGCGTTTGTGTACCCGGACCGCTTTGCATGCTGAATTCCACCATTCGTTTTGGTACTTTATTGTTTAAGAGCTTGGGTACGATTTTGCATAACCAAAATTTTCATGCGTTTGTGTACCCGGACCGCTTTGCATGCTAAATTCCATCATTAGTTTTGGTACCCTACTGTTTAAGTGCTTGGGTACGATTTTGCATAACCAAAATTGCCATGCGTTGGAGTACCCGAACCAAAATGCATAAAGTTACCGAAACGCACATGACACCGGCAATAGTTCCCAAAATATCACCAAGGAATAGACTGTGTTATCAAAACATGTTTTTAAAAACCCTCAAAACTCTACAGCAGCTGCAAACAGACCAATTCCCCTCAGAAAATTGTAAAAAGACTTTCAAATTGCGAGATATGCGTACAAAAATAATGTTATTCATATTTCTCTGGAGTTTGATGAAGACATTTTATCATACCTTGATATAAATGTGTTTGAAGAAATCGATTCAAGGCTAACTTTCATTCTTCAAAATATATTGAACCAGGTGTTTCCTTGTTCAAGAACGCATTTTCTCTGCGATTTCTTCGATGCAATCACTCAAGAATGCCATCTCACGCTGGGAATGTGTGTAACTGCGTAAATGACATTCAGGCATCAGGCAAACTTTGGCTTCAAATATGGTTTCTAAATAGATGCACCTGGTAAATAAACAGGTAACCTAGTTCATTTATTTAAAGGGATCTTTTTCTGACAAAAATTCTCAACGGACGAAACTTTGAACAATAAACTAATTTTTGGAAATTTAGACAAATAAACTGTGTTCATTCCAAATACACTCAATACTATCTTCCTCCTAATCAATTCTGCGTTGGCTGGTTAGAGATTCATGCACGTTATTTGTTTGGACTGATTTTATATTAGCTTGGATGAATAAATGCTTTCAAAATTTTGTTTGGGAAATAAGACAAGATGCAAATTCAGAGATCACCTGATATCCGTTTCTTCAGTCAGTTAACATTGCACATGCGCAGTTTACACAAAACTTTTTGGGTCGGCAAACTTTCTGGCAGCCCTAAATTTCATACAAATAAATATTCGGTCAAATCTTTGTATCATTGTTTGAAGCGCCAAAATTTTTGACTAAATGTAGGGGATAAGCATCAATGGAATGGTACCTACAATTTCCTGTCCTTGATTATTCCCAAAGCATTACAACCATTTTTTAAAAAGTCCTTCCCTTTCAAAGCAACTTTGTCAAAGTTAACCCTATATGTGAAGTTCTGAAGTTTTTGGGTTTCGAACTAAATATAATTTTTACAAGGCAAATACCTTGGAGTAAACCTCTTAGTAATTCCCTGTTTTATTCTTTTTTTGATGAGTAGGATGTAAGAAACAAACCTGAACGTAAAAATATGCTAGCTGATCCCAAAACAAGAATAAACTTCAGAATTTTGAATATTTACCGAATATCTAATTAAACATTGCAATAAAAAATTTGAATTTCTGGTTTTCAATAATATAGATTACGACGTCTGTGAAAAAGAGTGCACATAACAATCCCATAAGAGTGGATGCTTTAGAACCTTGAGGAGGGGATCTTCTTGCAAAATAATTTTTCCTTTTTTCAAATGTGTAATAACATAAGGCCATTAAGCCTTTAAACGTTTTTTAATAATGATGTCCTGATCAGTTTCTGAAATTGGAAAAAGCCACTGTCTATCAATCTAACAAAACATGATAGATTTCGATCAAGTAGTCAGGACCAAGTGATCTTAAAGGTTTGGATGAAAGGCCTAGCAAATTGATACCCTTATGGCGATTAAAGTAGTTGCAAACGAGTCATATTATTGCTTGGTTAAAAATAAAAAAGGGAATGTATATCCCATGCGCGTAAAGTTACTACCTTGTGCATACATATATCTCGCAGCTAACTTAATGTGATATCTTCCACCATATCAAGACTTGAAAAACTCCTAATTACGTAAAATTGACTCTAAGCTATAACTTCAACTTATTGCAATAAAATACCACTGTACAGTTTGAGTCAAAACTATCATCTATACTCTTGCAGTTTGTCCTGGGAAGGTTAAAGGCATCCTACCTTGGTTGCATCTGAGCAGTTCTGTAAAAAGATCAATTCGTTCTAAAGGAAATACCAAGGTTTAAATGTGACGTATTCAATTTCATTGGTACCTATCACTTAATCAATTTCTTGTATCTACATACTATTATTCCAACAGCTCCATAGGCCTTAGAAAGAAAAATTAGTTTCGGGGCATGCATTTGTTAATAAAAAGACAATACCCTATTGTTAAAAACAACGGCAAGTGGCTGAGGCTGCAAGGGCAATTGCTTTTTGTGAAGAATAGGTAGCTAGAAAATTTTTCGAAAAGTATTGCTATTGTTCAGTTCTCTCGAATTTTTCAGATTTTAAATATGGGAACATACAGTATGCAACCATCTTTTCCTATATAGAGATATCAATAAACATAACTAATATTTGATCCATTTATGCACGTCTTGCGCCCATTACAAGGAAGCAAAAAGAACAGCTACTTCTGATGCCTACAAGCATTACGTTGCAATTAACAATTTTCCAAACCTACCAAAAGAACAACTGGCTGAAATTCAATAAAAAGCTCCTGTGTTCAGAATCGGATCTTAAGACATATTATTGATTTTAAATTCAATCATTTTCTTCATCTGTGTCATCTTTCTTTTCCGTGTAAAACTTGCTGGCAATTCTCAAAGTCAAGCTCAAAAATATACACACAGCCATAGAGCCTGCGAGCAAGAAGAACAGATGCTCAAGTCTTATGATATCAAGGCTAAAGAAAGTGTTTGTTCTTTTGCAAGGAAGTTTTCCCAGCCATTTGGCATGAAGGTAGTCAGCATTTCCGGATGCAACTATATGATTGATAGCTGTGTTGATCCTTCTCCTCCATGGCCAATTTTTGCGTGCAACGATTCCAATCGCACGATCTCGCTCTTTCAGGTCCATGACTCTCAAAGAACAGCTGTGATCAATCGATGCATAGTATCTCAATGTTGGGCCTCCAGACATAAGTAAGTCTATTTGCCTAAACAAATAGAAAACAAGACATAGTAAATAGGTAACGCTAACAGTCTTCGAAATGGCGAAGATTTCGAGATTACTTTTACTATGCCAATGCAAAAATTTTGTACCGAAGATTGAATTTTGTATGACAAAGATAAAACAAAGGAAGGATGCTTCCCATTTTGCCTCAAGCCAATTTGCGATTTCTAATAAGAGCGAGAAAGTTTTTGAATACAGCGGTTAAATATTCTTACCTTTTTTTTAATTTCAGCACACATTCATCGAGACTTTTGCAGTGCGTCAGTCTTCCATAAAGATTTCTAACTCTAACATCCGAATGAGTCTTGATCAATCCATCAATAAATATACCGTCAAGGATCCCAGTTTTCATGGTACTCTCTTCTCCGATCATCTGCAAAATGCCAAGTAAATTGCTATGCTATTAAAACTACATTAAAATACAAAGCATCTTATTTCTATGTTGATTTGTTTTTCTAATCAAAAGGCTCCAAAAAACTAACATTGAAAAATGTGAAATCAAAGGTGTTTTTAGTATGCTGATAAAAATTTTGTGAAGTAACGGCCAGACAATAGATTAATAATTGTATCGACGAATATATGATGGACTAGTGATAAAAAAGACATATTAGTTGAGATTTCATATTTTTCAAAAGGAGCAGTTTTTATGAATCCAGTTCTTTAATTACCTTTGAAAATACGATAAATATTCATATCAAAATATATGTTTTGACATAATATAATATCATTTTCCATTTCGTTATATCTTCAGGATACAAAGTATTAAAATATTTTCATTAACAAATCTCAAAACAGATGTATATATGTATTTGAAAAAAACCTTTGGATCGAGCAATCCTGAGACTGGAGGCCTTTCATCCAGTACTACCAGGTAGGTGATAAGGTTTCCAGAATATGCCGATATGATAACAACGGATACAAAAGAGAAAGCAAGTACCATTGTCCGGCTTCCAGATGATTTCGGTTTCTTTTCAATTATTTCGCCTGTAAATAAGGTGCCCCATACGTACGTTGTACTGTCAAACGCTCCAAAGTCTTCCATGTCGACAAAAGATCGTTGTCTAATTTGAAATCCACTGTAAGGACTGACACGTTCAATTACAAAAACGATCACAACTAGCCCTACAATCATCCCAATTATTCCAATATATAGGTTTTTGCTGAAAGGACCAAAAATACTCGATTCATCAAAACTGTTTCCCTGTATGTAGGCTATGGAAATTGGAGCAATAAGATGGGGGTTCGAGAACCAAAGTGCTGTGGATCTCCCTTTGTTCTCGGTTAGATCTATGCCAATGTCGGCTTTGTTTTCAAGCACTTCTCTAACAATTCCATCACTATCACCTGTTTCTATGTCATAAGATCCAAATTTTCCGTCTCTTGAGGTGGAAATTACAGCCTCAAAAAGGAGCTTTGTTTTCAAAAGATTTAGTAAATCGATAACATAGCCATAAGCACATATCTTCACAGTGTCTGTTCCATTGACAAACTTCTCTCCCAACATGCCGGTACGACCACATGCTTCTCGGTCGGTGTGAGTTTTATTCACCTCTTCCACAATCACCCAAGGTGCGGCAGTGTGCGAGATTGCCACTCGAACCACTGGCGGCAAATCTTCACCTTTGCTTGTAGAGTGAGAATGCTTTTCAGGCTGCATTGTTAGGGAATTCACAGTGAACCATGATTGAGTGTGGGTGTTAAGTTCTTTGATAGATGATTTCCTTGCAAAAGGATATTTTCAATGATTAATAATGCTTCAAAGAGGTAACATATCGAGCACAAGACCAGGGAAGCAATGCAGAATATTATGCAGGACCAACTCTGTTTGGAAATTTTCGATACGCTGATTACAAAAAGCATATGTTGTTCAGGAAAATTCGGTACAAGGTAGTCTCTATAGCAGGGATGGGCAATCTACGGTCTACGGGCCAGAATCTGGCTAAGGAAAATGATTTTTATGGCCTGGGAAATGATTTTTATGGCCTGGGAAATGATTTTTATGACCTGGGAAATGATTTTTATGGCCTGGGAAATGATTTTTATGGCCTGGGAAATGATGAAAGCATGTTATAAATGTTAGCAAGAATGATTATCAGAGCAGTTGCAAATATTGAATAAAGCAAAAAAAATTCAAAATGAGATTATCTGAGAATCATTGAAAGATTTTTTCACTATCCGTTGTCGCAGATTCATTCTGCAGGACAGGAGTCTTTGAGGAATCGGGCAAAAATTTTAAAAAATGCAGAAAGATGAGTTTTTCCCTGTTTCACTGTTAGAAGACAATGAGGATCACGTTTGTCCCTAATTTTTATCATGTCTCAGTCACGCTGAGGCCAACATTGTTTAAACTGGAGTTTACAAACATCAAAATCAATGACCTGAGCTAAAAGGTCAAAGCTAGACGTTGGTTGTTGGAAAATTTGTATTTGCTTCCTAGGATGATTTTTCCAAACCCTGAATGACATCATTTTTGACTTTGGTTGCTTTTTCAGTTTTTCCCTTTGCATTCAGGATTGTGATTGCATCAGTTTTTTCTAAACCCAGGCTAGCCAGTTGCAAACTATTCATGTTATAGAGAGGCTTGTAATTTAATTGTTATGAATTGAAAAGTTTCATTATAACTATTATCATTATTGCAAGACAATCGTATTCATTCTTCCCATAAATATTTGAAGGATCTGGCCCACTCTTCAAAATGGTTGCCCACCCATAATATAGACTGTAACTTTAACAAATAAAGCTACCATTAATTGGTCTCAAATTTTGTCTTCAAAGCATAAATTGAATGTTTGCTAAGATGTTCGCAAAGCATTTATTAAAGTGAAATCGATTAGAAGATGTCTGGAAAGCCTATTTGTGCTGCTGCACTTTTTAGTACAGTCTTTCTAGTAAACCACATTCATTGATAATCTCAACTGGCCAAAGCCAATCTATTTTCTATAATTATATCTAAAGTTTAAGACGTATCCGCTAATAAAATTTGTCTTGCTCTAAGTGTCATTTCTTCTTGCCAACCATGGTCTACGCAAAATATTCCTAATGCATTACGTCACTTACAGTCCTGTAGTGCCTTCGCGACTCCAATTTAGACTGGCCAAGTTTTGTCGCTGGATCTTCTCTATGATGTAGTCTGAAGATACGGAAGCAGGGACATAGTCTATATATCGATATGTGTGTGGAAGCAAGTTGCATTTACTGCCGATTTGTCCAGTAGATCGTTTGGTCATCATCCAGTACAACTCCTCGCGATAGCCTGTCACGCCCAAGTGTTTTACCATGTTAACGATTTTGACTGTTTTCTTGTCATCAACATCAACAACAAGCACATTACTTTTGTGAATATTTAAGGCAAATATGGTTCTCTTAGTAACATTCTTTATCAATTGCATGCTTGTAATATTTAGACCATTCTCTGTGCATTTCTCAACAATACGGGTAAGGGAAGCACGTCCAAATTGCGAGTCATCCACTACGATGGATATTCCTTTAGATGGGAGAGGAATTAGATTGACCAACTTGACCAGGTCGTTAACTTCAGATAACTGGTTTACAGTCTGAAATGAGCAATAGAATTGGGTATGGAAATTCAAGAGCAACCTATCAATTGTATGCAGACAGCTTTATATAAAAGCATAGTAAGATGAATGCTCGATATCTATACAATTCAATTAAAATAAGTATTACAAGCGGAGAACATCTGTCGGGACATGTTTTCCCCAGGGGGTATAAAGGGTGTCGCACCGGTCCTACGGAAGACCGTCAGATTTGCAGTTTTTGTCTTTAGTCCTTAAAACTAGACTATCAAATTTATCATAATCTTTTACAAACTTGTTACCCAATAAACTTGTTACAATTATGGAAACAACATCTCTATGGGGACAACTGGTGAAAACATACAGTAACTTTGTTCTATTTAACGAATAAACAACCACCCTATGTCACAGGGGTCACGTGACCAAAGGTCCGACCGCATTTCATTTAGAAAACCCCAATTTTTGAAAAAATGTAAGTTGCAAATGAAATATCCAAGTTCCTCGTTGTTTTCAGCGATGTTTCTTTGAAGATTTAAGCCAATAAAAATTTCCGTGTCATATGCACTTTAAGGCAACTGTCAATGACTGAAAACGGTCGCCGGACTAGTCCATTAAGACAAGCCTTAAGATGAATTTTAATTTTTGTAAGGTTTACAAAGCAATGAGATATTCGTAAAGTGTTTTAGGAAAAAGCTTTTTGGTAAGCCAAAGTCAATAGATAATAAGTTTTCTCTTGCTGAAAGGCTGCGTCCAAAATATGTTTGTTTGAGTGGGTTCTCTGGTAATATTGGTGTAGTTAAAATTAATTGGGAATGGTCAATTTTCAGTTAAAGCAAAGATCCCACAAGCAAAATAATCATCAACAAAGCAAAAGGAGACTTATTTGTTGTAAAATTTGCCCTAGTAAAAAGTAGCTGAAGTCTCAAGTCATTTCGGTTTTACTAATGTTGTGCTCGAAGAAATAAATAAAAAAACATGTTACCCGGTCACGGCCACTGAAAGCATTATCGGTATGAATTCTTTCATTGCCTTTTGCATGATTCGAAATTTCTTTAAAAATCTCGTTTTTGACATTGCTTAAGTCATTAAGGACATATCCGCCGCTTATTCCATGTCCATTCAACTCTTTTGCAATGTCATTTCCCCGGTCCACAAATTGGCTTAAACTCAAGTCTGGTGCAAAGTATGAAGAGGCATTTGTAGTACTGATATTAAGCTTAACCAATGCTTCTTTGAAAACCCTCTCATTTGCAGCAACTTCAAAGATTCCGTAAATTCTCGCTTCTGTTCTTTGGAATACGAATGCAAATGTGAAGATCTTTATAACTGCAAGCAGCTTCATTGTCAAACACTTTGCCATTGATCAAGAATATATATACTGCTAGTAGCTTGGAAGATTTTTGGTACTTCAATTGGTGCTCGTTTATTATTCCAAAATAAATCTTGCTTCTTTGAGATTCTTCTTTCAAAGAAGAATGATGGAATGCTTGATTAACACAGATACCTCTTTGTGTAATACATCAATGAAACGGCAAAATTAACTACTCAGCGTCCAACACAACAGCCGATGGAGATGTACGCCAGGAAAATCATTTCGTTGCGAAATCCCAAGAATGAACATTATAAACACACTGGGAATGTATAAAACTGATCACTTATAATAAACATTTGATGTCTTAATACGTGCACCTGGTCAATTTACAGGTGCCATGATACCTCAACTTAGGTGTCCCTGCTCTGTTATAGTCAGTCACACAATGAGGTCCTGCTCGGAAATGCCCACCAACTGAAAAATCTTTTCTGTTTTGGTGTCTTCAATGTATTTAGAATATCACAACATTCACTGATTTTTGAAAACTGGTGCGGTTTGTTCAAAATTTGAATCAAAGATTTGGGCCTAAATTTTCCATATGGTCAAAAATCAAAGACATCAAAATCTTAAACCAATGATAACAATTGATAGCTTTCATCACAACAAACAAAAAATGTAAAGACACTAGTATGATAAAATCAACTCCTGACTAAAAATTTGGCTTTAAACGTCTAAGCTAGCCAGGGGGTAAATACTAAGTTCTAAGCTGAATACTAAGTTCAAGTGTCGAAATCGAAACTCAAGAAATGTTTCTTATAATCCAAAACAAGAAGTAATGTTTTATCTTTTTAGAGGTTGTAAAAATCCCAAAATCGTTTAAAAGCAAAGCTGTATCTAGATTTTACTAATTACCCCCTGGAAAAGTAGAATCAACCGATTTCTTGCTCTTCAAGGGTCGCAAATCAATCAAGGAATCGATTGAATACCCAAAATACATAAAAATAGAAATAAGAATTGAGAGTCTGTCCGATTCTAGGTGTTTTTTATATTTCGACATCATTTTCAGACAATAAACTTTCAAAAGTATTCTGATACCACGCAGTGACCGGTAAAAAGTTATGATATGTGACATTTTTATTTTATTTTTGTAAACAGAGTATAAAATAAAAAGAAAACAAACTGTTTATATACTGCTTGATTTCATTTTATTATTTGTATATTTTTAATCAATTCAGTAGATAACTTTCTATATCATTTTTTCTATCTATATATTTCTATTTCTTTGCAATGTCTGCTTTTTGGATGTGTCAAAATGGCCTACTGAAAAAGCTCGAGACAAAGAAGATGCAAATTTATTTTCAGCGAGTTAAATTCTCCCAATCAATCCAGGGTGCATTTCATGTCAACTGTACGCCGAAGATCCACCGGGGCATTTGTTAAGGTTCGCCGAATATATGAGCAGTTAGTAAAACTGCAGATATTGTACGCTGGACCAACAACATCAGTGATAGATAGGGGGCGGACATCGTTATATTTTCGACAGCATATATATTCAATGGTAGAATAATACGCGTGCTTATCTAACTGTCAGTTCCCATTTGCTAGGTATAGGTACAATGCCTGCCAAAAGTCATGGAACACTGACATCAATTTCCAAGGTCAAAACCAATCATCCCCCTCTCCCCCACGGAACAATGTTGGTTTACTATCAACAGGTTAGGATTTTAGGAAGCACTTTCTTTTGCGCTTCCTTTATGATATTTCTCTAAATCATCAACATTGTTTTAGGGGGAATGGGGCGGAAGTAGCAATTTTTTTCATGAAAGGAATGAAAGATCAGGCATTGTAGGTCTAGTGGCCTACTGTCGCGACATTTTTCATTAACGGCTCTGTTATTTTGATGGATCCACTTTCAGCAAAAGCAGCATTAAATGTGGTAAGGTCCGACAAGGAAGAACATTTTTGAAATTAGGATTTCTAGAATGGCTAAAAAGTTAACAAATTACTAAACCGCTCAGAAAAAATTGATTCAGCTTTTCATGCAGCTCCAACACCAAATGTTTTGTGGTTATGATCGCTGGTATATTCCATTCTGTTGCTGAAACGATAAAAAACAATGGAAAATCAAGGAGAAAACAAGACCAATCTCAAATATACAAACTGTCCTTCAGTTTGTTTGAAGACTTCACGGTCAACTTGAAATCACGGTCAATAAATGGCAACATGACTATGGTGACAATGCGCTATCTGCTGCGCCTTCTGTATGGGTCAATTTGTCTTTTTTTCTTTCTCTCTTCACAATATGAAGGCATCAAAGGTAGTTCAAATTTCAAAATTCGAGCTGCATTAAATTTCAAGGCTCCCATTTCTTATTCTGAATCTTCATACATTATAATTATTTTTCATTAGAGCTCGCCTAAAAAGACGTGGCAAGCCATTCACAGCTCAACTGGCAAAAGCAATCAAGAAGGTCTTCAGAAGTATCATTGCATTTATTCGTTTCGCAATACCCTATCTTAAGTAATCACGTCAGACGGCGCCAGTAAACAAAGTTTCAGTTTTACAACTCGCAAAGTTGTAAGGGTATACTGCGATACCTAACAGTGGCTTAGGTATAAGAACCTAAGTCTGAAAATAGCTTTTTGTGATTTTTTAAAGTTAGAGCTGCATCTTATTCTGTTCAGCACGTCAAATTAACCAGGAAACAAAGTTTCAGTTTTGCACTTGCAAAGCTTTTGGGGGCGTTTTCAAAACTTGGTATGCATTTTGTCTTATTCAACATATCAAATTGGGTACTTGTACCAAACGTCATGCCTGTATCGTAAAATGTACAACAAAGCTATGCGACTGTACTATCATTGAACTTCAAAGAGGTAAGCTTTCAAACAAAACGAAATATTTCAGCAGTCATAACTTTTTGCTTATCGGTCAGATCACATTAATGTTTGAGTATCTTTACTAAGTTTTGCAAGCTTTTTCTGATAAAATAATCAGATTTGAAAAAATCAAAGGTTAAAGTTTTGCAAACCGTGCATTTTGCACGCTTTCTGAAGCATTTCTTCCGGTCATTTGGTCATGGCTTAAAATGGTCAGTGACCTTTACAGTTATGATTCAAACTTTAAAAATTTAGGTTAGGCAGTTTGCTAGATGGTTATGCAAAATTCCCTGTCTATTATTTATGGCTCTAAACAAAAAGAAACAAAAAGAAACAAAAAGAAACAAAAAGAAACAAAAAGAAACAAAAAGAAACAAAAAGAAACAAAAAGAAACAAAATGAAACAAAAAGAAACAAAAAGAAACAAAAAGAAACAAAAAGAAACAAAAAGAAACAAAAAGAAACAAAAAGAAACAAAAAGAAACAAAAAGAAACAAAAAGAAACAAAAAGAAACAAAAAGAAACAAAAAGAAACAAAAGTAATGAAAGTGGAAAGAAGAAACAAAAAGAAATGAAAATACGAAGATTAAAAAAGAAACAGAAGGAAACAAAAGAAATGAAAAATAAGCAACAAAAAGAAACAAAAAGAAACAAACGTGATAAAAAGAGGAAAAAGAGACAAACAGAAATAAAAATAAAAAGAATTTGAAAGAAACAGAAGAAAAAGAAGAAACAAAAAGAACAAGGAGAAACAAACGTGATAAAAAGAGGAAAAAGAGACAAACAGTAATAAAAATAAATAGAATTAAAAAAAACAGAAGGAAACAAAAGGAAACAAACACAAGACACAGTAGCAGGAGGAAAGGTGTTGCCAGTAGACCCTCTTTTGCACAGAAATATTGTGTGGTCAAATTTTATACCTTGCTTGTTCCAAATGGCCTTGATATTCTTTGTGAACAGATGAATAATTTTCACAGCCTTATTGTCATAAACACCATAGAACAATTTTGATAAAGCCACCAGGTATTTGCTTTAACAGAGTGTAAAAAGCAATACCATGCAGCAGAACCATAATTGATCGATCTTTATTTGCACAGCAAAAAAATAAGCACGTCTTTAAAAACAATCAAATTTCAACTATTTTTCAAATTTCTTTTCTATTTTCCGTTGGTGATAACTCTATGGACAGCAAAGTGGTTTTAGGAGAAAGGTACTTGCATAGGAAGTCTTGTCGTCATGGCACATTAAAAAAAATTTTTATTTGCATTTTATGACTTAATGTCTATTTTGGCTTTTTCTCCTTCCACTAGCACATGCATTTTTTTAACGTTATTTGCGTATCTATTATTTTTCTCTAACCGGTGTTCCTTTGTGTTACATATAATTTGCAGCCCCGTGTGAGCTGCCCTGAATTGAAAGACAAGTAAAAAGAATGATAACACCAACACCAACCAGGGATTAAATTCCCTAAATCTTTGTTATGTCCTCTTATTTGGTAAAACGGACTGGCGATTCTCAAGGCTAAACTAAAGCAAGACAAAGAGATACTTAAGCATGTTAATATCAAGTTGAAAAATGTGCTTGTTTTCTTGCAAAGAACCTTTCCGAACCATTTAGCAAGAATGTGGTCAGCACTTCCAGATACCACTAAATGATTGATATCTGTGTTCATCTTCCTCGTCCATGATCAATTTTCACGTGCAATGATTCCCACTGCACGACCTCTTTGTGTTAATTCCAGAACGCTAAAAGAACAGTTGTGATCAATCGATGCGTAGTGTCTCAAAGTTGGACTGTCAGACAAAAGTAAGTCTATTTCCCTAAACGAATAAAATTAAGGCAGTTTGGTTACATCAATTTTCATCTAAAAGCTAAGATTTTTGAGGTTGCTGAGGCTGTTTTTTGGCCAAGCAAAAAGCAAAGGAATGATGCTCCCACCTTTGGGTACTTCTTTGCAAATTGTTTCTATTCTAATTCATCCTCTTTCAGTCCACTTTCTAATCAAGAATGCTAAATTGGATCAAACCATAAAGTTCCAATGCATGAAGCAGATTTTTCGAGAAAAAATTTTTTTTCTCTTGGCTCGGATACTTCATAGAAGTGAAACGTGCTTGTTCAAAGGATACTATAGATTACAAATGCAGTATTACAAAGGATTACAAATGCTAAAAAAAGATCTTAAAAGCAAAGAAGAAATTGAACAAACACACAGCATGATTTATAATGGATGACACTACACCAGAATTCTATTTTTTTTGCTTTAGAAACAAAAGTAATCTAATTTTACATATTACAATACACTTAAACAGGTCAATACCTTTTTTCGCATTTTTCGAAACAAAAGGTTAAGAAAAAGTGTGATGGAAGAATAACATTAAACAATACATGAAATAATTTCAAATGAATAATTCTTCTAGCAGAAAGACCTAGCAAATTGATACCCTTATGGAAATTAAAGAAGTTGCAAACGAGTAATGTATGCCTTAGTTGCATTTGAGCAGCTTCTAAGAAAATCAATTCGTTCTAAAGGAAATACTAAACTATAGATGTGACGGTTTTCTATTTTCATTAGTACCTATCACTTAATATATTTCTCATATTTACATACTATTATTCCAACAGCTCCATGGCCTTTAGCTGCAACAGCTCCATCTCCTGGCTGAAATTTGATTGAAAGCTCCTGTTTTAGGATCGGACATTTAAACAAATTGTTGATTTTAAATTCAATCATTTTCTTCATCCGTGTCATCTTTCTTTTCCGTGTAAAACTTGCTGGCAATTCTCAAAGTTAAGCTTACAAAAATACACCCAGCCATAAAGCCTGCAAGCAAGACGAACAGAACCTTTAGTCTCATGATATCAAGGCTAAAGAAAGTGTTTGTTCTTTTGCAAGGAACTTTTCCCAGCCATTTGGCATGAAGGTAGTCAGCATTTCCGGATGCAACTATATGATTGATAGCTGTGTTGATCCTTCTCCTCCATGACCAGTTTTTTCGTGCAACAATTCCCATCGCACGATCTCGTTCTTTCAGGTCCATGACTCTCAAAGAGCAGCTGCGATCAATCGATGCATAGTATCTCAAAGTTGGGCCTTCAGACATAAGTAAGTCAATTTCCCTAATCAGATAAAAAACAAGACATAGTAAAACAAGACATTTAAAAGACGAAATATTCGAGACTACTTTTTCCACACAAATGCAAAAACTGTATGCCAAAGATTGAATTTTGCGTGACAAAGATAAAACGAAGGAAGGATGCTTCCCACTTTGCTTCAGGTTTCTAATAAGCGTAAAAAAGTTTTTCTATAAAGCAGCTAAATGTTCTTACCTTTTCTTTAATTTCAGCACACATTCATCGAAACTTATGCAGTGCGTCAGTCTTCCATAAAGGTTTCTAACTCTGGTATCCGAATGAGTCTTGATCAATCCATCAACAAATGTACTGACATGGGTCCCAATTTTCATTGTACTTTCTTTTCCGATTATCTGCAAAATGCCAAATAAATTGCTATGCTATTCAAACTACATTGAAAAACAAATTTTCTAATTTCCATGTTAATTTACTTTCCTAATTAAAAATTTCCAAAAAAATAATGCTGAAAACTTTCAAATCAAAAGTTTTTTTAGTATGCTAATAAAAATATTGTAAGGATGAAGTAAAGGCCAGACAATAGATTGGAAGTAAATATATTGACGAATTTATGACGGATTTGTGATCAAATAAGTGACATATAATTTGATGGCATGTCTTTTTCTTCATGTTGTACCAAATTACAGCTTAATGATTTCATGTTTCAAAAAAAGAGCAGTTATGATAAGAAAAAGTTCGAAAGTACATTTTGGTATATTAACCACCTGCTTGATATTAATTCAATACTTTAATTACCCTTGAAAATACGATAAAAACCCATATAAAATATATTTTTGACATGATAAATATCATTTCCCATTTCCAAGATAAATTCATTAACAACACAGATGTATATCTATTTGAAGATACCTTTGGGTCAAACAATCCTGACACTGGAGGTCTTTCATCCAATACTACCAGGTAGGTGATAAGGTTTCCAGAATATGCCGATAGAATAACAACGGACACCCACGAGAAAGCAAGTACCATTGTCCGGCTTCCAGATGATTTTGGTTTCTTTTCAATTATTTCGCCTGTAAATAAGGTGCCCCATACGTACGTTGTACTGTCAAACGCTCCAAAGTCTTCCATGTCGACAAAAGATCGTTGTCTAATTTGAAATCCACTGTAAGGACTGACACGTTCAATTACAAAAACGAACACAACTAGCCCTACAATCATCCCAATTATTCCAATATATAGGTTTTTACTGAAAGGACCAAAAATACTCGATTCATCAAAACTGTTTCCCTGTATGTAGGCTATGGAAATTGGAGCAATAAGATGGGGGTTCGAGAACCAAAGTGCTGTGGATCTCCCTTTGTTCTCGGTTAGATCTAGGCCAATGTCGGCTTTGTTTTCAAGCACTTCTCTAACAATTCCATCACTTTCACCTGTTTCTATGTCATAAGATCCAAATTTTCCGTCTCTTGAGGTGGAAATTACAGCCTCAAAAAGGAGCTTTGTTTTCAAAAGATTTAGTAAATCGATAACATAGCCATAAGCACATATCTTCACAGTGTCTGTTCCATTGACAAACTTCTCTCCCAACATGCCGGAACGACCACATGCTTCTCGGTCGGTGTGAGTTTTATTCACCTCTTCCACAATCACCCAAGGTGCGGCAGTGTGCGAGATTGCCACTCGAACCACCGGCGGCAAATCTTCACCTTTGCTTGTAGAGTGAGAATGCTTTTCAGGCTGCATTGTTAGGGAATTCACAGTGAACCATGATTGAATGTGGGTGTTAAGTTCTTTGATAGATGATTTCCTTGCAAAAGGATATTTTCAATGATTAATAATGCTTCAAAGAGGTAACATATTGAGCACAAGACCAGGGAAGCAATGCAGAATATTATCACCAATCGAGAGACTTGCAGGACCAACTCTGTTTGGACATTTTCGATACGCTGATTACAAAAAACCTATGTTGTTCAGGAAAATTCGGTACAAGGTAGTCTCTATAGCAGGGATGGGCAATCTACGGTCTACGGGCCAGAATCCGGCTAAGGAAAATGATTTTTATGGCCTGGGAAATGATTTTTATGGCCTGGGAAATGATTTTTATGACCTGGGAAATGATTTTTATGGCCTGGGAAATGATTTTTATGGCCTGGGAAATGATGAAAGCATGTTATAAATGTTAGCAAGAATGATTATCAGAGCAGTTGCAAGTATTGAAAAAAGAAAAAAAAATTCAAAATGAGATAATCTGAGAATCATTGAAAGATTTTTTCACTATCCGTTGTCGCAGATTCATTCTGCAGGACTGGAGTCTTTGAGGAATCGGGCAAAAATTTTAAAAATGCAGAAAGATGAGTTTTTCCCTGTTCCACTGTTAGAAGACAATGAGGATCACGTTTGTAACTAATTTTTATCATGTCTCAGTCACGCTGAGGCCAACATTGTTTAAACTGGAGTTTACAAACATCAAAATCAATGACCTGAGCTAAAAGGTCAAAGCTAGACGTTGGTTGTTGGAAAATTTGTATTTGCTTCCTAGGATGATTTTTCCAAACCCTGAATGACATCATTTTGACTTTGGTTGCTTTTTCAGTTTTTCCCTTTGCATTCAGGATTGTGATTGCATCAGTTTTTCTAAACCCAGGCTAGCCAGTTGCAAACTATTCATGTTATAGAGAGGCTTGTAATTTAATTGTTATGAATTGAAAAGTTTCATTATAACTATTATCATTATTGCAAAACAATCGTATTCATTCTTCCCATTAATATTTGAAGGATCTGGCCCACTCTTCAAAATGGTTGCCCACCCATAATATAGACTGTAACTTTAACAAATAAAGCTACCATTAATTGGTCTCAAATTTTGTCTTCAAAGCATAAATTGAATGTTTGCTAAGATGTTTGCAAAGCATTTATTAAAGTGAAATCGATTAGAAGATGTCTGGAAAGCCTATTTGTGCTGCAGCACTTTTTAGTACAGTCTTTCTAGTAAACCACATTCATTGATAATCTCAACTGGCCACAGCCAATCTATTTTCTATAATTATATCTAAAGTTTAAGACGTATCCGCTAATAAAATTTGTCTTGCTCTAAGTGTCATTTCTTCTTGCCAACCATGGTCTACGCAAAATATTCCTAATGCATTACTTCACTTACATTCCTGTAGTGCCATCGCGACTCCAATTTAGACTGGCCAAGTTTCGTCGCTGGATCTTCTCTATGATGTAGTCTGAAGATACGGAAGCAGGGACATAGTCTATATATCGATATGTGTGTGGAAGCAAGTTGCATTTACTGCCGATTTGTCCAGTAGATCGTTTGGTCATCATCCAGTACAATTCCTCACGATAGCCTGTCACGCCCAAGTGTTTTACCATGTTAACGATTTTGACTGTTTTCTTGTCATCAACATCAACAATAAGCACATTACTTTTGTGAATATTTAAGGCAAATATGGTTCTCTTAGTAACATTCTTTATCAATTGCATGCTTGTTATATTTAGACCATTCTCTGTGCATTTCTCAACAATACGGGTAAGGGAAGCACGTCCAAATTGCGAGTCATCCACTACGATGGATATTCCTTTAGATGGGAGAGGAATTAGATTGACCAACTTGACCAGGTCGTTAACTTCAGATAACTGGTTTACAGTCTGAAATGAGCAATAGAATTGGGTATGGAAATTCAAGAGCAACCTATCAATTGTATGCAGATAGCTTTATATAAAAGCATAGTAAGATGAATGCTCGATGTCTATACAATTCAATTTAAATAAGTAATACAAGCGGAGAACATCTGTCGGGACATGTTTTCCCCAGGGGGGATACAGGGTGTCGCACCGGTCCTACGGAAGACCGTCAGATTTGCAGTTTTTGTCTTTAGTCCTTAAAACTAGACTATCAAATTTATCATAATCTTTTACAAACTTGTTACCCAATAAACTTGTTACAATTATGGAAACAACATCTCTATGGGGAAAACAGTAGTGCCTGCACATGGTGAAAACATACAGGAACTTTGTTCTATTTAACGAATAAACAACCACCCTACGTCACAGGGGTCACGTGACCAAAGGTCCGACCGCATTTCATTTAGAAAACCCCAATTTTTGAAAAAATGTAAGTTGCAAATGAAATATCCAAGTTCCCCATTGTTTTCAGCGATGTTTCTTTGAAGATTTAAGCCAATAAAAATTTCCGTGTCATATGCACTTTAAGGCAACTGTCAATGACTGAAAACGGTCGCCGGACTAGTCCATTAAGACAAGCCTCAAGATGAATTTTAATTTTTGTAAGGTTTACAAAGCAATGAGATATTCGTAAAGTGTTTTAGGAAAAAAGCTTTTTGGTAAGCCAAAGTCAATAGATAATAAGTTTTCTCTTGCTGACAGGCGTCCAAAGTATGTTTGTTTGAGTGGGTTCTCTGGTAATATTGGAGTATTTAAAATTAATTGGGAATGGTCAATTTTCAGTTAAAGCAAAGATCCCACAAGGAAAATAATCATCAACAAAACAAAAGGAGACTTATCTGTTGTAAAATTTGCCCTAGTAAAAAGTAGCTGAAGTCTCAAGTCATTTCGGTTTTACTAATGTTGTGCTCGAAGAAATAAATAAAAAAACATGTTACCCGGTCAAGGCCACTAAAAGCCTTCTCGGTATGAATTCTTCCATTGCCTTTTGCATGATTCGAAATTTCTCTGAAGATCTCGTTTTTGACATTGCTTAAGTCATTAAGGACATATCCGCCGCTTATTCCATGTCCGTTCAATTCTTTAGCAATGTCATTTCCCCGGTCCACAAATTGGCTTAAACTCAAGTTGGGTGCAAAGTATGAAGAGGCATTGGTAGTACTGATATTAAGCTTAACCAATGCTTTTTTGAAAACCCTCTCATTTGCAGCAACTTCAAAGATACCGTAAATTCTCGCTTCTGTTCTTTGGAATACGAATGCAAATGTGAAGATCTTTATAACTGCAAGCAGCTTCATTGTCAAACACTTTGCCATTGATCAAGAATATATATACTGCTAGTAGCTTGGAAGATTTTTGGTACTTCAATTGGTGCTCGTTTATTATTCCAAAATAAATCTTGCTTCTTTGAGATTCTTCTTTCAAAGAAGAATGATGGAATGCTTGATTAACACAGATACCTCTTTGTGTAATACATCAATGAAACGGCAAAATTAACTACTCAGCGTCCAACACAACAGCCGATGGAGATGTACGCCAGGAAAATCATTTCGTTGCGAAATCCCAAGAATGAACATTATAAACACACTGGGAATGTATAAAACTGATCACTTATAATAAACATTTGATGTCTTAATACGTGCACCTGGTCAATTTACAGGTGCCATGATACCTCAACTTAGGTGTCCCTGCTCTGTTATAGTCAGTCACACAATGAGGTCCAGCTCGGAAATGCCCACCAACTGAAAAATCTTTTCTGTTTTGGTGTCTTCAATGTATTTAGAATATCACAACATTCACTGATTTTTGAAAACTGGTGCGGTTTGTTCAAAATTTGAATCAAAGATTTGGGCCTAAATTTTCCATATGGTCAAAAATCAAAGACATCAAAATCTTAAACCAATGATAACAATTGATAGCTTTCATCACAACAAACAAAAAATGTAAAGACACTAGTATGATAAAATCAACTCCTGACTAAAAATTTGGCTTTAAACTTCTAAGCTAGCCAGGGGGTAAAACACTATGATACGTGACATTATTCTCCGTATTGCTGAATACTAAGTTCAAGTGTCGAAATCGAAACTCAAGAAATGTTTCTTATAATCCAAAACAAGAAGTAATGTTTTATCTTTTTAGAGGTTGTAAAAATCCCAAAATCGTTTAAAAGCAAAGCTGTATCTAGATTTTACTAATTACCCCCTGGAAAAGTAGAATCAACCGATTTCTTACTCTTCAAGTGTCGCAAATCAATCAAGGAATCGATTGAATACCCAAAATACATAAAAATAGAAATAAGAATTGAGAGTCTGTTCGATTCTAGGTGTTTTTTATATTTCGACATCATTTTCAGACAATAAACTCTCAAAAGTATTCTGATACCACGCAGTGACCGGTAAAAAGTTATGATATGTGACATTTTTATTTTATTTTTGTAAACAGAGTATAAAATAAAAAGAAAACAAACTGTTTATATACTGCTTGATTTCATTCGATCTACTTACTAACTTATTAAGGTATTTTTTTATTATTTGTATATTTTTAATCAATTCAGTAGATAACTTTCTATATCATTTTTTCTATCTATATATTTCTATTTCTTTGCAATGTCTGCTTTTTAGATCTGTCAAAATGGCCTACTGAAAAAGCTCGAGACAAAGAAGATGCAAATTTATTTTCAGCGAGCTAAATTCTCCCAACCAATCCAGGGTGCATTTTATGTCAACTGTACGCCGAAGATCCACCGGGGCATCTGTTAAGGTTCGCCGAATATATGAGCAGTTAGTAAAACTGCAGATATTGTACGCTGGGCCAACAACATCAGTGATAGATAGGGGGCGGACATCGTTATATTTCCGACAGCATATATATTCAATGGTAGAATAATACGCGTGCTTATCTAACTGTCAGTTCCCATTTGCTAGGTATAGGTACAATGCCTGCCAAAAGTCTTGGAACACTGACATCAATTTCCAAGGTCAAAACCAATCATCCCCCTCTCCCCCATGGAACAATGTTGGTTTACTATCAACAGGTTAGGATTTTAGGAAGCACTTTCTTTTGCGCTTCTTTTATGATATTTCTCTAAATCATCAACATTGTTTTAGGGGGAATGGGGCGGAAGTAGCAATTTTTTTCATGAAAGGAATGAAAGATCAGGCATTGTAGGTCTAGTGGCCTACTGTCGCGACATTTTTCATTAACGGCTCTGTTATTTTGATGGATCCACTTTCAGCAAAAGCAGCATTAAATGTGGTAAGGTCCGACAAGGAAGAACATTTTTGAAATTAGGATTTCTAGAATGGCTAAAAACTTAACAAATTACTAAACCGCTCAGAAAAAATTGATTCAGCTTTTCATGCAGCTCCAACACCAAATGTTTTGTGGTTATGATCGCTGGTATATTCCATTCTGTTGCTGAAACGATAAAAAAACAATGGAAAATCAACGAGAAAACAAGACCAATCTCAAATATACAAACTGTCCTTCAGTTTGTTTGAAGACTTGCAAAGAAGCAAACAATCATTTGATCACGGTCAATAAATGGCAACATGACTATGGTGACAATGGGCTATCTGCTACGCCCTCTGTATGGGTCAATTTGTCTTTTTTTCTTTCTCTCTCCACAATATGAAGGCATCAAAGGTAGTTCAAATTTCAAAATTCGAGCTGCATTAAATTTCAAGGCTCCCATTTCTTATTCTGAATCTTTATACATTATAATTATTTTTCACCTAAAAAGACATGGCAAGCCATTCACAGCTCAACTGGCAAAAGCAATCAAGAAGGTCTTCAGAAGTATCATTGCATTTATTCGTTTCGCAATACCCTATCTTAAGTAATCACGTCAGACGGCGCCAGTAAACAAAGTTTCAGTTTTACAACTCGCAAAGTTGTAAGGGTATACTGCGATACCTAACAGTGGCTTAGGTATAAGAACCTAAGTCTGAAAATAGCTTTTTGTGATTTTTTAAAGTTAGAGCTGCATCTTATTCTGTTCAGCACATCAAATTAACCAGGAAACAAAGTTTCAGTTTTGCACTTGCAAAGCTTTTGGGGGCGTTTTCAAAACTTGGTATGCATTTTGTCTTATTCAACATATCAAATTGGGTACTTGTACCAAACGTCATGCCTGTATCGTAAAATGTACAACATAGCTATGCGACTGTACTATCATTGAACTTCAAAGAGGTAAGTTTCAAACAAAACGAAATATTTCAGCAGTCATAACTTTTTGCTTATCGGTCAGATCACATTAATGTTTGAGTATCTTTACTAAGTTTTGCAAGCTTTTCCTGATAAAATAATCAGATTTGATAAAAGCAAAGGTTAAAGTTTTGCAAACCGTGCATTTTTCACGCTTTCTAAAGCATTTCTTCCGGTCATTTGGTCATGGCTTAAAATGGTCAGTGACCTTTACACTTATGATTCAAACTTTAACAATTTAGGTTAGGCAGTTTGCTAGATGGTTATGCAAAATTCCCTGTCTATTATTTATGGCTCTAAACAAAAAGAAACAAAAAGAAACAAAAAGAAACAAAAAGAAACAAAAAGAAACAAAAAGAAACAAAAAGAAACAAAAAGAAACAAAAAGAAACAAAAAGAAACAAAAAGAAACAAAAAGAAACAAAAAGAAACAAAATGAAACAAAAAGAAACAAAAAGAAACAAAAAGAAACAAAAACAAAAAGAAACAAAAAAAGAAACAAAAAGAAACAAAAAGAAACAAAAAGAAACAAAAAGAAACAAAAAGAAACAAAAAGAAACAAAAAGAAACAAAAAGAAACAAAAAGAAACAAAAATAAACAAAAAATAACAAAAAGAAACAAAAGTAATGAAAGAGGAAAGAAGAAACAAAAAGAAATGAAAATACGAAGATTAAAAAAGAAACAGAAGGAAACAAAAGAAATGAAAAAAAGCAACAAAAAGAAACAAACGTGATAAAAAGAGGAAAAAGAGACAAACAGAAATAAAAATAAAAAGAATTTGAAAGAAACAGAAGAAGAAATAGAAACAAAAAGAAACAAAAAGAACAAGGAGAAACAAACGTGATAAAAAGAGGAAAAAGAGACAAACAGTAATAAAAATAAATAGAATTGAAAAAAAACAGAAGGAAACAAAAGGAAACAAACACAAGACACAGTAGCAGGAGGAAAGGTGTTGTCAGAAGACCCTCTTTTGCACAAAAATATTGTGTGGTCAAATTTTATACCTTGCTTGTTCCAAATGGCCTTGATATTCTTTGTGAACAGATGAATAATTTTCACAGCCTTATTGTCATAAACACCATAAAACAATTTTGATAAAGCCACCAGGAATTTGCTTTAACAGAGTGTAAAAAGCAATGCCATTCAACAGAACCATAATTGATCGATCTTTGTTTGCACAGCAAAAAAATAAGCACGTCTTTAAAAACAATCAAATTTCAACTATTTTTCAAATTTCTTTTCTATTTTCCGTTGGTGATAACTCTATGGACAGCAAAGTGGTTTTAGGAGAAAGGTACTTGCATAGGAAGTCTTGTCGTCATGGCACATTAAAAAAATTTTTTATTTGCATTTTATGACTTAATGTCTATTTTGGCTTTTTCTCCTTCCACTAGCACATGCATTTTTAACGTTATTTGCGTATCTATTATTTTTCTCTAACCGGTGTTCCTTTGTGTTACATATAATTTGCAGCCCCGTGTGAGCTGCCCTGAATTGAAAGACAAGTAAAAAGAATGATAACACTAACACCAACCAGGGATTAAATTCCCTAAATCTTTGTTATGTCCTCTTATTTGGTAAAATGGACTGGCGATTCTCAAAGCTAAACTAAAGCAAGACAAAGAGATACTGAAGCAGGTTAATATCAAGTTGAAAAATGTGCTTGTTTTCTTGCAAAGAACCTTTTCGAACCATTTAGCAAGAATGTGGTCAGCACTTCCAGATACCACTAAATGATTGATATCTGTGTTCACCTTCCTCGTCCATGATCAATTTTCGCGTGCAATGATTCCCACCGCACGACCTCTTTGTGTTAATTCCAGAACGCTAAAAGAACAGTTGTGATCAATCGATGCGTATTGTCTCAAAGTTGGACTGTCAGACAAAAGTAAGTCTATTTCCCTAAACGGATAAAATTAAGGCAGTTTGGTTACATCAATTTTCATCTAAAAGCTAAGATTTTTGAGGTTGCTGAGGCTGTTTTTTGGCCAAGCAAAAAGCAAAGGAATGATGCTCCCACCTTTGGGTACTTCTTTGCAAATTGTTTCTATTCTAATTCATCCTCTTTCAGTCCACTTTCTAATCAAGAATGCTAAATTGGATCAAACCATAAAGTTCCAATGCATGAAGCAGATTTTTCGAGAAAAATTTTTTTTTCTCTTGGCTCGGATACTTCATAGAAGTGAAACGTGCTTGTTCAAAGGATACTATAGATTACAAATGCAGTATTACAAAGGATTACAAATGCAAAATGAATATCTTAAAAAGCAAAGAAGAAATTGAACAAACACACAGCATGATTTATAATGGATGACACTTCACCAGAATTCTAGTTTTTTTTGTTTTAGAAACAAAAGTAATCTAATTTTACATATTACAATACACTTAAACAGGTCAATACCTTTTCTTCGCATTTTTCGAAACAAAAGGTTAAGAAAAAGTGTGATGGAAGAATAACATTAAACAATACATGAAATAATTTCAAATAAATAATTCTTCTAGCAGAAAGACCTAGCAAATTGATACCCTTATGGGAATTAAAGAAGTTGCAAATGAGTAATGTATACCTTAGTTGCATTTGAGCAGCTTCTAAGAAAATCAATTCGTTCTAAAGGAAATACTAAACTATAAATGTGACGGTTTTCTATTTTCATTAGTACCTATCACTTAATATATTTCTCATATTTACATACTATTATTCCAACAGCTCCATGGCCTTTAGGATAAGAAATTGGTTGCGTGGCAAGCATTTGTTTATATAAAGAGGAGGACAAAAGCCAATTGTTGTAAACAAAGATGAGTCACTGGGGCTGCAGGGGCAATTCCCCCCCCCCCTAGTTAGGATGCTAATAAAGGCCCTGAATGGCTCTTTTTGAAGAAGGAAGGGGGCTAGAAAATTGTCAGGAGGCATTGTTTAGTCCTTCGGAGTTTTTAAATTTAGGAACATATGCAACCATATTTTCCTATATGGAGATATCAATAGACAGATCTTATATTTGATCCATATATGCACGATTTGCACCAATTGCAAGGAAAGAAGAAGAACAGCTGCTACTGATCCGTAAAAGAATTTTGATGCAATTATCAATTTTCCAAACCTCCCAAAAATCTCCTGGCTGAAATTTGATTGAAAGCTCCTGTTTTAGGATCGGACATTTGAACAAATTGTTGATTTTAAATTCAATCATTTTCTTCATCTGTGTCATTTTTCTTCTTCGTGTAAAACTTGCTGACAATTCTCAAAGTTAAGCTTACAAAAATACACCCAGCCATAAAGCCTGCAAGCAAGACGAACAGAACCTTTAGTCTCATGATATCAAGGCTAAAGAAAGTGTTTGTTCTTTTGCAAGGAAGTTTTCCCAGCCATTTGGCATGAAGGTAGTCAGCATTTCCGGATGCAACTATATGATTGATAGCTGTGTTGATCCTTCTTCTCCATGACCAGTTTTTGCGTGCAACAATTCCCATCGCACGATCTCGTTCTTTCAGGTCCATGACTCTCAAAGAGCAGCTGCGATCAATCGATGCATAGTATCTCAAAGTTGGGCCTTCAGACATAAGTAAGTCAATTTCCCTAATCAGATAAAAAACAAGACATAGTGAAACAAGACATTTAAAAGACGAAGTATTCGAGTCTACTTTTTCCACACAAATGCAAAAATTGTGTGCCAAAGATTGAATTTTGCGTGACAAAGATAAAACGAAGGAAGGATGCTTCCCACTTTGCATCAGGTTTCTAATAAGCGTAAAAAAGTTTTTCTATAAAGCAGCTAAATGTTCTTACCTTTTCTTTAATTTCAGCACACATTCATCGAGACTTATGCAGTGCGTCAGTCTTCCATAAAGGTTTCTAACTCTGGTATCCGAATGAGTCTTGATCAATCCATCAACAAATGTACCGACATGGGTCCCAATTTTCATTGTACTTTCTTTTCCGATTATCTGCAAAATGCCAAATAAATTGCTATGCTATTCAAACTACATTGAAATACAAAATATCTAATTTCTATGTTAATTTACTTTTCTAATTAAAAATTTTCAAAAAAAATAATGCTGAAAACTTTCAAATCAAAAGTTTTTTTAGTATGCTAATTAAAATATTGTAAGGATGAAGTAAAGGCCAGACAATAGATTGGAAGTAATTATATTGACGAATTTATGACGGATTTGTGATCAAATAAGTGACATATAATTTGATGGCATGTTTTTTTTTCATGTTGTACCAAATTACAGCTTAATGATTTCATGATTCAAAAAATGAGCAGTTATGATAAGAAAAAGTTCGGAAGTACATTTTGGTATATTAACCACCTGCTTGATATTAATTCAATACTTTAATTACCCTTGAAAATACGATAAAAACCCATATAAAATATATTTTTGACATGATAAATATCATTTCCCATTTCCAAGATAAATTCATTAACAACACAAATGTGTATCTATTTGAAGATACCTTTGGGTCAAACAATCCTGACACTGGAGGCCTTTCATCCAGTACTACCAAGTAGGTGATGAGGTTTCCAGAATATGCCGATAGAATAACAACGGACACCCACGAGAAAGCAAGTACCATTGTCCGGCTTCCAGATGATTTTGGTTTCTTTTCAATTATTTCGCCTGTAAATAAGGTGCCCCATACGTACGTTGTACTGTCAAACGCTCCAAAGTCTTCCATGTCGACGAAAGATCGTTGTCTAATTTGAAATCCACTGTAAGGACTGACACGTTCAATTACAAAAACGAACACAACTAGCCCTACAATCATCCCAATTATTCCGATATATAGGTTTCTACTGAAAGGACCAAAAATACTCGATTCATCAAAACTGTTTCCCTGTATGTAGGCTATGGAAATTGGAGAAATGAGATGAGGGTTCGAGAACCAAAGTGCTGTGGATCTCTCTTTGTTCTCAGTTAGATCTATGCCAATGTCGGCTTTGTTTTCAAGCACTTCTCTAACAATTCCATCACTTTCACCTGTTTCTAAGTCATAAGATCCATATTTTCCGTCTCTTGAGGTGCAAATTACAGCCTCAAAAAGGAGCCTTGTTTTCAAAAGATTTAGTAAATCGATAGTATAGCCATAAGCACATATCTTCACAGTGTCTGTTCCATTGATATACTCTCTCCCAACATGCCAGTACGACCACATGCTTCTCGGTCGGTGTGAGTTTTACTCACCTCTTCCACAATCACCCAGGGTGCGGTAGTGTGCCCGATTGCCACTCGAACCACTGGCTGCAAATCTTCACCTTTGCTTGTAGAGTGAGAATGCTTTTCAGGCTGCATTGTTAGGGTATTCACAGTGAACCACGATCGAGTGTGGGTATTAAGTTCTTTGATAGATGATTTTCTTGCAAAAGGAGATTTTCAAAAGGTTAATAATGCTTCAAAGATGTAACATATCGACCACGTGGCCAGGCGAGAATTGGGGACTATCATCACCAACGCAAGACCAACTCTATTTGGTTAATTCCGATACGCTGATTACAAAAACCCGTTGGTGTACAGGAAAATTTTCCTATAGCAGGTATGGGCAACCTTCTGCCTATGGACCAGAATCCGGCCCAGAAAAATGATTTTTATGGCTCGGGAGATGACGAAAGCAAATAATAAATGTTTGCAGTTGGTGATGGATGATGATGATTTTCCGAGCTGCTGTATATATTGAAAAAAGGAAATCAATTGAAAATGAGATTATTTTTGTCAAACTTGAGAATCATAGAAAGATTTGTTTACTATCCGTTGTCGCAAATTCATCCTGCAAGATGACAGGACAGCAGAATCTTTGAGGGATCGGGCGAAAGTTACCAAATGCAGAAAGATGAATTTTGCCAGTTCCACTGTTAGAAGTCAATAGGAATTACGTTTGTTCCTTTTATATCATGTCTCAGTCACGACAAGGCCTATATTAAAGTGAATAACCCGAGTTAAAAGGTCAAAGCTAAACGTTCTTTGTTGGAGAATTTTGTATTTGCTTTCTAGGATGATTTTTCCAAACCCTGAATGACATCATTTTTAACTTTGGTTGTTTTTTCAGTTTTTAGCATTTAGGATTTTAATAGTCTTGCTTTCAAAACCCAGGCTAGCCCGTTGCAAACTATCCATGTAATAGAGAGGCTTGCAATCATGGTGTTATGAATTGAAAAGTTTTCATTTTTTACATTACCATTGTTACAAGACAATCGTATTCGTTTTTCCAATTCGCTTTCTCTACAAAGATTTGAAAGATCTGGCCGACTATTCAAAATGGTTGCCCACCCCTAATATAGATTGCAACTTTGATAAGTAAAGGTACCATTAAGTGGTCTCAAATTTTGTATGCAAATAATAAATTGTACGTTTGCTAAAGTGTTTGCAAATTATTTATGAAAGTAAAATCGTTTTGAAGTGGTTTGGAGAGCCTATCTGTGCTGCAGCAAGTTATGTTAGCAGTGCACTTTTATTTATTTTAACCAATATATCTAAGGATTTGTCTTGTCTTAAGTGTTATTTCCTCTTGCCAACCAGGGTTTATGCAAAAATCTCCTAATGAATTCTTGCACTTACATTCCTGTAATGCCATTGCGATTCCGATTTAGACTAGCCAAGTTTCGTCGCTGAATCTTCTCTATGATGTAGGCGGAAGACATGGAAACAGGGACGTTATCTATATATCGATATGTGTGAGGAAGTAAGTTGCATTGCCTGTCGAGTTGTCCAGTAGATCGTGTGGTCATCATCCAATGCAACTCCTCGCGATACCCTGCCAGGCCCAAGTGTTTTACCATGTGAATGATTTTGACCGTTTTCTTTTCATCAGCATCAACAACAAGCACATTACTTTGGTGAATATTTAAGGCAAATATGGTCCTCTTATCCACATTGCTTATCATTTGCATGCTTGTAATATTTAGGCCATTCTCTGCGCATTTCTTAACAATGTGGGTAAGTGAGGCACGGCCCAATTGCGAGTCATCCACTACGATGGATATTCTTTTGGATGGGAGAGGAATTAGATTGACAATCTTTACCAGGTCGTCAACTTCAGACAAATGGTTTGGAATCTGGAGTAAAAAATTTCATGTTAATGTCATATTATACCAAAGTTTACTCAACATTGAAAAAACATTTTCACAGTAGAAGTCGCTGGTATTTTGCGTCTGCAACAAGGCAGTGCCTCTAGATTTCACCTGCGAATTATATTTCACATAGACGTAAACCAGTTTCTGCTAATCTTCTTCCTTATAAAAAGTAAAAAGATGTGACAGCTCTTGTATTGCCTTGCGTCAAAGAATTTATTATATTTTGGGCTATCTTTTGCATGAATGATCCTTATACATTCATTTGAAATTAATGCCTCTTTGAACATTGCATTCTTAATTAAAAGAAAACAGGTGTGATTGGAAAGCAGAAGAATTTCTGATTTTGATAACTTTTTGCCCCCAAAACAGATAGCAAACACGTTACCTTGTCTGCTATATTGAATTTATTGTCTGCATGAACAGTTTTGTAGCTTTTGTTATTATTAAGAACTTCTCTGAAGATCTCGTTTTTGACATTGCTTAAGTCATTAAAGACATATCCGCCGCTTATTCCATGTCCATTCAATTCTTTGGCAATGTCATTTCCCCGGTCCACAAATTGGCTTAAACTCAAGTTTGGTGCGAAGTATGAAGATGCATTTGTAATACTGATATTAAGCTTAACCAATGCTTCTTTGAAAACCCTCTCATGCGCAGCAACTTCAAAGATTCCGTAGATTCTTGCTTCCGTTCTTTGGAAAACAAATGCAAATGTGAAGATCTTTAAAGTTGCAAGCAGCTCCATAGTCAAACACATCACCAGTCATTAAAAAATGAAAATTGATCTGGTTCGTAGCAGAGCTGCTTCCAAACCAATTATTGTTCCTTCCACGATAGATTTTTCTTTCAAGAAAAAATGATGGAATGCTCAATAAGTAACGTTACATTATGTGGGAATATATTTCAAGCAAATGACAAAATTTACTGCCCAGCATCCAGCACAACAGCCGATGGAAGAGTACGTCCAGAAAACCTTATCGTTGCAACATCCTAAGAATGAACATTTTAAACAAGCTGGGAATGTATCAATCTGATAACTTATCATCATCATTTGATGTCTTAATACGTGCACCTGGTCAATTAACAGGTGCCCTGATACCTGGACTTAGGCGTCCCTGCTCTGTTAAGTTTCTTTGCTGAAATACAAATCAACAATGAAATGACTGCGTACTAACGTACAAAAATATTCATTAGCAGATTAAAAAATTCTAACAGTGCTTGAAATAGCAGACTCGTTCTTTACTTTTTAATTTCCGATGCTTTTGCCATGACAAGACATAAAAATGATCAATAATTATAAAGTATTCTTATGCAATGGGAAGAAAGTCTATGGTTCTCAAAACAGTGCATTCAAAAAACCATGGTTTAGTTAGACTGTTTTAGTTTTCTTATTTTATGTTGATATCATCAAAATAATAAAAGAAGGCTATTTTAAATCGGATTGCGAGGACTGAAAAATCTTACGTATAATCAACTCTAGCTTAAATAAAGAGAGTATAAGGCAGTTCCTTTCATCATTGTCGCTTGATCAACACTCAATGGCTTAGTATCAGTGATTGGAGACAAATGGTTGAAGGTAAAAATAAGGGCTAGTAGGAATTTTCATAACAAAAAACTTAAAAAGCAACAATTTTTAGAAACGTGACAAGAATCTTCTACTAGAAACACAAACATGAAGTTTAAAATATTTTAGGGCTAAAATTGCCTATACAAGGGCTCAGCACCAAATTTATGACCCTTTGAGCCATTGACACTCTAGGTTAACTTTTCGTGTTGAAATGTAAATTAAAAAAGCATTTTTATTGACCCGTAGGGATTGATGAGAGTAAAAAAGCAAATGTGACCATAACGTTTAATTTGGAAACAACTTTTTTAATATAACCAGTTCCAAACAATCTTTTTGTGGTACAAAACTTAAAAATGGCTTTGAAAAAAGCAAACATTTGCGTATCCTTTCACACTCTTCAGAGTATAAAACATCAGAACATAAATCAACAACTCTACGCAAGGAAATAGGCCAATCAGAAACGCGAGCAAATGACTGTTGAGAATGCCCAATCAGTGCCGCTTGCCTATACCCAGTTCCATTTTCATTTGGAATGTTTTGAGTTGATGAACAAGAGGCAACCTTAACTCTATTTTCTGGGTAAAACACAGCTGTCATTCAATAACCCATCTAGTAGCAGCATAGAAAGAATGCTAGACAACAGCACAGTACCAAATGAAACTACGCAATAACTACTTCTAAATTCAAGTAAACATTGTCATATTTCGAAATCCCATGAAATCTAAAGAACTAGAAAAAGAAACGAAAAAAACAAAATGAAACAAAAAGAAAGAAGGAAACAAAAGGAAACGAAATAAACGAAAAGAAATAAAGCTAATGAAAAGAAGCACAAAGAAACAGAAGGAAGCAAAAAGAAACAGAAGGAAACAAGAAGAAACCAAAGAAACAAAAAGGAAAAAATTACAAAAAGAAACAAAAGAAAAGAGGGGAAAAAGGAAAAGAGGAAAAACAAAAAGAAACAAAAAGAAATGAAAAAACAAACACAAGAAGCAGTTACCGGAGGAAAGGTGCTGTCGAAAAGACCCTCTTTTGCACAAAAAATGGGTTATCAGATTGTGTACATGGTTTGCTCCAAAGGGCTTTGACTTTCTTTGTGAACAGATGACTGCTTTTCACAGCCTTATTGTCATAAACACCATAGATTAGTTTTGATAAAACCACCAAGCATTAACATTAACAAAGTGTAAACAATCAAGGAAAAAGGCTCATTTATCTCCAAATCTTCGTTAAACATCGAACTGAACTAACATAGTCTTTTAGTGAAGTTTGCTTTATTTTTTGAAGTGCTTATTCGTGGAAAAATTGCAAAAGACAAGACAATGGTTTTGTTTTTTTTGCTGGTGTCAAAGTAGCAGTGACAGAAGAAATACCCATTATAAGCAGAACTGAATTCGAAGTGAATTCTTTTATCCAAGGACACCATGTTTATCATTGTATTTAGCAGCTCAAGATTGGAGAGGCAAACAAAACATAGGTAACAAATACGCAGTGTGTGTACAGAAAAATGAGCTAATTGTATGACATCTACCGAAAGGAAAGACAGGCAGATTTGCAAAAACGATCTTCTTTCTCAGGGCAGATGAATTTTGTTCCTGTGTGGCTGTGGTGAATGGCAATCATGTAAACTTTGGAGATAGCAAAGGAGTTTCAGACAACCTAATATCGTTCTAATTTTAAAAAATTATTGATATGTTATCACACATTGTTTTGACAATTAACAGCTGAAAATTTTTGTCACTTTTTGTTCAAGATATCGAGGCTTTTTCGCTCAAGGGTTTAAAACTTCGTTCGAGATAGCGAATTGTTCGAGATATTGCGTTTCATTACTGTACAAAGCGCTACAGGAAAACGAGGGAAATAAAAATCTGTTTGAAATAGAGAGTTTTCGAGATAACCGATTTCAAGATAGCGGGATTTGACTGTATTGGCATTAAAGCTAGAAATACTGATGAATCTCGCAGATTAATCTCGCAGGTGTTTTTTTTTAACTAGTTATTGTTTAGTAGCCATGTTCAGTAGTTTGGATACCATTCCAGAGCAACAATATTGTGACTCCTGAAGTACAAGCGTTTGCTCCTGGTAACTTTTCCGCTTGTTTAAAGGATACCATAAATTACAAGTGCAGAATTACAAAAGATTACAAATGCAAAATAAAGATTTAAAAAAAATTAAAAAGAGTATGTAACAGCATGCATTATAATGGACGGTACTTCACCAGAATTTGAATTTGAATTTGAAATTGAGGTAAATACGTCTTATTTGCACGTTTACAAACAAAAGGTCGTGAAAAATGGTATTGAAAGAATAACATTAAACGAAACATGAAATAATTTAAATGTCTAGTTTTCAATATTACAGATTACGACGTCTGTGATAAAGAGTGCACAAAAGGCATTACAGTTACAATCCCATGAAGAGTTGATGGTTGAAAACCTCGAGGAGGGGATCATCTTACAGAATATTTTTCTTCCTTTTTAAATCTGTAAGAATGCAAGGCCTTTTAACCTTTAAACGTTTTTTTAAAATGGTGTCCTGATCAGCTTCTTCTGACCTTGGAAAAAGCCATTGTCGATCAATCTAACAATGGCGGCTTTTTGTAGACAGAAGGAGTTTGTTTTCTCTCTTGGACTCTAGTGGTAAATTTTCTTTAGGCACGTGGCACTGATTGGACAACTATACCGGTCTTTAAGCCAACATGTTATAAAATGTTTACTTAAGCCATTTTCAAGTTCTTTAACGCCAAAAACTGGAAAGATACTACCGTGTGCGTACATATTTCTCGGCGCTAGCTGAATGTGGTATGTTCCACCATTCCAAAACTTTAAAAAACCGAAAATTACGTAAAATTGACTCTTAGCTATAACTTCAAACTATTGCAATAAGATACCATCTATACCCTTGCAGTTTGTCCAGGTAGGGATAAAGGCATCCTGCCTTGGTAGCATTTAAGCTGTTTTATAAGGAGATCACTTCTTTCTAAAGGAAATATTAAGCTATAAATATGACGATATCTAATTTCATCATTAGTACCTATCACTTAATCAATGTCTTGTATCTACCTACTTTTATTCCAATAGCTCCAAAGCCTTTAGGGAGAGAAATTGGTTGCAGGGCAAGCATTTGTTAATATCAAGAAGAGGACAATAGCTTATTGTTATAAACAAAGGGAAGTCACTTGGGCTGCAGGGGCATTTGCCCCCGTAGTTAGTAAGTTGATATGGTCCCTAAAAAACTTTTTAAAAAGAAAGGGTGGCTAGAAAATTGTTTGAGATTTTAAGTGCTATTGTTCAGTCCTCTCGACTTTTTCAGATTTTAAATATAGGAGCATACAGTATGCAACCATATTCTTCTGTATAGGGATATCAATAGAAAAATCTTATATTTTATCCATTTATGTACGTTTTGCACGCGAGACGGGTCAGCACACCTCTTATTGCAAGACACCTACTACTGATCCCTAAAAGAATTTTGATGCAATTATCAATTTTCCAAATCTCTCAAAAATCTCCTGGCTGAAATTTGATTAAAAGCTCCTGTTTTAGGATCGGACATTTAAACAAATTGTTGATTTTAAACTCAATCATTTTCTTCATCTGTGTCATCTTTCTTCTTCGTGTAAAACTTGCTGACAATTCTCAAAGTTAAGCTTACAAAAATACACCCAGCCATAAAGCCTGCAAGCAAGACGAACAGATCCTTTAGTCTCATGATATCTAGGCTAAAGAAAGTGTTTGTTCTTTTGCAAGGAGCTTTTCCAAACCATTTGGCATAAATGTAGTCAGCATTTCCGGATGCAACTATATCATTGATAGCTGTGTTTATCCTTCTCCTCCATGACCAATTTTTGCGTGCTACGACTGCCACCGCAAGATCTCGATCTTTCAGCTCTATGACTTTTAACGAACAGCTGTGATCAATCGATGCATAGTATCTCAAAGTCGGTTGTTCAGACATAACTAAATCAATTTCCCTAAACAGATAGAAAACAAGACATAGTGAGTTGATTACACCTACTGTCATACAATTTGAGACTGCTTTTTCTAGGCTAGTGCAAAAATGTTGAGATCGAATTTTATGTACCAAAGAAAAACCAAATGAGGATACTCCCCACTTGGCGTCAAGCCAACTTGCGATTATTAAAGGGAGCAAAAAAGCTTTCAAAATAGCAGCTAAGTGTTCTCACCTTTCCCTCAATTTCAGCACACATTCATCAAGACTTATGCAGTGCGTCAGTCTTCCATAAAGGTTTTTAACTCTGGCATCCGAATGAGTCTTGATCAATCCATCAATAACTGTACTGCCAGGGATCCCAATTTTCATTGTACTCTCTTTTCCGATTATCTGCAAAATGCAAAATAAATTGCTCTATGTTAATAAAGTTTGATCTTAACAGTTTTTAGATAACTAAAAGTGGAAAACATTCACATCAAAATGTTTTTATTTATGATGGCTACAATATTGTATTGTAATGGTAAGAGACGACAGGTTTACTTTATTTTGCTTTGTTTGGATAAAACCCCTTGTTCCGAAATCTGCTTCAAACTTGGCATTAAGAAATATTTTGATGTCGTTCCGCTACCTTTGGAAACACGATGAAAGCCTAAATAAGAATAATTTCTTTTATTAAGATAGGGTTGAATTAAGATAGTAAATTCAGATACATTTAGCAATACCTTTGGATCAAGCAATCCTGAGACTGGAGGCCTTTCATCCAGTACTACCAGGTAGGTGATGAGGTTTCCAGAATATGCCGATAATATAACAACGGATACAAAAGAGAAAGCAAGTACCATTGTCCGACTTCCAGATGATTTCGGTTTCTTTTCAATTATTTCGCCTGTAAATAAGGTGCCCCATACGTACGTTGCACTGTCTAAAGTACCAAAGTCTTCCATGTCGTCTAAACATCTTTTTTTTATTTGAAATCCACTGTAAGGACTGACACGTTCAATTACAAAAACAATCATAACTAGCCCTACAATCATTCCAATTATTCCGATATAAAGATTGTTACTGAAAGGGCCAAAAATACTCGATTCATCAAAACTGCTTCTCTCTACGTAGGCTATGGCCATCGGAGCAATAATGTGGGGGTTTGAGAACCAAAGTGCTTTGGACCTTTCTTTGTTTTCCGCCAGATCTATACCAATATCAGCTTTGTTTTCAAGCACTTCTCTAACAATTCCATCACTTTCACCTGTTTCTAAGTCATAAGATCCAAATTTTCCGTCTCTTGAGGTGAAAATTACAGCCTCAAAAAGGAGCTTTGTTTTCAAAAGATTTAGTAAATCTATAGTATAGCCATAAGCACATATCTTCACAGTTCCTGTTCCATTAACATGCATCTCTCCCAACATGCCAGTACGACCACATGCTTCTCGGTCGGTGTGAGTTTTACTCACCTCTTCCACAATCACCCAGGGTGCAGCGGTGTGCCCGATTGCCACTCGAACAACTGGCTGCAAATCTTCACCTTTGCTTGTAGAGTGAGAATGCTTTTCAGGCTGCATTGTTAGCGCATTCAGAGAAAACCACGATTGAGTGTGGGTGTTAAATTCTTTGATAGATGATTTCCTTGCAAAAGGAGATTTTCAAGGATTAATAATGCTTCAAAGAGGTAACATATCGAGCACAAGGCAAGCAATGCGGAATAACATGACCCATCGAGAGACTTTGCAAAACCAACTCTATTTACAAAAACCGATGTTATAACGGGAAATTCTTTACAAGGAAACCTCTATAGCATGTTCAAATTCCATTTGTATCAAAATAGAAACGTTTAACAATAGTTTTTTAAATTGATTGATTCTTATCAATTTCGATAAGATGAGTTCAAAAAACGATGTTTTACAGAAAAATAGGGTATCAGGAAGCCTTTTTTTATGTTAAACCTCTATTTTTTGTTATTTCATGTTATATTTCAATTTGAACTTGAGACGAAAGTTTGTATCATCTGTTCCAAGCATTCCAAAGTTTCTCATGAATTGTTGCGCTTTAACATTGCTTACCAGAATAATGGTCCAATAGTGAGATAGGGCTCATGAAATTCGCAAAAAAAATTGGAAATGATGAGCATTGGAAGAGTATTTGGTATTATGTACATATCTCGGGGACCTAGGATCATATAACTCATCTTTTTAGAGTAAAGTCCCTGGTAAATTCTTTCATCAAGCGAGAAAATGGTGACATAACACCGATGTTAAGCGCTCCAATTTTGATGAGAGCGAGTTTCGATCATGAAATAGAGGCTTCCTGGTAGTGAATTTATAATATCGATTTTCATTATTCACCGTTCCGGGTTGATATTATCGATTCTGCATCTCGCTATCTACAGATTTTTCTCAAAAATTGACTTCAGATTTGAAATCTTCATCTCGAAATTTATTTATACTAAGAATTTCATGTTGTTTCGACCGTTCGTTCGCGACTTATTTTTTTAGAATATTTAGATATTTCTTTAGATTTGAAAAAAATTTACTACAGCAGAAATTCTAAATTTTGCGAATGGACTAATTCGATGCCTGGCGTCCCAAATAACATGAAATTTTCGACACAGACCAATTTCGGTAAAAAGATTCCAGTTCTTTGATCAATTATTGGCAAATACGAAGATTTAAAATTTTCGGGAAGAGAGATTTAACGTTTCAAACCCGACCAAATAGAGTTGGTCTTGCCAATTCCTTCCGTGGGTGACGATAGTCCCCCTCGCTCACCTTGTCTTAGACTGTAACTTCGATACATAAATCTACCATACATAATAATAATAATAATAATAATAATAATTTGCATGTTTGCTAAGCTGTTTGCTAAACATTTATAAAGTAGTGATGATTTTCTCCTCCTGGAGTTCTATGCGTTCTGATCGTCGAAATTATGCTTTGAATGTTATGAGAAAAATCGTTTCGAACAAGTTTGGAAAGCTTATTTGTGCTGCACCATTTCCTAGATCTTTTTTCTTGCAAACCCTGCATTGTAAATCTCAACTGGCCCTTTCTCCAAAGCCAATCTAGCCACTCAATTTAAGAAAATTTGGGATATCCTGAGTATCGTTTCTTCTTGCCAACCACTGTCAACGCAAAATATTCCTAATGCATTTTTGCACTTACTTTCCTGTAATTCCATTGCGATTCCGATTCAGACTAGCCAAGTTTCGTCGCTGAATCTTCTCCATGATGAAGTCGGAAGACACGGAAACAGAGACATTATCTATATATCGATATGTGTGAGGAAGCAAGTTGCATTGCCTGTCGAGTTGTCCAGTAGATCGTGTGGTCATCATCCAATGCAACTCCTCGCGATACCCTGCCAGGCCCAACTCTTTTACCATGTGAATGATTTTAACCGTTTTCTTTTCATCAACATCAACAACAAGCACATTGCTTTTGTGAATATTTAAGGCAAATATGGTCCCCTTATCCACATTGCTTATCATTTGCATGCCTGTAATATTTAGGCCATTCTCTGCGCATTTCTCAACAATGCGGGTAAGCGAGGCACGTCCAAATTGCGAGTCATCCACTACGACGGATATTCCTTTAGATGGGAGAGGAATTAGATTGACCAACTTTACCAGGTCGTCAACTTCAGATAAATGGTTTGTAATCTGGAAAGAGCAATAGAAATATAGGTAGAGAACATTCAAATGCAACCTGCATGTTACATGCAGTCAATTTTTGCAAAGAGCATTGCATTTATCTAGTACTAAGATCTTTGTATTCTTTCCAGACCTTTGTGGTAAAAGTTAATTCAAGCATTACAAGCCAGGTGTTCGCATTTGCATGAAGGATCATTTTGTTGACCAATTGCAAAATAGCATGGAAATGAATCTGGGTCTTTCTATTTCAGGCAAAATAGACAAGGCAAGAAAATCCTTACAAGAATTGGAGGTGAATCTTAAGGCAATTGTCTATGACCAAGAACCGTTTCCAAACTAGACCCGTTCCCTAAGATGAGTTTTGATAAGTATTTTGAGACTAATTTTATAGGGGAAAGCATAGGAATCCAAACCAGCATCTAAAACAATGAAATGAGATGTTTGTAAAAAGACTTATGAGAAAATTGTTTGGCTAACTGAAATAATGCCGAGCCATGCAAGAAACCATAGTCAATAGAAAAACTCGCCGATTGTTTCGCGCGCCGACTTAGAACCAGCCTATAGATTATTCCCAACAGTCACGTGACTGAAACGTGATATCGCTGATTGGTGTAAGGCAAAACACGGCCGGGATCTTGCAGCCACGAAGGCAGCCATCGAGACTCAGCAACAAAAAATCTACACCTCAGTTATGAACGGCAAAATATCATATCGGAAACTAAAAGAAAAGAGATCAACTGGCGAAGAGGAATTTAGAGATGCCGATATGCAGACAGATCCAATAGCAGAGTTACCATGCAGAAAGGATGATGAGGATTTTGAAAGATTAGTTGTTGACTTTCAATATTATAAAGAACACACCTTTCATCCTTTCCATCCTTGAGGGCTGAATTTGAGAAGAGTCAAAATGATGGGAGCTGCACAGATATAATGGATCCGCAGGGGAAAATGGATCAGCTTAACGAAGCTTCGGTCCGCAGCCTACATGAGCGCATTTTTTCCCTGGAACGGAAACTGGCTTATCAACGAGATATTATTTCTAAGTTATTAGATGGGCCTAAGTAAGATACGTCAACAAGCCAAACCAGAATTCCCTCAGGAAAATCAACCCATGCTACCTGTGTCACAAAGAACGAGACTATAACAAAGTTTCCAAATAAAAGTAGTAGAAATGATCAAATTATCAAAACGAATGCATAAACAAATTTTCATATGGCGGATGCTGATGTTTATGTTCACGGAAAAAGCCTTAAACTCAAACTCAAAAGCAGGTTTATCACATTATACTTGAATGTCAAAAGTAAAATATTTTGAATTAATGCAATTATAAGAAAACTTTTTAAAAACGATATATCGTAAACTTGTTGGCTGAACTCAAAAAGAGCTTTCGAGGCTATGTATCTTATTGGAGTGTTTTAGATTTAGAAGCTACTAAGATTCTAAGAGTAAGAAAGAGAAAGAGGCTGACCATCGATGATCGTCCAGATGAAGTTGAATCAATGGGCACAGCAACAAACCGCTATGAAATTGATCCTTACAAGACCACGCTGGACCTAGCAGTTGCAGAGATTCATCGCCAAATTTCAAAAAATGCAGATCTTTACAAAGATTTGGCTTTCCTTGAACCATGGCGATTTGCGGGAGTGCAAGAGCAACTTAGAAACGACGTGACGCTGTTAAGCAAAATTGCACAGATATCTGAAGTAAGCTTGGAGTAGCTGCGGGAAGAATTGCAGCCTTTCTCTTAAGTTTACAAAGAAATAAGCTAACAAGCATCTCCAAAGAGAAAAGTTTTGAGGAAAACGTGGAGATCTCGAACAGTTAATAGAGGAAGGATTCATTGCAGAAGTTCCACCTGGCACCAAAGCTCTTGTTAGCACAGACACAGTTGCCTCCTGCCTTAAAAGGAATGGGCCTTGTAAAGTTTGCATCGCCTGTGCACTCAAGACTTTGCATGTGTATAACATGCATGTCTCGTCGTATCCTGCTCTCTACTTTGCTTATAAAGTTTCTATGACGCTGAGCTAATGTTCGAATGAATGTGAACGAATGTTCAGTAAATTAAAGTTTATAAGAGTAGACTTAGAGCAGCCATTGGTCAGCCACACCTTGAATCACTGATGATTCTTTCAAGTGAAGAGAAAAACTTCCCGTTAGACTATGAACAAATAAAGACGATAATATGAGCAGAATAATAAGAAATAAAACAAAAGGGTACTAACTAGGTCTAAAATTTGCCCTAGTAAAAGCAGGGGAAGTCCATTTCAATTTCGCTAATGTTGTGCTCGAAGAAATAAATAAAAAACATGTTACCCGGTCAAGGCCACTGAAAGCATTATCTGTATGAATTCTTTCATTGCCTTTTGCATGATTCGAAATTTCTCTGAAGATCTCGTTTTTCACATTGCTAAAGTCATTAACGACATATCCGCCGCTTCTCCCGTGTCCATTCAACTCTTTTGCAATGTCATTTCCCTTGTCCACAAATTGGCTTAAACTCAAGTTTAGTGCAAAGTGTGAAGATGCATTTGTAATACTGACATTAAGCTTAATCAATGCTTCTTTGAAAACCTTCTCATGCGCAGCAACTTCAAAGATTCCGTGGATTGTAGCTTCCGTTCTTTGGAAAGCAAATTGAAATGTAAGGATCTTTGTAACTGCAAACAGCTCCATTGTCAAACACTTTGCCAATTATCAAAAAAATATATACTGCTCGTATTTTGAAAGATTTTTGGTTCTTCAATTGGTGCTGTTTTCTTTTTCCAAACCAAATCTTGCTTTTTTGAGTTTCTCCTTTCAAGGAAGAATGATGGAACGGCAAAATTTACTACCCAGCATCCAACACAACAGCCGATGGAGACGTTCACAAGGAAAATCTTATAATATCCCAAGAATGAGCATTTTAAACACGCTGGGAATGTATGAATCTGATAACTTATAAGCAAAATTCGATGCCTCAATACATGTACCTGGTCAATTAACAGGTGCCCTGATACCTGAACTTAGGTGTCCCTGCATTGTTAAGTTGCTTTGTTGAAATGCAAATCAATAATGGAATGACTGCGTACTAATGAAAAAAGATATTCATTAGCAGACTTACATATTCTATTAGTGCTTGTAGTGCTTGAAATAAGACACTCGTTCTCTACTTTATTATTTTGGATAGATTTCGGATACCATGACCAGACCTAAAAATGCTCTGTAAATGGATCTCAATAATTGAATTTGAATTATAAAAACTAAAAGGAAAAAATTGACAAAACGAAGAAAAAGGTAATTAAAAGAAGCAAATAGAAGTGAAAAGAAATAAAAGTCAACAAAATTAACACAAAGAAAAAAAGGAAACAAAAGATCAAAAAGAAGCAACAAGAAACAAAAGAAGCAAAGGTGAAGAAAACGAAACGAAATAAGCAAAAGTAAACAAAATAATGAAAAGAAGCAAAAAAGAAACAACAAGAAACAAAAAAATTGAAAAAAACAAACACAAGAAGCAGGAGGAAAGGTGCTGTCGAAAAAACCTCTTTTGCACAAAAAATTGGGTTATCAGATTGTGTACATGGTTTGCTCCAAAGGGCTTTGACTTTCTTTGTGAACAGATGACTGCTTTTCACAGCCTTATTGTCATAAACACCATAGATTAATTTTGATAAAACCACCAAGCATTAACATTAACAAAGTGTAAACAATCAAGGAAAAAGGCTCATTTATCTCCAAATCTTCGTTAAACATCGAACTGAACTAACATACAATGCCTGCCAAAAGTACTTGGAACACCCACCAATTTACGCTGCATTTGATATCTTTCATTCCTTTCATGAAAAAAAATTGCTACTTCCGCCCCCTTCCTCCTCAAACAATGTTGATGATTTAGAGAAATATCGTAAAAGAAGCGCAAAAGAAAGTGCTTCCTAAAATCCTAATCCGTTTGATAGTAAACCAACATTGTTCCGTGGGGGAGAGGGGGATGATTGGTTTTGACCTTGGAAATTGATGTCAGTGTTCCAAGACTTTTGGCAGGCATTGTAGTCTTTTAGTGAAGTTTGCTTTATTTTTTGAAGTGCTTCTTCGTGGCAAAATTGCAAAAGACAATGGTTTTGTTTTTTTTGCTGGTGTCAAAGTAGCAGTGACAGAAGAAATACCCATTATAAACAGAACTGAATTCGAAGTGAATTTTTTTATCCAAGCACACCATGTTTATCATTGTATTTAGCAGCTCAAGATTGGAGAGGCAAACAAAACATAGGTGACAAATGCGCAGTGTGTGTACAGAAAAATGAACTAATTGTATGACATCTACCGAAAGGAAAGACAGGCAGATTTGCAAAGACGATCTTCTTTCTCAGGGCAGATGAATTTAGTTCCTGTGTGGCTGTGGTGAATGGCAATCATGTAAACTTTGGAGATAGCAAAGGAGTTTCAGACAACCTAATATCGTTCTAATTTTAAAAAATTATTGTTATGTTATCACATTGTTTTGACAATTAATAGCTGGAAATTTTTGTCACTTTTTGTTCAAGATATCCAGGCTTTTTCGTTCAAGGGTTTAAAACTTCGTTCGAGATAGCGAATTGTTCGAGATATTGCGTTTCATTACTGTACAAAGCGCTACAGGAAAACGAGGGAAATAAAAATCTGTTTGAAATAGAGAGTTTTCGAGATAATCGATTTCAAGATAGCGGGATTTGACTGTATTTGCATTAAAGCTAGAAATACTGGTAAATCTCGCAGATGAATCTCGCAGATGTTTCTAATCAACTAGTTATTGTTTAGAAGCCATGTTCAGTAGTTTGGATACCATTCCAGAGCAAAAATTTTTTGACCCCGGTAGTACAAGCGTTTGCTCCTGGTATTGGAAAAAGGGAATCTGATGGACATAAATTGCTACTTTTCCTAACACCCTAAAAAATTTAATCTCTTCGTAAAAGCTAACTCGATTTGACAAATTTCATGCTAATCAAAACTTTAGAAGTTAATTCTTATCCTTTTCGAAAATTTGGAAAGGAATACAGATGCAACTAACAATTAAATATCATTTCGTTTTGGAGCTATAATTGATTGGAATAATGCCATCAAGACAAGCTGACAAAATGCTGACAAAATGCTGACATGCTCGACTTCCATCCTTTTCATCATTTTCATCACAAATCTTTCCTTCATTTTTCAGTCACGGAAATTTGCTGTCTGAAAGTTTTTCATCAATAATATTCTACTTGTCAGTGATACTTGTTCACTTATTCACTTATTTATTCCGCTGTGTGAAATGACGATTCGATAAAATTCACGGTTAAGGCAATTCAGTCTAGAAACCAAAAACTACATAGGTACAGTCAACTCAGAAATAGATGATTTAGGAAGAAAAATGACACTGGAAGAACCTTCATCAAAAAACGACATTGGAAGAACCTTGCAAACGACATATCGAAGTCCAGTTTGCCTTGATTTGAAAAAATTGCGTTCATTTGATAACTTTTTGTCGAATTGAATATTCGATTGTAGCAAATAAGAAACACCGCAATGCGACGAGAATAAACAACAATAAATACACGTAAATTGATGAAGGCTATTATTTCGCCTAATATTGCGACGTTTCTTATTTGCTACATTTTCATCGATTTTTCGCCGCAAGAACTACTTGGAGTCCGTCGAGCAGACTGCTATTGTGACCTTTTCTTTATCCATACATACATTCAAATCGGTAAAAAAGCCGAAGTGAATCTAAGGGCGAACCACTCAAAAAGATTTGACTACACGCGACTTGAACTCAGGGTGCCATGAGTTTCAAAACTGGTCTGAGATTTGTAATGTGAAAAGTTTTTCTTTTCAGAATCCTTCTCATTAGGATCCAGCTTTTTTAAACTTTTCCCTGTATCTGAAGACAAATCCCTTTGAATCAACCTCTTTATCATCCTATTCTTATTCGTTGTTGCTTTTAATGCTGGGGTATTGGAGAATGAACCTGATCGTAAAAACATGCTAGCAAGCTGGAAACGGAAACAAAGTTTCAAAGAAGTAATGTCTTTTGACAAAAAAGTTCTATTTTACATTAATCCTGCTGGAAACGACATCTAATATAGGACCCGATCAATGTTCAAAGCCCAATGGTTTATCAAAACATTATAACGATCAAGCTCTAGGGCAGGACGACTAAACCTTTGAGGGATTAGTGAATTTGGTTCAGTGGCAATTTGGGTGGCCGCACTGGAAAATCAGCATTTGTTTACTAAGGCCCTAGATGTACTGATGTCTAACATAAAACTAATTATCTATGTCAAAGTGGAAAATGGAGAACCCTTTTTCAAGTTTGACAAAGATAATCCGATTTTGGCTTGGAAATTTGAGCGCGCTGCAGTTCGCGTGTGAAGTGGTTGTTTGCTGTTAGGCTAATGTAATGTGGTTTAATACAAAGATTGACTTGATTATGGGTATTCTGTGGCACCAGAATAATGCGTTAATTGCTAATCATTTCCATTTTCCAGAGCTCGTCCTGCTCTGGGGCAGGACGACGGAGCCTTTGAAGGATTTGTGAATTTGGTTCAATGGCAATTTTGGTGGGTGCAATGGAAATTCAACATTGTTTACTAACAGGCTTAATCTCTCTTCTCTATGAAAAATAGAGATTAAGTGTGTCAGAAGTTCTTCCTGAAATCTTGTGCGGTGCATCTAGGGCCTAACAAGCTTAATCCCTTTTCTTTGTGAATAACAGAGATTAAGTTGGTCAGAAGTTTTTCCTGGAATCTTCTTCGGTGCGTGAGAAGTTCTATTTTTACAGCAATCCTGCAAGAAACGACATCTAATATAGGAACCAACGCTCAAAACCCAATGATTTATCAAAACATTTCCTTATAGCGATCATGTAAGACCTAGCAAATTTGATCTGCTTTTGTCGATTGAAATTGTTGCATTTTCAAAAGAAATTGGATTTTATGAAAAAAGAAGAAGCATCTCCTATGTGTGTGAAAATCAAAGTGCGACCACGTATCTCGCCGCTTACTTAATGTTGTATGTACTTTATCTTGTTTTATTCAAATATCATTCTATAATTTTAGTCTATGCTACCATCTAGGCTCTGACCAGATTCTCTCCAAGAAGTACACGCATCCATCTTTAGTTGGAATTTTAACAGTTCTACAAGAAGTTTACTTCTCGATGAAGGGAAAACCATCTCGTATAATTCAGAATAATTTTATTTTATTTACTTTGCTACAATCAGTTTTTTTAATTCCCTTCGCCTGACGATTCTCTATGAATATAATCTACAGTTATCTACATACCTTTTTAAACATGCCGATGTTGCCAAGTTCAACAAATCCCTTCAATTCCTTTCCTACCTAAAAGGACATAACCTTCGTTATGTCATCTTCTTTGGTACAACTTGCTGGCGATTCTCAAAGCTAAAAAAATAACAATTAATCTAGCCATGAAGTCTAAAAGCAAGACAAAAAGATAGTTAAACGTGTTAAAAAACTAGATCAATTGGACTGTCAGACAGAAGTAAGTCTATTTCCCTGAACAGATAAAATTAAGACATAGCATTTTGGTTACGTCAATTTTCATCTAAAAGGCTAAGAGGTTGCTGAGGTTGTTTTTTGCCAAGCAAAAATCAAAGGTATTATGCTCCCAACTTTAGGTATTTCTTTACATACTGTTTCTGCTATCATTCACCTCAGTCCAATTTCTAATTAAGAATGCTAAATTGGATCAATCCATAAAATTCCAATGCATAAAGTAGAATTTTCGAGAAAAACAAATTCTTCTCATAAGTTAGGATATATTGTAGGAATCGAAATTTTCTGCTTGTTCAAAGGATACCATAGATTACAAGTGCAGAATTACAAAGGATTACAAATGCGGAATAACGATTTCAAAAGCAAAGTAGAAATAGTCCAAACAAACAGCATGCTTTATACTGGACGGTACTTCACCAGAATTTGAGTTTTTTATTTAAAAACAATATTGATTTCATTTTACTGAAACAGGTAAATACGTTTTATTTGCACGTTTACAAACGAAAGGGCAAGAAAAATGGTGTTGAAAGAATAACATTAAACGAAACATGAAATAATCTGAATGTCTAGTTTTCAATATTACAGATTACGACGTCTGTGATAAAGAGTGCACAAAAGGCATTACAGTTACAATCCCATGAACAGTTGGTGGTTGAAAACCTCGAGGAGGGGATCATCTTGCAAAATATTTTTTTCTTTTTTAAATGTTAAAGAACGCAAGGCCTTTTAGCCTTTAAACGTTTTTTTAAAATGGTGTCCTGATCATCTTCTTCTGACCTTGGAAAAAGCCATTGTCGATCAATCTAACAATGGCGGCTTTTTGTAGACAGAAGGAGTTCGTTTTCTCTCTTGGACTCTAGTGGTAAATTTTCTTTAGGCACGTGGCACTGATTGGACAACTATACCGGTCTTTAAGCCAACATGTTATAAAATGTTTACTTAAGCCATTTTCAAGTTCTTTAACGCCAAAAACTGGAAAGATACTACCGTGTGCGTACATATTTCTCGCCGCTAGCTGAATGTGGTATGTTCCACCATTCCAAAACTTTAAAAAACCGAAAATTACGTAAAATTAACTCTAAGCTATAACTTCAAATTATTGCAATAATATACCATCTATACCCTTGCAGTTTGTCCTGGTAGGGATAAAGGCATCCAGCATTTAAGTTGTTTTATAAGGAGATCACTTCTTTCTAAAAGATATACTTAGCTATAAATATGACGATATCTAATTTCATCATTAATACCTATCACTTAATCAATGTCTTGTTTCTACCTACTTTTATTCCAATAGCTCCAAAGCCTTTAGGGAGAGAAATTGGTTGCAGGGCAAGCATTTGTTAATATCAAGAAGAGGACAATAGCCTATTGTTATAAACAAAGGGAAGTCACTTGGGCTGCAGGGGCATTTGCCCCCGTAGTTAGTAAGTTGATATGGTCCCTAAATAACTTTTTTAGAAGAAAGGATGGCTAGAAAGTTGTTTGTGATTTTGAGTGCTATTGTTCAGTCCCCCCGACTTTTTCAGATTTTAAATAAAGGAACATACAGTACGCAACCATATTTTCCAATATAGAGATATCAATAGAAAAATCTTATATTTTATCCATTTATGTACGTTTTTCACGCGAGACGGGTCAGTACACCTCTAATTGCAAGACAGCTACTACTGATCCCTAAAAGAATTTTGATGCAATTATCAATTTCCCGAACCTCCCCTAAATCTCCTGGCTGAAATTTGATTAAAAGCTCCTGTTTTAGGATCGGACTTTTTAACAAATTGTTGATTTTAAATTCAATCATATTCTTTATCTGTGTCATCTTTCTTCTTCGTGTAAAACTTGCAAAAAATTCTCAAAGTTAAGCATACAAGAATACACCCAGCCATAAAGCCTGCAAGCAAGACGAACAGATGCTTTAGTCTCATGATATCAAGGCTAAAGAAAGTGTTTGTTCTTTTGCAAGGAAGTTTTCCCAGCCATTTGGCATAAATGTAGTCAGCATTACCAGATGAAACAATATGATTGATAGCTGTGTTGATCCTTCTCCTCCATGACCAATTTTTGCGTGCTACGATTCCTATCGCACGATCTCGTTCTGTCAGATCCATGACTCTCAAAGAACAGCTATGATCGATTGACGCATAATATCTCAAAGTTGGACCGTCAGACATAAATAGGTCTATTTCCCTGAATGAATAAAATTAAGACATAGCAGTTTGGTTACGTCAATTTTCATCTAAAAGCCTACGATTTGTCAGGTTAATGAGGTTGAAATTTCTGGGCCAAACAAATAGCAAAGGAATGAATTCCATCTTTATGTCTTTACTTATTGTTTATGCGATCATTCACCTCTTTAAATCCACAGTTGACTCCGCTTATAGGCACACAACCTGTTATAGTCACAAGAGTATATGCAAAACTATTCAATTTAGCTACGCTTGCAGTCACAAATTTACAGTCAAGCAACTTTGGTTATGGCTATGGCCGGAGTCTAATGTACTTTCTGATTAAGAATGCTTGATTGAATCCGTCTAAAATTGTCAGTAATACAATAAGAGGTTGCTGTTTAAAATAGGAAAATGACTAGAGGGGAAGACAAGAAAGCTTTGTCATCTGAAGTTGGCTTTAATGCTAGCAGGCACTTTAAAAGGATTTTATTATTTTTTCTGCAGCCAGGTATTTGCTAGAAGGTAATTTACAGGCTACATAAATTGATTAATGAAAATTTGTGATATGAGAATCTTAGAATATGGACTGAAGATCGTCATTTTTCAAACACTCAAGTGTTTGAGCAAAATCTGAGAAGGAAGGTTATGCTGATAGACAAGGTTAAGAAACATAACTTTCTCGGTTTTTACAAGGATTTTTTTCACCAAAGACAACTTAGAAAGAATCTTTCCTTTTTACCGCTATTTTTTGTTGCTTCTGTGCTAAATATCTCGATAGTGATTTGCTAAAGCAATAAAAATGACCAAAATAAGGTATTTGAAATATTGGAGAAAGGATAACAGTAGTTGATTGGCTTGGAATTATAGTTTTGATTTATCTTAAAATTTTATCCCAAATTGCAATCATTAATACGAGCAAGAAAGTTTTTTTAAAATAGCAGCTAAACTTTCTTACTTGCGCTTAATTTTTTTCACACATTCATCAAAGCTCGGGCAGTGTGTCAGTCTTCCATAAAGGTTTCTAACTCTGGCATCCGAATGTGTTTTGATCAATCCACCAACAACTGTACCAACAGGGATCCCAATTTTCATCGTACTTTCTTTTCCGATTATCTGTAAAATGCAAAATAAATTGCTCTATGTTAATAAAGTTCTATCTTAACAGGTTTTAGATAACTAAAAGAACATTCACATCAATTTTTTTTATTTTTGATGGCTACAATATATTGTATTATAATGATAAGAGAGGACAGGTTACTTTATTTTGCCTTGTTTGGATCAAACCTCTTGTTCCGAGATCTGTTTCAAACTTGGCACTAACGAAATATTTTGATGTCATTCCGCTACCTTTGAAAATACGATGAAAGCCTAAGTAAGAATTATTTATTTTATTAAGATAGGGTTTAATTTTTCAATTTCGTTACATTTCGCTACATCCTTAAGGCACTTATGACGAAATACCTCTATTAAAAAATCTCAGCACAATTACATAGTAAATTTAGATACATTTAGAAGTACCTTTGGATCAAGCAATCCTGAGATTGGAGGCCTTTCATCCAGTACTACCAGGTAGGTGATGAGGTTTCCAGAATATGCCGATAATATAACAACGGAAGCACACGAGAAAGCAAGTACCATTGTCCGACTTCCAGATGATTTCGGTTTCTTTTCAATTATTTCGCCTGTAAATAAGGTGCCCCATACGTACGTTGCACTGTCTAAAGTACCAAAGTCTTCCATGTCGACTAAACATCTTTTTTTCATTTGAAATCCACTGTAAGGACTGACATGTTCTGTTACAAAAACGATCACAACTAGCCCTACAATCATTCCAATTATTCCGATATAAAGGTTGTTACTGAAAGGGCCAAAAATACTCGATTCATCAAAACTGTTTTTCTCTATGTAGGCTACGGCCATCGGAGCAATAAGGTGGGGGTTTGAGAACCAAAGTGCTTTGGATCTTCCTTTGTTCTCGGTTAGATCTATGCCAATGTCGGCTTTGTTTTCAAGCACTTCTCTAACAATTCCATCATTTTCACCTGTTTCTAAATCGTAAGATCCATATTTTCCGTCTCTTGAGGTGGAAATTACAGCCTCAAAAAGGAGCTTTGTTTTCAAAAGATTTAGTAAATCGATGACATAGCCATAAGCACATATCTTCACAGTTCCTGTTCCATTGACAAACTTCTTTCCCAACATGCCGGTACGACCACATGCTGCTTGATCGGTGTGTGTTTTACTCACCTCTTCCACAATCACCCAGGGTGCAGTGGTATGCGCGATTGCCACTCGTACCACTGGCTGCAAATCTTCGCTTGTAGAGTGAGAATGCTCTTCAGGCTGCATTGTTAGGGTATTCAGAGTAAACCACGATTGAGTGTGGGTGTTAAGTTCTTTGACAGATGGTTTCCTTGCAAAAGGAGATTTTCAAAGATTGATAATGCTTCAAAGAGGTAACATATCGACCACAAGGCAAGCAATGCGGAATATCATGACCCATCGAGAGACTTTGCATGACCAACTCTATTTGGTCAATTTCCATAGGCTGATTACAAAGACCGATGTTATAACGGAAAATTCTTTACAAAAAAGCCTCTATCGCATGTTCAAATTCCATTTTTATCAAAATAAGAACATTTAACAATAGTTTTTAAAATTGATATATTCTTATCAATTTCGATAAGATGAGTTCAAAAATCGATATTTTACAGAAAAATGGTGTATCAGAAAGCCTTTTTTTTCATGTTATAACCTGATTTTATGTTAAACCTCTATTTTTTTGTTATTTTACGTTATATTTCAATTTGAACTTGACACGAAAGTTTCTATCATCTGTTCCAAGCATTCCAAAGTTTCTCATGAATTGTTGCGCTTTAACATTGCTTTCAAGAATAATGGTCCAATCGTGAGAGAGGGTTCATGAAGTTAGCAAAGAAACTTGGAAATGATGTGCATTGGAAGAGTATCTGGTATTATGCATATATCTCAGGGACCTAGGATCATATCCCTCATATCACTCTAGGATCATATCACTCATGAGAAAATGGTGACATAATACTGATGTTAAGCGTTCCAATTTTGACGAAAGAGAGTTTTGATCATGAAATAGAGGCTTCCTGGTAGTGAATTTATAATACCGATTTTCATTATTCACCGTTCGGGTTGATATTATCGATTCTGCATCTTCGAAATTTTTATCTTTAATTTGTTCACACTAAGCATGTCATGTTGTTTCGACCATTCGCTCACGACTTTTTTTTTAATATTTAGATATTTCTTTGAATTCGAAACAAATTAACTATAGCGAGAATTCCATTAAAATGTGTATAGGAAAAGCTAACTTTTGCAATTGGGGTAATTCGGTGCCTGGCGTCCGAAACAACTTGAAATTTTCGACACAGACTAATTTCATAATGTAGATTCTAGTTCTATGATCCATTATTGGCAAATACTAAGATAAAAAAATTTCCGGAAACATAGTTTTAACGTTTCAAACCTGACCAAATAGAGTTGGTCTTGCCTATTCTTTCCGTGGGTGACGATAGTCCCCCTTGCTCACCTGGTCTTAGACTGTAACTTCAATACATAAATCTACCATACATAATAATAATAATAATAATAATAATAATTTGCATGTTTTCTAAGCTGTTTGCTAAACATTTATCATAGTATGATTTCCTCCTCCTGGATTTCTATGCGTTCTGATCTTCGAAATAATGCTTTCAATGTTATGAGAAGAATCATTGAGTACAAATTTAGAAAGCTTATTTGTGCTGCAGCATTTTCTTGATCGTTTTTCTTGCAAACCCTTCATTGTAATACCTCAACTGGCCCTTTCTCCAAAGCCAATCTAGCCACTTAATTTAAGAACATTTGGGATATCCTGAGTATCCTTTTTTCTTGCCAACCACTGTCAACGCAAAAAATTCCTAATGCATTTTTGCACTTACTTTCCTGTAATTCCATTGCGATTCCGATTCAGACTAGCCAAGTTTCGTCGCTGAATCTTCTCCATGATGTAGTCAGAAGACACGGAAACAGGGACGTTATCTATATATCGATATGTGTGAGGAAGTAAGTTGCATTGCCTGTCGAGTTGTCCAGTAGATCGTGTGGTCATCATCCAAAACAACTCCTCGCGATACCCTGCCACGCCCAAGTGTTTTACCATGTTAACGATTTTGACCGTTTTCTTTTCATCAGCATCAACAACAAGCACATTGCTTTTGTGAATATTTAAGGCAAATATGGTCCTCTTATCGACATTGCTTATCATTTGCATGCCTGTAATATTTAGGCCATACTCTGCGCATTTCTTAACAATGCGGGTAAGCGAGGCACGTCCAAAGTGCGAGTCATCCACTACGACAGATATTCCTTTAGATGGGAGAGGAATTAGATTGACAAACTTGACCAGGTCGTCAACTTCAGATAAATGGTTTGTAATCTGGAAAGAGCAATAGAAATATAGGTAGAGAACATTCAAATGCAACCTGCCAGTTACATGCAGTCAGTTTTTGCAAAGAGCATTTGCATTTATCTAGTAATAAGATTTTTCTATTCTTTCCAGACCTTTGTGGTAAAAGTTAGTTCAAGCGTTACAAGCAAAGTGATTGCATTTGCATGAATGATAATTTTGTTGACAATTGCAAAATAGCATGGAAATGAATCTGGGTCTTTCTATTTCAGGCAAAATAGACAAGGCAAGAAAATCCTTACAAGAATTGTGTGTGAATCTTACGGCAATTGTCTATGGCCAAGAACCGTTTCCAAACTAGGCCCGTCCCCTAAGATAAGTTTTAATATGTATTTTGAGACTAATTTTCATAGGGTAAAGCATTGGAAACCAAACCAGCATCTAAAACAATGAAATGGGATGTTTGTAAAAAGACTTATGAAAAAACTTTTTTGGCTAACTGAAATAATGCCGAGCCATGCAATAAACCACAGTCAATAGAAAAAACTCGCCGATTGTTTCGCGCGCCGACTTAGAGCCAGCCTATAGATTATTCCTACCTGTCACGTGACTGACACGTGACATCGCTGATTTGTGTAAGGCAAAACACGGCTGGGATCTTGCAGCCACGAAGGCAGCCATCGAGACTCAGCAACAAAAAATCTACACCTCAGTTATGAACGGCAAAATATCATATCGGAAACGAAAAGAAAAGAGATCAACTGGCGAAGAGGAATTTAGAGATGCCGATATGCAGACAGATCCAATAGCAGAGTTACCATGCAGAAAGGATGATGAGGATTTTGAAAGATTAGTTGTTGACTTTCAAGATGATAAAGAACACACCTTTCTTCCTTTCCATCCTTGAGGGCTTAATTTGAGAAGAGTCAAAATGATGGGAGCTGCACAGATATAATGGATCCGCAGGGGAAAATGGATCAGCTTAACGAAGCTTCGGTCCGCAGCCTACATGAGCGCATTTTTTCCCTGGAACGGAAACTGGCTTATCAACGAGATATTATTTCTAAGTTATTAGATGGGCCTAAGCAAGATACGCCAACGAGCCAAACCAGAATTCCCTCCTGAAAATCAACCCATGCTTCCTGTGTCACAAAGAACGAGACTATAACAAAGTTTCCAAATAAAAGTAGTAGAAATGATCAAATTATCAAAACGAGTGCATAAACAAATTTTCATATGGCGGATGCTGATGTTTGTGTTCGCGGAAAAAGCCTTAAATTCAAACTCAAAAGCAGGTTTATCACATTATACTTGAATGTCAAAAGTAAAATATTTTGAATTAATGCAATTATAAGAAAACGTTTTATTGGCTTTGTTGGCTTTCATGAAGAGCGTCTGTTTGACTGCGACCAAAAGCCAGGTGTCTATTTTCGGTATGTGGATGACACATATACTATTTTCAAAACAGAGGCTGAGTGTGATATTTTCCTAAAACGCCTTAATGGTCTTCACACAGCCCTACATATTACATTTGAAAAGGAAGAAAATAACTCCTTGCCATTTCTGGATGTTTTGGTTGAAAAATCTGACACTGGATTTCTCACCAGTGTATACCGTAAACCCACATTTTCGGGGTTATACACTCGATGGAGTTCGTTTTGCCCAAAACAAAGAAAAATCAGCCTCATCAAAACGCTTACACATAGGGCACTGATGATTTGTTCCAAGTCTAAACTCGACTCGGAACTTGAAAAACTAACTAAGATTTTTCTGGAGAACGGCTATCCAGAAGATGTTATTTCAGTTTACATTAAGGAGAAGATAGGAAATTTCTCGGCTGACGTAAAATTTGGTCCTCAAAAGTGTCCGGTCTATCTAAAACTACCCTGGATCGGTAACAGCTCCCTACGGTTTGAAAGCCAAATAAAACAGGCCATAACAAATTGTTTCTTCGCGGTTAACCCACGTGTTGTTTATAGTACAAAAAAGGCCCTTCCGTCCATTCAAAAGGACAGCGTTCCTGCCACAAAAAAAATTCTGTTGTTTATGAATTTACGTGCCAGTGTGATTCTGGCTAGGTAGGACGCACCACCCAAAGATTGGAGGATAGGATAGAACAACACGTTCCATCTAATATTAGAAACAAAACACATCCCCAAAGAGAACAGCCACCTCGGTCTTGCAAATCTAAAATTACTACTAAAACCTGCGATTCTGCTATCGGGCAGCATTTGCTAGAAAACCCAGATTGTGCAAAAAACTATAATGGCGACATGTTTTGGATTATTGGTAAAGCCCGATCGTCGTTCCACCTAGCAGTTTTAGAATCTATCTACATAAGCACGAAAAAACCGCTCCTGTGTAGACAAAAGGAGTTCGTTTTCACCTTAGGACTCCACTGGTAACATTCTAATAGGCAAGCGGCACTGATTGGTCAACCTTTACAGTCATGTGCTCGTGTTTCTGATTGGCCTATTTCGATCCACAACTGGGTATATATATTTCTTAGCGTAGAGTTTTCGATCTATGTTCTGACGTTTTAAACTCTGAAGAGTAACAGACGAAAAGCTTTAGTTTACTAAATGTTTGCTTTTTTCAAAGCCATTTAAAACGTTTTAAATACGATATATCGTAAACTTGTTGGCTGAACTCAAAAAGAGCTTTCGAGGCCATGTATCTTATTGGAGTGTTTTAGATTTAGAAGCTTCTAAGATTCCA